GATCTCGATTTCCTGGGCGGTCGGCCGGCTGACTGACCGACCGCCGCCGTTGTTGAGCTTGGACGCGGTGCTACTGCTGCTGGTGTGTCTGTGCGTTTTACGGGGCTCCTTGTCCTTTTTTTCTGCTGCTGCTGCTTCTTCTTCTTCTTCTTCTTCTCCTGTGTTGTGTCATACGCACAGTGCCCTATTCTAAACTGCCCCCAGTAGGTATGTACCTTGTGTGGCCTGGTGGGGGTGGTGTTGTGTAAGTATTGCATATCGGATGTCTCCTGTGCACTTGCTTGGTAAGAATAGTACGCATATTCCAATGGCGATGTGTACATAGTCGTCCAGAGGGCCGATCTGTCGACGTCATTCGACTCCCGGCCTCCCATCTGGCGTCATGAGAACTGTCAATCCGGATTTCCAGACTACCTCCCTACCTAGTACCCTCGGATTGTGATCATATCCGGCAAGTACTCCGTGCATCACTCTCTCAATATTGCAACTAGAGACTCCGTAGGTGAAGAATCAAGGTCCCAGATTTCAGGAACGACCTAAAAAAAGAAATATTCCCTGTGGGAGGTTGTTCCGCCAATGATATGGAGGTCTTGGCTCACGCTACATAGACCCCGGTCGGTTCGAGGCCTTCTCCGCCGTGATCGCTCGGGAGGATGGGTGTTATCCGATCTGCTTGGATTGCGGATGCTGGGTGGTTGGCCGATGGAGCCGCGGGTATAGTTTCTGACGTTATAGGCTGTCAGGAGTAAGATGGCTTGGTCAGGGGGAGTTTCCAGCTGGTCGGAGAGGGGGGATCCACTGCTGCATGAACATGACCCCCAGTGGTGGTGGTGTCTCGACTCTTGCTGGATCTCGACATCTCGACTTGGACTGGCCTTCAGCGATCATATCTCCAACCAAAGTACGGAGTGATAACAGGCTAAGAAACGCGGAGACGACGTCACAGTCGAGACTCCGTTAGGTGCCTACTAGTAGCAATATGCCCCCCCTTAACGGAGAGTAAGTATATTGATCTTCCAGCTCCACCGCATCGTTCCTATACCACGGATTAGCAGCTGTATGAGTTCCGAAACGGAATGACTATGGCATACAGAACATTATTCAGCCTCGGGCAGAGTAGGAAGCACAAGCCCGAGCGATCATTTACATGGACCAGAAGCATCTCCGAGCCGTAATATTGGATATTCCTCGACTTCCAAATTGCTGCATGCCAGATATTCCCTGTCCGTCGACCGAGATTTACCGACACCCACATCTGTATCGATAAGTATCAACATGAGTCCCGATAGCAGGTCCTTGCCTCTCTACCGGGGTTAAGATGAGGCGTCCCATCATACCCCAGAAACATGACCCCGGATGGCCGATGCAAGGAGCCATGACTATATTGCCATTAATGCGGCCTCCGGGTGGATAATTTGTAATTGGGTATGGGGGTGACTGTGGAATGGACGCGTGTACAGAAGAACTGTAGAGGTTAATGACTCGAAGAGCGCTGTATAGTTTGGGCAAGAAACCGAGAGGAGTGAACGGAGGATGAAGAAGAAGAAGAAGAAGAAGAAGAAGAAGAAGAAGAAGCGAGATGGTGGGCAGTTGTTGAGGGGCAAGTATAACTACGGTTTGCTGCCTGAGTCACCCACACGGCACGTGCGCGCGCGTCTCCGCGCCGCACGAGAAATGGCGAAAGCCTCGCCTTTTGCCTCGTCGACTCCAACACGCTTATGGATCTTTTCTCGGTCCTTCCGGACTTCCCCACCAAGCCCTACGCGCACATTCTGCCCCCGCTCGAGAGGAGCCGCATCACCACCGTCGATTTGATCACCCTCGACACCCTCGAGGTCGCCAAACGTGCCCGCGTGCCTCCCGCCGACGTCCGCCGCCTGGCCGCCCAGATCACCCGGGCTCTCCACCACGATGTCGGTTTCGAGGAACACAGGCAGGATGCGGAGGAGCCCAGCTCCAGCCTCAGCGTCGACGTCCCCGTCGTCCCGGGCCCGACGACCCAGCTAGACCTGTCGCAATGGACTGCGATCAGTACGCTGGACCCCGCGCTGGACGCGTTGCTCGGGGGCGGGATACCAACCGGTTATGTGACGGAAGTGACGGGGGAGAGGTGTGTATGCCCGCTTTCCAAGGGTCTACATCGGCATATCGCTCTCTCAGTGCCCTAACCAGCTGCAGTGGGAGTGGCAAGACGCAATTCCTTCTCACTCTTCTCCTCGCCGCGCAGCTTCCTGCGCCGCGCGGTCTGGGGAAGAACGCCATCTACATCTCCACCGAGGCCCCATTAGCGACCCTGCGACTGTCGCAGCTGATCGAATCCCACCCGTATCTCTCGTCCCTGCCGCCAGCTCACGCCCCCTCCCTGGAGAACATCATGTCCATCAATGCCATGGATCTCGAGACCCAGGACCACATCCTCAACTTCCAGCTCCCTGTCGCAATCTCACGATACAGCGTCGGCCTCGTCATCATCGACTCCATCACCTCCAACTACCGAGCCGAGCATTCATCTCACAACCTGTCCGGTCTGTCCATGCGCTCCGCCGAGCTTGCCAAGCTCGGTCAGCTACTCCGGAACCTAGCCGTGGACAAAGACATCGCCATCGTCGTCGCAAACCAGGTCTCAGATCGGATCGACGCCCTCGACGGGCCTTCCACACTGCCCCGGAGAGGTACATTCTCGCCGATGCCCTCCACGCAACAGCAACAGCAACAGCAACAGGGACAATGGCTGTCATCGCAACACGCCGTCACCCCGATTCCCCGAACACGGCACTTGGATCCCCGGAACGTCGAGCTGACGCCGCATGCCGCGATCCTCCCATCATCGCCGTCCAGCTTCCCCTCGTCACCGTTCAACACCGAGGAAGATCCCCAGCCGCAGCAGCCCTTCGACGGGTCCTACCTGATTGGCAACCCCGTGCGGAATGAGCTGCTGAGTCTGTTGCACCAGCAGCGGTTCTTCACCGGATGGGGCGACACGCTCCAACCCTCCTTCTCCAGCTTCTACCCCGCTTTCCCGCGGTCATCGCACAAGACCCCAGCGCTGGGCCTCGTCTGGGCCACCCAGATTGCCTGTCGGATCGCACTGAAGAAGGAGGCCCGGGTTGTCGAGTGGGACAGTGCTCTCCTCGAGGATACCTTTCGGTCCGACGAGAAGCAGAAACCAACATATGAGCCCCCAGCATCACAACAGCCGGAGAACGAAGACAATGAGAACCGGACCTCTCAGCCAGCAGAGCCCTCGGATACCCCAGAAAAGTCCAACCCGGCAGTAGACGAGACAGAAGTTCCTCTTCCTGGTCCCTCACCACCACCACCACCACCACCACCACCACCATTACCATCACAACAAGCGCCGGGGGGAAGCGTCCGACGGACCATGAAACTTGTCTTCGCTCCTTGGACCGGCGGGTCCGTGAGCGAGCAAGGCGACGTCCAGGATGAAGCGGAGTTTGAAATCTGGAAGGGCGGGTTAAGAGGTTGCTGAAGACAGCATAAGAGATGTACATAGATAGGGTGCCTAGGTACGCAAGCACATATAAACAGACACACGGACAGACAGACAGACAAATAGTCACGAATTATGATTCACTCAATCCATTCATCTAAGAACCCAAGCACTCATTAATGCACAAACATTACTATCTACATAGACTGTAACACCTTCTTATATCTCATCCCCCCCCTTCCCCCTCCTCTTTCTACAACCCTGCTTTCTTGCTTGCTTGCCGAATTGACTGATTGGTAAGCCATCCATAATAACTATCTTCCTACCTGTCCTATATCCACCCTCCACCCATCCATCCATCATCCATTTACAGATAAACCAACCAACCAACCAACCAATCAATCCCCTCCCACCAAACAACTTACCCAACTATAATCAACCACACAGTACAGTACTCCAGTACTCCGTACAGTATAGTACATACACTCCAACACCAATCCCCATCCCCATCTCAGTGAAGGAATGGAGCTCGAAGGAAGCTTCCCCCCCCCCAATCCGGGACTAGCGCTCCTTTCCGGCGCCTGGCGGAACTGCCACTGCCACCCCCGCAGTTCCAACTAACTAATTCAATTCAATTCAATTCTGCTGTTCCTTCTTCCCTTCCCCCTCCTCTCCCGACTTTCTTAGCTTTCAGCTGAAGCTCTCAGGCCTTGACTTTCACTATTACTATTACTATTACTATTACTATTACTACCAACTACCTGCTATCTACTATCCACTATTCTCTATTTAGGGGATAGGATAGGATATGGACCCGAAACCCCCCCCCCCGGAGGAGCTTATTTTTATGCTTATGTTTATGCTTATGTTTACTAGGTAGTAAGTAGGGTGGGTGGGTGGGTGGGGGCTGGATTGATTGATCTTACGCCGGTTTTTAATCTGCATCTAATCTTGATTGTGATTGTGGTTGTGACCATTGTGAGTAAGTGGAGGGGAGAGAGAGGAGGGGAGGAGGGGGGGGGGCTGCGCTTGGTGCTGATTCTTGCAGTGGGTTGGTTGGTTGGTTCATTGCTTAATCTGTTAACATTGGCTTGACGCGATTTCCTTTGAATTATAGGACGCACTCCATTATTCTATCACTCAACTGCAGAATCACACATCACACACACACACAAACAATTCCTTGAACTGATAGTACTGTCTGCATCAACCGGTCTATATTGAACGCATCGCGCGGAAGAAACACGGAGAAAATACATTCGCTGCAAGACTGCCCGCACATGTGAAGGAAATGGTCTAAGGAAATGCAACAGCAAACAGGACTCCCGGAATTAAGAAGCGAAGCTTGATTAAATCAGACATGATAATGGCTTTTTTACATCGGAATCCCCCCCCTGCCCATATACGCCTGCAGCCTGATCAACTCGCAGTTGCTCTATGACAGATCAAAGAGTGTCATGTCGTGGTCATTTCGATCCTGCGAGTGCACCACGAGATGCAAAAGAAATCCAAAAAAAATTCACTCGTTCTATGTACGACAACACATGCTCTATTTCGCAAGCTTGGCAGGAGGAACACCGACGCCGTTCGTGTTACGGTAGAAGAGCACGCCGGCGCTCTCGCCCCGGGAACCCTCGGTGGGCTCAACCCACTGGCAGACCCGGGCACTGGTCCAGAGCGCCTTGAAGAATCCAGTCCATCCGGTGTGGGCCTGGGTGCGGTAGTGCGGTCCCATGACCTTCTGGATGGCCTCGCTCGCCTCGTCCGCGTGGTAGAAGGGGATGGTGCTGACATAGTGGTGGAGGACGTGGGTCTCGATGATGCCGTGGAGGATGTTGCGGCCAACAAAGCCGAAGTCACGGTCGATGGTGGCGGCAGCACCACGAGCGAAGTTCCACACGTCGGGCTTGTAGTGAGGGAGAGTGGGGTCCGTGTGCTGGAGGTAGGTGATAGCGACTGATTTTCTCGGTCAGCGGATGGTTCATGGGAAGCAGTGGGATTGAAGAAAAGACTTACCAAGCCAGTGGTTAACCCAGAGGTAGGGGATACCGTACCAGACCAGGAGGTTCATCCAGCCGTACTTCGAACCGACCAGGTACAGAACGCTTCCGGTGATGGCGAGACCCAAGTCACTCAGAGCGATGAGCTTAGCGTCCTTGGCCTCGTACAGAGGGCTTGCGGGGTTGAAGTGGTTGACACCACCGAAGTAGCCGTTCTTCTTGCCCTTGCCACGACCCTCGGGCTGACGCTCGTGGTTGTTGTGGCCAGTAACGTTGGTGATGAGGTACATGGGCCATCCAAACAGCTGCTGGAGGATCAGGTTGGAGGCAGTCGCAATGGGAGTCTCCTCGATCAGCTCGTTCAGCTCGTGGATGGCCTTGCCCACGCGGGTGGCGTACTCGTCCCGGGTCTTGGGCACGAACACCATGTCACGAGCCAGGTTCCCGGTGGCCTTGTGATGCTTTCCGTGGGAGATCTTCCAGGAGAAGTAGGGCACCAGCAGAGCGGAGTGACAGATCCAGCCGACGGTGTCGTTCAGCACCTTGGACGGGGAGAAAGCCTGGTGACCGCACTCGTGGGCCAAGACCCAGACACCGGTACCGAACAGACCCTGCAGGACGGTGTACAGACCCCACAGCACGACTCTGGCGGGCTTGAAGGGGACGGTCTCGGGGGTCACATAGTTGTGAAAGACGAAGAAGATGGTGGCGAGACAGAACAGGTCCCGGAACACATAGTACAAGCTGGTGAGGGCCTTGCGCTCGTAACAGTGAGCGGGGATGGCGTCACGGATCTGCTTGATGGTGTAATCGGGGATCTTGAACTCGTTGCCATAGGTGTCCAGCATCTTGCCATTGGCCTCGGCTTCCGATGCCAGCGAAGACAGCGAAGTGGAAGAGGGCGACTGGCGCGGGCTGTCCAGAGGCGAGGGGGCAATGGAGCTGGGGACGGAGGAGTCCGTGGCCGGGTTGCGGTGCAGCGCAACGCGCTTGGGGATGGCAGTGGACGACATGATGAAGCTTGAGAGGGTGACTGGAGGGCTAGAGGGAAGCTTCGTTAGCCAATGCAGCTGGAATTATCCCGCGGGGGGGGGGGGGGGGAGCGACGATATCAGATCATGTCGAGCCAGACGGGGGAGGAGTGTGTGAAAGACCGGTCAACAAAGACACTGAGGTGCAACATACCGATGGACAATGAGGGGACCGGAAGGGTTCACCAGCTCAGGGTATGGATAACAACAGAGTGAAAGGAAGGAGCTCCCACGCTGGCGAGGGCGGCAAGGACGGAGGGGGAGGAGAGGGAGGGAGGAGGCAGGGTGACAATCGGAGGAATATAAATGGTCACCTCCAAGACGCCTTGACCGGGAGGAAGAGGAAGAAGGGAAGCGGGCGAGAGAAAAAGGACAAGAAGAAGGGAGGAGGGAGGCAAAAAAGACTGAAAGAAAAATAAGGGCGATTGCTTGAGGATCACCTGTTCAGTATCCAGCAGAACCCGGGGGAGAACCGGAAAAAAAAAAAAACACAAAAAAAAAGGATTTGCAAAAAAAAAAAAAGAGAGAGAGAGGGACAGACAACGGACAGAGAGAGAGGTAAGGGGCCCCTCGCGGTGATTGATTGGGGACAACTGAAATTCCAGCACAGTTCGAAGAAGAAGCCCAGAATCCCACGGATCCAGACATTCGTCCCGCCGCCCCTGGCTGGCGTATTTTTGCGTTACGGGGGATCTCCCGTGGGAATTTCGCAGGCGGGTGGGCCGTCTGCCGTTGGCCAGGAGTGTTCAGTACCGACGGAACCGCGTCCCGACTCACGAGAATAATACGGACTGCCTTACACAACACTCTGGTCAGGGTAAGCGCTGGCTGATGTCGATGTGCTGATGCTGATGCTGATGTCGGCCTGTTTGTCATTCGCCTCAAATGCCTTCCTGGGGTACGACACACACACACACACACCTGCAAGCTTCTGGTGGCTGATCGGCGCATCTGGCAGTAGTAAGTAGCAGCAAGTTAACCTTCGTCGGGGTGGATGCGCTGTGCTCCGTACCGAGGTCGACTCTGCCCGCCTATGGCCTACGGTCTACCCGAGCTGCAACCTGCATGATCCAGCTGAGCTGCTATCTATCCATCCCCAACTGCTACGAACGCGGGTTCCTCTTGGTTCGGCCCATCCGTGGCGTGGCTGGGTCGGGTCGATCGACTCAGCACTCCAGCGACACGCCACTGCAGCAGCAGGAGGAGGAGGCGAATGACTGCCTCGCATTCTTGGGGATGGGGGGAGTGTGGTCGCTGACTACGACGCCTGAGGGGTTAATAATCCTGGCTGCCCCTTTTGCAATCTGCATGGCTCACCGCAAACCAGACGATCATGAGATGTACAAGATAACAATAATAATAACAATAACAATAATAACTATAATATCCATTCACGTTTAGAAGTGTCCAGCAGATTATTAGCCCTGACTACTACTTAGGTAAACTAACTACATACCTACCTTAGTAGCTGACCATGTGGCCATGGCATGGGGATGAGGATTGCAAATTACAGCGATACGGCGTGACACCCATGGGCGTAAGGTTACCAGGGACCAAGACCCGGGGGAGGCTCACCTCACCGCCCGTTGCAGCCAATGGGAGGGGGGCCCTGACCCCACGACCTTCTCAACCATCTTGGCGTTTCCTCTCAATCGGATTCTTTCTACGGAGGACCGCCCGCGCTTCAGCCACCGAGGTGTCATATGCTTGCTATAACTATCGCCTGGATACAATTCGGAGACAAGACAGACAGACAGACAGACGAAAAAGTGGTTCATCGAGTCCGTCCAACAGTCCCGTGTTTCGCCTCCCCTTTTTTTCTGAATCTTGGAATCCTGAGTAATGACCCGGAGATGATTCGGGCATCTTATCCTTATCAGAATGGGGAGGATCTCGGCTATCCCAGTAGTATCTAGGCGATCCATGATCCATGATCCATGATCCAGTACATGTGATACTCTCACCATCACCCGCATCAGGACATTCCGTTCGGAGTACCCATTTCCATACATAGAGATAGATACCTGAGGTACGGAGTACATAAAAGTGGTACCCAGATAAGTACATTCACATGCTCCCCAATCCCCAATCCCCAGTCCCCAATCCCCAATCCCCAACAGATCTCTAGGTACATCTGAGTCGTGTGGTCATCAGTAGCATACTTACTTACTTACTGACTGACTGACTGACTGATGAGCTGAGATGAGATGATGACCACTCACCCCGCGACACGCAACCATGTGATGTGTGATCTGGAGTATAACACCACCTCGGTGGAGATGAGCCGAATCCGATAACTACACCTACTTACACTTATAGTATGTCTGTCTGTCTGTCTGTGTTGAACTTGCCGCCGAACATCAAGGCGCGCGCGCGCGCGGGCGGGGGGGCGGGTGGGAAAGGGTAAAAAAACATAACACTAAACAAAAAAAAAAAAGTTAAACTTGCCACAACATTCCCGGTGCCGTATTGCAAATACACAAAGTCCCCCACATATCTTTAATACGGGCTGAAGATAAGGTAAACAAACACAAACCAGAAGGAATGCATGTGAATGAATCATTGATCTCCATAACATAGTTACCTCCGTACCGGTAAACTTCTTCTCCCCAACTATCTTATCCACACCACACCACAGTAACTCAGCACTGAGTATAACTACTTATATCAATCAACACCACACTCATCACCACTTATGATATCAACAAATCTATAACTATCATACTATTATTATTAATGACCTCGGATCCAATTGAAGAGTAGTTTGTATAGTACATAGTGACCATCACTCCCCAATTATCATATTACCTACCCAAGTGAAGAAAAAAAAAAAAAAAGAAAAAAAAAGGCAGTCCAGTCAGCCTCTGCATCTGTTGGGACACCATTGATTTTGTTGAGATTGGGTCCCGGTGGGGCCAGGCCGATCGGGCCAGGGATGGGGAAAGCAAAAAAGGGAGGGGTGACAGTACTGGACTAGTCTAGTCTGGTCTAGTTTAGACCCGCGAACCATGAATAATGAAGGAATGGAACAATCGCAGAAGGCTTTTCTGGTGTTCTTTCCGCGCCGCTTGTATTATACCAGTGTATTATATCTTTGTACTAGGTATTGTGTACTCCGTATTTATTACATAGGGGGGTTTGCAATTTATCTATCCACCACTAGCTACTTAGTATGCTCGTGCTTTTTGGTGGGTATGATATAGATAGATGACTATCTATTCTCTCCTTTATATCTACCTGATTTGATTTGTCTGTCTGGTGGAGAGCATCCTCCGGGCTATGATGGATGGAGTTAGATGGCTTTTTCCAGTAGGGGTCTGACAGATGTCATTCGTTCAATGGCATGGCATGGCATGGCTTGGAGATATGTTATGATATACCAAGGAGGTAAGGTGGTCTAAGGTATACAGGGGTACTGGACAGATCGATCTATCTATCTATGCAGGTAGGATAGGAAACCGAACACAAAAAGAGAAAAGGAGAGTCTATGCGTTGCCCTCAATGTGCAGCCGCTCGGAATCGATCAACCAGGCCCCGCCGTGATTCCCCCCCGACAGCGACAGACTCACCGTCGTCGTGCGCAGATCCGGCAGCACCAGCACCGTCTCCCCGTGGTTGCGGTAGTCGACCTCGCACGGGATGGCGCGCCGTTGCAGCGGTGCCGTCGCCGCTGCGGCTGCCACGTTGGGACTCGTGACTTGCTCCCCGGCTGTCGTGGATGAGGACTGCTGTTGCTGCTGCTGCTGCGGCTGCTGCTGTGGGGCCGAGGGTGGTACAAACGTCCTAATCTCCAACCCGGGGAGCAGGAGATGTCCGGCTTTCTGCGGAAGGAGCATGATGGCAAAGGTCTTGGTCTCGCCCTCGTCGGCGCTGAAGTTCCCGCGGCGTCGCCCCCCGACGAGCCACGACTCCGGGTTGGCGTGGATCTCATACGAGAACTCGAGCGCCCCCCCCGCGTTCTCGCGATGCTCGGGGGAGCACCACCGTCGCGTATGACGTATGCTAAGTTCGACCGCGACCATCTGGCCGACCGCCGCGTGCGGGGGGTGGTCCGTCAGGTTGGTGAGGCGCAGTTCCGCGGTGTGCACGACTTGCATCTCGGGGATGTCGACGGGGATGACGATGTGTCGGCTGGGGACGCTGGGCGACTCGGGGAGATAGATGATCGGGTGGTTCTGCGTGCGTCAGTTCGTATCTTCCCTTCCGTCTTCCCGCGGAGGAAAGAAAGTGTCTCTGTATGTGCTGCGGCTTACCTTGTGCCATTCCTTCAGCCAGGCCCTCAGCCCGTTGATCGGCTCTTTCAGCGCACTCAGCAACGCTTCCCATCGCACGTTCGCATACGACTGCGTTTCCACCTCCCGCACCAGACCGATGACCTCCATGTCAGACGTTGACAGCTGCGTGCGGAAAGTCTCGACAATGTGGGATGTGAGGAGCGTGGCATACTGCCGGAAGTCGCTGGCTGCGATGCTTGCGGTGAACGCCTTCTCAATGGCGTCCAGGCACTCGTCGTCCACACATGTGAAATCGACGCTCAACCGCAGGGACCGTCGGGACCCGGGGGTGGCAACACTGTCCGCCCGCTGTTGGATCTTGTAAAGTAAAGATGCCGGTTGCTTGGTAAACACATTCAGCGCCACGGACTCGCCGATGCTGGACTGCACCTCGTACACGTCCGAGCCGGGGATGTTGCACTTCAGGATCCGGAGCGGGATCAGCATGGCCGGGCTGATTGTAAACCGCGAGAAGAGCACGCGGTCCTTGAAGACATCCTGCACGTTGACACTGATCGGTAGGCCCGAGACGATGCTGTGCATGGACGAGTAGGAAAACCGCCCGCGGTCGGTTTCATATGCAACTTCGGCCCTTGCGGAGAGCATCGGGTGGTGCTCCTCGACCGTGTAAGGAATCCGGAGCCGGCCAAACGAGTTCGGTTTCAACTGCGTGACCTCGATGTTCCCCGAATCACTAGTCGCGTCGATCTTGAGGTCGCCGTCCACCACTTCGACCTCCGCTATCTTCAGTCGGAGGCCTGCCGTGGCAGGTCTTACCCGGAGAGTGCCTGTCTTGATGTCGTTCCACCCGCTGCTGAGCTCCAGCTCGAGCGTCCGCAGCTCTTCTAGGTTGACAAAGTGCGGTGATACGATCTTGGCCTGGAGGCTGTCCGGCGGCGGGAAGCAATAGATGTACGGTCGAGTATCCTCTTCCTCCGCCTCGATCACTTCCCTAAACCCTACGGGCAAGGATGCATTCTTGCCTCCATGGGTGAAAACGATGTTTTTCGAGCGGATCTCGATGCGGTCCACGAAGTATTTCCCTTGTAGCGTGATCTAGAAGAGTCAGCATGTCTCAGGTACGACGAAAGAGATGCTCTTACCGAGGAATCGACCAGCACCCGCGTCGACGACGACTTGATCGTCATGTCCATCGGTGCCTCTATCCAATGCTCATTGCTCTGAGGACTACGCGCGCTGACCAATCGTAGCTTGATCGAGCTGATGTCGATCCGCTTTCCCAGAAGAAACCGCAGGTAGAGCTTCAACTGGAACCCATCTTTGTCCGCATAGTGCAGAATGGCAGGCTTGACGTCCACGTCCGCAAAGAAATCCGTCATGGGCGCGGAAACCTCCTTCTGAAGCGCACCCGAGGCCTTGAACAGCTCCTCAACGTACTCGGAGACCAACGCATTCTCCGTGAAGATATGCGATGCATCGAGCGTCTTTTCTCGCCTCGACAGAGTAGACTGCGAGTACACCGCGAATTTGGCGAGCAGGCGAAGAATCACCCGAACATACTCCTCGCCGCGGTTCAACTCCTTCAGACACCGTGCGTACATCTCCAGCATGATGCCCTCCAGAACGACCCAATTCTTGTTGCCGTAGAACGGGGCCACATGATGGAAGTAGGAAGCAGCCGCCCCGTAGTCACTTTGTCGGTAGCGGATAATGGCCATGTCGGCAAGGGCTGACTGCGCCGAATACGTGCGATTCGCCGCGATATGATGACGATACATCTGGTCTGTCAGCTCTTCGTACTGCATCCGGAAGGCTTTCCTCGAGTAGAGGGCAAGCTTCAAGCCGTCCAATGTGATGCCAGAAAGGGCAAAGGCTCCCTGATCGTCCTTCGGCGGCGGTTGAGGCTCATCGTCATCGAGAGACACCTCGGCCATATCACCGTCGCCAGATTTCTGATCGTTGAACAGGAGACGCAGATCATTCCAGCTCTCCTTCCAACCGCATCTCGAGGAGATCTCTTCGAGAAGCCGTCGAGACATCAAAAACAACTCTCCTCTCCCCGACGCCAGTTGCTCGGAGCCGGTTTTGGGTGTGAGTTTTGGTCCCTCGAAGCCTGGTCGAGCGTGAATGGATGAAAGGGCCTCTGGAGGTAGCATTTCCGGGTTGGTCGCACGGGGCGGGCGCGATGCGGGAGTCGAAGTCATGAGTGAGCTGGAGCGTTTGGGGAGCTCTGTCTTGGCCTCTGCATGGGTAGCGGCATCCGCCGCCTTGTTCATGGCGTGTAACGTAGACTCCGGGAGCGTAAGAGCAGGTGTGAATGTCTGAGACAGCACCTGGGAAGCGGCAGCATAAGCCCACGACGATACGAGATTGTTGACCACGGTCGACTTCGCGACATGGTCCTCATCTGCCAGTCCAGTCTCGAGATCGATCCTGAGCGTCCGGGCCCCCAGGCCGATGAACTCAGTGGCCCTCTGGCAGGCCTCAGAAAGGAGCATCAAGTTCTCGACCCTTTTGCCCTTCTTCGGCGACTTCGGTTCCGCATCGGCCTCCGTACTGAGCAGAGAGGGGGCCTTTGCCGCCCGGAGAAGTAGTGTCAATTGTCTAGAGAAGACGTATGTGCGGAAATCAAAGATGGAAATGTCACTGGCCAAGATCATCTCCCGATAGGTCTTCTTGGTTGATGTGATGGGGAAGTCCTCCACCCCAATATCCGGGATTGGATATGACTCTTCCTCATCCCCATCCTTGTCCTTGTTCGCTGCCTCCCCTTCTGACTCCAGCGCCGCTTTCGCTTTATCTTTCCAATCTTTACTGTACGTGAGAAAGGCGCTCCCGTGCTGGTCTCCCGTCCCCTCCATCTGTTCCTGTATGGCAGTGTCCAAGCCGGCAGCGAGTTCGTCGTACCCCAGCAGGGCGTCGTCGAACAACCCCACATTCTCAAAGCCTCTCGCCAGCCCCTCCTTCAGTATAAAAAACGTGCAGAAGTTCCATCCGGGCAGACTACGCTGCGAATCCTTCTCCTTGATGTCCTCCTCATACTGCGCCACGCGGAGATCGAACGACGCCAGGATGGCATTCTTCAATTTCTCGACAAAATCCTCGACCTGATCGGCCAATTCGGGCGACTTCGCGAAGCTGCCCTGCTTGGGGAGACGGATCTGGGCCACCCGATCGATGGTGGACTTGGAGGCGCCGTTGAAATCGGCCTTGACCTTTTCCAGGACAGTAGTGGTGGTGCGACCCCATTTGCTCGCCGGAGCAGCTGCCTTGTCTGTGCCGTCTCCGTCCTGCACCACATGGAGGATGAGCCAGTCGAAGGCGTCGTGTTTCTCTTGGCTGGTGGTCGCGGCGGCGGCGGCGGAGGATGACGACACGGTGGCATGAGACTTGATCCAGTCCCGCAGCGCCTTGCGGGCCGTAGCCTTGTAGGTGTCATTGTCGTCGCATCGGAGGAGGAAGATCTTCAGGTAGGGGGTCTGCCGGAGACCCGGGATCTGGTGTCGGCGATGGGTCACGGGGCCTCTCGCGGTGTCGGTGGAGGACTTGCGCTCGTCGGAGCCATGCTGGGCAGGCACGAAGCCGATCCGGAGCGACTCGATGGATCGCACGGGGCGGGTGGGCGACTTCCAGTGGAGGTTCTTCAGGGGGAGCTTATCTGCCAGCACGGGCTGGACGAGCGGAAACAGGCCGGAGGGATCGGTGTACTCGACTGGAGGGATTCAGGGAATACGTGAGCCACAAGTTCGTTTGCAGGATGGATGCGGTCTCGGGGGACGAGGGGGTGGGTTCGTTCCTTACCGGTGACGCTGCTCGAGCCCGCCTGCGGTGATGGGTCCATCTTGCCCGGGCACTATTTGGGGGGTGAGGGGCCACTCGCCAGAAGCATGCCGCCTGACGGACGGGAGATAGAAGCAATCTCCTCGCTAGAGACACGGCGGGAGGAGGAATGGGGCGACAATGAGAGGGAATGCGTGAGGAAGTATAGCAGCATCGCGGTGTTGCGGGCGGGTGTTTGGGGCGGAAAGCCAACGGAGGGCCCCACCGCCTTTCTCTCGTTGAAAGGGAAATTGCCAGGAAATAATAGTATATAATCTCTACAACCATGGAATTAAATCGATCAATGTGATGGAATGGTAGTTACACTCTGCACGGGCAGCCCGGTCTTCATTATATCAGAGAGAGAGAGAGAGAGAGAGAGGAAATGACAAGAACAATCACGTAGGAAAATATACATAATTCTGTACAGTCGATACAGGTAAGTAGCAACAACCAACAACAGGAACAACAACAGGCTCTTTCCAGAAACAACACAAGAGAGGAAGAAAGAGGTCACGCAAAGCAGTCATATCCCGTCATTATGAAACGATAGCTCTTGAACAAAAGAAAGACATGCCCATTGTATTACCGGCCCCAGTGGACAGAACGCCCCAGCTTAAATGAACGAAGACATAAAAGTCAGTAAAATAGGAAAAAATAAAAAGTGAACTGCGAACCACCCAGATCAATCAATCAATCAATGGCCGACTTCTAACGCGCCCTGCGCATATCGGTTTTTGACAAATTCATATCCGCTGGACAGCCCCTCCCAGATCCCCGGGGCCGAGTTGCGAGCCCAGGCGCATATCACCAGTAGCAGAAGCGGTATCTAATCCATGTCAGCCAATGATGCTTTCCAATGACAGTCATCTGTCGACTTACCCAAACCATGTACAGCTTCCGGTCACTGCTCAGACCCTTCATCCGCTGGGCTTGCTGCTCCCGGAGATGCTTTTGCTCCTCGCGACTTATGACCTTGCGGCCAATCCGGATGTCCTTGAGTTCTTCGTTCTGCGGCTTGACACGAGCGACCTCGGTGGCGCTGCTGGCCCGGGGGGCTTCGGAGGCGCTGGCCTGGGCTTCAAAATGTTGATCCAGAGCCGCATCCGTTGCCGCTTGCAGCATGCTCGACTTCTTCAATTGCTCCTCCTCCTCGTCGTTTCCTTTGTTCGGATAGAGCTCCTCATAGGACGGGAGCTCCGGACCGGAGGGGGTGGAGGAAGGAGGCGGAGCGGAGGGAGAACTGCCAGTCAGCATATCCCACCAGCCGTCTTTGGCCGACCGCGCAGTGCTTGGTCGGTGCGGAACGAGATTCGTAATGCGACGCATCATCGGATGGGCCTGGTAGTCAGGCAAGGCTGGCATAGGTGGTAGCGCGGGGAGATTGGGGAAGGCATTGGACACGCTTTGCTGGAACTGGTTGATCTGGGCTTGCAGTTGGTTGCGCCATGCAACCAGGGCGGCGGGGGGTGAAAACGGTCGAGCATCATCGGCTTCTGTGGTCTGATCAGGGGGGGTAGATATTAAAGCTCGATCGTGATGTATACTCGAGCGTCGTGATGCGTTATAGTCGATCTCATCGTCATCATCCTCCGAATCATCGGAATCGTCAACGGCATGATCAAAGGAGCCTGATGCAGAGGAAGTTTCCCATAGCGAGTGCAAGGATGCAGAGCTACTGTGCCTGCGGCGCGAAGATGACAATGATCCAACGCTGCGTGAGCGGTAATGGCGTGCGGGTATAAGAGCAGCCTGGTGGGCAGGCAGCGTCGTAGCAAGGTCTGCTGGGGTGAAGCCTCTAATGCTGCGGGCATAAGGGTTGGCTCCTGTGAGACGGAGTCTGTGGACGATATGCGCGTGACCGTTCAGAGCCGCCAGGTGCATCGGTGTATTCCCGCTGTTATCCTGCACATCGGGATTGGCACCTCGCGCAAGGAGACCAGCCACGAACCGCGTTAGGCCCAAGGAAGACGCAAAGTGAAGTAGAGACTGGCCTGTGGCAGAGCGTGAGTTGTACTTGGGCGGACGTGGGCTGTCATCAAGGTCGACAAATTCAAGATAGGTCAACATTCTCGAATCAAGATCGCCCAGTTTGCCTTGAGACTCCAGGCCAGGCACCTGGCGCTGATGACCCCCAGATCCTCCTTGGAAGTCATTTTGGAGGTTGAATACCCCCTTCATGTCACTGCCCATGATCTGCTGGGCTGTTTGGAAGGCATCTGCCTGACTGCCAAGTTTCTGACCAAGAATCCCGAGCGCAAGACGGTACATTTGCAGCTCTCGATCATCAACGTAACGGAAATACTGCTGTTGCTTGGGCATCAGGGTTTGAGGCGTCTGTAACTGGCCAAAGGTGGGGTGCTCATGCTTGAAAACCACCGCCACCAGCCCAGGCTGAAGTGCAGGAGGCGTCAAGCAGTTCAGACATTTGTCACCCCAGAACGTGGTAGTAGTCGCGAGAGTGTCACCAAAGACAACTTCCATGCCGGGGTAGAAGCCGCTTCCCAACAGCGTGACCTCAGTGCCTCCCGTAACGGAACCCTCTGCGGGGACCAATTTATGGATGACCGATGGCAGCCGGTTGCCCGCATTTGTGAGTGGCGGCCACAGGGACGTGGACGGGCTGGGTCCCAAGGAAATGTTGAAATTCTGGTCCTGGAAGTTGTTGCGCGAGGAAGGGCCGGGAGTCCCAGGGCGGCTGGGCTGAGCCGAATTTGGCGCGGACATCAACTGCTGCTGGATAAAGCTGTCCAAAGTCTGCTGCTGCAAAGCAGTGTTGAGAAACGGGTTGGTGTCACCGCCGTTCGGGGTGGGAGGACCATTAGGAAATTGATTGGACATCGCAGCTGATGTCACAAACGGCCGCTCCACTGGGGATGTGAACCCGCGAGGCCCAGAGAACTGTGGCTCGTTCGGGGCTGAAGAGCTGGAGGCGCTGGCAGACGCCTGCGTACTCTCCAGCTTGGTCATAGTAAGCTCTGTCGGCAGTCGTCCCGAATTGCTGTGCTTGCGACGCTTGTTCACCGGCCCTTGGAAGTCGTTCGGCGACGTTTGTCTCGACAGGCTGCGTGGTGTCGGCGCATTAGAGGGCGTAGTGCCGTTTGTTGAGGATTGAGAGACTGCAAAGGATCCGGGTGTCATTTGGTACTGTGTGTTGAATCGTTGCTGAAGTCCTTGCAAATCTGTAGCCGAAGGCTGAGTTGTTTGTTGAGAGGGGGTTGATCCTTTGCCCGTTTCAACACTGGGGCTTGACGGGAACACACCAACGCCTGGCAATTGTGTCCCATCAGGCAAGGAGGGGGAGGGACCAGGAGCTGGAGGGGCGGGGGGAGCATGGGTTTTGTGGTCATCCGTGATCATGATCGAGTTCGTTATAGCTTGCGCGATGACGTTGTCCTTATAATCCTTGACAGTAAAGATGACCCTAGGGGTAAGATACCCGTGTCAGCAACAGCGGCACTGAATTGGAAAGGGGTAGGAGGTACATACTGGAACCCAAGCTTCTCGTTTTGATGCCTGCAGTAACATGCGATCCGCATCGGCAGTTCAACCTGCATGGCTCCCGGAGGGATATTCGGCATCGGGGCGTCTCCATAACCTGGCATAGCATTCTTGGACGGCTCGGTCCAATCCTTGATCTCGCTGGTGTTGAAGACAATCACCCTCTTCTCCTCATCCTTCTGGAAAAGTTCGTCCTCCTCTGGCTTTCTTTGCTTCTTCCGGAATGCCCGCTTCCGTTCACGCTGTATACACCCAGGACAGATTTTCACTTCGCCCCCATCCAACGGTTTGTCTTCTTCCTGCATATCATCGGCAGGGCGGGGGCTAGAGCTGGATGAACCGTGGGGGTTTTCACCTCTGGCTCTCGCAAACGCCTTCCGCACCTTATCCTGATCTTGCATTGCACTTGTGCAAACCAGACTGGTGTGTAGCTCGACAATTTCCGGCGATCGTTCAGCGGCAGGCGGGGCAAGGAACTTCGGTTTCGAAATGGTGTGGCTTGGTAAGCGTACCTTCTTGACACCGTTCGGCAATGGGAAGAGGGTCAATCGGATAGGAATCTGGGTTTCCACGCGGGACTTGAGCGAGGTGGGGTGCACGGTCAGGAGGTGCCGCTGTATCGTTTCCTGCTTGATGTTGCCGGGTGAGGGGGACGGCGCAAAGTTTACTCCAAAGGGAAAGCTGCTTGGCCCAAAGTTCAAGCCAGAACTCATCGGAGAGCCGCCGTTCATGCTGATACCCCCAAAGCTTTCTTCCAGGAAGGACGAAGGCGAATGGTTTCCCCACGGACCCAGTGGCGATTTCCCTCGACTGAAACTTCTTGAGGACGAGAAGGGCGAAGGCTCCTTGGTGCTGCGAGAAAGGAACGAAGAGGCAGTCATCTGTATATCAGGGTCAGCAGAGCGCAAGCGCGATAGCAAATCAGAGAGGCGGGCTCACCGGCGAAGCTGGGTTTCGAGACGAGGCTCCGGACACACTGCGATATTGGGACTTGGATCTTTTCGGGAACTTTGGCTGTGGCGGCGGCTCAGTTTTCAGAGGACTAGGGCTGCTAGCGGCACTCTCAAAATCGAACGCCGCGTCCATAGCCTTGTTGCTCGATTCAAGGTCGGTGTCTGTAGGGAAGCCTCCATCAAGATTTGGCATGGACAGATCCAGTCCAAACAGCGATTCCTCCTTCAACGATGAAAGGTCCGGGTTCATCCAATCATCTGTCGAGTATCCGAACGGCATCACGGTGTTTTCGCTGTGGACCGCCGATGCGGACGACGTTACCGATGGGTTTCGGACATGATTCCGCGGCGACGTGGAGGAAGAACTGGGCGACGACCCATCGGGGGATTCGGCGGGCGAATCGGAGGATACCATATTGACTTGTCGCAACGTATCCTGCTCCTGGTACGACCGCTTGAGCGACAGTTCTGACGGCGATAGACATGACGGCTCCGACTCGGTGGCTGGGTGCGATGGAGGAGCGCGAGAGAACAGGATGTCGTCGAAATCCCTTCCTGCGTTCTCGGCAGACACCTGCATTCTCGCAGTATCCAGGAAATCCATATCTGTATCGTGGTAAGGATTCCCCATCTCGTCGTCAACGACAATCGGATCCAAAAAAGGGAACGCAGGCGAAGAAGCGGCCTCTGCCGATCCCATCATTTGATCCTCACAGCAGTATGTAGCAGACCAAAGGGAGAAGCCTGAAACACTCCCTACCGACGACCCTCACAACCTGCTCCCAATTCGAGCCCGAAAACCGCGGCCCGGGATGTTGTGAATTGGACCAAGGACCGGGGAGAGGAGGGAATGACTGCGATCGTTGTGGGCGGGCGCACTCGGTCTTGCCTCCGTTAATAGCAGCGGTCGTCCATCAAAGTCGGCGTCGGCAGCGGGGGTAGTAGTGATGTGGCGAGCGGGCGGATTGAGGGGGGTGAGAGGTGATGTGATGGTCTGGGGAAGACAGCGTAGTTGAGTAAGGGCGGCAGGCGTAGGGGGGGCGGAGGCGGAGGAGGCGCGGCAGGGTTGGGAAAAGGGAGGAAAATCCAGCCCGGGTGTCGGAGTTGGACGAGTGCAGCAGAAGAAGGTTCGAGAGGGCGGACGGGTTCGCCAGCGACTCGACTCGAACGGGGGCTCGATTTGGAGAATGCGGAATGCGGGTATGGTAGGTGAGAGGAAGGGGGATGGTTTGATCAGCACAAGAGACAGATAACCTCAAGGATGTGGTGGTTAGCTGCTGACAGGGTGCGTGAGGGAGTTGAGGTGAGTGAGTGACTGAGTGACGGACATCCGGTACAGCGAGACTTGACTCTTTTGGTCGCTTTCGCGGTGAGGCGGCCCACGACAAGCCGCTAAACCCGATGGGGCAGCCAGTCGGCCAGGAACGGAGTAACTAGGCCGCCGGGTTTCTATTGGCCGGGGGGGGATCCTGGAGGCTCCCCGCCTCGTTGCTAAGGCACCTACGCGCACTAGTTGGTACTAGCGGCAGTGCAACCTGGGCTCCGGAACTCCAGAGTCACCACAGTTACTATGTGCCTTACGAGTAGATACGGAATACGGAATACGCTCGGTCGGTCGCATGCGCCCTGGACCGGATTCCTCCAGGGCCGGAGAATGCGCCTCCGATCACCGTCATGGAAGGACGAGAGGTACCAGTCCTAATCCCGGTGCCGCATCGGGATGGAATTATGAGTTATGACACATCCTTTGGGTTGTCCCCTCAGCCAACCCAAACTCTCGCAAAGCCTATTCTCGCCCGTGCCAGTTATCTGGCCCTCCCCGAGAGGCAAAAACCCGCGAAAGCAGTTCAGAACAAGCGAGCTGTGGGCCTGGCAGGGGCGCTTTGTTCGTGTTCTATACACCGCTCTCAATTGGCTGCGCTGCCGTGTTTGCCCATACCAGCACTAAGTATCGCCTAGGGTCTATCCTCTCTGCGGAGTCCTATTATTACCTCATTTCCGAGTCGGCCAAGAGGAACAGCGCAGGGGACCAAACGGGTTGAAGATGTGGCGGGGGAGGGGGGGGGATCCAACGGGGAGAGGAAGAGACAAAGAACGTCCGTTTCGGCCATCCCGATTCCCGCGGAGTCTAGCCTCCCACGGATCCCCCCGGCGACATTCATATTGCGGGGAGACCACCCTCCAGGCCCCGGAATCCGAATGATTCGTGACAGCTAGCACTCGCTAGGCTAGGTACAGGCGCCAGGGCTCTTGAATGGTGACACAGTCAGTGTAACTCTCGGATCGCTACCCCTCCCCATCCGCATCCTCATCTTAAGAGGGGATCAGTGATAAGCCTACCGTTTGACACGCATCCTGTGTACTCAATCTCGCCATGCGCCGCAGATAAGGCATGTAGGCGCCGACCAAAGTCCCAGCCTTCGAAGCAATTCACCTGGCGAATCACATACAGCATTCCATTATCGTGATGCATTAGTACTACCGTAGGGATGCCCTGGATGCATGATGTCTTCGCTGCTACGGAGTACGGCTCGCCACACGGGAGTTCCAGGGGGGCTTCGCAAGCTACTCCCTTTAGTAGGTACAGAGTAGCATAAGGTCGGGTTCTTTTAATTTACCATGAGGAAGGGGTCTATGTTGACAGGCGATGGCAGAAAGGGTTCTTTCATATTCCTGTCAGCTCTCATTGACACCAGTTTACCGATAGAGTCAGAAGAAAAAAGGCTTACGCAATGGAAGTGCAGATCCGCCGGCGAAAATTGCATCAAGAGCTGATCTTCACTAGTGAGAAGATCTATGCAGAATCGCTTGGGATCCGTTCAGAAAAAGCAAAGCCAGGCAAACGCGGAGGGGAAGCTGGGATCTGTGCAAACTTTTGCTCTCTCAATATATTTTGGGCGCACTAAAGTCGACATACAGTGGACACCCGTTCAGCTCTGGTATAAAATGGCGCACGTACCCAGCGCAATAGGGCATCAAGGTCAATTCCGTGTGACATGACGGTTTGAAGCGTTTTATCCTATTTAATGACGTAAAGGTGGGGTCTAATTCTTTGCTGAATGCTGAGCTCGTCAGCACTGAAGTCTTGGTCAAGTGCGGTACTCCGTATATACAATTTATCAATAGTAAGGCAACAAGCGCCCTCGGGGATGGAACGACAGAATATGTTCAATCCCCCGCCAGAACAGCCTGCATACCTAGCAGGGAAGATTGTAATTCCATACCAGCTGTTCGAGTATTGGCCATTGTACAGAGCAAACAACGGTCGCTATTCACTGCCAACCAGCTTCCTAGGTATGCTATAAGAAAGGTAGCATCATGTTTTTCTATTCCCAGTTTACCTATACTCAACCATTGGCCCTAATAACCAGTCAGAATTTCATTCAACTCACCTGACTTGATGGGGCGTGTCCTAGGGGTCACACAGGGACACAAGGCGTCATGAACTGCAGGTGCGTATTGAGCAGATAGGGCTGCCTTCCGAGATTCAACGTAGCACAGGAAAAGCCAACACCTGATAAATTTCCTTCCGACGCCCGGATTTCTTGTAGAGTGATTTGGGCCCGATTCTTATCTGGCTGTTGTATGTCATGGAGGTGTGATATGGATAGGATCACAGACAGTGATGGCTGCATCTCTCCCAGCCTAATTTGTCTTTGGTATGACATGCAATCTTTTCATGACAATTGCTGACTATCAATATCCAGAAATGTTCGCTGACCGGTTGGTTCTTTGGTGACAGAAGAGACCAAAGCAATATTCAGGTGCGGTGGCTGATAGAAAGGAGGAGCACACACAGTAGCCATGGGATATATTGAAGGATCGCGGCTAGACGAGATCTCCCTGCATCGTTGCCTCAAATCAAATGAAGGGTTTATCCCCTGGGCGGCAAGTTCCATCCCATAGAACCGTTCCACGGTACTCCATATCTATCTATCTACTGGGTTAAACAAGCATGCTGATGCCGTTGAATAAAAGCTTGGTTGGTCGGCCGCCACGTACGGACAGCTGAGGACCCCGCCAATGGGTGTTTCAAATTGAAGACTGGATGGTGCAGCGCCTTGGATAACAGTCCCACCTCCTGGTATCATTGAGCGTCCAGACCACAAGGCTGGCCCTGACCCGCAGATAGATGGTGTTGCGCCTCCGGAGTCCGGACGAGACCGGGCGCTTCGCAGAGCAACGGCGGTCCCTGCATTGAGGTCATGGACCCTGAGGCCCTGTCGGTGAGCCTTGAGAACGTCCGAAATTGCAATTCACCTCCTCTGGACCGAGAGATATTTTTGGCGCCAGCGCTTATGTTATATGAAGGCATCCACGGCGCCATTAGCCTCCACGGAGGCACCGCCTGCGCTGGCCTGGAGCGAATCAGACGGATGCAATGGTGATTATGGTGATATTATCGTCCTTGCCAAGACCGACGACGATGGCCCCTCCTTGTAATTTCATCGGGAGTCTCAATCTAATTGTCGGATGGACCACGTCCCCAATTATTATGGGACGGCGTCACGGCATGGCACCATTAGAGGGGTTAGGCGGCTTGGCCGGTAGAGCGGCCCCGCTATGTTGATTCGTGCCGGCAGAGAGCCCAGAGGAGGGTGAAAACCATGAGTTTATGAAAGAGCGATTAGGTAAGCTCGCGGGCACGTGGTTGACTGCTATCTCGTCTAGATCCGGAACTCCGTACCTTCAACTCCCATCTCTTCAGTCCTCATCCAGCCAACCTCAAAGGTATTGTAAGTACACACACAGCACATTGCGTCTTCCCGCCCGTTAATCCCGTCTCCTCCGCCCGACTGACTCGGGAACCCATCTCACAGACTCGAGGGAACAGAATACTCCCGGGCGCCCCTCCAGCCGTTGCAAATGGCACGTCTTGGCAGGGCGGAGTTGGAGCCGGCGTAGCTGCTGGTTGAAACTCGCAGTGTCACAGACTGCCGCCCGAAGCCTGAAGACCTCCACGGCCTCCGATCCACTCTGCTGGCATGGCCGGTAGCTAAATCGCTGGGCCCTTCGGGCGCTTCTCCGCCTCGCCCAAAACGGGAGGCGCTAACGCTCAGTTAGTCCCATGCTCCTGGAAAGAGTGGGAAAGGCTGTCTCGACCTTCAACTATGGAACTGGCCGGCGCGTTTGTGGTCTGTGGCCCGGTGCTTGTCTTTCATCAATCCCAGACTCTTTCCCCCTGCGGCGACCCTATCTCAATCACCTTCTGCGTCTCAGCCCTCCCCCCGCTGGCCCTTGGAGTGGGTGGGAACCTGACAGCTGCCAAGCCATCCAACTGCAGTGTGGCTATCAGTAGTGAACCTTTCATTTGGCTTGGTTCGAAACTGCTGGGTCTGAGCTTTGGCAGAGACTGAATGGGATGGACCGTGAGGATGGTGGGCAATATAAAAGGGTGCCAGACCACCTTCCAGAACCGTTTTCTCTCTTCCTCTCACCAGCTTCGCATTCCTTTCTCTTTCGAGGTCTCAGAACCATCCATTCTCTTGTTTTCCTTTCCTGGCTTCATTGATTGAAGACCATTCTTTTCGTCACTCTTTCTTTCCAACCGGTCCCTTACCTTCCAACCATCACGCTGTGCGTTGATAAGCTCAAAAGCCTTCCAAGATGTCTGTCGCTAAGATTGCTGGTATCGTCCTCGGCTCGGCCGCTCTGGTCGCTGGCCACGGCTACGTGTCGGGTGCTGTGATTGACGGCGAGTACTACGGAGGTTACATTGTCACCGAGTACCCCTATGAGAGCGACCCCCCGAGCACCATTGCCTGGTCCACCGACGCCACTGACCTGGGCTACGTCGACGGCACTGAATACGCCGAGGCCGATATCATCTGCCACAAGAGCGCTCAGCCCGGTGCTATCTCCGCCGATGTCAAGGCTGGCGGTACCGTTGAGCTGCAGTGGACTACCTGGCCTTCCAGCCACCACGGTCCCGTCCTGACCTACCTTGCCAACTGCAACGGTGACTGCTCCGATGTCACCAAGACCGACCTCGAGTTCTTCAAGATCGATGAGAGCGGTCTCATCAGCGACACCGACGTCCCTGGTACCTGGGCCACTGACAACCTGATCTCCAACAACAACAGCTGGACTGTGACCATCCCCTCCACCGTCGAGGCTGGTAACTATGTCCTGCGTCACGAGATCATTGCCCTGCACTCCGCCGAGGAGAAGGATGGTGCCCAGAACTACCCCCAGTGTCTCAACCTGAAGGTTACCGGCAGCGGAACCGAGACCTACACCGGCACCGCCGGTGAGTCGCTCTACAAGGACACCGACCCGGGTATCCTCGTCAACATCTACGAGACTCTGTCCTCCTACGATATCCCCGGTCCTGATATGTACAATGCCACCTCTTCCAGCAGCTCCTCCAGCGCCGCTACTACCTCCGCCGCCAGCGCCGCCGCCGCCGCCACCACTTCTTCCTCCAGCACCTCTTCCGTCGCTGAGGCCACCTCCGCTGCTGAGACCACCTACGCTGCTCAGACCACCACCCCCGCCGCCGAGGCCACCTCCGTCGCCAGCACCACCTCCGCTGCTGGTGCCGTTGTCACTGATGTTGCTACCACCGTCCAGACTTCGGTCGCCACCGCCTACCAGACCTCGACTGACGTTGTGCAGGTCACTGTCACTGGCAGCTCCCCTCAGCAGACCCACGTGCAGGTGTCTACTTCCAGCGCCGCTGCCTCCTCCCCTAGCAGCTCTGCCTCCGCCTCCACCTCCAGCAGCAGCCTTACCAGCTACTTCAGCTCTCTGAGTGCGGACCAGTTCCTCAGCGTTCTCAAGGAGACTTTCTCTTGGCTCGTCACCGAGAAGAAGCACGCCCGTGACATCACCGCATAATTGCCCAGCAAGATGTGGTAATCGGACCGAATAAACGTTCTTTCTTTTCACATCTAGCGCCCGAACTCAATCGTCGGACTGTTAGATATTCCTGTTTTGGATCAGTGATCCATTTATGTACCATTAAAATACCATTTTTGGAGCTGTATACTCTTTCTTGCCCCTTCCCGGCCTTGGGATGTTCTAAATTCCTTGTAACGGTACATAGTAATGAGAATAGAGCCCACAGATTGTTTAGTCTCCTGATAAGGATAGGATCCCACATCTGCTCTCAATAATTTCTTTTAAATCCCATGGTCAATCTATCCTCCTTTACCATCTAGTATCCAGCTATAATAAATTTGCTTTTCTATTTTGAGAAACTGGCACACGTAGAAGCTGACCTGAAAGCTTTCCTATGTCCTAACATTCAAGCGAAACCAGGTAATATATGGCAGTTTAGCCCATTCTAAGGCTTCCTAGGTGTATGTATGTTCTTTCCTGCGATACACCAAATTAACCACCTATCGACAGTACAGTGGTATGCCAGCCAAAAGTTAAAGCCGTCCATACCGCCCAAATCCGAATTTCTTTCTCGAAATCTGTATTGCTAGACACCTGAGTACCTGAGGCACTTGATTTCATCATGGCTGGCGCCTGCCTAGAATGGCAAGTCACTGGGACCAGAAATCAATACGGCGGAGCACTTCACTGAGCTGTTGATCATTGACTTCTTGTTCCCCTCCGGACAGACCACCGTCTTCCACTGTCCTCCACCGTCCTCCTTCATACCTAGTCCTCGAACCCCCACATTTCTGAGCCAGGCTGTCCAGAATATCCTGCCTCTCGCAGGCTTCCCAACCATCATGCCTCCATTGAACGACAGTTCCAATGCGTCCAGCATCGCCCCCATTGACAAATCCCAGTGCGGCTGGTTCAAAGATGTTGGGTCCAATAGCATGTACGATTTCATGCAGACTTATGGCTTACATATGCATAACATGGAAGACTACGAAGAAGCAAGAGCGATAGTGGATACCATGAGACGCCATGACCAAGAGAACTGGGAGGCAGAGCAGGACGAACAGGACCAGGAATATTACGAACACGGGGGGGAGCCATACAAGATAGATTCTGTCGAGGACTATGATGAAAGCACGGAGGCAGAGCCCGTCGAGTACTATGACTATTACCGTGAGGACCGTGACCGTGAGGTGTACCAAAACGAGCAGGATCCGGACTGCTGCGAGGACTGGCAAGCGGAGCCTGGCGAATATGACTACTACCATGACTATGACGATCACTATGATGCGAACGAGGACGAAGAGAGCCAGGACTACAGTGACGCCTGGGATTCGGAGCCGAGTGATTTCAGCGACGAATATAATAACTGGGAATGAACTGCGGTTGGTGAGTCTAGCCCATGCTTAGACCAAGTATGTGGGAGATCTGGGCTCAGAAGGGTTAGCGATTCGGAGGATTGTGTCTCAGTTATTGTCTTATCTGCATCAGAAGAATGTATCGAATCTGTTTACTTTGTATTGGAGGACAACCTGCCGGCATCGATAGGGTACGGCGGATCAGCAGCCATGGGGCAATAGTTGTCAAATGTGTCATGTTTACTACCGTTATAATCTAACACATGCTTCATTCTCAGATTTATCGGTAGGGAGACCTGTACCGCGATGCTCCGCTGTAGACAAAGAGAGTGGATTTCGCACTAGGACGACTAGCCTGTGGATGCAGCGATGATGTATGATGTTGTTCGAAGCCTCGGAAGCGGAGACGCGGCCGATTGTTGTTGCGGCAGTCAAACCCATTCGTTCATCCAGAGTATCCCTGCGACCAGCTCCTTCTTCTCCATTTACCCACCATCGGACTCACTTTCATTGCTGGTGCTGGCTGAATGGGCTCGGTCGTTTCATAATTTCATTCATTCCATCCAACCATTGCATGCTCATCCCTCCACCATGTTCAAGAAGAAGCCCACAGTACTTTACCCCTCCCCCGCACTTTCCTGGGACCCGATCGACCAAGATCGCATTGCACCCTTATAGCACTTCGCTGACGTCGGACAATTATAGATCAAGAATCTGTCCCCCCTGCGGTCCTCCGACCGCCGGAAAATCGCCGATCAGATTATAAGCGATTACAAGATCGAAATCCCCTCGAGCACGCCAGTCGAACTCAGCGGCGATGATTCGACAAACCCCAGCGCATCGAACCCCACGGCGCCGACCCTCACCTCGATTCGCAATGCCCTCCTCCCCGAGAACTGTCTGTCAGCGCGCTTCACCACAACTGCCGGCCCGCAGCTCCGCGAAGTGCAAGGAACAGTGTATGTTGGAACGCACCCTGGCCTTGACGAACGGATCCTGTGGTTCAAGGCCGACCATGGGCCTGGCGCGGACGGACGTATCTACCCCACGGTTTATACCCTTTGGAACAACCCCGATTTGGTACCACTGCTTCATACCCCGCAAATGGTGATGCAGAAGCTGCATGGGGGTGCGGACTTGATGACCCCGGGTCTGGCGAATGAACCGCCTTTCGACGAGCGTGCTGTGAAGGACGCTGTGGTTGCTGTCGCCAGTTTGGATAGACACACGGTGCCTCTGTTTGTTGGGCTATGCGAGATTGATGTCTCAGCCCTCGGAGAGGTCCAGGGTACCAAGGGCCACGCCGTGCGTGGCCTTCACTGGGAAGGTGATGAGTTATGGGCCTGGAGTTCATCTTCCAAGCCTGGTCACCCTGCTCCGGAATACCTGGAGGGCTGGGATGAGGAGGAAGAGGAGGAAGAAGATGTGGATGAGATCGAAGCAGGTGTTCAAGACCTGGCTGTGGGTGGTGAGGATTCTGCCGAGGAGCCTTCAGGCGAAGCGCCTGACGAGGAAATTCCTGAGATCGAGGAGAAGGAACCCTCGACGAAAGGTGAGGCTTGCTAATATTCATGAAAGACAGTCTCATACTGACTTTTTTTTTACAGAAATCGATGAGGCCTTCGAAAAGGCTTTCCTTTATTCCCTCTTCAAACTCAAACAAGACAACCCATCAGCTACCAACCACGGCCTATCCTATCCTGTTCAACCTTCCGCCTTGGTATCGAACATGATCACTCCATACCTCCCCATCCACACCCCAAAGCAGGCTCAGTTCTACCAGATCAAAAAGACCAGCTGGAAGAACGTCAAAAAGTTCATCAAGTACCTGGATAAGCAGCGCCTGGTCAAGTCCAAAGATCGCAACGGCCAAGAGACCATCATTATGGACGTGGACTTCAACGATCGCCGCGTGGAACAGTTCGTCCCGTACAGGCTTCCATCCAAGAACGCCATTGAAAACGCAGGGAGATCCGCGACTCCCGGAAGCAACAAGCCCGCCGCGACAGACGGCAGCGATCCTTCTGTCGGACAAACGCTCACAGTCCAGACGCTATACCGACCAACCGGAAAGCTGACCCCTACCATCTTCCCCGCCCTCTCCAGCACCCATCCCAACAACTACTACAAACCCTCCGACGTCTCCACCCACCTCGATCAGTACCTCCAGTCCCAGAACCCCCCGATCATCGACCGCCAAAACAAACGCATCATCACCCTCAACCCCTTCCTCGCCAGCGCCATCTTTGCGTCCTCCTCCGCCGACGACAGAAGCACTCTCGCCCGCGGCAAAACCACCCGCGACGGCCTGCTCCGCCGTCTCGTGGAAGACCACTCGCTCATGACAGCCCACTACGTCATCCTGAAACCCGGCCAGACCATCTCCGACGTGAAACCCAAAGCGGGCGCCGCGCCGAAGGCCAACGTGATCCTGGAGCGCCGGACAGGATCCAAGACGATCACCAAGGTGTGGAACCTGGAGGTCTTCGGCATCATTCCTACCTTGTTGGCCGAGGAGCTGCAGAAGAAATGCGCTAGTAGCACCAGCGTCGGCCAGGCTGCCGGCGCAGTCAAGGGCGTCATGGAAGTCCTTGTGCAGGGTGATCAGCGGAAGGCGCTCGAGACGGCGCTGCTCAGACGGGGCTTGAAGACGCAGTGGATTGATGTGGTCGATAAGACGAAGAAGAAGAAATGAGTCCTTGATTCTAAACATAGTCGTGGGGTATCTGATGTTCTTGTCTCACGGCCGAGTATATATGATGTGTGTGCCGTGATATAGAAGTCTATGATAGCCTGATTGGTATATACCACATCCGATCAGTTGAATCTGACCAAATCTCCATGAGAACAATACTCATGAATCCTTGAGAGACCGTCACCGGTAAAATAGTGCTACGTGATACCAGAACCACCGTAATTAAAGCCTTACGCTTCCAGACCATTAAGAAATTAAGAAACGCTACCTACGTACGACCCATCTCCCACCCAAGTCAAGTAATACGAATTCACCGAATTCGATTCGTAGAATCTAAATCTGAAATAGACCCATATCATGAAAGAGCAAAAAGAAAAAGAAAAAAAAAAATTCAGATCAGCAATATACAACGCCATTATGATACGTATGGTCTTCTTTCAAGTTTAGTCAGTGAGGTGTAATCGAGCCAGGCCATGCTTTTTTTTAAAAAATCCCATCCTATCCATTCCCTTTCCGAAGCAAAGAAGCAAACAATGAGTTGATTGATTAGACACAACTTTTTCTGAAGGAGGTTTTGAGGAGTTGGTTAGTTGGTTGGTTGGTTGGATTTGAGGATTTACTCCTTCGAGTCCACCTTCTTGGAGGGGTGGTCGCCGTTGGCGCCGGCCTCGTCGTCACGGGCGCGCTTCTGGCCGGACGTCGAGTCGTCGGTGGTGCTCTGGACGATGGGGACGCCGCTGGAGATTGTTAGGGATATGTTGATTGTGAGGGTGAGAGGGGGAGGGGGAAGCGGAGGGCTATGGGGATGGGGTTGAGTATCGTACCGAGAGTCCTTCTGGACTTCACGACGCTCCTCCTTGGGCTGCTCGCTGCGGCTGAATCCGTTCTGCTGGTCAGCAGCGCGACGCTCCCTCCAGTCGCGGTTGTCGTTACCGCCACGGTTTCCGCCACGGCCACGACCACGGCCACGGAAGTTACCACCACGGCCACCACGACCACCACGGCCACCGCCGCTGGCCTTGACGCGACCGGCCTCGATGTCCTTCACCTTCTCCTCACAGTATTCCTTCTTGCTCTTGATGAGCAGATCCTGTCCCTTCCACTGGGGCTTGGGGTCCAGAGCCAGGAAGGCCTTCTGCTTCTCCTCCGACTCGAACTCAACGAACACGCTGCCCTTGAAGATCTTGTCATAGGTGCGACGAAGACGGATGGCGTTGACGGGTCCGTGGGGGGCGAAGAACGCCTCGATGTCGAGCTGGGTGGTGGGCTCCTCCTCGCCGAATCCCTTGGCGTAGACGCTACGGCTCATAGCCTGGTCCTCGAAGACCTTGACGACGCTGTGGTCGTGGGTCTCGGTGACGCTCTCGGGGAGGGGGGTCTTGCGGCGCACGCCGGTCTCGTTGTCGGTCAGCTCCAGGGTCTCGGAGGTCTTGAGGGCCTCGACGATGGCGCTGAAGGGCTGGAAGTGGCGCATGCGCTTGAACGAGTGCAGGAGCTCGAGGGGAACGGAGCGGTTGGTGCTACCGCCCACCTTGGAGAACAGGAACTTGTCCATGGGCAGGTTGGAGTCGGAGAAGTAGAACTCGACCTGCTTGCGGATCTGGACCGGGTCGTCCGTCACCTCCTGCGAGGAGGGATCGAACTTGGAGTTGTTGCGGCGGTTGAAGCGGCCCCCGCGACCCCGGTTGTCGTGACGGGACTCCCGTTCTTGCTGTGTCTTGATCTCCTTCTTCTCCTCGGCCTGCGCGGACTGCTGGCCCAGCTTAGCGGCGGCTTCGACGATGCGGGCCTCCTCGGCATCCTCCTTGGTGGCACCGTTGGCAGGCGCTTCGTTCTCGCCCTTCAGCTCGGCCAGGACGCTCTGGACATCCTTCTCGGCCTCGGCGTTGGGGGCGACGGTCTTCTGCTCGTCGGCGGACATGGTCGCGAAGAATCTGGGTCGTGCGATCGGGGATATGGGATAGAGAGTTTAAGAAGAAATGCCCCTACTGCGACCCAAGCATGTCAGTGATGTGCGGGGGGGTGGGGGGGAAGGGAGTTAAAAAATGCAGACAAGCAGATGAGAGGGGTCACCAGGAGCCCTATATATAGCGATGATAGGGATCGAACTGGCCAATAATGGGAGAAGGCCGGGTTGGTGAAAGCGCGCGGTAAAAGACAGGCAGACAGACAGACAGAAAGACAGACAGACAGACGCAGGAGAAGCCTTTGTTTCTTACCTGGGAATAGACGAGCGCAGAGGAGAGAGTAATCGACCGGAAAGACACCTGCAAGCAACTGAGAGAAGAGTCATCGATAATAATGCGCGGCGGGGGGAAATTTTCTGAGCGCCGCGGCGGAGCTGCCGCCACACGGAGAGTTGCGGCCTGAGGCCGGAGAAGTGGCTGGGTGTGGCGCTGAGGGGTGAGACTGGATCGAGACTAGACCGGATGCGGAAGAGAGTCGGCTGTCAGGCTCTCTCTCCATACTACTACAGAGTAGTAGTACTTGACTTCCCTTTCACTGACAGTCAGGACTGGCTTTCTCCCTTGCATGACGTGTGACAAAGTCTCAGGCCCCCCGGGGCGCTGGAATCTTCCTCGCAATCAGTATTGGTTCCGAGCCAATGCATGTCATATGCTGTTTGCCCACATGGGGACGGACTGCATCCGCAGGTACGCGCTCCCTTCGTTGGCACTGCGTAGGACGGGCAGATCTATCGAGATTCCAACCATAAACCGACTTCTTGCGTCTACGAGAATAAGTCCCACCGTGGTATTTCAATGACGGCCTGAAATACTTATCAGAAATGTTTTCATCAAACTGGTGTAGAATACATGCCTGACAATATGGGTTACATCTTTAGTTGGTCGCTTGAAAGCTGCCCAGAAAGGATCTCTTCAATACTGATGTCTCTAGACTGCCAAATTTGAGAATTGCTGGTATTTGGCCTGCTGCAAGTCCTGGTATCAATACAGAGCCGTACTTGACCTTCAAGAACAACCGCATGGGTGTATCTGTAGGCATTGGATGCCATAGAGACAGATGGAAGCTGCTCTGCTACTGCCACTGGAAGGCCTGGGGTGTCCCGTGCCGGGCGTCCAGAGCACCTGCCAATTTCGTCGAAGATCCGGGGGAGGCTCGCGACAACTCGCAACCACTCGCAACCTTCCCGGTGTGTGATCTTCGAGGTGGCCTTTGCGCAGGCTGGAAGTCGACATGCTATTCTGCTACTACTGTCTTGGTTATAGACCCATACGCTTAGCCAACATAGGCACGATCGCATCTTTCGGTACCTTGTGCCCCCCGCGTCCTTGCAGACTTATCCTTCGAGGACCTATCTTTTGCTGTGTTCTTAGGTGGATCAAAGCAGATGTTCAGCCCCATACGTCTTCATAGTCTGTCAACGTTTGCCGAGGTACCACTGGCAACATGCTAACAGTTTGATTTTCAGCAACAGGAACCATTGATAAACACTGACCCACACGGTCGTTGACAAGCAGGCTTGTCTAGCTTATAGCTCCTACAGCAGACATTGCCCCCCTAAATATACCCCTTTGATAGCCGGTCGCCTTGATCCTGCCCAGCAAGTGCGCTTTTTCTACTCTTCCCGGATAGGGGGACCCTGAAGGGACATCGCGGGCTGCTTCACCATGGCCGGAAACGCATCGACGGCAGTGTTAGACACATGGCCCACCAAAGACGTACGTGGCGAGACTTCGTGGTACAAAGTAACTCTCACTGATGGCATCAAAGATTATATACGTCTCGGTTCTCGGGCCTATATTGCTCGCAGCTCTATTGGAGTGGTTCCTTTTCCTTGCTGCATTCATATACTGCCTGTTTAAGGTCTACCAAAAGGCAGATCACTGGAGCATCAGACTTCTTGCAGTCATCATGGCGGTTCTGTTCGTAATTTTCAGGTGAGTCGCCACGACATCTACGGTCATACAGAAGCTTTCCCTAACGCACATATAGAGGAGTCTTTCTACCTGTTATGATCGCCATTCTTCCTTTGCCCACTCAAGTTACGAAATATTTTCCCGGTCAACTCGTGGCTGCATTGCAGTGGTTTGCATTCTGGGCCTTTTCAGCACTGCTAATCATACCCTGGCTATTCTGTGTCCACAGATTTGTGATTGGCTCTCTGGGTAGGACCAAACGGGTGAAAGAGGCTTTGGATGACTTCACCGCGCCGAAAACCATCATCGTCATGCCGGTATATAAAGAGGAGCCTCATGTTCTGATCAAGGCAATCGACTCGGTGGTCAACAGTGATTATCCATCGTATTGCATCCACGTGTTTCTCTCCTACGACGGGTGCAACATTGATGAGCCCTACCTTCAAGTGATCAACCATCTCGGCATTCCGATAGCGCTGGAGAGCTACCCGCAGAGCATAGATGTGACATACCGAGGCGCGAGAGTGACTGTGTCCCGGTTCAAGCATGGTGGCAAGAGACATTGCCAGAAACAGACCTTCAGACTGATCGACAAGGTTTATGCAGACTATCTCAAGCACCGCGACGACCTTTTCCTGTTGTTCATTGACTCGGACTGCATCCTTGACAAGCTCTGTCTGCAGAATTTCATGTACGACATGGAATTGAAACCGGGAAGTCAGCACAACATGCTCGCGATGACAGGCATCATCACTTCTACCACGGAAAGGAACTCGCTCATTACCGTTCTACAGGATATGGAGTATATACATGGCCAGCTTGTTGAACGCACCGTCGAGTCTGGTTGCGGCGCCGTAACCTGCCTCCCAGGAGCCCTGACAATTTTGCGATACTCAGCTTTCCGCAAGATGGCCAAATATTACTTTGCGGATAAGGCCGAGCAATGTGAAGACCTTTTTGACTACGGCAAATGCCACCTGGGAGAAGACCGTTGGCTGACACACTTGTTCATGATTGGAGCGATTGAGCGCTACCAAATCCAGATGTGTACCAGTGCCTTTTGTAAGACAGAGGCAGTTCAGACTTTCAGCAGCCTCCTCAAGCAGCGGCGTCGATGGTTCCTTGGATACATCACCAATGAAGTGTGTATGCTGACCGATGTCAGACTATGGAAGCGATACCCGCTGCTGTGTCTGGTGCGCTTCTTTCAGAACACCATTAGGACAACGGCGTTGCTCTTCTTCATTCTGGTGATTTCGGTCATGACAACTTCCTGCAAGATCCAGAACCTTCCAGTGGGCTTCATTGCGGTCTCGCTGGGACTCAACTACATTCTCATGTTCTACTTTGGACTGAAGCTTAAGCGTTTCAAGGCCTGGCTCTACCCGCTGATGTTCATCCTGAACCCTTTCTTCAACTGGCTCTACATAGTCTATGGGATCTTCACCGCAGGCCAGCGCACGTGGGGTGGGCCCCGAGCCGATGCCGCCAAAGCCGACGAGCATACCACCCCAGAGGAGGCCGTGGAAAAAGCGAGGGCCCAAGGGGACGAGCTGAATGTCCAGGTAGACACATTTCGAGCCAAGGCTGAGGAGAAGGGCGTCCCAATCCGTCCGTCGGCCAAGGTCAATGGCCGGCTTTCTGTGGCACCGCAGCTTCCTGACCGTTATGTCGATCACCAGACTGGTTTGGGGGCCAGCCTGGCCAAATACATGACCCCCCTTCCGGAGGTGCCTCGAATCGGTCTCCACCCAGATTACTCGCTCGACTCGGTGGCGACGTCGGACTCCGGCGCAAACTCAATTGCTCTCCCCCAACATGTGGATACATTGATGAGCCCTGAGGAGCGAGCCAAACTTTATCTTACGCGCCAGGCACATGAGTCCACCGGTCTTCTACAGAGCCCAGATGGTCACGGAGTGGACGTGACTGATGCTGAGCTACATTTGCAGCCCAGCGAGCATCCCAAGACTGAGAAGCCGTATGATCTACATACCACAGGGCCGGAAGCTTGCGTTTCTCATGGCCATCCGTCCGTCATGTCGGCGAGCTCGCCGGAATTGATGTTACGGCAAGCCGTAGCAGCTTCACTTTCTGGGGAACTATCCGAGCCAGAGAAGGGTAGAACGATTCAAGCTTTACGGCGGCCACGGCTGAAGCGCCAAAGCAGGATTCCAAGGCAGATAGGGAGATCGACCCGGCCGGAAGATATGGTCTGAAATCTGAACGAGTGTATTCCTTCACCCCAGATGGTCCAGCGGGGAGGGATGGAGACGACTGAGCGGGTTGATGGTGGCAGTCTCAAAAATAGCACAAGACGCGTCGGACACTTTATCTGTAACTATTGATTGCGCCCCTCATTTCATTGTGGCTATGGAACATTGCATTACCTCATGTCACTTTTTATTCTACCCAACTTCTGCATCATCAACATCCGCGCCAACCGTTCCCAAACAGACATTATAGCTCGCGGGTCCGGCCGTGATACACTAGAACTAGTATAGCTATAGCTATAGATATACCGAGTAGGCAGTAACGGCCAGACAATCAGACCATCCTTAGGTCCAATGCCGATGAGTGACTAGCCACGCCCCAGCACGTGAGGCTAAATCCCCACTGGGAACGTGCAGACGTCGATACCAGGAATCGGAGCAGCCGCAGGCTACAGCCCGGGAGCCCACCCCAGCCCCCATCGTCACCCCCATCTATTCGCCATGAGGTAGAGAGACTGTCGATCGGGCTCCTTCAGTACTATCTAGTGGTGGTGCGGAGTGGGAGTATAATAATAATGATAATGATAGTAACCATGCTCGTCACTGTAGAGAGTACCAGTGGCTTATCTGAACCTTTAATATAATAATGCAGAGTGTCCAAAGTTTGTTATAGAACAGCGCCCGTTCCACTTCCAGGCTTACAGTACTCAGTGTTGTTAAGTTATTGCGCATCTTTACGCGGCGTGCCCAATCATCGGCCATTCCACCGGACTGGTGCCCTTTCCTGATTCAGCCCAGTCGTTCGACCGACAGACAGTCCACGGAGTACATCCACTTTCTTTTCCCCGCTCGGTTATGCTGCCTTCTCAAAGTTAAGCACCTACAGCCGACCTGTTTTTAACTTCCTGCTGCTACCTTCAAGGTTCATCTGATCCCACCCTGGAGCCGCGTCCACCCGGGTTGCTCCATCGGGCAAGGATGTAGCCTCCGTCCTGACACCCAAATCGCATACGGTGGCATATAGTACAAGCATATAAGCACTTGGGTACATAAGGGAATAAGCACGGGAAGGACGGCAGGAATGAAATCATTTCCTGGTGCACTACGATGCGGTAGGTGGAGGCCATTCACTTTCTGTGTCTCCTCCCCTGTCTAGCTTTGCAATAAAGGTGACGCGCAACTCGCACCGATCTCCTCTCTCTCTCTCTCTCTCTCTCTCTCTCTCTCTCTCTCTCTCTCTCTCTCTCTCTGTTTATCTTTCTCTCTCTCTCTCTCTGTCTACCTCTCTATCTCTCTTCCCCCAAATATTTAGACCCATCTTTGTGTGACCTTTCCCAAACATCAGGTCTAATCCACTTTTCACCTTCTTGCAAACTACTTCTCAGACTCGCGAAGACAAAGTCATGGGCTGGTCAAAGGTCTCGGAACGCCGCTGGGAGCGCCCCGTGAGTGGATTGGAGAGCTACTTCATCGTCACGGGGGTTGCCTCCGCGGCCCTTTGCGAGGGTCGCCAGCACTATACCATCTTTTCTAAACTGAAGGTTGAGATCGACGCCGTGGATGTCGAGTCTGCGTTGAAGCATGCCTGGAAGCAGCTACGCCACGAGCAGCCTCAGATCGCGACTACGATAGAAGGCACAAACAAGGTCTACGAGGTCCCTGATGAGGCAGCCCTGCAGGAATGGCTTGCATCGACCTTCATCGTGTCGCCGGCCTCGGACGCAGAGGAGCTGTACGCCAGTACTGCGCCAATCAACCAGGCCACACTGTACTACGTCCCTAAGTCGTCCGAGCTCTTGATCCGGGCCCACCATTATACACTGGACGGGGTAGGCATGTTGCTTCTTTGTCACAGCTACCTGAGTGCTCTGGCGGCGCCGGTCAAGGACCTCAAGTTTGGAGACGAGTATACTCGATTGGTGCCCACCGTTGAAGAGGTCCTCGGGCACACAGGGCCTCTCACGCCAGAGCAGACAGCCAAGGCTACCGCGGATTTCGGGGGCTGGATGGCCAGCATTCCGGGCATTGGCCCTGTTTCGAAAGTCGGGACCGTGCCAGCGGGCAAGTGTCAGAACACGGAACTAGTCTTTCCCACGCGGACGACAGAGGCGATCATCAACAGGTGCAAGAACAAGGGAATCAGTGTCACCTCCGCCGTGCACGCAGCGTATGTCCAGGCAATCGTCAGAAATGCGGACCCCAGCTGCACCAAGGACCACTACGCGAACGCAAACCAGTTCAACTATCGGCCATACCTGCCCGCACCATACAACACGAGCCAGTATGCAGCATCCGTCTTCTACACGCCGTACCCCTACAAGTTAGACCTACCCGCTTCCTATGAGGAGACAGCACAGGCCTTGAACACGCACTACAAGACTTTGATCAAAAATGACCCCGAGATCTTGGTGCGGCATGGCGATTTTACAACCATGTTGAGCAACGCCATCCAAACGCCCGAGTTTCAGGCCCATCCCATCTCTCGGGATGCGCTGGTGAGTAGCCTGGGGATTGCCGAGCAGTACCTGCAGCGCACATACGGCAGAAGCATCACCGTCCGAGATATCAAGACGGGCGTCGACGTTGTCCTGGGCATGAGCATGCTTTTCATCTACACCTTCCACGACCAGCTCCGGTTGCTGTATTGCTTCAACGACGGGTATGAGGAGGCATCCAATATTGACACCTATCTGGAGGACTTGAAACGGATTCTCGTCGAGGAACTGTTGGCATAATGGGTTCGGTTCGACCATGGAGGCGCGATAGGCCGCCTCAGCCGCAAAAAGAGAGGCATTCTTAAGGGACTGTGATATAGTATAATAGTTATAACCACTAGCCACTAGACAGCCGTAGTGTCGGGACCAGCTGAAGATGAAGCAAGCCCCTTTGAACGATCCGCCATCACAGCCTTAGCAGTCGTTCCGTTGGTGTAGACGCACTGGCGCAATTCCTTCCATATAATGATCCTCCCGTAACAGATACAGCACAATGATCTTTACACTCTAGGGTCCAAATAGTTAGTCTCCAATGATAGCACTCACTAGTGGTCTTTGGCTTGAATTGAACCCGTCGCGCATCGCGTAGCGGTCTCCCTCTGACCGATAAGCCCGGATGGTGTCTTCCGGTTCACTTCCTGTGGGTGGAAGTAAACCTGGAATTGGTGGTTGGGGGCGTACATGGAAAGAGGAGGAGGGGGGCTGGGCAGTTGCAGCGATGGAGTGAGGGGAACACCAATGGCAGTCAGTGCCTCTGGTCATGCATAGTCTGGCGAAGGTCGGGATGCATCTTGTTATGTATGTGTATGAGTCGTGGGCTATATACTATCATCATATCACTCTCCATCACCGGCCGGAGACGTAGGGCTGTCTGGCCTGAGGCAAAGGGGGAGGCGGGGATTAGTCAGCCAGGGCGGAAAACTCTGAAGGGGGGAGGGTTATCGATAAGCCCCGCCCGGGCGGTGAGGTGGCGAGGCGGCGATCTGCCGGGTTTGGGGCAGGCGGTGTAGAGCGGGAGGCGTCGAGTAGGAGCCAGAAGGTTCGACGAGTGCCCAAGAGGGACGGAGGCATGAGTCGAGTCATTTGGGTGGTTGCTGTCCTGTTGCCGCTGCATATTTAGATAGGTAGATGGATAGATACGGTGTAGAAGAGGAGTCAACATCTCGCAAGTTCCCTGACTGTTACCACGAGTGGTGACGCCGTAGTAGACAAGAAGCAGCCAAACCGGACAGCCTGAAAAATCTGGACGCGCCAACACAGCAGGCCAGTAGCCACCCAGCTTTACCGCCCGACCGCCCGCCCGCCTTAGTGGCGCCGCTGCAAATTCTCCCCCTCCGTTCCTCTTCGCTCTTTTTCTTTGCTCTGGATCCCCCCCCCCCAAGACATCCTCCCCTCCTCCTCATTTCCATATCTTTTCCCTTCTTCCACTCTCCCACTCACCCCCTCCCCCCCCCTCTCTACTCCTCCTGTTTTTAATACCCCCTCCTCCCCCCTCTTCTTTCCGTCACCTTACCCCGCCTCCACATAAACCATGTCTGTCGTCGGAATAGATTTCGGTGCCCAGAGCACCAAGATCGGTGTTGCCCGTAACAAGGGTATCGATATTGTGCGTATTGCCTCTGTCCCCGTCCAATTCTGGATGCTCCCCGTCTGAGCGCTCGGCGCTCTCTCGGCGTCCTCCATCCCACCACAGCTGATGAGCTATCTTGTGCTGTGCTGTGCTGTGCTAACTGGCATCTTTGCTGCCCTACAGATCACCAATGAAGTCTCCAACAGATCTACTCCGTGAGTCCCCCCCTCCGTCGGCCTGTGTTGCCCCCTCCCCACCACCCACAATTCTAACACCTACTGACGCCTCCCCATCTAGTTCCCTGGTCGGCTTCAACGCCAGAAGCAGAGCCATCGGTGAGGCTGCCAAGACACAAGAGACCTCCAACCTCAAGAACACCGTCAGCAACCTGAAGCGCCTGATCGGCCGCTCCTTCAGCGACCCCGATGTCCAGCTCGAGCAGGAGTACAGCACCACCCAGCTCTGCGAGGTCAACGGCCAGGCCGGTGTTGAGGTCAGCTACCTCGGCAAGAAGGAGAAGTTCTCCGCCGTCCAGCTGGTCGCCATGTACCTCACCAAGATCCGCGACATCACCTCCAAGGAGCTGAAGCTGCCCGTCTCCGATGTCACCCTCAGTGTGCCCGCCTGGTTCACCGACGTCCAGCGCCGCGCCATGATTGACGCCGGTGAGATCGCCGGCCTCAAGGTCCTGCGTCTGATCAACGACACCACCGCCACCGCTCTCGGCTACGGTATCACCAAGCTCGACCTGCCCGGTCCCGAGGAGAAGCCCCGTCGCGTCATGTTCGTCGACATTGGTCACAGTGACTACACCGCCTCCATCGTCGAGTTCCGCAAGGGTGAGCTCAACGTCAAGGCCACCGCCTGCGACCGTCACTTCGGTGGTCGTAACTTCGACCGCGCTCTGACCGAGCATTTCGCCGATGAGTTCAAGGAGAAGTTCAAGATCGACGTCCGCTCCCACCCCAAGGCCTGGTCCCGTACCCTGGCCGCCGCCGAGAAGATGAAGAAGGTCCTGTCGGCCAACCCCGCTGCTCCCATGAGCATTGAGTCCCTGATGGAGGACGTTGATGTCCGCTCCATCGTCAAGCGTGAGGAGCTGGAGATCATGGTCAAGCCCCTTCTGGACCGGATCACCGTCCCCATCGAGCAGGCTCTCGCTGAGGCTAAGCTCAAGGTCGATGACATCGACCACATCGAGATGGTCGGTGGCTGCACCCGTGTCCCCGCCATCAAGGATGCCATCGCCAAGTTCTTCGGCAAGGGTCTGTCCTTCACTCTCAATCAGGATGAGGCCATTGCCCGTGGTTGTGCCTTCAGCTGCGCCATCCTCTCCCCCGTCTTCCGTGTCCGTGACTTCTCCGTGCACGACATCGTCAACTACCCCATCGAGTTCACCTGGGAGCAGTCCGCCGATATCCCCGACGAGGACACCAGCCTGACCGTTTTCAACCGCGGCAACGTCATGCCTTCCACCAAGATCCTCACCTTCTACCGCAAGCAGCCTTTCGACCTCGAGGCCCGCTACGCCAAGCCCGAGACCCTGCCTGGCAAGGTCAACCCCTGGGTGGGCCGCTTCTCCGTCAAGGGCGTCAAGGCCGATGCCAACGACGACTTCATGATCTGCAAGCTCAAGGCTCGCCTGAACCTGCACGGTATCCTGAACGTCGAGTCCGGATACTACGTTGAGGACATGGAGGTTGAGGAGCCTGTTGAGGAGGAGGGCGAGGTGAGTTGCCGCTTCCGCCGACCTCCGTGAACTGATTGACTGATTTCTGACAGATGGACACCGACGCCAAGGACGGTGAGCAGCCCAAGAAGACCCGCAAGGTCAAGAAGCAGGTCCGCAAGGGCGACCTGCCCATCTCGACCGGCACCACCTCCATGGACGAGACCGTCCTGAGCGCCTGGGCTGAGCGTGAGAACTCCATGTACATGGAGGATAAGCTCATCGCCGAGACCGACGAGAAGAAGAACGAGCTTGAGGCCAGCATCTACGAGCTGCGTGACAAGATCGACGGCATCTACTCCGAGTTCGCCAACGAGGAGGAGAAGGACAAGCTGCGGGCCAAGCTGACTGACCTCGAGGTAGGACTATCCTCTTCCGTTGTTTCATACGATGTGTTCTAACCCGTGCAGGACTGGCTCTACGAGGAGGGTGAGGACACCACCAAGTCGGTGTACGTCGCCAAGATGGACGAGATCCGCTTCGTTGCCGGCCCCATCGTTCAGCGCTACCGCGAGAAGCAGGACGCCGAGCGTCAGGCCCAGGAGGAGGAGGCTGCCAAGCGCAAGGCTGAGGAGGACGCCAAGCGCAAGGCCGAGGAGGAGGCCAAGAAGGCCGAAGAGGAGGCTAAGAAGGCTGAGGAGAAGGCCGACACGGAGATGAAGGATGCCCCGGCTGAGGGCGAGAAGCCCGCCGAGTCTGCGCAGTAAATTGCTTCCTTCGCTGCCCGATCCTGGTGAGCTGCAGCTGGGAGGCATCATCCATCGCAGCTTGAACGACAATGTGGTCACGAACAATCCAAAGATGTTGATCCCCTTCAATTGCTTATTTCCTTTACTGTTCCCCCTACCTTTTTTTTTCTCGCCGAGAATCGGCAATGTGATGTAGAACGACATGATTCTCCTCTGGCCCTCTCTCCCTTGTGTTTCTGTGCCTTGCTGTGAGCTGTTCGGGATGATGGCCGGGTGCGCGATGCGCGAGACGGAGGCTGCCGGGGAGCAAGACTTAGATACGACCTCGCGATGTGGATAGACCTGCTTGAAAAGTATATGATTGGTAATACAGGACAAAGTTGCACTGCGTATAGCTTATAGCCTTATATGCTTGAGTGTATGTGTATGAGTAGTCACAGGTATATCCTTCCTCATCACAATCCGTTCTTATCACCAGGGCTTGTTACCGCCACTTAGCGTGATGCTGACAGCTAGCCTGAGATAGTCGATGAACGATACCCCTCAACATCCACCATCCTCTCCTGCCCAGTATTAACACCAATACCCCCCTCTAGGTCATCATGGACCCAACCCAGTATGTCCCACCCCGACCCAAACCCCCCCCCCCCATTCCCACATCCCCATCATGATTAACCCAACCCAGGAGCCCTAACTCCCAACCCAAACACCACCTCCTCACGCTCCCCGCCGAAATCCGCCTCCTGATCTACACCTTCATCTTCCCCCCGCAAACGCACATCATCCAACGCAAACCCATCCTCTTCCCCTGCGCGGAATCCAACCAGCCCCTCCCTTTCCATCGCAACCTCATGCACCCGCCCCCCGACTTCCCCATCTGCTCGCAGTCTCACCCCAGCTGCTCCAGCCTCCAATCGCACATCCTCAACGTCGACATGCACATCGGCAACCGCACCATGGTCTCCTCCCCGCACTACCCCTGCCCGCACTCCCTCACACGCAACCCGGCCCTCAACCTCAACTTCCTAGCCACCTGCCATCAAGTCTACCGCGAAGCGCGCCACCTCCTCTACCAACAGACCGTCTTCTGGACGCAGGAGGTGGGCAGTTTCTCGAATTTCATGTGCTGTTTGAAGAACTGGCAGGTGCGGGAGATCCGGCACCTTCGGTTGAGGCTTCCGTCGGATATGGGCATGGATATGTATCTGTGGGAGTGGAATGAGGTGTTTGCGCTGATTGGGAGGGCGTGCAGCGGGCTGAGGTCGGTCGGGGTGGAGGTACATACCATTCAGCCGAAGTCGACGTGGAGAGATATCTTTTGGGATGGTGGGTTGTTGGGGTTGGATCGATTGCGGTTGGAGGGCCTGAGGTTTGTGGTGTATAAGAGGGAGGGGGATACGGGGCTGGGGACGGTTTATTTTGATTATCAGGTGGGCGTTTTCCCACCTTCGGATCTTTTATCATCACCACTGGCAACCACACCAGTACTAGAAGCGCCAGAAGCACCAGGAGCGTCAGAAACACCAGAAGTCATCAGCTTCCACGAGGTCCGCAACACCCTCCGCCATGTCCAAAACGTCCCCATCACCACCGAACCCGGCCGTCTCTTCCTCCGTCTCTCCCCCAATCTACTCCCTCTCTACATCAGCAACCTCATCCACATGCTTCCGCGGCGCCATCACACCCACGCCGAGATCCGTCGCGAGGATCGGTATCAGCGCGAGTATGTCTACCACTATGCCTACCCTGACGATGACACTGAGCAGGAGAACCCCGTGTTCGGGTTCCAGTTCAGTGAAGAGTTGAAAGACGACGAGCAGTATATTGCTCGCGGGCTGGCTAGGTTGCGGGAGTCGAGGAAGCGGTTGGCGAGGAAGGCGATGGAGGGAGGGGGTGGTCTTGGGTGGGTTAAGAAGCCGGAAGTGCGGAGGGGGATTCAAGGGAAGAGGGTTGTCTTGGAAGGGGAAGAGGAAGAGGAAGAGAAGGCCGGAGACTGGAGACGCCGACTCACGCAGGAGACGTACGCGCCTTTCATCGAAGCGTTTCCCATGACTCCGGCTCTGCCGCAGAAGGATCTGAGCAAGTGTTGTTTTCATTGTCGGAGCAGAGCGAAGATGTGACGGCCATGTGTGTGTGTGTGTGTGTGTCCCCTTCGTGCCTGCCTGATGCGGAGAGTTGAACCGGTTGTGGGTAAAGGACCAGTATTCCAGTTGCTTCTCTCTCCTTTCTTTGATCACCACCTACCTACTTTTCTCTTACACCCTCGTTTCCTATTGTATCTTCAATTCCTATTTTTATCCTGTGGGTTCTTTGCAATCTGGAAGCTGCTGGAGATGTCATGGTATAGGGTTAACTTGTCGATCTAGATTTTAGAACTGCACTTTGGAAGCCTCAGCGGTCATCATAGTTCCTTCATATTCACTGAGGTGGCTGTCTCCAGTCAGTGAGATCCCGTGTTGTCCCAGGGAATATCTCGACCAACAAAAGCATTCCACGTTGCAGCAATTTTATCAATTGCTTCCCCTCGCTACGACAAAATCATGGCGCCGCCAGATCCAGACACATTTTTGGACTCGCTCTCCTACCTTTTCGAAGCCTGCCTGTTAAAATACCACCATGTCATGGAGCGTTCAGTCCCCAAGAGGACCACAGTAGACCTGGACGTGCGCTTCCGCATTGAGGAGATGCGATTGCGTCTGTGGGGGAGGCTACGGGGATTCAATGCCCCTCTCGACGAGGCCTTGAAGAGAAATGAGACCCTGAACGTCCCCGAGATTCTAAGCTTAGTTCGTCGTCTACTCAAGGACATGCTCCAGCTGTTAAAGAAGCGGGAAGAGGATAATACGAGGCACCGCGCTAGACAGCACTCAGAGCGCTCATCAGTTGAGAGCCGCTCGCTAGACTTGTCCTTGTCTGAAGCCATGTACGCACAGATGCATCTCGATTCAAGAGAAGGAAATGACCACAGGCGCCGGGCCAGGATGAATACCAGCGCCAAATCTGTCGCGTCGTTCGACAACAGAGTCGCATTGAGGAATCAGCTAACGGAGATTATTGCTGTGAATAATGAACTTGAAGCTCTGCTTTCACGAAGCGAGGCCTCTGCTCTGTCCCAGGGCCTGATGGCAGAGATTCTATTCATGACACTCAACTTGCCCATTGTGAAGGAGGATTCCTTTGGTCCACGCAATGCCACCGTCGCGAAGGTCATTCAGCTGCGTCAGAAAAACAAGACCAATCTGACTGAAGAGCATCGGATGCCTTTTGATGTTGCCCAACCTCGCAATCCACACCCAGAGAGGGATTTGGTGATCCCAATATCCTTGCTGGTGGGGTTTGAAGAGCCTCAGCTGGCATTTGGCGCTGACTTGCTGTGCTCCGGAATGGGGTCGGACGCACCGGATGTGCGGACTTTCTATTATCGCCATACGGAGGGCGAAGAGCAGGGACAGTTTGTGCTTGCGGAATGGCGATCTCAAAAGACCGAATCCCAGAATTCGCTTATCAACCAGGAGGCTCGCATGGACCGGCGCCAACATCTTGTTGGCCTTCTCCACCAGACCTTTTGCGCAAGTGCGGACTTTCGTATACTCGACTGCGTGGGATATATCCTCACAGAGGGACAGCTCCCTGACGGGAATAAGCACCCCGTCGTGGGCTTCGTCTACAATTATCCCATTAACGCAGCCTTCTTAGAACAGCCCATGACCCTAAGACAGGTAATGAACACAAGCTATCAGTCTGAAAGGCCCGATGTGCCAGAGCTCGAGGATCGTCTCCTTCTTGCCCACAGGCTATCCCTCGCTCTGTACCAGCTGCATTGTGCTGGATGGATCCACCAGAGGATATCCAGCCACAACATTTTATTCTTCCACGATGCAGAGAGTGGGAAGGTTGACATCACGCAGCCTTACATCTGTGGGTGGCGGTACAACCGGCCCGATCAGTCAGGCGGAGGGGAGGCGTATAGAACCAACCAAGGTGGCCCGGCAGCCAATGGCCTTGCAGATATGGCGATATATGTTCACCCGGACCGGATCAGGGAAGCGCGGCAATTTCGGAAAAGCCACGACATTTATAGTCTGGGAGTGGTTCTCGCCGAGATTGCATTCTGGAGGCCGGCCCTGGCGTTGGCAGATCCTGGCCATCAGAACGCAATACGGTTGTGCGACCGTGACGATCCTGGACGGTGGTCCAGGGCATTGATCGATGCGGTTGCCAGGAGGATTGGGGCCAGCGTGGGCGCCAGGTATCGCGATGCTGTCCTGGGCTGCTTGCGGGGACTGCGCCTCCAATGCATAGAGAGTCTGATGGATGTGAAGACAGTGAAGGATCTGAATGGCTTGGAGCCGGGGATTGAGAAGGCGTTCTTCTGGAAAGTGGTAGATGAGCTGAGGCAGGCGGCTCAGGTTTAGATCTTTTCTTTTGGCTGCTTTGATTAGCTCGGTATGTATTAATTAGTAGATGATAGTAATGAATGGGATAAATAGATGAAATGCTCTTGTTGAGTCATGTATCATGATTTGAGTCAGGTGTCATGATTCCGACTGTGCTATGGTTCCCTTTCCGAACATTATCCATCTAACTAGTTATCGAGATCTCATTGCTTACAGTGGGTCAGGTCCATGCATATAGTAGGTATCTAGGAATTGAGGAACAACCCCTCCGTCATCACTCCCATGTAACTATGTAAGCACTAGATAAATATTACAAAGTAATATCCCGCGGGACAATAAGGTAGTTAGTGAATAGATACCACCTCCCTCAGATAGGTATGGAGTGCGGATTACCCACTCTGTACTAGGTAGTATCTAGTAATAGTGGTGATATCACCACACAACAGCCCGACAACGACGTGATAGCGTCATCCAAAATGAATCAATGGAGAATCTCACTAGAGATGTCCAACTGCGAGATACTATGAGAAGGATCATAGTACCAGTTAGTCTCTCTTGTCATTGTTCTTTGTATTCTAACATGGCCCTTATGTCCGAGATTTCCGTTTGGACTGGTGGACGGAATAATAGGTAATAAGAAATAGAAGGGGACTATTGTGCACTTGTCGTTGACTGGAATGAAGGTATATAATAATATTAACTATATGTAGCTTAGCTGTGTAGATTATGCACAGGTTATTAGTGCTAATACCTGAGTAGTACGGAGTACGGAGTACCGTGATAGTGCTCTGGTACTGTAAGTGTGTACCTACTATACACTGCAGCCAAGATACGAGTACGGGCGGAATCATCGACGAGGCCAGCCCTTCCTTGGTCCTTGGCGGACAGCACACAGCACACAGCACAGCAGGGCTGCTTGGCTAAAGTACAGTAGCAGTAGCAGGTACCAGATGTCTCTAACAGAATAACAGAATTTGATGTGTACCATACACTGCTCGTACAGTAAGATACATACAACTTGGGCTCTGTTCGGTTCGGTTCTGTTCTGTATTTTGAATCCTCCTCGGGGATAACAACAGCCAACTATGTAGGGAAATAAATAGTAGCACTGTGCTCCATAGTAGTAGAACTAGTATCTAGCAGTAGTCTGTGTGGTAAGTAGTTCCTGTTAGGCAACAACCCATCCCTTGTTGATCCGCAGGCATCTTTATTCTTCCAGTTCGTTCCCAGTTCCCAATTCCCAATTAGTTTGGTTAGTGGTTAGTTAGTGGTTGGCTGGTTGGTAACCGACCGACCGATAGCTCCGAGATTGGCAGGGTCTTTTGCTCTGCGGTGGATTGCCATCGGGGAGAATGGCCTGCTTGGGTTGGATTGGTAGGCGTTCTAGTAGTGTGGTATCTAACTTGTAAGGAGTCAAGGAAGCGGGGTGGAGACTGAACACTAGAGTAGACAGGGGAGGATACCTTACCATCCATTGAATCATCAATTAAAAAAAGGGGGGGGGGGGGGGGGGGTTTCATGACAGTATTGTGTACCATGTATTATGTATTGTGTGTATTGTGAAGTACCTAGAATGTGGATTATGAAATGTGGATTACCTACATCCTTACTAGCAGTAGTACACACTACACAAGTCCTAAGGAAATGGAGATTGATCATGGATCATGGATGCTGGTGGTGGATGGGGAATGTTTCAGGTTAGCGATAAGGATCTGACGTTTAGTCCGCGGAGGCTTGCACTGTTTTAGTAGGATTGGGGAAATAACTGTTTGGGATAGATATTTTAATACAGTAGTAGTTACCTAGCTAGTTGATGATGATATTACTCCGTATATAGGTGAGTAGGTAAAGTAAGTGTGTGCTGTGCATTGTGCAGTGCATATCTAGGTATATATATTCTACTGGTAACTATAATATGTAGCATCTGCCCTACGACGCACCTTATGTACTGTTTGACAATTATTGTGTGGAGAGGCATCGGGCTTGCAGAAGGAAGGGGGGGGCTTGATTAGTAGGGCCACTGCCAGCTCAGTCGGTACCTGATACTTATGTACCTGTCTAGGGAGTTATTCTGCATATGATGAGAGACTGTCAGCATCGGCATTGATGCTGGTGGCTGACACGGAAGTGGTACTAGTACAATACCGTACTGTAACGACCCGGTCGGGAAGGATGGCACGCGAGAAAGTGAAAGGCATCCATGATCCATCCATCCATCTCCTCTCCTCTCCTTCTCCAATCCTCGAATCCGTTCGTTCGGCTTAATAAAATACGGAGCGCTTCGACCTGACTACTGCTGCTCCGGTGGATGCTTTGACGGTTGCCTAGATTCTTCTTCTCTTCTTCTTCTTCTTCTTCTTCTTCTTCTTCTTCTTCTTCTTCTTCTTCTTCTTCCTCGATGAATTGACTGCCTGACTGCTGCTCTACATGCCCACTGGCAGTCTGGCATGCCTCCCTCCCTGTCGTCATGCGTCTGCCATCCTTGCCGATCCGCGCCTCAAGAAGTCGCCCAGGGAAAAGGGTCCAGCGCCTCCCAAACTCCTGATCCAATAATCCAATATTAATGGCTCCTCCGTGGACTGTGGAGTCCGTCCAAATGCCGCCCCGCTTGGGTCCAAGTCACCGTTAGTACGGAGTAGCATTATTACTTACTCACTACTCTGTCCAGTGTCTGCTATAGTAAGTAGGTACTGGATACTACCTCCTACCAAGCCTGCCGGATCCCCCGGTTGACTCGTGGGGTTCTTCTGTTCGCCCTCTCTCCAAGAACCGTTCCCCGTGCTTTTTCTCCTGTCCTTCTTTTTTCCTTCCTTTTCTCCCTCACCTGTTCTTCCTTCCCCTCCCTCCATCTCTCCCCCTCTCCCCCTCTCCCCCTGTCTCGTCCATACCGCATTGGTGTGTCGATTGGTGCATACCACGCCCCGTCAGGTGTGCCTACACTGCAACTGCACTGCTAGCCTACTGCACTGCTCGCCTACCCCCTGAGGGCATGCGATTGTAACGATCGTGCATGTCCCCGTCGCAGTTTGCTTCCAGATCTCCCGACTCCGACTCCCCCCTCCCGCGCGACTCGGCTTCCCCAGCACAGAATGCAAGCAGAGGCATGAGTGCCCTCCCCTACCGCGCACCCCCTCACACCATCCTCACCTCACCGGCCCCCAACCGCCGGACATGACCCCCCGGGGCCTGCTGGCCGTCGTCTGCTGCGCGATCTGGTCAGCGGCCGTGGCCACGGCACTCCCCAGCTCGACGACCGACCACACCTCCTCCCACGGCACCTTCGTCAAGCACAGCGAACCCGACCCGTTATGGCACATATACGGGCTGAACCGCTCCGAGGAGTTCAAGTACTTCCACGAGCCCGGCCGCGACGACACCCTGGGCCACTACGATTCGCGATTCTTCCGCGGCGAGCCCGTGCCGGAGGAGGAGCGCTCCGTCACCCTGACGCATATGATCCGGGCGTATCTGAATTTCTTTGAGGACAATGCGCTGGAGACGTGGATCGCGCACGGCACGTTGCTAGGGTGGTGGTGGAATGGCAAGGTGGGTGGTCGTGGTGGCGTTTTGCCCTGGGTTTTCTGGCCGTTCACTCACATTCCGCAGATCATGCCCTGGGATTGGGACATCGACACCCAGGTCATGGATACCACGCTGTTTCACCTCGCCGATCACTTCAACCAGACCGTCGTCCAGTACACCACCGCCAATCCCCAGACCGAACGCAAGTACCTCCTCGACGTGAACCCGTGGGCGCGACAGCGCGATCGCGGCATGGGACTGAACATCATCGATGCGCGCTGGATCGACATCAGCACGGGCTTATATATCGACATCACCGGGTTGAGCCGTCTCAACCCCAACAAACCCACCCGGTGGGAGTGCAAAAACGGGCACGAGTATCAGACGGATGACATCTATCCGCTGCGCACATCGACCTTCGAGGGCGTGACGGCCAAGGTGCCGTTCCGGTATGACGGGGTACTCACGGAGGAGTACACCAAGAAGGCGTTGACCAACACCCAGTTCCATGAGTAAGTATTTGCCTTGCCTCCGCTGCATCTGACAAGTAGCAACATGGCTGACACGGGACCAGTCACACGTGGAACCCAAAACTAGAGGAGTGGGTGCTAGACGAGCCGGCCGCGAAAGACGGCAAGGACGACCGGCAGTATGAGTGATCTGGAGCATTATATACTATCCATCCATCGAGTGCGTCATGCGGCATAGATCCGCGGTCATAGTATCGTAAATATCGGTGTTGGGGTTTTGGGCATGGCGGCGTTATCGTTTTGGACAGTCCATATTCATTTCGAATCAATCAATCTTCACATAATCAACCTACCCACCGGGGGCATTATCCCGATACGTAAATCGGAACGTAGGACGAGTGTGGGGGGGGGGGTGCTAGGTATATCCCAGACAGGATCACTTAACTCCAGACACATCAGAGACACGGCAGATTAAGGCCAGATTAAGCAGCGCGGATCGCCCGATCTGGGCCTGAGGCACTAGGCAGACTGACTGTCAGTCACATGGCACACTAGAGGTGGAGTTACACTGTACTCTGCTACTGGTGACACGTGATGCGGTCTAACCTGTTCCGGATTCTGTATTTGGGTACATCTTATCGCCACATGACCATGACGGTCATCTTATCGCTGACAAACAAATCGAAGTCCATCGAAGAGTCGATCATCGTCGTCTGCGTCTGTCGCGACTCGCGACGGGCAATATAACATCTCACCGTCGTCCTCCCCATCTCTCGCTCCCCACCCTCCAACCCGTCCAGATCTCAAATCAAAATGTCGACCTCCCCAGAGCACAACACCAGCAACCATGACCCCAACAGCGACAGCGACATCCACAGCGACACCATAACCCTACAAATCCACCACCGCAACACCCCCACACCCTAACCGTGCCCTCAACCAGCACGCTGACAGACCTGACCACCCTCCTCTCCGACACCCTACACATCCCCCCGGCCAACCAAAAACTCCTCATCGCCCCTAAACCCGGCATGCTCAAACACCCCTTCGCGCCCACCCCGCTCTCCACCCTCCTCCCGCTCACCTCCCCGAAATTCAAACTCACCCTCCTGGGCACCCCGACCAGCGACATCGACACGCTCAACGCCCAAGCCACAGCCCTCAAGACGCAAGCCGAGGCGCGTCTCCAGGCGTGGCGAACCTACGGCGCATCGCCTACCCGCTCCTCCTCCTCCTCCTCCTCCTTCTCCACAACCAACAAAATCCACACCCTCTCCTCCTCCTCCACCTCCAGCAATTCAGACACCTACACCTTCCACCGTCTCCTCCCCCTCCCCCACCTCCCCCACCCAGAACGCAGCCTCACCTTCCTCACCCGCCTGCGCTCCGACCCAGGCATCCGCTCCGCCATGGCCAAACACAAATTCTCCGTCCCGCTGCTCACGGAAATGGACCCCATCGAACACACCACCATGGAGTCGCGCACGCTCGGCCTGAATCGGAATAAAGGCGAGGTGATCGAGTTGAGGTTGCGCACGGACGCTTACGACGGGTATCGCGATTACAGGACCATTCGCAAGACGCTGTGTCATGAGCTGGCGCATTGCGTGTTCAGTGACCATGATCGGGATTTCTGGGATTTGACGGCTCAGATTGAGAGGGAGGTCGAGAGGGGGGATTATACGAAGAGTGGGAGGACGGTGGGCCAGGAGGAGTTTTATAATCCTCGGGATTGGGAGGGCGTGGAGAGTGGGGAGGTTGTGGTTGATGAGAGGGGGTGGACCGGGGGGAGTTTGTTTTGGGGGGTCCGGTGGTGGTGGTGGTGGTGGTGGTGGTGGGCAGGGGAGGGGTGAGAGTCGGAGGGAGGTTTTGGCGAGGGCTGCGGAGGAGAGGATGAAGAAGGCAAAGGAGAAGGAGAGGGAGAGGGAGGGTAGGTCGTGATGGGATGGGTTGTGTATACTTATTTGTTGACAGGCTGGTTTGGCTTGGCTTGTTTATACCGCAGTGCACGCTGTACAATTTTTGCTTGTGTACACGCATACATAGCATGGCATTAAGTTACAATATGATAATGACATGAACCGACTTTATACCTGCTCATTCACCAGCAACCCTGCCATGCCCTGGCCCGTGCCAATGCACATACTCGTCACCAGGACCTTCTGCTTCGTGCGTCGGGCCTCGCTCAGCACCGTGCAGATCTGGCGCGCGCCTGTCGCCCCCAGCGGGTGGCCCAGCGCGATGGCGCCGCCGCGCGGGTTCACCTTGGCGTGCTCCAGACCCAGGTTGTTCAGACAGTAGACGGCCATGGAGGCGAACGCCTCATTGATCTCGTAGATGTCGATATCGTCCTTGCTCAGGTTGAACTGGGACAGCAGCTTGGGGATCGCCGCCGTCGGGCCAATGCCCATGATGCGCGGCGGCACACCCGCAACCGTGGCACCGCAGAACTTGGCCAGAATGGGCTGGTTCAGCTCAATAGCCTTGGAGCGGCGCATGAGAAGCACGGCAGCGGCTGTAGATAACAATCAGCACTACCTTCCCCTCTACGACTCAGTAAAGGAACCAAACTCACCACCATCGGTAACCTGACTCGAATTCCCCCCGGTGCTCCGATTCCCAAACCCCGGGAAAGCGGGACGAATCTTACCAAGTGACTCCGCAGTCGTTCCATACCTCACGCCCTCATCCTTCGTCAAAGTAACCTCCTTCACCTCGCCGGTCTTCGGATCCTTGACGGTCGTCTTAATCGGCACGATCTCATCATCAAACCACCCCGCCTTCTGCGCCTCCTCCGCCCGCCGGAACGACTCCGCCGCGTACCGATCCTGCTGCTCGCGCGTGATCCCAAAGTCCGCGCCCACGTTCTCCGACGTCTGTCCCATCGGCTGCATGCAATCCGCCGCCTCCTGGTTGCGGAGGACTTCCTCGTTGAACGGGCGCGGCATCCGATCGCCAGGCGCGGACATCAGCTCCGCTCCGACGGCAATGCCGACGTCGATGGCCCCGAGCTGGATCTGGTTCGCGATATCCTGCACGGCTTTCAGCCCCGACGAGCAGAAGCGGTTCACGGACGATCCGCCCGCCGTGTGCGGGATGCCGGCGGCGAGGGAGGCGGCGCGGACGAGGTAGGCGGCTTTGCCGTCGTTGACCTGTATCCAGAGAGTGTCACGTTTAGCTGGTAGTGATATACATTATTGTGGTGATGTGGACGACGTACGTTTCCTAGACAGACATCCTCGACCAGAGCGGGGTCGAGCTTCGATTTAGACAGGAGTTCTTTCAGGAGCGCGTAGATCAGGTAGTCCAGCTCGGTGTCCTTGAAGCCACCCTTGACGGCTTTGGTGAGCGGCGTGCGCAGCGCGAGCGTGATGACTACATCGTCGGGGTTCTTCTGCGTGCTGGCGTGCTGGTTAGCGGTGCGGAAGCGGGAGGTCGAGATGAGAAGTGTGGTGCTTACATGGCGGAGAGTCCGCTGGCTCCGGACGGTTTCAGGTGGTTGAGGATCGAGGAGAGACGGTCGGCGGCCATGATGCTCTGTTCTGTGGATTGACGGGGTTAGTGTGGCTGGATTTTAGGCTCGGGGGTGAGTTGGAGATGGAGATGAGGCAGATGGCGAGGGGGGGGCGGAGGTAAGCGGAGAAAGGACAGATTGGAGTGTGGGAAGACGTGTAGGGACAGTCGACGACAGACTACTATGCACGTACCTGTACTGTCGGGAAGTGGAATGCAAAAGCAAGAAGTGGGCAAAGAAGCAGTCAGGAAGGGGGAGGGGCGAGATGATATAATGCTCATGCTGGGCAGATGCGGCGTTTCGTTGCCAGCCGAGCACCAGCCGAGGCTCTTGCCGCTCTGGGATAACCTCCGACCAGTAGTACTAGCTACTTTCTGGCTCGGCCAATTTATGAGGCCGGCGAGGGGTGTGTATGCAGCGTCTATCCGATGCGAGGTTTCCGTTGTTTCTACCAAAAGTCCAGATATATGTACAGTCTTCCACCAATTACGAGCGATACCCATCACCAAAAATCAATCAAAGCGGCTCAAGCAAAGTAACACCAGTCGCCTTTCCATTAGCGCCGTCCGTCCATGAAAGCAAATTCCAGCCAACCAGTCCCATGCCTACAAGTAGTGGTGTTCTTCGTTGCTGATGACGCTGCCAACCTCCGACCAGCTGGCCGGGGTCGCCGCACCCGACCGCTCGAACTCGCTCAGGGTGCCCTCCGACGACGTATCCGCGGCTGACCCGTGGATCTGACTGAAGCTACTGGCAACAGACGGCGTCGAGGGGGTAGACGGGCGATAGTGATCAAAGTCATCAAAGGGGTTGTTCGCCGGGTTAGCATCTGGATACGCGTTCGCAGTGGTGTCGTTGGCATGGTCATCCGGGTGAGCATACAACACCTCGGAAAAGTCTTCCGTATGGCTGGTCGCCGCCGATTCCGGTCGAGTGCTAGGACCAGCAGATCCTACGGAGCGCTCGCCATCTTCAGACTGCGAAATAAAGGAGGCCTCGAGCCTATCTGGCACTTCGGAGGTCGGGGTGAATTCAACCAGCGACGGTGTACGAGCATCAGGCGATGGGATAGAAATTTGTAGACGATCTGGGCCAAGACTCTTGATACCGTCGCTGTCAACCATGGCAGACGAGTTCCCCGCCGGCTTGCCGCGCTGAACAGGCTGTGACGTAGTTAATTCGACCGCAGTCGAGTTTGCCAACGAGTCGTTGGCATGAGGCTCAGAGACGTCCAGAAGTCGGCCACTTTCATCGACCAGAGAGTCGAAGCTGCTCGCCGGCGTGCTTTCTCGAGGATTACGACGTGCCTCCAGCAAGCTGCGTCGGCGTTGGAGCTCTTCCACCGCGATCCGCCGTCGCTCCTCAGCGGCAGCGCCCACCTCTTCCGTCATGGAGATATCCTGTCGGTAAGGCGCGGCATCTTGCGGGTGAATCTCATCGCCCAGATTATGTAACGCGACGGCGATTTTCCGTCGGGAGTTGTTCACCCATTGTCGGAACTGGGGCGATTCGTAGACCGCGATACCTGCAGCGACAAGCGCCGACACGGTGATGATAATCCCTGAAAGGTCAGTGTTACAGCCTGTGAGCTGAAACGACTCGAGAAGAACAGCTCTTTTACAAAAAAAGAAAGCACATTCGAATCACGCCACAGAGGATGCCTATCGACCCGGGCTCGAGCAGGTCATACGGGGGGGGGGGGGGGGGGTTCAGGGTTGCAGCGTCTACTGATAAGCACACCGCCCGGGTGAAACAAGAGAAGCAGTCCTGGATGGAATGGAGACAATGGAAAAGCCCCTGGAGAGCAAGCATACCTTTAGCTACCGGAGTAGGCATCGCAACAGTACCCTCAGTCGCGCAGAGTCAGTCCTGGCAGTGCAGGCAGTCCAGCAGGCAGCAGTCGGAGAGATGGGGAGGGTCGGCGTCACGTCGACTCGCTCGGCCTGTCATCGCCGTTCCCCGCCAGCCCGCCACATGACCCGCCGCTGCCCTTATCCGCCAGCCCTACCTGCCCGCCCGATCAGGCATCCCGTCCGATCCCCTCCGCGTCGACATCAAAACATCAACAACAGCGTCATCAACCATACACAACAGCAACCACACACCATCACCATGTCCCGCCAACCCTCTCAGGCCCAGCGCCCTCTGACCCTCACCGAGGAGCTCGAGAAGCTCGAGCAATCCATCACCCTCACCCTCCAAGGTACGTACGCCTACATACATGCCCAACCCTCCCTAACAACCACCCTATACACCTGCTAACTAACACGCACCCTCAGAAATCGACCACAACTTCAGCCAAGCGCACCGCATCGTCACAACCAGCATCCTCCCCGTCGTCGAACAATACGCCGACAGCTCCCGCGACGTCTGGCAAGGCGCCCAGGTACATCCTCCCCCCCTCGGCCCCTCCAACCAACCAACCCACCCAAAACCCCTCACTAACCTCCCCCATAGTTCTGGAAACAATTCTTCGAAGCCAGCGCGAACGTCTCCCTATCAGGCTACGAAGAAAAGCCCACCGAAGACACCTTCCAAGACCAAACCGCCAGCACCGCCGAAGAAGAAGACCCCTCCTCTACCTCCTTAGCCGAAACAGAAACCCAATCCCCCTCACACCGAGCCACAGACATGGAAATGACCTCCCTCAGCCTCTCCTCGCACAGCACGCCCCGCGCACCCCTTCACGACCAATCCTACAACGATGACGACACCGAAACGCACTTCCCTCACCGTCCCCAAACCAACAACAACCTAGACGACGACTTCGACATCGACCTCGACATCCACGATAACTACGACGACGAAAATGACCCGTACCTCCCCACTACACCCGCCAAATACACATCCTCCTCTCGTCATCACAGCAACCATAACGAATACGCCACGCATGATGAATCGCACACCCCGCTCTCCTCCTCCCCCTTCGTCCCGCCGCCCGAAAATCCCGTCCTGCACCAAATGCACGACAAGACGTACCGCGTCCAAGCCACGCCCCTGGGCAAGGGGTACCCGTCCGCCTCCGCCCGGTCCAAGTTCGCCGTAACGCCCAAGACAAATAAGAATAAATACGCGTACAACGATTCCCCGATCTCGAGTCCGGAGCCGGAGGCGCCGCGGTTGCATGCGGAGATTTTTTCGTCGCCGATGAAGGGGGTTGAGACGCCGAATACGGGGCGGAGGAGGAGGCCAAGCTCACATCGGGCAAGACTTACCCCGCAGCCCGGTTTGAGTGTGCTTACGCCGGCGAGGGGGGTTGGTGGTGGTGGTGGCAGACGGGGAGGGTGGGATAGCGATGATGATATGGAGCTCGATGAGGATTTGGGCCCCAGTCCCCCGAAGACGATGCAGTTTCATATTCCGCAGAGTCGATTGATGAAGACGCCTGGTGAGTGGGATTTCTTTCCCCTTTGCTCGCTGTTAAAGTGAGGGTCGTGCTAATGTGTATGTGAGTACAGCTAAGGAAGCCTCGAAGCGCATCGTGGAGGATCTGCTCTTCACGGCAGGCGCGAATGACACCACAGATGATCTGCCAGACGAGCAGAGCCCTAGTGTGATTCGACGCGTCGAGCGGTTGGAGGATGAGACTTTCTAGGTTCTGGGCACGTTGCATGGTCACACTGGGGGTTTGTTTACGTTGTGGATTATGACAAATATGAATACATACACAGATATGAATACATACTTAATCACGATCTACTACGTAGCAATAAGTTATGAATGCATACACAAACACAAATGCATAATTAGTCAAGCTCTCGCACTGGGTTACGTTGATACCCCAGTATCCTCCTTCTACCCCCATCACTACGACACTACGCTATCTCAACCACCCTCAACATAAAACGCAACTATTAAAAAGACCTGGGTATGGTATTCCAGACGTCCACTCAAAGCACAGGGCACAGGACAGGACAGACACGAGATCGACTGTTTCGGTAACACCACGACTAAGTACTAGCTTCGAACCTGCGGGATTCAACCAAGTAGAGGAAAAAAGAAAGAGATTACATGCGTGTAGGGTAGTGCAAGGACACATCAGGGTATCGACGGAGGCGCTGATCGGAAGATGATCATCAAAGGAATCTTGGGGTGGGAGGGATGAATGGATGGATGGATGGATAGGTAGATAGATGAGGAAGGTGCCAGGGAGGAGAGAAAATAGAGAGAGAGAGAGAGAGAGAGAGAGAGAGTAAACGGAAATGTATGCAAAAGGACCAATCACCCACGCCGCCGCGATATATGTACAATTGTCGTGCTGACAAGATTCGGGGTATTCTAACGAAGAATGAAACAGAGTATCTTTTCAGCAGCCAAGAAGGGAAGTGCGATTAGGAAGCAAAAAAGACGAGTGGGGGGGGGAGTCGCCCCGTTCGCTCACACGCCAGACCAGGCAAAACCAGGCCTAATGTGACGCGGGAGGCGAACCGGGGAGGCTGCCTACCTAACCCTGCATACCCATGAAGATCTCCTGACAGTTCTCCACCAAAAACTTCAATACCTCGTTCTTCTTCTGTACGTCGGTCATTTCCCGTGCAAGACTCTGCGGCCGCATGATGGTGGGCGCAAACACCACGGCAATGTTCTGGCTGGTCATCAGATTCTCCTTCTCGCGCTCGACCACGCGCCTCAGGTGGAACACCAGGAACTCGAGCACATCTTGGTGCACGCGTGGCAGCTCCCGGAGACTCTTTTGTAGGTTCTCAATCCGGGCAGCCTGTGAGGTGATTTCTCCCGAGTCGATGACCATCTCGTAGACCTCGAACGTGATAAGCGGAGTGGGAAGCTTGCGGAAGTACTGCTTGAGCGCCGAGGTCACTGCGTGGATATCCAGATCGGGGTCAGAGATATCGTAGTCCTGCGGAGATCGTTCAAAGCCTTCGCGAATTGTTTGAATGGCGGAACTAGCACCCGACTTCCGGTAGATACCTTCCATGTCCATGCCTAGGCGACTGTTAGTCTCTGGATTTTAAAGAAAGAGATGGCAGGAAATACCTCGTAGTTCAACTTCTTGGATACAGCGGGTAACAATGGCGGGTATAATGCTCTTCTCATGCTCCATACGCATTTCCAAATCGGTACCGAAAAGGGCTGGAAAGGTGTAAGTAATTTCTTCAAGGACAGGGAACGTGACTCTAGATAAATACCTCCAGGAGTAGGTGTCTCAGCAAGAGCCGGAACACTGTCGGTTTGCGGCATCCGCACTCCCGTTGTCTTGCTTCGCTGGTTGCCGAAGAATCCAAAGCCCTGGCGACTGGGGTCTTGGGTCTGAGAGCGTGGAAGACCGGGGCCAACCTCAACGGGCGTAGCTTCACTTGACATGAAAGCGCCTTTGAGACCCTTAGTAACGCCCTTGGCGACGTTCTGGCCTCCCTTCTTCCAGTTGAACTTGCGAGGTTGTCCCTTGCGGATGCTGACCACCTGAGGTCCTGGAACGATCGTAGCCGGTTCAGCCTCTTCAGAGAGATTTGTTATCGGGACCAAATCGCTGTTGGCTGCTTTCAAGGCTTCAATGGACGAAAGCGACTTCTCCTTGCCATGCGAATAGATACCAAGACCATTGGCACCGCGAGGGCCTTCATTCGGGCTGGCCTTGTAAAGCTCCTGAATCTGGTGCACCAACTGGTTGTTCAATTCGGCGAGCTGGGCATTCTTGGAGGACAGCTGCTCGAACTCTTGGAAGCTCTTATCCTTCATGCGGTTCAAGTTGGCAAGTTCCTCGGCGGCGTCGTTGCGCTTCTGCACCAACTCTTCGATCTGGGGTGTGAAGGACTCCTTTAGCTTCTGGATCGACTCCACAAACTCGCGCAAGACATGGTTGGACAGCTTGCCAAGGTCTAGGGAGCCACCTCCACCGCGCTTTTCGGCCTCAAGATGGTCCGTCAACACGGAGAGTTCCCGCATGGCAATCTCCTTCTTGGCATCCAAGACGACCATGGTGGATCGTTTCTCGTGCAGCTCGGTATTGACCTGCTTGACCTCGGCACTGGCGTTGAGCATCGCTTCCATGTCGGCAATCTTCTGCTCCCGATCGAACACACGCTGCCTTTCTTTGCGTAGCTCGTTGCGCAACCATGTCACCTCCTCCGGTCCTGCAGTCTCGGGGTTGATGGCCGAAGGGCTTCCCAAGTCGGGTAGCACCGCAGACCCGTTGATGGGCGATTTGGGCCATTTGGCATCCTTGGATAGGCGCGATCCTTTGTCGCTGTAGCTGCGGCCGTGGCGCACTGAGTTAGACACGCGACGCAGGAAAGACTCGTTCGTCTGTCCGGGGTGACCATCTTCCGAACCCAGGATGCGGGCCATATCTTCGTCCATGGTGAAGTCGCCGCCGCCATTGTACCGCAGCAACGACGGAGAAACCGCACCATCGCCCTGGCGATAGGAATCCACCTGTTGGACGGTACTGATCGAGTTCGGACGCGCGAGGGGCTTTGGCTGCTCATTCATATCGCTGCGCGGAGTCCAAGCGGATTCACCAGTTCTCGGGGTGCTCTTGCTAATTCCGGTCCTGTCCGTAGATCGCTCGCTCCACTGGTCACTAGCAGTGATCGATGCCGGACGAGGGGACATGGCGGCTTCCTTTCTCGAAGTCTGGTGCAGCTTGCTCTCTAGAGAGTCGCCCCGCTTGGGATGGGGCTGCATGCTCGAAGAGGATAGGAACGACTGTGCCGAGTCAACAGATCCACTGGCCTCGTGGAGTCGACGGAGTTCATGAGACGGCCGAATCGGGAGTGTAGTAGTGTTATCGACCGCCATTCTCGGGAACTCTGCGGCAGGCCCATCTCTCTGTGAGGCGCTCGCTGATCTGGTGCTTTCAGGGCTGGGCGTGGAGAATGTGCTGGTCTCTTTCCGTCCCATGTCGGACCGCGAACTGCGAGCTGAGGCGGACCTTGCGCCGTTGGCGAGGTCATCCTGGCGCCAACGTGCCGCATCAAGGTCGCCGCGGCCCTTTTCTTGGTACGCAATGTGGGGAGACGAAGCCGCCGACTCGTGAGGCGATTTCTGGTATGACGTGGAAGGAAGCTGTCCACGAGGGGATCGTTGCTCTTCATTGGGGTCGAATGCGACTGGAATCAGGAATTCCCCGCCATCTGCCTCGGTAGGAACCACTGAGTGCCGATTGCTCCGGTAAGTGCTCGAAGGAAGGATGAGGTTGTCTGGGGGTAGAAAATCCAAGAGTTAGCCCGAGGGGGTCACAACGCATCAAACTATTCATATGCTGCCAGCTTACCTTGATTATCGGGGGGTGCACGAGTAGCAGAAGCACTTCGGCCCCTTCCTGCGTCCAGCGCAGGTGCGGCTCCTCGCACAGCTGCTTCGGGAATCGCGTCTACATAGGAATCGGCAACAGGGTCGTCCGAGCCACGAGATCTCGGTTCGGGTTCCTCTGAGGGCAAAGAGGGAAGTGACTTGTCGAGCTTTATGCCTGGAGGCGCCTGTTTTCGAGACGGAGGAGCATTCCGACTCCTCTTCCGCCGGCTTTGCATGAGTAATTCATGGCAGTCCATACAGAAGATACCCTGCGACGTGCGAGCATAGCGCAGATTCTCGATTTTCTTTTTGCACTTCCGGCATCGGAAGCACTGTGCGCAGAATGCCTGTTCGCCCGTCAAGATCGCGAGGTCCTCAATTTTGTTTCCACATGAACTGCAGCTGTAGGTGCAATTGCTGCAGATCAACGATCCATCTCCAAGAAGTAGCAGGTGCGCGTCGGAATCGAGAAGGGTACCGCAGGTGCTGCAGCAAAAGCATTCAATATGCCATCGATTGCCAGCTAAACGGAGAAAAGGAGCGGTCAGCGACATGTCCAGAAAAGGAGTCCAAGAATTTATCGGACGCAAACTTACCAAGCTCGAAAGCCTTGCCCTCTTCTAGAATCTATTCGTAAAGAAGAAAAAAAAGCAGATTAGCCCGCGATGCCCATTAATTGTTCCAACCAAGTCCACAATGCGTACCTCGCCACAACCCTTACAAGGGAATGGAATATCATCCTGCTCCAAGGGAGACTCAGGATACGCCGGAGACTCCATCTTCGACTCCGCTTCCGAGGAACGATCGAAAACGGCGAGCTTATTAAGGTGAAAGAGTCAATTTGGTGGGAGGAGAGGGCGGGTGGGGGGTGGGTAGGGAGGATATAAAGCCGGGGGTCGCGCCCGCGAAGTTTAAAAGGGTTGAGGGAATCGGCGATGTTGAAGAAGGTTTTTGGGCACCAGGTACGCAACCGACGTGAGAGGAAAGTTCCGAGCCCCGTCGACAAACAATAAGAAGGATCGCTGAAAAAGCATACGACGGAGGAGGGGGAGGAGCGCGGTGGTGGTGGTAGTGCGGTGGTTGTCCCGACGGGGGGGGGTTCTTTTGGTGATGGAGAAAGAAGGACACGTCCGCGCGCGGAATCAATGCAATTAACTCTCACCACGCAGGGACAGCAGCGATACGAGCATAGAAAGGTTAGAGGGTCTAGGGAGATGGAGATTAGATTAATGGCAGGGTTAGTGGCAGATCAAGCAGGGCCACCATAGTGGAGGGGAGGGGGGTTAAAGCGCAATAACAATCAATCGATAGGGTCAAGACGATAGATTAATGACGAGAGGCAGCCAGACCAGCCGGGCCAGGGGTAGCAGCAGCAGCCGTCGCAGCCGTCGCAGCAGCAGGAGGAGGAGGAGCAGCAGCAGCAGCAGCAGCAGCAGCGGAGTGAGGGAGGGAGGGGAGGGGCTGGATTGGGACGGTCCCTAGTGGTAGATAGTACGTACCATGCAGTCAGGTCAGCAAGCAGCAACTGACGCAGACACAATGTGCAATCAAGGACAAGGACAAGGACGCTCTCGTAAGACGTGAGGGCAGTCACCCCAAACCCAAAAGAAATTCAAAAGGAAAAAAAAAAAAACTGAAGCAGAAGGGAAGGGAAAAGGTGAGCCAGTGGAACTGGACAAGGAAGAGAAAAGATTATTGAGCCAGGGGAGAGCGAAGAGGGAAAGGACGGAAAGAGAGTTGGAGGCCGAAATGAAACACACCAAACGGCGAGCGCCGTTTCAGATAGATTCCAACATCCAACAATCCATCCCCTCCCTCGCCAGCTCACTCCTCCGTGCCAGGGTGACCCTGCCTGCCATCTATCTAGTCATCGATATATCTATCTATCTCCATTCAATAGTGATCATAATAATCATCATTTATCCCCCCCCTCCCCTTCCTCCCAATCCAGGTGCCAGGAACAAACGAACAAACCCGGATACGAGAAATGAGACATGGATACGGTACGGTGTACTAGCCACCTTCCTGTTTCGGTAGGGACTGGACGGCCGGTGGAGGTATTTGGCCGTACCGGTACGGTTCGAGACACCTCAGGCAGCCATCGATCTGGGTCCAAGGAACTCTATCTATTAATACTCTTCTGGTGAGGATTATCTATTCACTCTCTGTCGACTCGATATCTCGAGGCCCAAAAGTATATACTCGGTGATAGTCGCCAGGTGTCTATATTATACATGATATCACCCCCCCCCCAACACCAACACCAAAACCAACACCAACACCATCAAACATTATTAATATCATGTACTACCTCCCTTTTATCCCATAGCCCTTCCCGGGGAATCGTCATAAAGAAAAGGAACAAACAACTAGAAACAAGAAATATAATAAACTCGGATCCCCAACAAAATACCAGCAAGGGGTTATCCTTGAGACTTTCTCCGGTCTTTCTTCCCCCCCTATGTGCGGTCGCTCCGCGTGTAGCCTTCATTCCACCATCGAGCCTCACGTCTCCAGCGACTGGTGAAGCACGCTCGTCCGATACATCTCACTGCGCTGGATCAGTTCCTGATGGGTGCCTTGTTCCGTACAACGACCCTCTTCGATCAGATAGATCTGATCCGCCCGGTGGATGGTGTTCAGCCGATGCGCGATCGCGACCACCGTCGTGCGGCCCGCCAGCGTCGCCAGGGCTTCTTGGATCTTCTTCTCCGACTCCACATCGAGCGCGCTCGTCGACTCGTCCAGCAGCAGCAGTCGCGGCTTGCGCACGAGCGCCCGCGCAATCGACAGGCGCTGGCGCTGTCCCCCGGAGAACTGCCTGCCGTCGTGGTTGCACATCGTCTGGTATCCTTCCGGCAGCGCTACAATGACGTCGTGGATGTTGGCCATGCGACACGCCTCTTCGATCTCCTCCTGTGTGGGTTCATGGCTCGGACAGGCCCCTAGGCCGATGTTGAAGGCAACGGTGCCTTCGAAGAGAACGTTCTCTTGCGGTACCAGGGCGATGTCGTCCCGGAACTCGGTGCCCAGCTGCCGCGTCACGTCGACCCCGTCGATGATTACCGACCCGGAAAGGGGCCGGTAGAACCTCTCCAGCATCGCAAAGGTCGTCGACTTGCCCGATCCACTGGGCCCGACCAGCGCACAGAACTGGCCAGGCTTGATGTCGATGTTGAGACCCCGCAGAACCGGGCGTTCGGGCCGGTTGGGGTAAGTGAAATGCACCCCGCGGAGCTGCGCGCCAATGCCGTTGCCGTGCGTCCGCCGGGGCGCCCTGCGTGCTGGCCTCTCGGCGGCCTCAACATCCTGTGCGACCGCATTCTCCTCGAGCAAGCCACTCGAGGGCTGGAAGCCGTGCATGGAATCCGGCGCCAGCTCCTCCTCCGCGGAACAAGTTGTGAGCAGGTCGGCAATGTTGGATGACGCCAGACGCGCCTTGGAGAGATCGGGAGCAAGGGCAAACATCTGCCCACAAGACTGCGTACTGAAGAGCAGGGCCGGCAAAATGATGAAAAACTGGGTTTGGGAGTACAACCCTGATGCGACTTGTTTCGATCCCCACCAATATGCGAGGGCATAGACGAAGTTGCTGATGCTGAACGCCAACGCCAGCCAGGCGTTGCCATGTGCAATCGCTTTCATGGTGTCCCGGTAGGGACGGCGCAGGGCTCGGCTAAAGACTTCATGCGATTGCTTTTCCAGGGAGAAGGCAGCGACGGCGCGGATGTTTTCCACGGCCTCGACGGTAATGGCCGTTGCCTGAGCAAACGCTTTCTGATGCCGTTCGGCAAACTTGGCTTGGACCCGGAGCTTCATTATGCCCGCCACCAGCAGCACAGGGATAGTCGGAAACAAGACAATGGTGATCTTCCAAGCAATTGCAAACGAGATCGTAAGACCCGCTACTAGGTTCACAGCGGTGGCAAGAAGGAGTCCGATGGTGGTCCCGGTGATACCGCTCAGCGACGCAGCATCGCCAGTGATGTAGGTGATCAAAGTTCCTGGCGTCCGGTCTTCCATGCCGTGCCATTGCACCGTTTGACGGAGTAGGGACCGCAGGGACAACACTCGGATGCGATACAAGATCTTGTCGGCGGCCCAGCCAAAGGCACAGCCACCCACCACGTTCGCTGTAAGCTCCACCAGCGCAAGGATAAAGAACAGCAGTCCATATAGATTGCCGCTGTCACTGATGGCGCCAGGGGACCGGCATGGACTCAGACTGCCGACCGTATGACCAAAGACGACCGCCTCAGCGGAGTAGCTACCACCGATGATGATGGACATACAGAGACCAAGCAAAATCAAGAGCATGTTGGCTCGCATGAGAGACAAAATGTACCGGACAGTAAACCAAATGGAACGCTTCTTTCCCTTCTTTTTGCCATCCTCCTTCCCGTCCTTCGATCCAGGAGGTGTATCACCAAACACCGTGTCCTCCGTGATATCTGAGCCACTGACACCTACCAGAGGCTCCTTGTCATCGTCCCTGTCATCGTCGAGCCCCATGCTTGCGAAGACAGTACTTGTCCCGGGTGTGCTGCCAAATATCGAATCATCTGGGATGTCAAGGTCTTGGGCACTCAACTTCCCTAGATTCTGAAGCCGTACCATCTCAGCGTAAACACCGCCTTGGGCTACGAGGTCCGAATGAGACCCTTCTTCTGTGACGCGCCCGGTTTGAACGACAATGATTTTCTGCGCGCTTTTGGCAGTAGCCAGTCGATGTGCAATGGAGACGGTAGTGACGTGTTTGGAGACCTTGGCCAGTGCCGCCTGGATGAGTTGTTCGCTCGTGGAATCCAAAGCTGCCGTAGCCTCATCGAGGATAAGCAAAGATGGCTCCCGTACGAGAGCTCGAGCAAGCGCGATGCGCTGTTTCTGACCTCCGCTAAGCTGGTTTCCAGCCGTTCCGACGTTGGTTGCGAGTCCGTGAGGCAAGGCGTCAATGAAGTTCAGGGCGTTAGCGTTCGAGGCCGCCTGTCTCACCAGTTGCAAGATTTCGGCTACGCAGCTATCGAACTCGGTAAGAGTAACGATCTCTGACGCGCCTTCCCTGATCTTCTGAGCGAAGTCTGGGAGGCTTGAATCGAGAATGAACGGGGCCAGGCGTTGATGCCTCTCTGCGGCTGAGGCAACCAGGCCATAGGCGATATTTTCAAGGATCGTCCGATCAAGCAAAGATGGTTCCTGTTGAACAAATCCAATATTCCCACGCAGGTTCCGAACATTGAGATCACGGAGGTTCTTTTCTCCTACAGTGACCCCTCCTGATTTAGGGTCGTAGAACCGTTCCAAGAGGGACACCACGGTTGACTTTCCACCGCCAGAGGGTCCGACAATAGCCGTATGCTTCTTTGGCGGAATGACAAAGCTCATTCCCTGAAGCACAGGGACATCTGGGCGAGCTGGGTAGGAGAAGTGGACATCATGGAACTCGATGTTCTCTTCTCCAAAGGCAACCGTCTTGTCGCCTTCATCCCCAGTTCCATCAATGACGGACGGGCGGTTGATCACGGCCAAGAGCCGCTCTGAGGCACCGGCTGCCGAGGCGAAGACGTGGATAAAGGGCGCGACCTGGCTCAGGATGAAAGAGGCATCGATGAGTACGAAGATAACGGTATAGACTGCACCCACAGAAACGCCTGAGTCGCCGTGGGCTAACGACCTGGAGATCATCTGAGAACCCTCCCAGTAGGCCAGGGCATTGGCGGAGTAGGCAACGAAGTATAAGCATCCAAGCTGTGCGGCGTGAGTTCCGGCCTTTTTGAGCGCATCCAAGGACGATCGCGAAAGGTAACTGGCGAATCGCTGTTCCAGACGGTCATTGGCATTGAAAGCATGGACCAGGGTCAGATGCGACAAACTAGACGAGGCGATCGATGTAGCTGCATTGATGTTGGCGGTGACACGGCTCCCATACTTCTTGATAAAATGACCGCCCACCAGGGACATCAGAAGGAAGCATGGAACCACCGATACCAACATACCCGCAATCCTAGGCACCTTGATAAAAGCCACGACATAAGCGGTCACGAAGTATGACACCGTTGTAATAACCAGGCCAACCTTCTCCGATGTTCCCGTCTGGACGGTCTCGATGTCGCTAACTAATCGGGATATCACATCACCAGGAGGCAGAGACTCGATGAACTCCATGTCCTGTTTGATTATACTCTCGAAGTACCGTCTACGATAGCGGCGCGCAAGCCGCTCACTCACCAGGCACCAACATGAGGTGTAGGTGTAGATGATGAAGAAGTTTGCTATCGTGATGTAGACCACATAGAGGGCCTTGGTGCGTACGCTTGATGCCAAGTCGGACGAAGGGCTGTCGGAAGTAGAGCAGGTGGTCGAATTGAGGTCGTTGATCAAATCACCGAAGACAATCCCGAGTAGTGGAAACGGAACCCCGCCAGCAATTGCAGAGAGAACACCGCCGATTATGAGGAAAACGTCGGACTTTGTATAGTCTAGAGAGAAGAGAAGGTTGATGTAGGAGAAAAACTTCTTGATGTCATCTTTGGTAGGATTGAGGCTTTTGAAATATTGCATCTAATCAAAGAGCTACCGTCAGCCTATACTCCTCACGCTATTTAGTCAACGTACCAGTTCTCCAAAGCCATTGGAGCTTGTTGATTCCCCAGAGGCTAGTAGTTCTGTGCCTGCCATGGTGGCCTCTAAAGCATACAACCCCTCACACAAGACACAGGGCGACAATTTATCGGACGTCGCAGTCTATACTGGAGGCAAAAGTCTCAACGAGCGACACCAAGAGCCGCGGAATGACAGCCCCAGCGACTCTGGAATGTAAGGCAGTCAATCAGCGATGATGGAGAGTTTCCCGTTCACTCATTAGAGCAATCCCCGAAAAGCATCCCGTTCGGGATGCACAAGGCTCTCGGTCAATCCGTGTTTTGCCAGTTTGGGGGTAGGAAACCGAGGATAAAGGGAGGGGGTGCAACAAAAGAGGAGAGGGGGGGATGGGAAGAAAATAAACAGGAACGAGAAAGCGCGCGCGCGAGAGAAATCATCCGGAAGAAAGATGTCAGGCTAGAGAGTCGAGACCCAGGAAGATTTCACAATGGCTCCGGTTGCGGCAGTGACAGTGACATGAGTATGAAGGCCAGTTAAAGACAAGCATGATTCGGAAAAATCAGATTATCAGATAAATCCAAATTAACCCACCGGAAAAGAGGGACCTGTCCCACACCTCGAAGGGAAGACCCGAAGGAGGACTGTGTCAAAGAGGCATGGATCTCCACCTGGCAGGAAGGAGGGGGACGAGCAACTTGGGAAGGTTGGATGGAGCGGGCAATGCGCAGCTAGCTATCCAGGGACCTAACTTTCTTTAACAGCTGGGAGATCTACAAGGATACGTCCCAAGCAGTGTTGTCCGTGAGTGCGGAGCAGTGGTTTACGATGGTGGTGGTAGTACTTTGTACTCTGGAGGTACTCCGTGGCGAATGAGCCCGCGGAAAGCCGGTAGAATGGGCGAAGAATGCTGTGTAGTGTACCTCGAAAGTACTTACCACGGCTGTGACGAAGTACTGGAGGAAAGTGACCAAAAACATCCCGGCGATGGAACGGCCAGGAAGGAAGATCGATCATTGGACGTTCCGCTTCTAGACGCAGTGGGGCACCCCATCGGTCGGTTCCTGGAATCTGCGTAACCCACACCAAATTGGGGCTTATGATGGACACTTATTTGCAGGGGGGTTCCTTGTGTCTCGTGATTCGCTTGACTGCGGGCAAATACTAGGCTGTGGAATGACAATAAGGAAGCAGTACGGTTGGGTACACAATATATAGAGGCGGCACCCAATCTGGCACCCCGAACGCGCACACAAACAACCAGCATATTGAGATAATGGAAATAATGGAAAATTCCAAGCGCCCACTGGGACGTGGCTTGTCGGATCCTCGCGACGGGCTCATCTGATAACTATCGGCGTCCAATCACCCTCGCAATCTGGCCCCACGGTGGGTAGCTCGCGTCTTCTGCCGTCTTCTTTTCCCTTCCTTTTTTCCTTCTTTCCTTCGGCTTAATATTCCCCGTCAATCTGTCGCAATTTATTTTTTGAGGTCAGACAAATTATTAAAACTTCCCAGCATTTCTGACAACCACAGTAAGTCCGTATCGTCGATTACCTCCGACATACCGACATATACAAAGTACGTGGAATAATCGCCGATGGACCTCCGTTTTTTCCCCCCAGTTATGCGACATGACGTACTGCCCAACAGACCAGTGGTTCCTGGAGGCTGAGGCGTTTCTTTCTCCAATTCCAGGTTTCAAAAAGGCAGGCGTTTTTCTTGGTTTCTTTCATCTAATCTGATCGATCAAGAAACGCTGCGGAGCCGTCACAAACAGGTGAAAGCGATCAGTCCTGGTTTCAAGTTTCAACCTCTAATCCAAAAAAAAAAGGTAAATCAAATCCGACCAGGGATGACTAAACCTTACCGATAAGTATCAATATGCGATCGCGAAACACCACACCACCAAGGCAATAGTGTCAACAATATTAATACACTGTTCGGAACGGTAGACAACTCCGTAAATAAACATGATGGGATGTGCGGGAACGGCTCACAGTCGCAACCACCGCAACAAGAAAGACCAGGGGAAATCAGCAAACTTAGGAGGTCAAAGGAAATACCCCGAGAAGCCTCGTCCACGACGAATGCCTGTAATTTAATCCCAATATACATCTAACGTCGAGCTGTTTTTCGGAACTGGAGGAGAGTTTGTTGCATCCATCCCAAAGGATGATCTAATCAGATCGGCACCATCTAATCAGATTCCGCAGCCTTGTGTCATTGGACAACGCTGATGATCGGCCCCAACCAATCCAAGGTATGCATCCTTGGCTGTCCGACTTCTCCGGAGTCACGTTGCCTCTTGTCTTCGTACGGAGTACATGATAAGTCTTCTCAATATTTAGATGGACACCCGATCGTCCGCAGACTAACGGGGAAACGACAAGAATCAATAACGGGAAGTGATACGAGTAAGGCACTAGTAGTTGTTGTTGTCCCTTGCCACTCTAGAGCGGCTTCCCGTTGAGGAAAGAACCGGGCAGCCATCACAACACGCGTCAGGAAATTGCCAGGGATGGTCTATCCTCAGGCAGGAGTGGCCTTTGACTCAATTTCGAGCGCCTAACTACTGAATGCGTCAGCCAAGCCGCTGTACCCCATGAACGCCAAGCCAGCTGTTCGACTAGAAGGCAATCTCTGCCATTATTTACAATCAACTGTTGTGCATGGATGGAGCGTCAGAGGGGTCTGGGATATCTTTAAAAAGACGGAGGCCCTACCTCGGTAACCGAGAAACACTTTACTAGGGATATTTTGTACTTACTACGACAGCTCTGTAATAATAGTACTCGCCAGACTGTATGTAGTATGTAGGTATACCCAAAATAGTAACCCGCTTTCCGAATCCGCCTTCCGCCTTCTTACTACATTGAAGGCTTCCACCGGCCCAATTCGCAGTGCCTTGGGCATGAGCTGCTCTTAATTGCACAGTCAACCAAACACTCTTAAGATTCCTCGCAAATCATTGCTCTTACCAACACAACTCCCCATGGGTCCAACCGATTGAAAACGGTTCGCCAACGTCCACTTCGTTCCAGCGACTTGTTGCCTACTTAGAGATTGAAGCCTCTCCTTCCGGAAACTTCGTGCATGCGAGGGATAAGGATACTTGCTTACCCAGAGACTTTCTTGAAGCAATCGGTCTATATTTCTTCTATCTTTCCAGGTTCTATGGGGTGCAGGAGAATATGAAGACGAAGCTGTAGAGAGTAGAAGTAGATATAATAGTAGTAGAGCAGCGAGGGGCAGAAAGCAGTATAGGAGAAGATGGGCATGATTTCCAAAGTAAAAATTGATCTTTATTATCAGACAGGGGAGAATATTATAGAACAATAAAAAAGTTGCAACAAACTATTCTATCTGTCTGGGGGGGGGAAGAGAAGGGAGTGAATGATAACCGTAGAAGCAGCCTGTGAGGACTAGTAGTAGTAGAGCACCTGCTTTCCTTGGACAACTTCCTCCGATGTAAATTTACACCGTCACATCATCACGCGGCCATCAAGCAGAACAGAATGTCCAGACAGCCCAATTCCTCGCCTATCCAAATATCACGATATCTGTCACTGTTGCCAGTCTTCTACGACCTGACCCCTCCCTGGACATGTCCAGCTATATAAACCCTGAGTTATTCTTTTCTTCGCGGGGAATCTCGAGAGTGACAGATATGCTGACTGTTTCTTTCTATACTAGACCTCGAATAATCTCTTGTTTATATCTTTCGCAATCTACTGATAGATTCCAATGCCGCAAACTTCTCGATAAATCTCTCAATCTCTCTATGATAATCTATCTCTGTTGAATGCCAATCAAAAGACTTCAAGGCAGTCGGCCTTTATGTGATGGGTTCTCCCAACCTTGACAATAACCAGGGGTTGCTATCGTGCATTGTCATGGAGGACCATATGGATTTGTTTCTTCCCTTTCAGTTGGGTCTGCGAAGCTTCCTGAAGCATTCCATTTAATGTAGACCATGCCGTCCAACCTTTTTCTTGCTTTCTTTTTACTCTCTATCATCACTGTTGTTTATCCTCTGAGTCCTTTTCTTCGTCTTCATCTTGATCCCTCCCTTGATCCTCTTCTTGATCCTCATCTTGATTCTCTTCTTGATTCTCTTCTTGATTCTCTTCTTGATTCTCGTCTTGCTCCCTCTCTTGATCTCTCTCTTGATCCTCCTCTCCATCCTCCTCTCCATTCTCCTCTCCATCCTCCTCTCCATCCTTGTCGCCGCCGTCTGCAGCCTCTTCCTTCCTTCTGTCGTCAAGCTTCCCTTTGTTTTTCCCCTCTTGTATCTAACCGCAATCTTTAACCTAGTAAACACAAATGAAGGACTCTCCGTTATACTGCTCCAAACACTTCACAAGGAAGGGGTTAATTGGATGGAAGTTCGCTCTACATGGACAGGCTGAGGACGTAGACTCTCCACGCAAACATGATCACGCCGACCAGTTCCTCGCATGCTTTCCGAGTCAGCAACGCACCCCCTCGTAGTTTCGCATTGGACAGCAAGAGTTACAAGAGCAGGACTTGATGGGATAGTGATGTCTGATTCTCTAATAATACATAAAGATAGGCCTCATTGCCTGGCTATGTAATACATGAGGAGGTTTTTCGTGTTCCCCCCCGGGCACCCGACGAGCCGCCAAAAATCCTCCTCGTTGGCCGCCATCGCGTGCAGCTGCACACACATCTGCGTGGCTTGCCGCCGGGTGCCCGGTTCGGGGGCCGTCAAAAACTTGGCTGCGACGCCCCCACCCCCTCCACCACCGATGAGGCGAGAGCCTGCTCCCGAAGGAGCGCCTCTCGTAACAATTGGGTAAGAATATCTACCCCCATCTCCGTGGCGCGGTGCGCCACCCTCTCCCCCCCTCCCCTCCCTGGCCGAGAAAGGCCACCACCCCCTCCACCAACTCCTCGGAAAAATAGGCGGTAATAATATATTCCGCCGTGGCGGATATTTCCGTAAAAATATGAGCCGATGGCTCATAAAAATAGGTCGCCTGTAGGATGGCGAGGAGCACGCGTGGCGCGTGCCTAGTATGGATATTTCGTAACAGATATCGGACTGTTTGTAGCACTTGTGTTTTCAAATCGAGGGCCCGACCGGCAGACTGGTGAGTTGCATCGGGGGTACTCGTCAATTCGTCTAGTAGCGCGTCTAAGAGGTCTTCGCACTGGGACCCTTCACGGAGGAAGCTATCATGGTATTCAATTAGCCCTTGCATCTTACGGTAGCCAAGGATGTCCATACTTTTCGATCGGATCCGATGGACTCCTTTCTCAAGCATTTCCCTTCCTTTGGCCGGATCCTTCGAGCGCGGGCTAATGCTCCTCTTTCTCTGTTCGAACTTTTTCTGTGCGTTTTCGAATCGCTTACAATGGCGGGAGTCGTCCACACTGGTGCCAGCTCCGCTGTTTCGACGTGTGCGTTCGATATGAAGGGACGGCATTCGAGGAAGCGATGGTAGGCGCGGTCGGTTGTCCCGATGGGCTGGTTCGTTTTTGGACAGCTCTTGTAGCGCGTTCTTTGGGCCAGACCGATGCAGAACCGGGATTCTCGTTCTCTTCGGTGACGGGCTCCCGTTAACGTTCGTCGCACCGGCTGGGAGCAGAGGCTCGACGGCTTTGATCGGTCGGTATATGGTCGAATGTGCTGGGCTGACAGATCGCACCGGGGTATCGATATGAAAAACGGTTGTTGGTGTCGTCGGGGCGAGAGGAACAACGGGATCCTCGTCATTCGCTGTTGGCGTCGTCGGGGCGGGAGGAACGAGATCCTCGTCCTTCGCTTTTGGCGTCGTCGGGGCGGGAGGAACAACAAAATCCTCGTCCTTCGCTGTTGGCGTCGTCGGGACGGGAGGAACAACGGGATCCTCGTAAATCTGAGATTCGACGCGCCGGGCTTTGACACCTGGCCGCAGGGGAGCAGACGACAAAGATGTAGGAGCAGTTGGAGGAGCGTCGGACCGTAGGGGCGCAGACGAAAGTGAGGATGTAGAAGCAGTTGGAGGAGCGTCGGACCGTAGGGGCGCAGATGAAAGTGAGGATGTAGAAGCAGTTGGAGGAGTGTCGGGGCGTGCATTGGCTGGTGCCAGATACGCCTTCTTACGCGCAGCGATGGCCTCCTTCAATGCGGACCGGCCTGCGATAGCAGGGGTGTTGACTGCAGGACCCTGGCGTGTCGTAGTGGACGTTTTGGTGGAGGGAAGATAGTCGATGTTTGGGTTGGCCGGCGCCTTCTCGAGCATAACTCGCGTTTTTGCATCGAGGGTAGAAAGTATACTATCTCCTGTTAGCGTACCATGATCGATGAAAGGAGTAAGTAGGGAGACTCACGAGTCCGCTCTGCCGGGCCAAACGCGGTGGTACGTCCAAAAGGTACTGCGGACTGCTTCGCGGACCGCAGGATTTGCATCAGAGAGACATTTTTTGATTCCTTTGTCGATGAGATCCAGCCCGCCGCCGTGCTCGATTGAGCTCTTGTGGTGGGCTTGCCGGTTGATCAAGGTTCGAAGCCAGCCGGTGGAGTAAAGTCGCAGTTGAACGTTTTTGTCCAGTGAGGCGCTGGACACGTGCTGCAGGATCCGATGTGTGAAAGAAACATGGCCGATCACAATATCGACAGTGGTGTTTCCGTTTTGCGCCGTTATTTTCTTCATGTTGGCGCAGACCTTGAGAAGGTTTTGCATGATGATCTCCATCATGGGATCAATCTTGGACGAGCATATCTTGGCAAGGTCCTGTATCAACAGGCAACCGTTCGTGGACATAGTAGTCCGAAGTGAATTCACAACTTTGAAAATGCCGTCAAGAAGAGTCTTCATGGCGGCAATAAAAGCCTGAGGGAAAGCCTGAGGGGCATTGCCGTGAGTTAGGCGCCGAAGGTCGATCACACTCTTTTCACGGTGCAACCAATTTTCCTCAGTTTCCCGGCCTTCGAAATGAGGCGACATGGTGCGGACCATATCATCGATATGCCGAGATGACGTGACGTTGATTGGCACCACCTTCTCGCTGTCTGACGAGCTGGGGCGCGAAGCAGCCTCGGCCTGTGCGGTGTTTCCGTCCGCGCGCGAGGCAGGCCGTTTCTGCACTCGAGAAACAGGACGTGAAGGTTGCTCAGACTCGAGGGCGGGCTTATGCGCGCGAGAAGCTGGCCGCAAAGGCTGCTCAGATTCGACTGCGGGTTTCTGTGCGCGGGAAACTGGTCGCAAAGGCTGCTCAGGTTCGACTATGCGTTTCTGCACGCGAGAAACTGGTCGCAAAGGCTGCTCAGGTTCGACTGTAGACTTCTGAGCGCGAGAAACCGGAAGTATGGTGTCGTCGGCCCGAGACGAGGGCAGTTGAACACGAGATGCGGGTCGCGAAGATGGTCCAGCTTCGACGGTGGACTTTTGTGTGCGAGAAGCTGGCCGGAAGGCGTCGTCAGCCCGAGACGAGGACATTTGAACACGAGATGCGGGTCGTGAAGATGGCCCAGCTTCGACAAGAGTCGAGCCAATACCAGCGATAATCGCATTGACGATTGACTTCCTCACATTTTGCTCGGCAAACTTCGTACTAAGGTCAGCCTTAGCCCGGGCAGATGCATTCCTGGCTATAGTTAGTGGTGAAGCCCAGATGATAGGAAGCAGAGGCAGAATGAGCATGACGTACTGAAAAAGCTCAACGACGGTCAATTTCGCTGTGTCTCGGACGACACTATCGGCATCCTCAAGACATGCAACAAGGCTCGAAACGTAAGAGCGGAAGAGCAAGCCATGGTTCTTGGTCATCTGCAGCGGACTGGTCAGAAGCAATCCGAGCCGGAAGGAGGGGGAGACTCACATTTGACAACCAGATCATGCTCATTTCCTTGGCCCGGGGATTCTTTCCCACCAGGGCAGTTTCAAGAACATAGTGTTCGACGTCGGCACTTGCAGCTGGCCATAGATCGGTGAATGCCTGGGCCGCCTGAGCTCTGACACGCTCTTTGTGGTCGCCCAAGCGCTCCAAAAGTATGGGATAGAGAATGCGAGCTTGGACAGAGATCAAATAAGCCTGATCCTGGATGAACAGCCGCTTCAGAAGGTGACCAAGCGTTGAAAAACCAGCAGAAAGAAGAGATGAGTGCTGAGAAGCAATAGACAGCCGCGAAGATTCAAAAATCGCCGGCACGGCATCCTCAGGGACATTTTTCTGCTTGATGTCGGACTTGACACCGTTCAAATGGAAGATCTTTGCATCAATGGACAGGTTGCTGTTCTTCAAAGCAGACACCAGCTCTGCAGCCTTTGACTCCATGTTTTGGAGCAAGATTTTTGCTTCGGCGTCGGTAACGCCCAGCAAGGCATAAAAAAAGACGAAACAAAAGCAAAACAAGTAGAACTTGAACGGAACAATCAAAACCGCAAAGGCAATAACAAAAGCAAGATATGCCCGGAGGCTCTCGTCGCTAGTAAAGGAAAACATTTCGTCAGCGAAAAACAATTTTTTTGTCTTTTACTTTGATTTTTTTTTTTCAAAAACAGGCAGAAAGCAGAAGCAGATGGAGCTTGGTTGGGAAGTCTTTTGAAGTAGCCGTTAAGCTGAGCGTGAAGAGTGAAGTACGGAAGTACGAGCGGGTGCGAAAGTGAAGTAGATGGGAATGGTTGGTGAAGAGAGGAAGGACGGGGGACGGGGGATTGGCATATATACCATCAACATGATGGCGACGAGGAAGGTGCACATACCTGCTAAAGTGGCAGTCGCGACGAGGACTGGAAGCAAAAACGGCAGCGACGGGGTGGTGAGGATGAGGGTGAGGGCGAGGTTGGTGGTGAGGGTGAGGAGGGATGGAAGGAAGGTGCAAGTGACGCAGTAGTGTCGGGGAAAGAAAGATGTCGCAGCGCTTATCGCCGCGCCTATTCGCTTATCGGACAGGCTCCACGGGGTTCTCGCTGGGCCGGTAAGGAAAGCAATGGCCAGCAGTGTGTGGAAATCCGGGGGGGGGGGGGGGGGGGGGGGTATTTGAAGTTGGAAGTAAGTAAGTAGGAGGAGGAGGAGTAGAAGTAAGAGGAGAAGTGGTGAGGTGAGATGAGACTCCGAGTCCGGTGAGGTTGGATCGCGAATGAGGGGGAGGCGATCGGGCGCTGGTCCGTCCCTGAATCTTTTTTTTTCGCTTTTGTTTACCCGCAACGTCGCCGGACCCATTTGGGTAATCTGGTGGGGGGTCTGGTCCTGCAGCCACGAATCGATTGTTGTTATGGCAGCTGAGCTGCCCAACCACGTACTAACAGTCTACTAAGTCATTATTCATTGTAGTCTACATTATAGTGCTAGTAGCACTGCTGGCAGACACAACAAGATCAATGTGTTGTCGAGAGGTCTTCCTTCCTGTATGTATGTCTAGTAAGGTCGCGTCACTTTCAATCCCTCGCCGGTCGTTGCTGCCCGCCGCGGCGCGCGTCTCCCTTTCCCCCCCCCCCCCTTTTTTTGGCTCTCCTTGTTGTTCTGCGCGGATAGTACCAGTCTTACTAGTACAGTTCGCGAGCCTCGGATGCAGTCTACTAGCCTACCTTGGACAACGAACACCCAAAATAATACAACCCACATGAGTCAACTAGCTCTTCTTTTTGTAGATGTGCGATGGGGCTTTCATGGGGATAATAAAGTCTTTGCGTCTCATTCAGGGGTATCTACCTGTTGTGGCCATTTGCGGCGCAATTACGGGACACTGTATCGGAGATTACGCTTACGTCGGGCTCGCACCTTCCCCCCGTGAAAATATATATCGACCGCTTGCCACGGTGAATGGCAACAACTCCCCCCATGATGAAAGACCACCAGTCCGAGTCATTGCAGGAATCACAGACTCGAGAAGTACTATAGTAGTACTAGTAGTACGCACATGTATACACAGTAGAATGAAGAGCCATCGAGGAGCATCGAATCCTTCAGCGAGTCATATTGCAGTGGGAATTAATTAGACTGCAGAAACTCCACTTGATCGCCGAGCCGACAGTGGATCTGCTGTCCCTCATGGCAGACACTTGGACCAGCAGTGGTGTCACGGCGTTCAAGGGCGCCCGGAAGGGGCGGGCTCGCGTAAGCAAGGATCGAGATCAATCCATTCTCTCGCCGAAGAGGACAGAGTGCTACTAGTTACATACCTGTAGCAGTTAGATACCTTAGAAGGTTCGGAATTGGCAATGGACCACTCCATCCATGATTGGTGGATCCCATAACAACCATGTGGCGATAGACTTCTGCATGCAGCATGGATAGGACACTTTTACTAGATGCTGCCTTAGCTCTGACTTTATGACACTGACGGACGGCCCCAGAGCTCCGGCTGCTAATTGAAACCACCGACATTCCTCAACATCACACCCCCACCAGTCCCTCCATCCATCCACACCTTCCCAGAATCCCAGAATCCCAGAATCCCAGACCGACCATGTCGACCTCATCTGCAACCCAGACCCCCCTCCCTGTCAGCAACCAACCGTCCAAGCCAGAGGAGCCCTCATCCCAGCAGTACAACCTCAACCTCCGTCCCAACCCCAAGCTCCGCCTCCAAATCCACGATCTCCGCCACTCCGGATCCAAATCATTCTCAACCCTGATCCCTGACGTCTCCTCGGTACTCGAGACCGCCCTGTCCACCATAATCCGACACCTCTACACCCCCCCGCCCAGAACCGGCCATCAACAACGACAACAACAACAACGACAACAACAACAACAACAACAACAACAGCAGCAAGAGCACCGGCGCCCCCGACCCGCACCTTCTCCCCCAGCATCCCACCCACCCGCTCCGTGACGGTCCTCCTCCGCGACATCGACGGCGTCGCCTACACAACCGGCACCGAGCTCGACAACGACCACAAAGAGATCCACGTCGCGCTTTCCTACGTCCGCCACTGCACCACCCTCACCGACCCCGCATCCGAAATCAAAGGCTTCCTCACCCACGAACTAGTCCACTGCTACCAGCACACCGCGCCCCCAGACGGCGACAACATCCCCCGTCCCCCCGGGGGCCTGATCGAGGGGATAGCGGATTTCGTGCGGTTGAAGGCGGACCTGGCGCCGCCGCATTGGAAGAAGCCGACGTCGGCGAAGGAGAGAGCCTCGAACTGGGACCAGGGGTATCAGCATACGGCGTATTTTCTGGCGTGGTTGGAGGATGTGCGTGTGGGGGAAGGTGCGGTCGGACTGTTGAATGATCGGTTGTTGAGGGTGGGTTATGTTGGGGTTGGGGGGGAGGAGTTTTGGAAGGGACTGTTTGGGGTGGGCGTGTTGGAGCTTTGGGAGGAGTATGGGCGGTATTTGGATGCTCCAAAGGGGGGAAATGTTGGGCGTGGGAATTGGGAGGATGAGATTGTTAATCCGGAGTGATTGTATTTAGAACTATGGGAAGAGTGTTTGTACAGTGCCGTGCCTCTTTCTGAGTATTCCCACCTTGGTCCCACCTTGGCTACTACCTACTACTACTACTACTACTACTACTAGTCAAAGTGGTTCTCTAAAAACCGCCTTTGTGTTTTGGCCCTTTTGGTATTGACGAGGCAAGGACAAGTATGGAACCTCCTGTCTTTCCGTATTCGGCAAGAACACCCCCTTCACTCAGATATCCGGATACTAGCTAGGTCCCCCTAACTATGTAGGCACTACGTAGGTACTTACTAGCACTCGATACTGCTAGGTACCTAGACGCAACAGGCAGAAACTATGGGTAGAGTGGAATTAATGTAACATCCATTGATTTAGTACATGCATCTCTGTACTTTTGTCTAGAGTACTATTGCCAAACAACATGATCCCAAATTCCGTCCTTAGCCAGCCTCCAAAATCGGCCCAAGGAAAACAATAAAAAAAAAGCGGTTATAAGACGAGCAACATTAACATAAAAAAAAGAACATTAAAAGAAAAGAAATAGATTTCCCATATTGTACAAATCCTTGCAGGGGTTGGATAGATAGGTAGCAGTATGTAATGTTGCATCGCTGTCAGTCCCATGTTGACAACATCTATATCTGATAATGTGACGCCGTTTCGAAAACTCATGCTCCCTCTCTAGATAATCACCTCACCCAAGTCCACGTGAACTGGCTTCCAGGGCGCGGCGCCCTCCTCCTCCATCGAGCTGGGCACGCGCACGTTCAGCGGACTGTACAGGTACCATCCCTTGAGGGAGGCGACGCAAGCCCTGAAACGAGCCTCAAGCAGACTGGCGCCAGCGCCCTCGCCCAACTTATCGGCACCGGAGTAGATGCCGACAACAAACACGGGGCTTCTGCTCTTGCGACCGGTTTCACTGATGATCCGGGCAACCGGGGCATCGAAGTTTTCCCGGGCACACAGGCGAGCAAGATCACGAGCAGGCGAGGAGAAGTTGAACAGATCGGAAATGTTGAGGTGACGCGAGAGGAAGTGTTGCTCGAAGAACCGCTTGGCGGCAGGACGGCCGGCATGAAGGTAGACGGCACCCATCAACGCGTGCACGAAGGTCGAACTCGCCTGTTCGTGGGAAACGCCCAGGTTGTTGTTCTTGGCCTCCCGCTCAGGGAGTTCTGATGGTGGGACACCGGCCTTGACTGGGTCTCCGTACTCGTTGTCGTAAACGACCCTGGAGGTGACGGACTTCCGCCAGTGTGTCTCTTCTTCGTGAGGCCTCTCCGTACCCGTAATCAATTCCGGGTTCACCTCGGCGCCCGGGGGTAGTCTCCGGAACTGCAGGTATCCAGGGTCAACCTCTCCTCCAGGAGCGGCCACCGACTCCACACCCCATTCTTTTGCCATTGCCGCCAGTGTCTTGGGTCCGACATACGCGTACATGGCCGCGAAGACGACCGTCAAGGGAAGTCGGGGATACGTGCAGACGAGGTATTCGGATGTGTATTGGGTCAAGAGATCATGACCGAGGGTGGCCAGGGATTCATTGTTGAAATTCGGGTCGGGGTCGGCTGAAGCGTCGACCAGAGAGCGAGCAAGGGTCTCGAGAGGTAATCGGGAAGGGAGGTAAAGGCGTGCGTGGAGCGAAGCCAGTTTGGCGGACTCGCGTGCGGCCTCGACTGGCGGAGAAGGGAGGTTGTATCTCGACTGGCTGGGGCGGGAGGGACGAATTGAGGGTGCCTGAGGTTGTTCCCTGATCAATTGATCATGGCCAGCTGGCGCAGCAGGCGATGCGGTCGATTGGTGCCGGATGGCAGTGTAGAGACGTTGCTGCAGGCGGCCACCAGTCCGGGCCTGCGCCGAGAGGACCGAACCGCTCCATCTTTGGAGCTGCAGCCTCTTCATCTGGGCAACTGTGTGGGTAGGAGGCCGTAAATTAGAGAAACACCGAATCACTCGGAGTAACCGCCCAGAACGTGGTGTGGGGATTTCGAGACGACGGGGGGGATCCAAATTGAGCCGGTACGAACTTTTGATCGGTAGAGAAAAGTCGAGCTTCGGCGGAGGTCACGGGATCGGGCGGTCGTGTGAGAATGTGTCCTGGGGCGCTAAGCCGCTTACGGCCATACCGTCACGGGGTCTGGGACGACGACGGCCATTTCGGCTTCCAACCCAGAGAATCTATCGCTTGCCAGCCAGCCTACGTCAACCCCTCTCCTCCTACGTCTATTCTACATACCACAGTCACCATGGGTGGAGGCGGAAAGATCCCGTACGCACTCATCCCTCTACTCCACAGAGCCATTGCCCCCGGAGCTGACCGAATTCTTCTCGCGCAGGTATCCCAAGGAAGTCTGGTCTCCCGCCGGAGGCTGGTACGCTCAGCCCGCGAACTGGAGGCTCAACACTGCCATCATCGGCGCGGCTGCCCTTGGAATTGTTGCTGCCGTCTGGAGCATCAGCGCCGACCGTGAGCACCGCGATAAGATGCCGGAGCCCGGCAGATTCTTCCCCAGTCGCTAGTCAGTCTCCCCTCGTCCCCTCGGCCAATCCCATGTCGAGAGTTTCTAAGCATTGGATATTGACACTCTATCTCTTCTATCTAGCTGGAGCAGGGAAATCATTGAGCACGAAAGACAACAAGCGGCGAAGAACCAGTCATAGAACGGCAGTGTGATGACGAGCAGAGGGGAAAAGGCAACCGTGGAGGATTTCTATGGCATGATCGGTTTTTGTTTCATAATCCTGTGGGCTGTACGACAATAGAAGGGCGTTCTTCAATCGGTCAGTTGATCTTGATCTGAAAGTGCTTCTGAGGAGACTCTTCGAATGTTCGATACAGGCGCTGTGTGTACAGACGGACCCGTTCCGTGAACTCAGTTTCGTTCCAAAGCTCCCTCCCATCGCTAGATGTAGATATGTGAGGCACCCCGATCTGCTCCACCACGAAACTGGCTGCGACAGTAGCGAAGATCAAGGCAGCCAGGATATGATCATGCTTTGAACCAGCTTTCACTGCCTTCTGCCACGTCGTAGACTCCGCGAGAACCGAGTCGATAATCCTGGCCGGACCTCTATCTGCACCGACCATGCCTTGCGTTAGAGCTCCCAGGAAAGAGTTACCCGCACCGGTGGGATCAACCACCGGAGACGACTCTGAGGCGCTGGGCTGATGGTAGGCGGGCAGCCAGACCCTCTGGGCCCTCGAGTATGAGTAGCTGCCGTCTTTACCTGCCCTGATCACCAGATGTCCATTTCCGTCAGGCCCAATCCCCGAATCGAGGATTTTCTTCACTATGTCCATCCCATAGTCTGTCTCTTCGCTCCAACCAGTGTGACCGAACATCATGCCGAGTTCTAGTTCGTTAGGGCTCACCACATCTACTACTTGGTTTGCAGCAAGGAACTGCTCTTGCTCCTCTGGGGTACACAGATCTGGAACGGGCTCCCAGACAAATACGGGCCTTTTCATGGCGTGCTCAGAGGAGGGTGCCTTGCCCGCTTGCCGTAGCTCTTCTCGCCGGCGTAAGATGGTCTGAACGATTGAAATACAGCGGGAGGAAGAGCAGACCATGTGGAAGGTCTTGGAGAACACTTGGGCGTCCGACAGCATCTCTGGTTCCAACCGCAACTTGGGAGTCAGATACTTGAAGTCTGCGATCTGTTATTATTGCGCCATTGTAGCTCCTGATAATCAGGGAAGGACACCGACCTCGCTTCTCGTTAGGACCGTAGCCATTCCAGGCTCTGGTCGTCAACCTCCCGGGGTCCTCTCGTATTACGCAGTTGGTATCCCAGGAGTTTATAACCTCAAGGACCTCCGGAGGAAAGTCGGAGCCAACGTCCACAATCCAACTGACCGCTTGCGAGCTTTCTTTCCCAGCAACGAGACGGGCGCCGATGACTGCAAACGAGGCCGCACCCCCTAGGACATTCTTTACATTGGGTCTTGTTCCATCGAAGTCTATATCGTCTATATCAAAGGAGGAGGCCCCGTAAGTACACAATGCGATCCCGCCGGCGCATGGATAAGTAAGTTATGGCGTACCAAGAATGAACATGCCCATTGTGCAGAATTCCACATTGTCTCCGGAGCGCTCAGCGGCGCCACGACCTTCCATCATGGGTATGGCGAAGAGGGTGGATTTCCTTCAATTGGCGGGGTCGAGGGGTCTGCAGTGCTGGTGCTCGTACCACCACGCAAGTAAACTAAGGCGAGCTTATCGGCGTCGCAGCACACTGGCCGCATTACCGCCTGATACCGCCCACGTCATAACTGGCGGCGGGACAGCGACCGGCAGGGCGTACGGTACGGTACGACCCACCGGACGGAGCTCTCGCCTCAGGCACGGGGGGTCAGGAGCATCGCCGCCTCGACCATCCGACAACCGTTGCAACCTGCAACTTACTGCTGCTGCCTTGCTCGTCCCTGCGCTCTTCTTTTCCCCTGGGAGGCTCTCTCACTCCCCTCTTCTACCCTTGAATCACTGCGCATTGCCAGTGTTTGCCGTTCCTTGTCCCCCTTCGCCCTTCCACCCCCTAGTGGTCTTCAATAGTTCCCTCCTTACTTTAAACAGGGGCCGTCAAGATGGGAAGCCACATGCATAATCTGACAACTCTTATCAAGCGGTAAGCTTTGGTCCTTGGGCACTCGCCCCCACGAGTCTGAGTCCTCATACTTGGCTCGTCGCGCTCTACCCCTCAATGCGATACTCTCTTCCCATAGCCATGCTTGTCTAATCATGTATACCGGCCAACAGGTTGGAAGCCGCAACCTCCCGCCTGGAGGATATGGCGATGTCACTGGATGACCCCAATTCGCCCAAGACCGTAGGCGCTGAGAATGCCCTTCCCGAACCGCCCAAGCCTGCTCCTCCGGCAGCCCCCGCCGCCGCTCCTGTCCTGCCGCAGATCCAGGATTTTGACACACTGATCAAGGAGGACGTGCGGAACTTCGTGGAGCTGGGACGGAAGATCGATGGCCTGGTTGGAGAACAGGTAGGGCCGAAAGCGCGCTTCGCATAAGTGCTTCACTCACAATTCTCACAGTCAAGTGCCGTCCTTCAAGCCTTCGAGGCCGAGCGTACCTACCTCTATGTGTCGACGAAAGCCAAGAAGCCAGACCAGCAGCCCCCGGAGCTCATGACGGAGCTTCACAAAGCCTCGGACAGCATCAACAACATTCGTGAGTCGAACAGAGCGTCGAAATTCTTCAACCACCTCAGCGCAGTGGCCGAGGGTATTATTGCCCTCGGCTGGTTCTTCGCGCCTAAGCCGGCCGAATTCGTCAGCGAGATGGCTGGAGGTATTGAATACTATGGCAACAAGGTCCTGAAGGAGTACAAGGAGAAGTAGGCAACCCGCCACTGGATATCACCTCGAATTGGAAACTGACAAATCCCCAGGGACAGCACCCACGTTGAATACATTCAGGCCTACTGCCAGATCTTCAAGTCCCTTGCTGCGTACCTCAAGAAGCACTACCCCAAGGGCTTGACCTGGAACGACAAGGACGGAATCGACGTACAAGAAGCCCTCAGGCAGATCAAGAGCGGCAGCTCTGGCCCTGCCTCCGGTGGCGCACCGCCCCCGCCTCCTCCCCCACCCCCAGTGCCGACCCTGAATGTCCCTGGCGGAGTCCCTCCCCCTCCTCCCCCGCCGCCCGGAGCCCCTGCTCCCGCGGCATCCGCCCCGGCACCAGACATGGGCGCCGTGTTCGACCAGCTGAACCGCGGAGAATCCGTCACTTCCGGCCTCCGGAAGGTCGACAAGTCCGAGATGACGCACAAGAACCCCAGTCTCCGCGGGAGCTCCATCGTCCCCGAGCGCCCCAGCTCACAAGGAAGCATCTCTCGGAGCAAGTCCCCCGCGCCGAGCAAGAAGCCCAAGCCGGAGAGCATGCGCACCCGCAAGCCGCCCCGCAAGGACCTCGAAGGCAGCAAGTGGCTGATCGAGAACTTCGACAACCCCGGCGAGATCGTGGAGATCTCCGCCCAGCAGAACCAGTCCATCCTCATCTCCCGGTGCAACAAGACGATCATCAAGGTGAACAACAAGGCCAACGCCATCTCCATCGACAACTGCACCGGGCTCTCCCTCATCGTCGACTCGCTGGTCAGCAGCCTCGACGTCATCAAGTCGCCCAAGTTCGCCCTTCAGATCGACGGCGTCGTCCCCACCCTCCTCCTGGACCAGGTCGACGGCGCGACCATCTACCTCGGCCAGCAGAGCCTGGCCACGGAGGTCTTCTCTAGCAAGTGCTCCGCCATCAACGTCATGCTTCCTCCCAAGGAAGGAACAGACGATGACACCAAGGAGTGTCCGGTTCCCGAACAGATCAAGTCCTACGTGAAGGACGGCGTCATCGTCAACGAGATCGTCGAGCACGCCGGTTAGTTTGGGACAACACAACCACCTCCATTCAACTCTTGGATATCATCCCAACTTTCCTCGCAGTGGCACGGTATTTGGAAACCGAAGTACCTTCTTACTTATACTTGCTTCACTGCCGTGTCCCTTGTCGTCGTCCACCATACATGTAGATAGAGCCATCTCCTCATTCAATTCTATATGCCACCCCTCTTCCCCAGATCACCCACTTTCTGGTAACTTTATACCCCGTCCTGAGAATAGTACTACAGTGTAACCTTGTAACCTGGCTCTTCTGTAGGCACCACACCCATGGTTTACACCCCCCCGCCCACTACTCGGAAGACAGGCTTCCCGTTTAGGCAGGCACCACACAACCCACCAGACCACCATAGTACGACGCGAAGCGAAACAAACAGAAGGCCTCAACCAGTGCAGCAATTCCTAGAGGGAGAGAGAGAGAGAGAGAGAGAGAGAGAGAGAGAGGATAATGAAAGGAAAGACTGTCCATAATCGCGTATAAAAATGAATCTACTACAGCTGACGATATCAACATGCGAGAGATATGATACTTCCACCAGAACGGGAACGCGAACGCGAACGTCTTCAAGGAAGGTAAGAGACGAGACGAAACGAAGAAGGCAGACATGACGTTCCGTTCCGTCCATTTCGTGGCCGTATTGCGCGTATGCAGGATACCTCCCAATCAACCTACCTTAATAGGCAGGTACTAGGTAAGGTATGGTGGTGGTATGGTGGTCGGTAGGTAGGTAGTATGTTCAAGAGGCCAAAGGAGAGAAAAAAGAAAAAAAAAAGTACCGACTATTAACACTCTATTACGGGATCGGTCAGACAGACAGACAGACAGACAGAGAGAATATGAAGGTCTGGGAGTCTCAACCACGAAAACCAGAGGGAAGAGCAGAGCGAGGGAAGTGTAGTGCAAGAATGTAAGAATGTAAGAAGAGAGAGGATATGTAGAGTCAAACAGAAAAGGAAATTAACTATAGAAGAGTTGGGTATAATCGCGCCCCGTATTGTCCTGTGCGCCTGGCCTTATGTGCTTAGCCTTGAGCAGTGGCCTGAGAAAATTGAAAAAATATTGAAATCAGAGAGCCAGATGAGCCTGCATCTTGTATGTAAAGAAGGAAGGAAGGAAGGAAGGTACAGCTGTTGACGGGTGTTGTTAGTTGAGACGGGAGGTGGACTGCTTGTTTGCCTCGGAAGCCTCCCTGGGCGGTAGGAAAGGGAGTGATGGGTATTTAGATGTTCTAAAAGAGAGAAGTTGGAGGAGAAAAAGAAGGTTACCATCGCGACGTACTCGTCGAAGCCGGGGCAGACGCAATCGACATGGCATTAGGCCGCTGTCGCTATGCGCCTGGTGAGTTGAAGTTGAGCGAGTTGTGCTTCTGCACGTCTAATCGTCTCAACTTTCTGGCAAGGAGACTGTCCCCGGCTTCGGGACCACCGGTGAAGCCGGAGGAATAGCCACCATAGCCATGGTCACCCTTATTGAGTTTCCCATAAAGCCCTTGGTACTGTTCAGTGGGCTCCGGCTCAACCGGACTAGGATTTACTCTCAGCGACGGGATGGGCTGGAAAGGATGTGGCGGGCGCTCATCTGAGTGATGAGGTTGCCTTGAGTTTCCAGGAGGAATACTAGTTTCCTGGCCTAGGAAGACGAACGGTCTTCTTTCGAAGTGTGTGGAAGAACCTCCCAGATGGGACGATTCCCCCGAGGCTTGAAGCCCTGACGGTGAGAACTTGGGCACCGAATCATGGCCAGTGGCCACTCTTCGTGATGCCTTGTCCGTCGTGGACCTTGCACTAGGGTGCGCATGACTGATTTCCCGGTAAGGCTTGTAAGGCGTGTACCGGGGGTCAGGATACTGAATCTCATTCCGTAGCTTTTCCTTACCGTCGGGAACTCGGTTCGCAAATACAACGCGTATGCTAGAGTGAAGGTAAAACCGACCTCTGGAAGGGCAGCAGATGTTCAAATGAACCAAATACCGCAGTGTAGGTTTATCCTTTGGATCTTCGGAAGTATTCAACGACGCCTCCGGACGGTCGGTCCCGTAATTCTTCCGAGCACTCATGGGCATATCGATCATGGGACCCGCAGAATAGCTTCTTTGACGGACAAATGTCTTTGTCCCAGGTTCCATGTCACCGAGGTCGTACGGAACAAGGAACAACTTGACGGCCGTCTTGTTTGGATTCTTGATCATGATCTGTAACTGCCCATGTTGTGGTATGCGATAGCAACCACCTGGCGGAGATTTGGGCGATTCTGCCCGTCTGTGCTTCTTTTCGCGTCTGCGCAAAGCCTCCTGGTCGTTTGGCTTGGACTCCAGAGTATTCCCCATGACCTGATCATCGTGCAGGCCCGCAGGACTCTGGTGACGCCTGCGTCGTCGACCGTTGCTGCTGGACGTATCCTTGGGAAGGAAATTGTCGAGGTCAATCAGCCCAACATATGGGCTGGGACTATCGTCCGAAATGGAGCGCCCGAATCCCGAAGTCGGATAGCTGTAGAAAACAGCTGGGAACGGAATCGTGACGTGTGGCGGACACTTGAGATTGGCTTTACATTTGCCTTTCCCTAAGACTCCGATTTGCGCAGTAAAGTCGAGTGGTTTGGACGGATTCATCGACATTCGTCCACGAAGGATAGATTCCTCGTATGAGCCAACCATCGGCGCATGAGCCTTGGAAGACACTTCCGCACTGATCGAGGGTCTCCTGAATCTCGAGCTCGGGGTTTGCGCCGAGGATGCAAGTTGGAGGCTATATGTCGAGGTCAGAGAGCGCCGAGGGGGGTGAAATTGGTAGGACATTGCCCCGTCCCAGTTTGTCCGCAAAGGCTCATGGTTGAAATGAAGTCCTCCAGCATGGCCTGTAGGCGAAGCCTGTAGGTGTTGAAATGATTCTGGGGGGAGTGTACGGCGGCGATTGGCTTTCTCGAGGGGGTCGGGGTAACCGGCAGACTCCAGTCGAGGAGAGAAATCTAAATCCGTATTGTTCGCCTGATGAACCAGGGGGCTGGTTGGCGCTTTTAGAATATAACTGGAGGAGAACGAGCCTAAAGAGGGCGCCCGAGAGCGGGCCGTCGGAGTCGCAGTGTGGACTGAGGGTTGACTCCGCAAAGAGGAGAAAATGGGCGCGGTAAACCAGGGCGTTGTCGGCGAAGAACCCAACTGAGGGGTATGAGCGTTGAAAGTGTGATGATGCGGTATTGGAGACGGGGGCAAATGCTGTTGGCCCTGTAGTTGCGATGTTCCTTCCCGGAAGTCCCCAGAATGCAATGCTGAGCGAGGGCGTTCGATATCGGCCGGCGATGCTAAATCCTGGTCCCTCGAGTGAGGTTGGTCGCGTGGACCAGTGTCCTCGGTTATTCTGTCTTTCATTTTGGAGGCTTTATCGGGCGTCTGGGGGGCATGGTTCTGGCAAGCACCTGTTTCTCCCAACTATTGTCACTTGAGTCAGTACATACTCTTATCGGGTGAGTTGGATCAGGGGGGAACACTGTTGGTTAAGGGAGAAGAGAGAGCGAAGCAAGAGCTGTGATCTGCAGAGTGGCGAGACATACGGAACGGTGCTGAGCCCATCTCAGCGTATCTGCGCCTTTGAGGTACTGGATCAGTTCCTCCCGATTGCTTGCATGTAACCCCGCCTGAGGTTGATCTATCGCATGCCCCTCGTGGGGGGAGTCCTCCCGCCTGTCCCGGGAGTGAAACACCAGGGGCTGTTCAGGAGTATGCTTCCAGGGGCTAATGGTCTGACGGTGCCCATCTTGCCTTGGCTGGTGGTCATCGGACCACAGGTTCTCGAACCGCTGACGATCTGGATCCTGGAAGATAGGCATGGTCACCGGTATATGGAATGGGCGAAATGAGGAGAAAAGAGGGCACACATCGCAACCCTAACGACGGACTTGTGAGAGGGAGTGTGTGAGAGGGACAGAGGTTGGGGGGGGGGGGGGGAGATAAAGAAAAAAGAGGAAAGAGGGGACAAGGAGAAGCGGGACAAGACGACGAGGGACGAGAGAGTAGTAACTTGAAGAGGTTGCAGTGGCCCGCAGGCCCAAGTGGCGGAGGAGTCACGGAGCAGTCGCAGTCGTAGTCACGGTGGAGTAACGGGATGGGATGCTTTGCGGATCGGAGAACAATATTGGGCCAGGCGATGGGAGGCCGAGGATTCACCCGCAGGCGTTCTGAAGATTAATACCAGCAACTATTTACTATGTATGTAACTATGGCGGCATGACTGTCCAGGTCCAGCTGGGCCATTGGATCCACCATACACGACGCTGCGGACACACCGGGCAGGCAATAAATGCAATGCTGGCGAAATGATGAAATAATGGCCGAGAAAGATGATGCTGGCTGATTGCGGAGATCCGTGACGGATTGGTTCCTCGACGGGTTCCAGTCCTGCCGCCGCCCGATTTACCTTCAGTATCTTTAAGGATCTACTCCGTACCAGCCCATCGAAAGGGTCTCAAGTCTCCGTCCTCTGAGTGATTACGCTGCAACTTGATCCCTATGATGCTCAAGGGTAGTCTATACTCCGTATCTGATCCTTAGTCCCCTTCTCAGTTCCCACCACACAGCCATCTCCGACTGGAGACAGCGCAACCCAGAGGGGAATCACCCGCCCGCGGTACGGTACCGTAACGGCTTCCGATGCGGAGCGCCAAAACTTTTTTTTTGCCCGTTGCGACCAGTTGAGTTGAGTACAACCACCACCACCACTACTTTCTCTCTCCCCGCCACGTCAATTTGCGAAGTCGTGGCCTAATACAACTCACCGCTCCTGCAATCCAGCCCGGTCGCTTCCAAAGCCCCTCATCCTCCCCGCCTAAAAAAGAAATCAGACGAAACGAGCACGCGCGATTTGCTCACCCATCAACCCCGAACATGGCGGCGACCAAGCGTTCCCGAGACGAGGTGACCACGGAAGAGAAGCGGCCAACAGAAGGAGATGCCGCTCCGATGAAGAAGAGAAAGGGATTTTCCGTCGGGCCTGCGAACCTGCCTGACGGTACCTATCGTCGCAAGAGTGAGATCCCATCCCCACATCACATCACATCCACATCATCCCGATCCATAGCGAGAACCGTACCCGTACTAACGATCCCTTCCCCTCCATCAACAGCCCAGAAAATCAAGTCCGATTTGATCTCCAAAGCCAAAGTCAAGAAGGCCTACGCCAAAGTCAGAGCCGCGGAGCTCGCAGCCGCCCCGGCCAGACCCATCTACACGAACGACGAGGATGCGGGCGAAAAGGAAGAGCCCGCGACGCTGGAACTGCACCCGGATCGAGTGGCGATGCTGAATGAACCGGCGCCGGAGCCGACCCCTCAGTCACAGCGCGGGGACAGGCGCGATGCCAATGGTCGTCGGGCTCGGAAGCCGAAACCTTCTGCCTTTTCCAGGGAGTTGGAGATTGCGGAGGCGCGCAGGAAGGAGGCCGCGAAGAGGCAGGAGGACCGCGATTTCAGACAGAAAAATCGGGAGGCTATGGCGCGTGCCAGACGGCCGGATCAGCAAGGGAAGCGGAAGTTGGGGAGGGAAAGCACGGTGTTGCTGGATCGGGTGCAACGGATGGTCGGCAAGGCCTGAGAGAACGAGAGATATGATGGATCCTGTGTGAGAGCGACAGACTAAAAGTTTTGAGTATGATACCCGCTAAGTAATGGTTACAATTCGTCATCGAGTGGCACAGGCATGATGTGATGTGCTATCATCAAGAAGCATGATTGGGATTTTCTTTTTTTTTTCGTTTCGGTTCCTGTCAATATATAGGGAGTATTATTTCTTCAAGAGTTTAGATAAACTGGTCTGCCAACAGTACCCTACGAGGATGTCTTCCCGCTGCGTGGCTTTCTAAAGCACGCAAATTCCCCCTTCGTTCGCTCCCTCAACCGCTTCAGGACGCCCCTCATCTCGCCAAGCTCCGACTGGAGGCGAGCCCGGGCTTCGTGCGTGGTCCGACGGTCTAGTTCTACGTAGATCTGGCTTTGTATCGCGGAGGCTTCATCCGTCGAGAATTGCGACATCGTCTGGGCGATGAACTCGGTATCGAGGGTGGCCTGCATCAAGGCAGCGAGAGTGTAAGAGGATCGAGCTCCAAAGGAGCTCAAGAGGGATTTCGAGATCTGCGTCAACAGGTGGATGAGGATGACCGACAGAAGTGGGGACTGTGCAGTCGAGGGTGAGCGATTCACAATTGTATTCAGTGTAGAAGGAATCGTGGTCGTGATCTCCGTGTGCACAAGGACCAAGGTCAGCATGATGTTGTAGACATATGGACGGACTTGGTCGGGGCGGGATGTGGCCGGCTCCCAGTCCGCGGCAGTTATGCCACTGAAGATCGTAGAGCTGAGCGAGTTGATGGTCGGTTTGGTGTACGACTGGAACAAACGGTCGTCAATCTGGCTGAGCACATCGCGCACGGTTTTAGCCTCTTCAGTCAGCCTGACCGAGAAGGAGTTCTCGAAGTTGGCAACCAACTGGGGGACGAGATCGGCCTGGAGTGCCTTTATGTTGGACAGAGTCAAGAGGATGCGCACATTCTATAGTCTTTGTTAGTACTAGTACTATATGATGCAAGCGGATGTGGCAGGCACTTACCCGGTTCCGAGCATCAACTGCATCCGCGATGAGAAGGGACGACGGTGTATCGAACTGGCTTCTGCTCACGGTGGACCCAGCCACAATCCATTCATCTTCGGTCCCTGACGATGTGGGATGTTCTGCATTCTCGACCAAGCCGCTGAGCGCCTTGTAGACACTGGACACGAACTGTGTGCGGACCATCTGTAGCAATTTGGCAGGGGGTTGGGTCACCACGTCCACAGCCCCCGACTTCGCCATGGCTTCCGAGATGTAGAGGATCTTCTGCATGCCGCTGATAATGGCGTTCTCAAACGCGACAAACAAGCCGGGCATTTTCGTCAAATCTCTCTTCTCTGAGTCTCGGGTCCAGTCTTCCAGCATCTTACAGATCTCGGCATCCTTACCCCAAGCTGAACATGCTACACGCACCGAACGTTCCCGTGCAACACTTACGAGGGATTTGAGAAGGTCATGAGCGTTGCCGCTACCCAGCACAGGCTCCAATGCAGCCATCTCACTCGCAGCCGTGCCAATGATCACGAGGCACTGACCAAGATAGTGCACACCACTGAGCGAATTGGAAAAGGGTGGCCAAAAGGCGTAGTCTTCCCAGTATTCCCCACGCTTGGGCGTAGGAAAGGGCATGTTCTTCGGATCAAGTTTGAAGCGGGACTCTGTCGGGGTCACGCCGTAGCTTGCAGGGCTGTTGGGGCTGGGGGAGGATATCGGAGATGTGAGGAGGGTAATATCATCGCCCGGGGGATCCGCGAACAATGAAACGACATTCTCACGGATCAAATTGACCAACTCGACGGCCCCCTTCTGTAGATCCCTCACGTTACTAGAAGAAAGTCGGTGGTGTTTACGGCTTTCGCCCTCGAATCCGGCGGGGAGATGGCTTTGCCTGCTGCCGTCGATAAAGGACTGTGCTACTTCCCAGAAGTCCAAGACCTCGCCAAGGAGACCCCCTTGGGATGACAACAGCCTATTCAAGTAGTTGCTGATACATTCCCAGAGCTCGATGACTTGGTCGGTGTCCCGCATTTTCTGGGAGTCCGCCGAGCCGTCGCGTGGTGCAAGCCTGAGGTAGGATGCCACTGCCTGAGGCGTCGGTTTCTCCCCGCTAGCCAGCCGACGCCTCAAGATCTCAATCTCGCCCTTGCAACGCTCACAGAAGGCGGCGATTTTATTCTTGAGGAAGTCGAAACGACTGAGAAGCCAGAACCAGATAGGGTTGTCCTCAACTCCGATTTCCAGTAGAGCACCGATGAGTTCCATGTGCTCCTCAACGGGTCCTGTGGCAGTAACGGTCGTTGACGTGGTCGGTGCATCGCCGAGACGCTTCCAGAGGTCGCGCTTGAAGGCCTGTGTCTGCGAATCAACGTCCATCCACATCCTACCCATGGCCAAAATGACATGCGCTTCGTCATCCGTCAATGGCCGGCGTTTGCTGGCTGCCGTGTCTGCAATGTCCCTGGCAGTCTTGGCGAGAGCTCTTGCTCTTCCGTATTGTTCAAAAACAGACTCGAGGTCTCTTTGCTTGATCGATTTGGAAAGAAGACCACCGATCTCATAGATATCCCGATGTTTTTCCATGGTGTCCACCACGGACTTCAACACCTGTTCTCTCTCACGTCCTCCCAATGCCGGCCCCCATACTTCTTCCGCCTTAGCAGACGCCTCCAGGAGAGGAACGCGGATCCCCTTCATTCCATATTCGCTTTCCTTTGTCAAAGCGTTCTTGCCAGGTCCTGCATCCGCGATGGCAGTAGTCGAGATGCTGTGCTTGCTGCCGGAGAGATTCCGGAAATGACCAACCGACCGGCGGTTCATCTGAGGGGTCAACATGTCTTCCTTCTTGCCCTGGTTTCTCATCTCCGTGTATACGCTGTCGATGGTTGCCTTTGCCCGGACGAAACGCTCGAAGTTCGCTTCGACGAGGACTTTCAAAGATGCCGACTTTTGATCGATTGAACGCGAGAGGAAGTCGAGGCCGTCGAGAAGGGTTCGGATTGATGCATCGGAGTGTGCCTGAGAGAGAAAGAGGGCGGGCGAGAAGGAGGTGGATGAAAGTAGGAAGCGATTTCGCAAGCGGCTCTCTTCATCTAGGGACAACCCCCTCGTTTTGAGGATCTTGAGCACACTCTCGCCGGAGCCCAGAGGATCAGGCTCATCCATCTGGACGAGGTTCTCCCGGCCATTGTTCGATTTGAATGACCCCAGCGTGGCCCCCTTCCGGGTGCTATTGCTGCGCTCCAGGGCAAAGTATCGGGATCTCTCAGACCGCGAACCGCGACGGTCCAGTGTCTCGTCCTCGGAATGGTCGCTTTCATCCAGCTCTGCAGGCCATTCTTCGGGGAATGCCGAGGGCAAGTTATAGTAACTTGCCACGTCGACGTCGGCCATCTCGTGGGGATAGGCAAGAATAGGCGATGACGGCGCTTTGCTTAGGTGATTGGGGTGGGAAGCGGGCGAGCGATCATGGACCAACAACCGTTGGAGAAGACATGCAGCACAGCTGCAAGGGTGGGGGGGGGAGGGGGAGGAACGGGGGTTAGGATGCCGATTAACGGAGCGAATAACGGGGAGCACTTGGCAAGGACACGAGGATGATGCGTTGGGTTATCTGATCGAGGACGGGAGCGTGAATGGAGCCGGTGGACTGGCGGACAGACGGTTAGACGGTAGGCCGAGTCGTGGTAGGCCCAAGTGACCAGCCCGGTCGGACCGGGTGCGGCGGCGCCGAGATTCATTGGATGGGCGAAACTGGGCCTGCCTGACTTCTGTTCGAGTTCTTGGTTCCCGCACAAGCACGCCGCCTTTGCTATTCTCTCCTTCCATCTCTCTCCCTCTCTCCTCTTCCGTTCTCCTCTCCTCTCCTCTCCTCTCCTCTCTCTTTCCCCCTCACCTTTCATCCTTTACCTACCCTAATCCTCTGACGTTGATCTCGGGGACTTTATCCACAATGTTCGCTGCCAGGAACTTCGTTACTCCCGCCCGCCAATGCTTGCGGACAACACGTGTGTCCCCTAGCCGGATCTCTCCTCTCTCCCAGGTAACCACCGACTTTGCCGTTAGATCGACACGAATATTACGGGGTTTGATTCTGACTGCGCCTATAGCTCCGCTCCTACTCCGTCGCTGCCGACGACCGGGTCGCCAAGTTCAAGGGACAGAAGGGCTCTGATGTATGTCGCGCCCCGGGCAACGCTTGAACATTTTTTTTTTTACTTCATCTTCCTTTGGTCCGGTGGCTTCCGCCGCGACCTGCGACGACTATCGATATATCCAACAGATTTTGCAAGCGATTGGGGATAAAGAAATGGTGTTATTGACGTGTTCTGGTTCTTTAGGGAAAATACACCGTTACCCTGATTGAGGGTGATGGTATCGGTCCCGAGATCGCGCAGTCGGTGAAGGATATCTTCTCTGCCGCCAACGTACGCCTCCCGTTTTTCTTTGTCGCGGATGGAACATGAGATGTGATACTAAACTCTTTGTGCGCATGCAGGCCCCCATCAAGTGGGAGCCCGTCGATGTTACCCCCATCCTGAAGGATGGCAAGACCACCATCCCCGAGGAGGCCATCAAGAGCGTCCAGAAGAACTACGTCGCGCTCAAGGGTCCCCTTGCTGTAGGTCATCCCTTCGTGATGGTCAATACGAACTGCGATTCTAAAGACAACTGTTTCTAGACCCCTGTCGGCAAGGGACACGTCTCTCTTAACCTTACCCTCCGTCGTACCTTCAACCTGTTCGCCAACGTCCGTCCCTGCCGTTCCGTTGCCGGTTACAAGACCCCCTACGACAACGTCGACACTGTCCTGATCCGTGAGAACACCGAGGGTGAATACTCCGGAATTGAGCACGTCGTCGTCGACGGTGTTGTGCAGAGCATCAAGCTCATCACCAAGGAGGCCTCCGAGAGAGTGCTCCGCTTCGCCTTCCAGTATGCTCGCTCCATCAACAAGAAGAAGGTCCGTGTTGTGCACAAGGCCACCATCATGAAGATGTCCGACGGTCTCTTCCTCAACTTGGCCCGCGACATCTCCAAGGAGTTCCCGGACATTGAGTTTGACGCTGAGCTGCTGGACAACTCTTGCCTCAAGATCGTCACCGACCCCACTCCCTACAACGACAAGGTCCTCGTCATGCCCAACCTGTACGGTGACATTCTGTCCGACATGTGCGCCGGTCTCATCGGTGGTCTCGGTCTGACCCCCTCCGGTAACATCGGTGACGAGTGCTCGATCTTCGAGGCTGTCCACGGTTCCGCCCCTGACATTGCTGGCAAGGGTCTTGCCAACCCCACTGCTCTGCTTCTGAGCAGTATCATGATGCTGCAGCACATGGGTCTGACCGAGCACGCTGCTCGCATCCAGAAGGCCACCTTCGACACCCTTGCCGAAGGAAAGGTAAGCTTTCAAGACTCAAATCCTCTTTTGACGCGTGCCGTATGCTAACTTCTGTACTTTTAGGCTCTCACTGGTGACCTGGGCGGTAACGCCAAGACCCACCAGTACGCCGAGGCCATCATGAAGCGTCTGTAAGGGATTGGAATACGTCTGTACTATCTCCCTATATTTCTCATTTTTAGCCTGTGAATGACTAGACCAAACGTGTAGTGACCTACTGTATGTGCTCCCATGTATTTAGATGCCATCTCTGTTGATTTACTTCTATCGTTCTCCTATTTTCGACTTTTCAAAGTTGTTTGGGAATTATAGGTCGTAGTTCTCTACTGTCCTAACCTCCGAAATTGGGTAATCCGTGATTTGCAGGGATCTGTGACGTAAACTTATTTATGGAGGAGCGGAAACTGTAGAGAAATAGTCAAATAGTAATTGTACAGAAAAGCGCAATCAAACGCCTCACTCCAAGGTATCATTATCTAAGCAGATCGCAGAACGAAGGATGAACGACAAACACATTTCAAGGCTGGCGTCGTCGGCCCCTTCGAGTTCCTGTGCCTGTACTCTTTCTCTCCTTCTGCTTCGTTCTGGTTGTCTTCGCTCGTGTGCTTCGCGTCGTGGGCGAACCCCCCGTGTCTCCTTCTGCCTCTTCCTCGACGTCACTGTCATCCCTTGCGCCGTCGGAACCCTCCTCATCGCCTTCTTCATTCGGGCCTGTTTCCTCCCCAGAATCGCCGTCTTCCTCCACAGCTCCAGATCCCTTCGCCGGTGCTTCGACTTCGACATGGAGGCGCGATGAGCGTGTACCTCGTCCTGCTGGACGTCCGCCCCGACCGGGCTTCCGTCCTCGTGATGGCGCAGGGGAAGAGCGGGGTTCTGTTCCGGGTTCTTGTAATCAGTAGGCATACCCTAGCACATGAAAGGCCACGGATAAAAAGCTCAACCCACCATCTGTATCAGCCACGGTGCTCCCTCTCCTCGACTCTGCATGCGCACTCGGGTCAGGAGACGCGGTTCCTTCCATCGCCAGTCGCCTTTCGAACATCAATTCCCCGTATTCATCCTCCGGCAATTCAAACGGACAGTAGAGCTCCTTCAAGCCGTCGGCATCTTCGGTGGTATCTGTGATCAAGGAGTCTTCCTATTGTGTAGATGACGGACGTTAGTCGCGCGCGCGCGAATCCCCAAAACAAGCGTCTACCATTACGCACCCGTTCGTCAAGAGCCGGGAGATTGTACAAGGTCCCCAGCTTTTTCCAGATGCCTGGTATGCGTGTATGTTCTGCGTTGGCGGGCGCATAACCTTGGCTCTTCATGAATTCCGAAATCGCGATCATGCGAAAGTGCTTGTGCATGCCTTCAACCGTAGCGCGCGCAATTAGCATTGTACTCATCCGCGGGGGGAATAGACCTCTGGTGTAAAGTTTTCCACGCACCGACAGGCTTCCATCTGATGATCCCCTTCAGCAATGCAGTCTCCTGCTCATCGGTCCAGGGATCCGCAACCGGGTCGTAATCCGTGGTTGACTGGCCGGCGGTGCTTGCGGAGGGTCCGGCATTTTCCGTTTGTGGGGTGAGCTTGGCTTTCTTTCTGGGGGGCATTCTGGTCGGTTCGTAGGGCGAGAGCTCCGTGTAGTCCGGGCAATGATGTGCAGGTGAGAAGGTCTGGGTCAGGTCAGGACTTTGGGGAGCTTGGGAGAGCTGAACCGCGGCGAATTCCTCCCGCTTCGGTTTCCCGAACAAGCGGTGGTCCGGGCGCGGGAGGGGGGGGGAGCCGCTAGTCGCCTTGCGGTTTAGTGAGGCGTGTTCTCGCGCCGCCCACGCGTCGCCTGATAGTGAGTTCCAAAGTGGGTTGCTGGATTGATCGATCTCCTTCCACGAGGCCTGAGGGGGCGGTGCCGCTTAAGCACAATGGACCAGGAGGACTACAAGACAGACCCTTTCTCCGGTCATGGTCTATGGAGGATCTCCCAGTTCACCCTGCAGTCGCTGCAGCCGTTGGAACCCTTACCGTGGGACGAGAAGCTGCCTGGTTCGTGCCAACCTTTGCGACAATTGTCATCGATAGACCGATTCAGGCTGATAATTTCTTTGCACTAGACCTTTCCGGCGGGGTGTTCAAGAGCCCTTTGAATATAATCGACAAGACTGCCTCCGAACTCCCCGACCTCAATGCTTTCGGTACCGACTTATTCGACGCAGACCGGACGCTGGGGTTAGTGACAAATGCGTCAAACGAGAGCCAGACCAATGCAGCCCCGAGCGCGCACGGTGCTGAAGAGGAGGAAACAGAGGATATATTCGCTCTTGCTGATCTTGAGGTTAAGCCGGATCGGGAGACCTTGCTGAAGACATGGGAGAAATTCTACGACCGAACATCGCACGAGCCCGTTTCCGCATACTTCAGCGAGTCAGGCGCGAAGGCTTTTGACGCAGAATTGGCACAGCGAGATGCGACTCAGGGAACGCAAGACAAAAAGCGCATTGCCCCGCAGGATCTCTTCTTTCAGGCTTTGCTCAAACTTGGATTAGGATGGAGTTCTGTCTTCTTCCGCTACAATGAAGACGCGAGGCAGTTTGAACGGGTACGAGACGATATTCGCATATCCGGGGTTACATCTGTGGCACTGAATGGGTTGACGAAAGAACTGCTTCAGTGCGGTACCTGTATGCAGAGGATACGGGGATTTGTCGGGAAGGTCTCTGTCAAATCGTATGAATTCTCGGCTCTCTCGGCTTTCACGAGCGCCGCAGCTGTCATTGTCTACACACTCGAAAAACAACTTGTTGGGTCCTTCAAACACATTGCGTCGCTGCTCCAGATCAAAGCTTTGTTTCAAGAATGTGGAAAGATAATGAGCGTTCTAGCAAACATAGTCGAGGCGGTTGATGGGGCGGCATCTGAGGCTCAGATTATCTCAGTTGTCCTCGAGCGAGCTGCCCACTTCTCTCAACTCTTCGACCACATGGGGGCTCTTTTGCACGAACTTGTCAACCGAGTGGCTGTTCCTTGGCTTACACACGTGGAAACCTGGGTTGGTCTTCGCCCGGAGACAATGGCGTCGATTGAGATGGCTTCAAGTGGCAAGAGCTTTGTGGCTATGGAGACTCACGAAGAAAATAGAAAGATTTTTTCGAAAACACCGAGAGTTGACTACAGATATCTCCCTGACCAGATGCCCTCCTTCGTGCCCCCGGATCAGGCGTCCTTGATTTTCGAGAGTGGCCGAAGCCTTCGGCTTCTCAAACGAAACCATCCGCAGCATCCAATCGCAAACCGGGGAAATAGCGATGCTGGTATGAATTTTGAGTGTGCAAGCACGTGGTTCGATATCGAGAGGATACAAAGGAAAGCGTCGGATTACGAAGCTCGAGTCCGTTCTGAGATACTTAGGTATAACCGTGGGGAGGCTCATACGGGGCTATCGGAGGTGCTGCCTGCTGAGGTCTCTGGACACGCCGAGAACCATGATATACTTGCGGGCACATTTGAACTCTTTGATCTTGATGTTGCACATAAAGCCACGGAGTTGCTACCTCATGACGGGGCCTCAACGGAGGATAAGATTGGATATCTCCTTGACGGAAGCACAAAAGTTGATGATCTTGGGCTATCTACGGCTCCGAGTGACTTTGGTCCAGAATTGACCTCCTCGATATACCTGTCTCTGGCGCCTCTCCTCTCTTCACAAGCTCTTCTCATCGATTTCTCTTGCTTGCATCTTCTGTTCAAAGAACATCGGCTTCGATATCACCTGACCTTACAGTGGCGGTTCCAGCTTCTTGGTGACGGGTTTTTCACTACTCGTATCTCCAATTCCCTCTTTGATCCTCACATGGAGAGTGGTGAGCGGAAAGTTGGCGTCGTGCGAAGCGATGTCCATGCCGGCTTACGATTGGGAAGTCGCGATACGTGGCCTCCAGCAAGCTCTGAATTGCGACTTGTCCTTATCGGGCTGCTCAATGAATGCCATGATGCCGATAAGCAATCGGACAGTATGGATCATGCTGATAGAAACAAAGAGAGAGAGCTTCCCGGTGGCCTAAGCTTCTCTATTCGCGACCTCACGGATGAAGAAATTGCAAAATGCAAGGATCCGAATGCCATCGAGGCACTTGACTTCCTTCGTCTCCAATACAAACCCTCGACCGTTCTCGAGGCCATCCTAACACATCGGTCTCTGAACAAATATGACCGTCTCTTCAAACATTTGCTTCGGCTACTGCGTATGGTGTCCGTTGTGAAAACACTTATCCGTGATTCTACGGCGAGAGACTCAATGTCAGGCGACACGCGAAATGTACTGCAGAAATTCCGCATCGACTGTCAGCATTTCGTTCTCGCCATTAGCGACTACTGCTTTCATGTTGGCGTTGGGTCTACTTGGCAAAGGTTCCAGGACACTCTTTCCAGGATCGAGTCCTGCTTAGATAAAGGCGACATCGATGGCACGATAGAAGCTGCTCATTCAGTTCCCCGGTTGCGGGATTACCATGAAGACATTCTTGATCAAATTCTCTATGCTCTGTTTCTCAGCAAGAAGCATAACGAGGTTGCTATTTTGTTGGAGAACATCTTTGGGACAATACTTACGTTTGCTCCACTATCCCGACTGGATGGAGTCAGTGGTGTGCGCCATCAGAGCGAGACCACCGTTCGTCGTCTGTACAGTCTATTCCGAAAACAAACCTCGGCGTTTGTAGGTTACCTACGCGGCATCGAAGGCGGCAAGACTCCATCGAGGTCCTTTGGCAAATTGGGCATGGCGTATACCTCCAGGGAAGCGCCCACAAGTGTCTTCGACCATCTTCTAGCCCGCCTGGAGATGAAGACATACTACTGAATATAGCCAATGCGAAACATGAGATCCAAGTTAAGAACACCGCTTCTCCTCGACGTAGACCAGGCTTGACTGCCGGGAACCCTCAGTCAGACTGAGGTGAGTGGATATGCTTTCTGTTGGCAGGGATACCCTTAGCTTGAACTAAACCCATATTCATGAGAGGCTCTGTCAATTGTGGTTGTATTCATCAACTAAGAGTTGGCCTTCTATGCATTAACATCACAATTCGTATACAATCCTTGTGATATGGCTATCGTACTACTATATACAGTCTAACAATGTCGCTCTTATATACCACTCAACAAATGTATCTTCCGACATGCACCCTCTAAAAGAAGTGCAGATCCGACTCTGCCCACCCCTGCTCCAGCAAGATCTTTCGGGCAGACTTTTCCATGGCTTCCGGGCCACAGACAAGCACCATGCTCTCGCCATCCGGGGTCGCATATTCCTTCAAAACATCTTCGGCTATACGTCCGCGGCGACCAGTCCAACTATCTGGAGCCTTGGTCAGGGTGTGTATTACCTGACACTTCTTGCTGTCCAACCCTTCGAACGCGTCGAGCTCAGTCCGACACAGGATATCTTCCTCCTGTCTGTTTCCATTAAGGACAACGCACGATGTAGGATCTTGATTGTCCTGCATGACAGCACGTAGGACTTGGAAGACCGGCGTGATTCCAGTTCCTCCGCAGATCATCTTGAACGAGCGAACACGACGCTCTTTGCCACTGACTATAACCTTGCCGTTGCCGAGGTATTCAAATCTCCCCGTGGGACCCTTGCAGTTAACTACAGAGCCCAAGGCAAGCTTTTCGAGAGCCGTGGTCATTTTGCCGCCTTTGACTGTAGGCGTATCGAAGTATATCTTGACTAACAGATCCATCGTCCCCTCTTGGTTCGTATCTGATATGGGAGTGTAGGATCGGATGATGGCGTCCTTGCCCACCGGGTCGGCGACTTTGATCATCAGATGCTGACCAATGGGTAGACCCAATGTTTGCTTGTCGTGCTCGAGTTGGAAGGTGAAGATGCGTGTATCCCAGGACACGTCCGTTCTCTTCGTGAGCGTTGCCTTGGTCCATGATCGGGACTGAAGGAACACGGCGCGTGTTTCCTCAGATACCGGTGCTTTATCATTCTTCAGCGCCACTAGAGATGCCTTGTCCATTGTTCCAATGTGATAATCGGGCATCATCGCTTTGGCCGTTTCGCTATCTGTAATTACGTCAGCATGTGTGCCTTCTTTTTTTTTTTTTTTTTTTTTGAATTTTGGGCGACATACGAATTTCCAGGAAATCCTCCGAAACGTCGAGTCCAGCAGAGGAGAGGATACTCTGAGCGCCTCCCGGATGACCTTCCAGGAATGCAGTGCCGTCATATACCTCGCCATTGACAATGAACCAAGGTTTCGTCTCGCTCGAGTTTGCCTTGAACTCTTGAATATCAATCATTCGGTTGACACCATCCTTCTTCATGTTGATCGTCTTCTCAGGCTCACGCTCTGCTGGCTCCTCTCCTTCGTGCCGTTCTCCCCAATTGCCGTTTGTCAGATCACCACCCGCCTTTTTGACGCGTTCCATCCAGCCACCGGGTGCAGCAGGATCTGTCGGGTGCTCGAACTTCAGAGTCCCATTCTCTTTCGTGATGGTGACTCGAAACCAAGGGTTGTTCATCATTCCCAGAACCGACCAGTACATATCGCGCGGCTGAATGCTCAGTGCTTCGTCCATGGACCGCACAAGGATAGCGTCGGTATTCTCCAGTTCTGAAACAGCGATGTCCATCGACCAAAAGCACCAGCAGAAACAGGACTCCCGCCAGTACATGTCCACCTTGCCACCGAAGAGCTCGCCTTCGAAATCGCGATATTTGTCCTCGGCATACGAGATGTCCGCCAATCGCCAGGCTGGAAAACGTTAGCTCTGCTTCATTCAAGCCTATGCAGCAATGGACGTACATTTGCCTTTGTCCAGAGAAATCTCGACTCTTGTGATTCTTCGACCACCTCCCGCGTATGCATATCCCTTCACCGTGTACGACGGGCCGGCCGTCGCAAGATTTAGCACTTCTTTGTGCTCGGGATATACCACAGAAGCATTCACGTTGAGGTCGTAAATTGCGTATCGGTCATCGCGCCACCAGTTCGGGTCATTGGATGACATCTCTGGTGATACCATTGTTCTGGAGGAGATTTAGCCATTGGAACTATGTCATGGGTTGACAGACTTACGGCAATACACGGTTGTCGTAGATGTGGTACCAGTTGTCACTGGGTGCATCGGTCAGAATCAGCTTCTTCAACCACTTGACACTCCGCCCTCCGATTTGGCCCGGCACGACAGCTCTCAGCGGACGACCATGGTCGGGAGTAAGATCCTCCCCGTTCATCTTGTGAGCGAGCATGATCCCCCTATTGGGGTCCATGGCCCAGTTGAGTTTTACGGACGTCCCGTAGTATCCGTTTGGCTGAGATGTCGTTAGCAACTTATATCCGTGAACACTCGAAGACAACCTACCAGCTTGTCCGCACCCTCCATACAAACATACTTGGCTTTCCGGAGGGGCTTTGCGCTGCGCAAAATATCCGCCATCATGGGGCCGGTCCAAAGCGCGGTCGACAACCCAGCGGAACCCCATGAGAAGCCCTTGGTTTTTCGGACCACGTTCTGCTCTTTCCGCCTGTTGCCTGCACAGACAAGGGTAATTGGCGCCGTTATTTGGTCATATTTCTGCAACACCTCTTTGAAGTTCAGGACAAGCGGCTTCTCGACCAGCCTGCGTATCATTTATCAGCAAATAACGCACCCACTTCCGCACAAGAATCTAACCCTTCAATGCTGATCTCCCAATTGGGGATGTCTTCGTCCCTGACAAATGGGACAGGACCATGATTTCGGACATAAAAAAGCTCGGGTGACGTCAAGAATCCTAGCGATTGATGAGCATCACCACTTTCAGGTCTTATGGCAAGGGCGCAATCAATCCACGAAAGGCGACAGGAAATGAAAGGATGAAAGAAGAAGCATCCTACCTTCGTCGTACAACGCCGTCAGTGGGGGCTCGACGTTGAAGGGATGAACACCCGTCAATCTGATGAGGCGAGGATCGCGAGGAACATGGTGGTCGGGCGTTGGCTTGTCTATGCTCAGGACCTCGGTTGGTATCTTCGACGGCGGCGGCAGAGGGATATCTGCCAACCCGAGCACCGAAAGCTCATCTTCCTCGACCGTGATCCGGTCCGACTTTTCCGGGAGACCCGTGGTGATGATGTGCTCTGTGCGCACTTCGGTGACGGTCGTCATGATGTGTCTGCGTGATCGAATGCCTTGAAAGTACAAGATGCATGAGAGAGGTCACGAATCGAGGCGAGTATAGATCGAGCCGACGCAGGGAGCGGAACCACGGGGCCTGGAAGGACAGGCCGAACACCTATTCGGGGGGACACCGGGGACGGTGACGAGGAATTACTGTGTCAAAAACTAGGCTGACAGTCGAGTCTCAGGGGGTACTGCCGGCATTTGGACCAGGGATTAGCTCAACGGCGTGGGTAGTGGGCGTTCGGGATCTTTTGCTTGTCCACGGAGAAAGACAGCAATGGTCTATGCGACAAAGCGGGTATAGGCAGTGGGATGCAGCCGGGCCTATTTCCGCGGGATCGGATGGGGATGAACGGAGCAATGGGAAGTGGGAGATATGTAATATTCTTAGGCCTGGCACCTGCACTCTCGAGTCCAGTCGACTACTGGAAGGCGAGCGACCCTAATTATCCTAGCTGGGGGCGAGTGGAAACCGAAACCGGTCACCCTGACAGCAGAAACAAGGATCGAGTATCAAAATAGAAAATCTAACTGAGGCAGCCTGGTCGGGAGTCAAAAAGAAAAAAAGGAAAAAAGGAAAAACAAAAAAAAAAAAAAAAAAAAAAGAGAGAGAGAGAGGAGGACCCATAGGAATAATCCGTAACAGTACGGACCATGGACTATGGAGACACTACGACAGGATCGTGGTGTCGAATCACTAATGAAAACCCAAGGACAGTGGCCAACTCCACCGGGTTCCACTCGCCATTAATCCTCGGCCATTATTATTTATTCCCAGTGTTTTTTGTTTCCCCATCTGACATCTGAAGAGGATTCTTCCGTAGCGGGGGTGGAGCATACGTACAAAAGTAGTGCTATGGTCCCATCAGCAGGCCTGACCTGCGTCTGCAAACTGCAGCGTCCGTTACAATAATGCCGCAATGCAAGGAGAGAGAGACCAGCAAACAGTGCAATCGACACCACCGCCTGGTTGCCTTGCCGCCTTGCCGCCTTGCCGCCTCGCCGCCTCAGAAAGCTGGCCATCAACGTATACTCCCGACGCCAGCCAATCAGGGCGTCTGCCGGTGCTTATCAGGGGTCGATGGGCCGGCGGATAAGCAACTGCCTGATTGGGACGCGTTCGATGCTCCTCTCCTCGTCCGCCATCGCATCTCCGCGGAGAACATCGCCAGTCTCCAACTGCCGATGAACCTGGAGTAGCATCGTATCACTCCGGACTTCTCTGCAACAGTGCACGAACGGTGGTCCCGATGATCTGCATGGCGGGGCTTCGGGTCCCTGATTGCGTTTGAGCGTCCGTTCCCCTCCCCTCCCCTTCATTCGATTACCTCAGAGGTCGAGGTCAGTCTACGCAGATACACTTCCACGGCCCTCGGAGAAACCAAGCTGTCTCTATCGCGTGCTTGACGGCCGGCGATTATCGGAGCCTTGGCAATGTACCATGCTCTGGCATGCCGATCTCCAGGTGCAGCATGAGTAAGGAGCCGCTCGGTTCGCCCGTGGCACAAAACCGAGCGGGCATCCCTACAAGCTACGTACCTTGACCTTGATCGCCGTACTCCTGATACCTCTTCCTAACACCATGCCTTTGTTGGATGGGCCTGGGAATGGCGATGCTGTCGTCGCTGGCAGCATCCACAATGTGCTTTCGTATACACCCACTATCGACTCGGTACTCGAGGCAGACACATCCCGGAATGACCCAAACAGACGCCAAAGGATCGTGGTGGTAGGGCTGGGTATGGTGGCTATATCGTTCATGTATGTCTATCAGATGGGTTGATATTGAGGGAGCCGGTGCTGATTCTCTCATCTGTCTTCAGTGAGAAGCTAGTCAAGCAAGACTCCGAGAGACGGAAGTATGATATTGTCGTCATCGGGGAGGAGCCCCACATTGCCTACAACAGGGTTGGCCTCTCGTCGTTCTTTGAACATCGCAAGATTGAAGACTTGTATCTGAATCCCAAAGAATGGGTGAGTAGCCACTGAGTGTTTGAACCTTCTCGGGGTTGGTTGGTGATGGGATGGTACTGATGCTGGTGTCATTTCCCTAACTAGTATGGATCTATCAAAGACCGATCCTTCGATTATCACCTCAACACTCGCGTGACCGATATCTTCCCGGACCGCAAGTCCGTCAAGACCTCCACCGGTGATTCTATCGCCTACGATATCCTAGTCCTTGCTACGGGCTCTGATGCCGTGCTCCCCACTCACACCCCGGGCTATGATGCCAATGGCATTTTCGTCTACCGAACGATCTCGGATCTCGAGAAACTTATCCAGTTTGCGTCGAAGCATAAAGGTGAGACAGCCGTTACCGTTGGTGGGGGCTTATTAGGGCTGGAAGCGGCCAAGGCCATGACAGACCTTGAGGATTTCGGGAATGTGAAGCTGGTCGACCGCAACAAGTGGGTCCTGGCGAGGCAGCTGGATGGAGATGCTGGCAGCCTGGTGACCCGCAAAATCAGGGAGCTGGGCTTGGATGTGCTGCACGAGAAACGGGTGGCAAGAATTAACAAAGATGACGATGACAACGTCACCGGTATCGTCTTTGAGGATGGCGAGGAAATCAGCTGCTCCTGCGTCTGCTTTGCGGTATGATTCCATAGACATGGCGAATGTGGCTCGGATGCTGACCCTAAAATAGATTGGGGTACGAGCTAGGGATGAGCTAGGGCAATCTGCTGGAATTCAATGTGCCGGAAGGGGAGGGTTCGTCATTGATGAAAGGTACATCCAACATCTGAAAATTTCTCTGTCCTTATCTAACTTATTGTCAGTCTTCAAACGTCAATCAACGACATTTATGCCGTTGGAGAATGTGCAAGCTGGGAGAACCAGACGTTTGGCATAATTGCCCCCGGCATCGAAATGGCGGATGTGCTCGCCTACAACCTCACAAACCCTGATAAAGAGCCAAGAAGCTTCAGACGCCCGGACCTCAGTACCAAGCTGAAATTACTTGGAGTCGATGTGGCCAGCTTTGGCGACTTCTTTGCTGACAGAGATGGGCCCAAATTTCTTCCCGGTCAACGGCCGTCAATGCCAACTGACCAAGGCGCGACTGAAGTGGGCGAAAAGGAGACGCCTGTCAAGGCTCTCACCTACAAAGACCCCTTTGCCGGTGTCTACAAGAAGTACCTTTTCACCATGGATGGAAAATACCTGCTCGGAGGAATGATGATTGGCGACACAAAAGACTACCTCAAGATGAACCAGATGGTGAAGGCCCAGAAGGAGCTAGATGTACCTCCTAGCCAGTTTATCCTCGGGGCTCAAAAGGACGGAGATGAGAACGCGGATGATCTGTGAGTCTCCACATTTTTCTTCTCCGCTTTATTAAGCCTACTAACGGTCAATGTTTGTAATAGGGACGACAGCACTCAGATCTGTTCCTGTCATAATGTAACAAAGGGCGATGTGGTTTCGAACGTCAAGAATGGTACTTGCAAAACCATCGGGGAGGTCAAGTCATGCACCAAGGCAGGAACTGGGTGTGGCGGCTGTATGCCTCTGGTACAGTCGATCTTCAATAAGACCATGCTGGCCATGGGTCAAGAAGTATCGAACAACTGTAGGTGCTCCACCTGTCACAAGGCTCGAGATTATGCTAATAGGTTTCAAGTATGTAATCATATTCCTCACTCGCGGGCCGATCTTTACAACATTGTCGCTATCAAGCAACTCAAGACCTTCGAGGACATAATGAAGACGGTCGGCAAGAACCCCGATTCACTTGGCTGTGAGCTGTGCAAGCCTGCCATTGCATCGATACTCTCTAGTCTCTTCAACCGAAACATCATGGACAAAGATTACCACGAATTGCAAGATACGAACGACAAGTTCCTTGCCAACATCCAAAGAAACGGAACATTCTCGGTGGTCCCTCGAGTACCTGGTGGAGAGATCACCGCGGACAAACTGATTACCATTGGTCAAGTTGCCAAAAAATACAGTCTCTACTGTAAGATTACCGGAGGCCAGCGGATCGACCTGTTTGGGGCCCAGAAGCAGGATCTCCTTGACATCTGGACGGAACTTGTAAATGCTGGCATGGAAAGTGGGCACGCTTATGCGAAATCGCTTCGAACGATCAAGGTACGCTTTCTTACACGGCTTCCATTCAAAGGAATGGCATCTAATGTTTCTTAGAGCTGCGTGGGTAGTACCTGGTGCCGCTTCGGTCTTGGCGATAGCGTCGGCATGGCCATTCGGCTTGAAGAACGCTATAAGAGCATTCGATCTCCTCACAAGCTGAAGGGTGCGGTTTCCGGGTGCGTGCGGGAATGTGCTGAGGCACAAAATAAGGAGTGAGCTCCCTGCTTCTCTGGCCCATGTCTGTGGCTAACGTTCTTCAGTTTTGGCCTCATCTCCACCGAGAAGGGTTACAATATCTTTGTTGGGGGCAATGGGGGTGCTAAGCCCCGGCACTCCGAGCTCCTCGCCAAAGATGTGCCTCCCGAGAAGGTCATCCCCATCATCGATCGGTATCTCATTTTCTATATCCGAACAGCAGATAAGCTCCAGCGAACGGCTCGGTGGCTCGAGAACCTTCCGGGCGGCGTTGGCTATCTTCGGGAAGTCGTCGTTGATGACAAGCTGGGCATTGGAGCAGAGATGGAACAGCAGATGCAGGAGCTGGTGGACAGCTACTTCTGCGAATGGACCGAAACGGTCCGGGACCCCAAACGGCGCAAGTACTTCCAACAATTTGCCAACACGGACGACAGGGTGGAGACCGTGGAAGTGATCAAGGAGCGCGGCCAACAACGTCCCACATACTGGCCCAGCGAGCCCGCCAAGGAGGACTTCCAAGGCCACCAGTGGTCCAGTCTATCCTGGCAGCCGATGATTAAGGCCGACCACTTTGCGGACGGCTCCCCGCAGATGTCCTCCGCCAATGTCAAACGCGGGGACACGCAGCTGGCCATCTTCAAAGTCAAGGGCAAGTACTACGCCACGCAGCAGATGTGCCCCCACAAGCGGGCCTTTGTCCTGTCGGACGGGCTGATCGGTGACGACGACGCGGGCAAATACTGGGTGTCCTGTCCGTACCACAAGCGCAACTTTGAGCTCAACGGCGAGCAGGCGGGCCGGTGCTCGAACGATGAGAGCATGAACATTGCCACGTTCCCGGTTGAGGAGCGTCCCGACGGCTGGGTCTATATGAAGCTGCCTCCCGTGGAGGAGCTCGACTCCATTCTGGGGACGGAGAGGTGGAAGGTGAGGAAGGGAGAGGCGCCGGATCCGTTCCAGAAACACGACAAGAAGTACAAAGGGATGCGAGGAAAGCGGGCGGGCAGCAAGGCGTCGTCGAGTGGTCCGGGGGCATCGCCATCCACTTTGATTGACTGGTAAGATCCGTCGACGGCTGTCCACGGAAGATGATGTTATGACTTTATGTACTCCGTAGCTGGCTAGGCCTTACTGTGATACCACGCCATGTACCTAATAATCAATCTATCTACTGTGTAGATAGTTCCTTGAATTATTCTCCGACTCCCCCGGTTCCTACATAAGTGCACAGTAGTGCCTCCAGTCCCACCGTCCCACAGTTCGTTTGGCCTGTAGTATGACCGTGGCATTCTTAGGTGCATGCATCCGCACGAATCCTAGAGGCTGCAGCGAGCACGACCGACGCGACCCGCTCTGTACATGTTAGATTAATCAGGCCACATTCCGGTGGCCTGCAGGCGGCCATTTATCTACTATTGTTTATTAAAGCGCCATTCCGGGGCCATAAAACAATCCATCGCCCCTAGATAGCTGGCTGGCTGGACGCCGTCGCGGTTAGCCGAGAAGTGATGCCTGGCCGCCTGGCCATACATAACTACTAGTAGGTATCTACTGCGGAGTATCTACTATGGTAAAAGTGACGGCTGCCTTCTAGTTTTGTCCTTACTCTTAGGGTACCGCGCGTCACGTTGTGCCGGTGGTTCTAATGGAGACACTGTGGTTGGCCGAGAGAAACCATCAGCCCACCGCGTGGCCCGTGCATAACAAAGGGTGAACAACTGAACAACAATCTTGACCCAGGAAATGGTAATGGGCGAGCCAAACTTTCCCCTTATCGGTTGGCTGGCCTGCCGATACGATATCGGAGTGGCTGTGAGTCTGAAGATACTGCACATGCTATGTATTTGTTTTCCTGTCGCAAATTGTAACCCCCTTTTTTTTCTTCCCCAACTCGGCATATGTAAGTGGCTTTTTAAGGAAGACCCGAAATGGAGACCCGGAGCAGTTCGAAACCCATCCGAGACAACTAGCCAGCTGCAGTCTGCACAAGATACATAGCGGCCCCCGTTTATTATTAATTTTAGGGGGCTTGTCGGCCGGTTGGGCCAGGCGCCATCCCATCGACCAATTTCACTGGCATGGAGGTAGTGACTATCTAGATAGATAGTTAGTGAGTGGACCGAGTCGGTCGCGTCAAGCAACAGCAAGCATTCCGGGAGGATCCAGATGGATGTCAGCGAAAAATTTTCGCTCCTAGTTCTATCCGACTAAGCCGGAGAGAGGAAGGCCTGGCGGGCTGTCAGTTCTGGGCGCCTTGGCTGCCTCGCTGCCTCGCTGCCTCGCGGCCTCGCGTAGCTGCAGTCCCGTGGTTCGACTCGCCTTCCCGTACGCCGTATCTCTATCTACAACTCCAACCACTCCCGCATGGCCGATTAGCATCTCCCCTTTCTCCTTCTCCAGACATCCGCGGAGATGCTTCTCCAGATCGCCAGCCTTATCGCTATCAGCTCCCAGGGCCATGCCAATCACCTCCTCAAGTGCCGAGCAGGGACCCTGGCCTTATCTCGGGGATCCCAGGAGCTCTTCTCGTTGGCCGCTGCCTCACGATGGGGGCGATGGGGGAGCACAATGGGCCGCGATCGTCGTAGCATGAACCCTGAGGTCATCTTCGCTCCTCCGTCGCCCTCGCGCCCACGATGCTAACACGGCTAGTCAGTGCCACTGCCTGTGACTGCGACCCAGTATCCACCGCCAAAGCGACAGTCCAGGGTGGATCCCCCGGGTAGAGCTCCTCCAGATTGAGTTCATCTGCTTTTCCTGGTCGTGTTTATCGCCGTCCTGCTGTGCCTTGCTCTGACTCTGACTCTGACTCCGACACTGACACCCATTGCCAATTCCTCGGAGATAGCCATGCGGTTTGTCGTGCGTGTCTTATCCAACTCTTGACCTGACCTCCCCGTTGCAGACAGACTTCCAACTGGCCAAGAAGATAGATGGAACAATGACTCCATGACATTGTTGACCATCCCACACAATCGCACCGGAGACTACTCCGTATGTCGTCTGCCATCGCGTTCCCACTTCCTGAATCCTGCGACATTATCCGGAGCACTGGCGCATATATGAACGACGCTTCCGTTTAGTTCGGGTCTAATCCTCCTACCTTATCCTATATTAAAGCCCCAGGACCCATTGCACCACTTCTGGACCCAGTCGTCGTTGGTCTGTTCGCATTTCACACACCCTGGCGGTGTTTCTGCTTAGATACCCCCCCTCCTGTGCATTTCCAGAGTTGCAGCACTGCCTGCTTTGCCCGCTGTTGTCCCATCAAACCCCATCCCACCGAGGGTGTATACTTGACAATGGACTGCGTCAAGCTTCTCTTTGTCTCTCCGGAGATCAACCCCAGTAACCGAAAAGCAAGGTCGATCCCCATCCTCAACCCGTTCGACAAGTATGGGCGGGTTTTCTTCTTCTCGTGGCTCGGGTTCATGGTTGCATTCCTGTCGTGGTATGCATTTCCGCCATTGGTAAGTGCGATATATGTCTGGATTGAGGATACGATCGAGTACTGATACATATTGTGCGCACACAGTTGACCGAAACGATCCGAAAAGACTTAGGCATGACGCAAGTACAGGTTGCCAACTCGAACATTGTTGCCCTACTCGCGACGTAAGGCCTTTCCCGGCTTGGATACTCTTTGGGAGACGGCGTTGACCAAGGTTTTTAGGCTGCTTGTGAGATTCGTGGCAGGGCCGCTCTGTGACCGGTTCGGTCCTCGCTTGGTATTCATCGGACTGCTGCTTGCTGGTTCGATCCCAACTGCCATGGCCGGCCTGGTCACCACCCCCAATGGCCTCATTGCGCTGCGATTCTTCGTCGGTATCCTCGGAGGTACCTTCGTCCCGTGCCAAGTCTGGTGCACTGGGTTCTTTGACAAGAATGTTGTCGGGGCGGCCAACGCCCTGGCTGGAGGCTGGGGAAACTCCGGTGGTGGAATCACATAGTACGTCGAGACTCTCCCAGTGCCATTCACACACCAGCGGCTTACATGTTCCAGCTTTGTCATGCCAGCGGTCTTCAATGCGCTGGTGGGTTCCCAAGGCCTGCCGGCGCACAAAGCCTGGCGCGTTGCCTACGTCGTTCCATTTATCATCATCGTCGCCGTTGCCCTGACCATGCTCTTCGTATGCGATGACACTCCGACGGGCAGTTGGTCGGATCGTCACCTCTGGGTGAGGGAGGCCCGGGAGTCGGAGGGCAACATTGTCGACATCAACTCGGGCGTCCCCCCGAGCTCACTGTCGAAGTCGCCGTCGATGACCAACGTCATGGACATCGAGAAGAAGAGCGGCGCACAAACCCCAATCTCGCTGGAGCCGGAGTCGCAGCCGATCGCACAGTTCGACGCAATCCGGGCCGACACCGTGGTGGCCCCGACGCGCAAGGAAGCGCTAAACGTGCTGTTCAGCCTCCCTACCGTCGCCGTGGCGGTCACATATGCATGCTCCTTCGGGGCGGAACTTGCGCTCGACTCCTTCCTGGGGTCCTACTACGCTACGAACTTTCCCGGTATGGGACAGACCGAGTCCGGACGATGGGCTGCCATGTTCGGGCTGCTGAACATCGTCTTCCGGCCCGCGGGCGGTTTTCTCGGCGACTACCTGTACCGCACGACACAGACCCTGTGGTCGAAGAAGATCTTGCTGATCTTCCTGGGAATCGTCATGGGAGCCTTCGAGCTTGCCATTGGACTAACGAACCCCAAGTCCGAGTCCACCATGTTCGGCCTGATGGCGGGACTTGCCTTTTTCCTGGAGGCATGCAACGGGGCGAATTTTGCGCTGGTGCCGCACGTGTATCCGTTTGCCAATGGTGAGTTCCTTCCAGTTTAAATCCTTCTTCATCCAGACGGCAAAACTAACAGGAGATAGGTATCGTGTCTGGCGCCGTGGGCGGCATGGGCAACTTCGGTGGCATCGTCTGTGCCATCATCTTCCGGTACAATTACACAAACTACGGTCGATCGCTGTGGATCATCGGGGTGATTTCCATCGCAGCCAACGTGGCGGTGGCCTGGATCCGGCCTGTGCCGAAGACTCCGACGGTGAATCAGTGATGATTCTGTGATGCCTGCGATTGGTTTCCTCTTCTTATGACGGCTTGACGGGACACGACATCTCGATGAATGGGTTTTTGGCGAGAGCCACTGCCTTCTTTGTATAGTGTATAATGATCAGCTTATTACTTATAGTACTTACCTACTTGCTCTGCAGAATTTTATGAAATTCACACAGACTTGATCTTTCTTGGGATGGCAGCATCCGTGACTTGGTGTAGCAGAGTACTAGCGGTGGGCAGCATTAGTACCCCCGGCCATAGATGGCCGTGTACTCCGTAGCAGAGCATCTTCTCCCTCCATCACATCCCATCCTATCCCATCCCCTCCCAACCCATTCCATTCCCATCAATCCCTGCCCTTATTACTACACAATACCACCACCAAAATGCCCCCCCCCCCAACGACCACGACCACGACCACGACCACGACCACGACCACGACCATCCCCCCAATCCCAACCCTTCCGCATCACCCAATACATCTCCGCCCTGCAAACCCTCCCCCTCAACCCCACCGCAGTTTCCTCCTCCCTCTCTCTCTCTCTATCAGGGTCTCAGTAGGATCGATGGGCTTGGTTTTGACGGTGGGCGTTTGGAGGGAGTGGCTCTTTGGTTGAGAGGATGGGTATGACTGTAAGTAAAGTATGAGCTTGGGGTTGGGGTTGGGGTTGCTGAGATTGATACTTTAGTCTTGGATAGGGGGGTGTATGCGTGTGGTTTTCGTGATGATGACTGATGACTGTTATTGATGGGGGGTTGGCCCGGACGCAGCGGAAGTTTGGTTATCTGGGGAACTGCGAAAATTAAAACGGGGTTGATGATATCAGGGTTTGGGTCTGGCTTTCGGGTGATGATTCCATCATCCCATTGTTTTACTGGGGTGGTGGCGGGGGCAAGGGTGAGGAGGGTACTTAAGGTGTAGTTCTAGCTGTGGGATTCTGAAGATGCTTCGCTAGATATTCTTTATCTATCCATCTATCCATCCATCCATCCATCATCTACTTCCCTTCCAACCATCTATCCATCAAAACAGACCAAAAACCATGTCTCAAGGTACTTCCTTCCATCTCACCCAAAAAAAAAAAAAAAAAAAAAACCCAAGGCCATACTAACAACCCTACTCTCCCCCTTAGATCAAAACCAACACCATGAAGGCCTCTTCGAGAAGATGTTTGGCCACCACCACCACAATAGCAGCAACAACAACAACAACCACCACCAATCCGAGAACCAGTACGAGGATCCCCAGCTGCAGCAACAGGGCCAGTCCCGCTCCCAGCCCTCCCATCACCAGGAGGAGGGCGAGTTGGACAAGTTAAAGGACTATTATCATGAGGATGAGGAGCTTGAGAGAGAGGGGCAGACGTATGGGGGGTTGATGTGAGTGAGTAGTTGTTGTTGGTAGTAGTAGGAGTAGTAGTACTAGTACTATCCACCACAGTATTTTATATTACTATACACACCTCGGTCCATCATCCACCCCCAGTCCAGTCTATTCGGGTTAAAGCACCCCGAAGTCAATATATATACATATACATTGCATCCAATCTATATCTCCCCTCCATTCCCCTCTTGATCCTCATTCTTCCCTTCTCCCCCACCCCTCAACCATCCCCAAATCATCCACCGATACTACTCTGCACACAACAACCCAGCCTCCCCAGGACAGAAACACCAGACCCCCAAGCACCTTCCCTCCCTGTCTCCCCATTCCCACACCCAACAAAATGCCCCCCCGCCGCATCGCCCAAATCGTGCATCTCAAGCCCTCCGCCGTGTCCGCCTACAAAGAATGCCACGCGAACGTCTGGCCCGAAGTACTGCAGCAGATCGACGAGTGCAATATCCGCGATTGTATGTGCTTGCTTGCTTGCGTGCTTGCTTACTACACTTCCCAATTTACGATTCCATCACGGTGCGCAATTCCAGTTCAATTCTCCTAGATCTAACCAGGTAATAGATTCCATATTCTTCGACAATGAGCGCACGTTGTTCGCGACGTTCAAGTACACGGGCGAGGACTTTGAGGGGGATATGCAGCGGATGAAGGCGAATCCGAAGGTGCGCGAGTGGTGGGGGATGACGGATGGGATGCAGGTATGGTTGGTTGGTTTCTTTTTTTTTTTCAGAGGAGCCGGGTAAGGGGGGGGGGGTTTTTTGTTGTTGCTGATCGTGGTGATGATGATGATGATAGGAGAGTCCGATCCCCGGGGCGGTGGGTAGTGCTGAAGGGCCTGGATGGTGGAAGGTGCTGGACGAGGTGTTCTACAAGGAGTAAAAAAGCAATACATAAGAATCAACACGCTTGGCTGTGGTTATGTTATAGAATACACGTGCGTGGTCAAACACAGAAGAAGGCCCCGGCCGGGTCAGACCAGACCTGCCATCCAAGACCATTATACATGCCATGCAACAATGGGTATCGTCGCCGGGAAAATCCGTACCCGCGAATCAGCTGCTCCAAAACGCCCTATACAATGAATGCAATATATCGGTAACCAATCTGTCGTCGCTCGTGCATACCGCCAGGGTATGGGATGGGAGGGGACATCAGTCGGCACTGCCTGGGACTTCCTTCAGGATTTCCCACCCGTACTCCTCTTCGGGTCGCTCGGGCTCCATCCCGAGAGCGTTGCGATATGCCCGGACCTCGTTCTGCAACCCGGCCACAATCCGGACAGGTAGTTCGTCTTCCTCCGATCGAATGCGGTAGGCCGTGCGGATCATCTCCGCACACTTCATCGTTTGCGCGTGCCAGTAGTCTCGGTCCAGGCGGCTGTCCAGGTGCGAGTCACGCTCGGCTTGTAGGAGATTGTTGTATAGGCGCTTCTGAGACAGATAGTGCATGTTGTTGTTCTGGCAGTAATTGCGGATCTGCTCCACCATGTTGCCCACCACCGCCTCGTATTCCCCAACCAGTTTGGCGTTCTCCGCCTGCTCCAATTTCAACGTTTCGACAAGGCGCCTTTCCTTCGCAAGGGCACGCTCAAGTTCGGCAATACGGGCGCCTACACAGGTCAGCAACCGTCCTCCCGGGCGAGTGAATGTTCCCATTGATCACATACCGGTAATTTCACCGCTCACCTGCTGCAGGCTCGGGGTTGATCCATCAGACCGTTTCTGTCCCTGTCAGCAGAGTTGAAGACATCCAACATTTCGCGGAGACGTACCATGATTTCCTCCGCGCTGTTCACAACACCCTTCGTCATTTCGCGGTTATACTTCAACACGTCGCTCAGCTCGACCACCATATCCCAGAGGTGGTTGAGATCCATCTGGTGGCCCGCATTCATGGGCACTCCACCGTTCATCCCAGGCATCCCACCACCGTTCACCTGACCGGAAGGGTGAGCCATCGGGGGCGCCGACATGGACTGACGGGCAACGCCCGCCATATTCGGGGCGCCAGCGGAGGAATCGCCGTAGCTGGCAAACATGGCCGATCCAGGGCTGCTGCTGGTCATGCCCCCATTGGTGTTTAATGACATGGTTGCGGCTTCAAAAGCACCGTTCAGGGTTGCGAGCTCCGGGTCGATGGAGGGATTGGGAGGCTTAGGGAGGTAATGGTCGTCGTCGAATCCAAAGCCGGACGTGGCGGTCTCCACACCCAGCACTTCTTTCTTGAATTTGTCAAGGTCGCGGCGAGTCACGCGGGTTGAGCGGCGACGATGCCCACGCACGAAGGGTGCCTTGGAACCAGGGGAAGAAGATGCGGACGCGCTGATGGTGCCGGGTGGGGATGGATAGGGCTCCTTGGTGCTTGGGGGGCCGAGCGATGCGGCAGGCGGGAATTCGAAGTCGGGAAAAGGGATTGTCGCAGCAGCAAGTGGGAAAGCCGACAGCGGCAAGTCCGGGAAAGGTGAAGGCGAAGAAGGTGAAGAGGGGGAAGAGGGTGAATCAGGCGAGCCGTTGCGGTCGTCCATCAGGACGGGGAGGGCGACGGGAGGTCCAAAACAGTCAAGCGCCGGGAGCTCGGAAGAACTGGGCCGCCGGCCACTAGCCTCCCCAGCCTCGGCCGCGCCACGGCGGGAGGCGGTGCCCGCCCGAGGTTCCATCGGCCGGGATTCTTCGCAGGGCTGGCGAGCAAGCTTGGTGGGGTGGGATTGCGAAGGTGGGGAGAATCGCAGGTGGTCGAAAGAGGAGGAGAAAGGAAAGAAGAGGAGGAGGAGGTGGAAGAAGAGAAACAAAGGGATGTAAAAGTAGTCGCAGATGCAGGGCGTGGGTGAAGGCTAGACCCCCAGTGGGCAAAAGGGAAAGAGAAAAGACTTGTTGTTGCTCCTGCTGCTGCTGCTCCTGCTGCTCCTGCTGGCAGCAGCGCAGCAGCAGCTCGCTCTGTACTTACAGTAGACCAAACAGCTGTTTGGCTCTCGGCCTGTCACTGGCACCTGCGGTGGATGATGCAGCTGCACTCAATCCCCCCCCCCCCTCCCCCCCCTTGCAACCCTCCAGAGATCTGCCAACTGCATGGGAAATCGCCTACCTAATTTTAGCTGATCCGAGCCGTAGTCGTCGTTGTCGTCGTCGTGAGGTGGATTCAGAAAATTGGGATCTACTGATTAACCAGTGCAATCTTTCCATGCATCTATCTGTGCGACCACGCTCGGCAGAACCGCCCATCCGCATCCTAAGGCTAAAAGTAGACGCTCGGAATTTAAGTAGGCCAATTCAATCCATTTATTCCGGCTTCTGGCCCCGTTCTAGCCGGGTCTTATCCTGTCTATTCCTGTATTCCAAGGTCCAAGGTTCTCATCCCGTCATGTCCAATAGGGCATCTAGTTTCTGGTCGCATCCCAGATACGCCGTGTCCACCTCTTGGCCGTGGGTTTTCTTCTTTCCCTGCTCAATTCGGCCACCAACGCGCGCAACCAACATCCTCATTTTCTCCAACTCCTGCGCCAGCTCCCCATCCCGCACCACCAGATTCGGCTGAATGTTTTTCTGGGGTTCCTGAAACGGCTCCAGTAAGCGTTGCAACTGTCGCAATTGGTCCAACCGGCGTTGTCGCTGCTGCCGTCGGCTGTCCAGGCCAGTCAGACGCTCTCGCAGTTGCTGGTACCTGTATCACAGTTAGCCGGATGAAACCGAAATCCGCCATCGGAGTAACCCAGACCTCGCCCGCTCTTCCTCGCTTGCAGATTGGTCCTCGAGTTCCAGTGGGAGTTCGGCGATATTCCTGCAAGGTCAGAACCGATGCGATTTGCAACAGGGCAACTGTCCGGCTCACAGATGACTCGACAGGTCCACGGATTTTTCCACCCCCTTGAGTAGAGAGCCGGGTTTGGAGATCGTCTCGTTCACGGAGGACCAGTAGAGGCTGGTGATTTGCTGTGCAACATGTTGAACTGCTTGGGAGGAGTAGACGATGCGACTGTGCTGTTTCAGGACCGCATTTACTGTTGCCCGGTGGGCTGATCAGAGATGTGTATACAATGAGAGCAGAGAGACGACGCTGGTCGAATGGTGCGCGGCAGAGAAGTTCCCGACGAAACCAATGCACCTGGCGACTGGGTGGCATGAGTTCTTGATGAAATATGCACTCACATTTTTGCAAGACATCACCGACCACCTTATCACTGAGATCATCTTCCTCCGTTTCGGCCGCGTAATTTCGCCAATCTTCGGGCGGCGCGAGGTTTTCGGAGAGAATCCGTACTTGCGCCCTAATGAAGGACGATTTCAGCTCGGGGATTGTACGAGTCGAGTCCATAGCTCCATAGCGACGAGTCGTGGCCGCCGTCGAGGAACAACGGAAGAGGAGCAAAACGGGCATCACTTCCCCTTGACGCGTCCGTGCTATCGATAATGCCGCCCCTCACGTGACCCGGCGCATCAATCACCCTTGCTCCCCTCCCATACCTACCGTAGGCTTTCATACAAGGATCGATCTCCTTACCTTCTTCCGATCCACGATTTTAACAGCCTAGATATTGCCGGAAGATGCAGCGAGATACTACGGACTATCACCCAATGGTCTAGGTTTCCTCAAGGGGCAGTGGGACCTTCTGGAGTCTAATCGTAACCTGCAATGCCAGCGATCGGTACTCCTATCTAACCTCGGCAATTCGCATTCCCCAGGTTTCGTTGACTCCGCAGACGAACAACTAACGCAGGGCGATGGTCTTGTCCCAGAATTTAGACGAACGTATTCCATACAGTCGACCGAATCTATCTTCCTACTACCCTATCCCCTACTTCCACTTAATCCGGCATTCAGACCATGGCAGAGAACGAACGGCCTTTGGGCCTGCTATTTGACATCGGGGGAGTGTGTGTAAGGCCCAGCATCGATCCAGCCTCGAAGTCATGTCCATTGACAATACTCTAGGTTCTTTCTCCGTTTCAGGCCATCTTGGACTATGAGTTGGGTCACAAGATTCCTCCGGGATGGGTGAACTTCAGCATCTCACGGACCTCGCCCAACGGTAGTTGGCACAAGCTGGAACGAGGCGAAATCAAGATGGACGCCGAATTCTTTGCGGCATTCAAGACGGATCTACAAAGACCAGACCTATGGAGGCAGTTTCATGAGAGACTCCAGGAAAAGCACGGGGGCGACCTTCCCGCATCGGTCCCTCCACTCCCTGAGATAGACGCAGAGTTCCTCTTCTGGGAGATGATGAGGATCTCCAGGACCCCAGATCCGTACATGTTCCCTGCCTTGAAGCAATTAAAAGCGTCGGGGCGGTTTGTCATGGGGGCTTTGTCGAATACAGTCATATTCCCTGATGGCCATCCATACGGCGCTGAGTTGGACGAGAAGAAGTCACAGTTTGACTTCTTTATCTCATCTGCTCATACCGGTCTGCGGAAGCCCGACCGAAAGATATACCAGGCTGCGCTGCAAGAGATGGATACTCTCGCCAAACAGAGGGGGGTGGGCGGGATGCGTCCATCCGACATCGTTTTCCTGGATGACATTGGGGAGAACCTTAAGGGCGCGAAGAAGGCCGGGATGCGAACCCTCAAGGTGAATCTGGGAAGAACCCAGGATGCTGTCAGGGAGTTGGAGCAGATTACAGGGCTCCAATTGTTAGATGGCCCGGATAAACCCCGGCTATAGGGTCAGTTGTCTGGCTCATGATCTATTTTCCTAGAGTGTACGGGGTAGAAATCTTGGAATCGGAGGGCATGGCAGTGTAGATAATAATAACTTGACGACAAATTGATCAGAATAAATATTATTCACATTGAACTGAAGGTGCTGCTCTCTGGCGGGCCCGTTGAAGTTCCTCCGGGGTGGTCCTTTAGCCAACCCGGGCGGCGGTCGTCGCCAACCGCAGTTCTGCGCCGGGATGCAGCCACGCTAAGCGAAGCCTTCCACAAAAGTCATCCCACGAATTTTCGTTCTTTCTTCTCAGCAGCCACCGTCGACCACTCAGTCCTCAGCCACCGGCAACCGTCAAGATGGTGAGTTTTATTGCAGCTCCAGCGTGATCGACCCTCTTTGCGTCGCAAATCTGCAAATCTCTTCCACCGGAAATCCAGTCATTCCACATTGGGTCTCCAAATGTGCGACTGGCAACGGGTCTTTGCAAGATGCTTCGGACGGTCTTCTGAAGCGCAAATTGCTGACTCGCCTGTTTGTCTTGTAGCCTTTCCACAAGCAAGTCAAGAACAGCGCTTACTACAGGTAAGAACAAATCATCTTCTCTGCAATACTCGAAATGTCCAAGGAACTGACAGCCATTCAGCCGCTACCAGACCAAGTACCGTCGTCGTCGTGAGGGAAAGACCGACTACTACGCCCGTAAGCGTCTGATCACCCAGGCCAAGAACAAGTACAACGCCCCCAAGTACCGCCTGGTCGTCCGCTTCACCAACCGCGACATCATCACCCAGATCGTCTACTCTGAGATCTCCGGTGACAAGGTCTTCGCCAGCGCCTACTCCCACGAGCTCAAGCGCTATGGTATCACCAACGGTCTGACCAACTGGGCTGCCGCCTACGCCACCGGTCTCCTCCTCGCCCGCCGTACCCTCAAGAAGCTCGGTCTGGATGAGCAGTTCCCCGGTGTTGAGGAGGCCGATGGTGAGTACTCCCTCACCGAGGCCGCCGAGACCGACGAGGGCTCCCGCCGCCCCTTCAAGGCCTTCCTTGATGTCGGTCTTGCCCGTACCTCCACCGGTGCCCGTGTCTTCGGTGCCATGAAGGGTGCCTCCGACGGTGGTATCCTCATCCCCCACTCCGAGAGCCGCTTCCCCGGTTTCGACATCGAGTCCGAGGAGCTCGACGCCGAGACTCTCCGCAACTACATCTTCGGTGGCCACGTCGCTGAGTACATGGAGGGTCTTGCCGACGACGATGAGGAGCGCTTCGCCTCCCAGTTCAACAAGTACGTTGAGGCTGGTGTCGAGGCCGGTGACATTGAGGACCTCTACACTGAGGCCCACAAGGCCATCCGTGAGGACCCCTTCAAGAAGGACGAGAACGAGGGTGAGAAGAAGACCAAGGAGGAGTGGAAGGCCGAGGCCCTCAAGTACCGCAAGGTCCGCCTCACTCACGACGAGCGCAAGGCTCGCGTTGAGGAGAAGATCCGTGAGCTCGCTGCCTAAGTGGAGGGCTGGCCCAATCGTGCTTGATGCTTAACTGAGTGCGGTAGTCAAAACAAAAGTTAATAATTCTCTTTGGAATACAAGGGAATTATGTTCTTCTTGCCCAATACTTTTGTGATATCCAGTGTAGTCTGATGACCTTTTTTTATGACCGGAGTTATGGCAGGGGGGTTCTGTTCGGAGCAATTATGGAACGCGCCTAATGCGATTTTTAATTCAGCATGTATAAGGTGCTCCGGTAAATGGCCCTCGTAGACTTGTAAAGATTTTCCCGAATTGTCCGTCCTGTTGTTGATATCGAATCAGACTGAGACTGTTCCAAGTTTCAAGACCCCTTTCGATACAGCCACCATATGACCCTTGCGGTCCGACGACTGCCCAGCCCAATAGTTCAAACATCTACCCCGCCTTCTACAACCTTTCTGGCTGAAATGCGAGCCGTTCAGGTTGGAACCCCGGAATTTATGTCTCGGGCAGAAGCACTAGTTCAAATGGACATTTTGTTACAGATTCCCCTCTTTTTCGTGCGCGAGTAAGTAGACAGGTAGGGAGACGATTGCTGCCTCGGGGTTCTACTATGTAACAGAGAGGAGTATTCTACCCCATCGGGCAATATGCGTCGATCACTATAAATCTCTTTCGGGTCTCCATCTCGTGCCGTCCATCTTTCTTAGTCTACAACTAGATACTCTCTGTAGCCACTATGTACTACCAAGTACAGTAGGAGGCATTTGACTTTTAATAGTCATGGTTCGGTTGGACGACTACCTAGGCCGGGTAATGTAATGGGTTGGCGTCTCGTTGGTAGACCATCCGTTAACACCTTGCTTTTCAAGACGCAGTGCATTCAAAATGGGGACGATTTGCGTGGTAGTGAGGTATGTATGGCATGTCATAGATGCCCACCTAAAGTACTTACGGAGTAGCGATGCATGGAAAAAAAAAAAGCAACAGCGAACGCCTCGGACATATGATGTCATCCATTCATCTAAAGACGGGTTTGATCATCCTACTCCGGTTTGTGTGACTGTATCACTGTAAGTGCGCCCATTCCGCATAGGTACGTCCGTAGCTTATTGTGATTACTGGGCTTAAATGTTGAAGCCCTAAAGTATCTATGCCTCCGCTCTGTGGAGGGTTTCATTGTTATTACCATAGTAAGTCGCGTAGCGCACTAGATAGGCACCGGGCAAAGTGCATGATCAGCATGGCCTCCTCGTCTCGCGGTCCCGTAAGTGGATAACAAGTAGGTAGTATGGGACTGCGAACTACACCTTTACTTTACTAATAAAGTAGTTACACCTCCGTATTCCTGCCTTTGAACTTGGGACTGGGAGGGCTCGGCTCCTCTTACCTTGAAGAACCAGAGACAACTTTTCGGCGCGCATGCTGTAAGAGCGCCACTGATACGTGTGGTTGGGTGGTGGCTCATGGAGATACTAAGGTAGTTGTGGTGTATTATTTATTCCCTTTGACAGAGATCTACGGGTTACGGGTCCACCGTTCGATCAGCCCTTAAGTACAAAGTACTGTGGGCAGTGGGCAGTGGTCGTAGTATTGTGGTGGTTGGTTTGGGTTGACGTTGACGTTGACCAAAAGCCTATTTACTGTAGCCCGAGGAAAACAAGCACTTGAGTGAGGGAAGCTGTTCTGTTAGCTGAGGCGATCAGGTCAGGTGCTGGGATGGAAAATCATGAACATCGAACCCCCAGTCCTACGGATCGGGGATTTTCGATCGATCTGATAGGCCGCGAAGGAGCGGCTTGAATGGCAAGATGAACGCACAGTTGGACAGCACACGCTCATCCTCCTCGAACAGCGAACTAATCAGCCACTCCAGAGTCCCAAGACTAACGGCAGAGTAGGCCGATGGCCGACAGATGGTCGCAGACAGTGGACACAGGGGGGGAGGGCGCCCCTCAACCGAACCACCAGCCCTCTGGCCTAGCCCTGGCTGGCTTAGACTATCTGAGATATCGATGATTTGCGGGTTTGCGTACGCACTTGTAATTTCGGCGCCGGTTGAGGGAGGGCTTGGCGGAGTGTCGTGTGAGAGTTAGTTTCCCTTCTGCTCCTCGGTAAGTAAACTATCAGGCGGAATATGCGGAAGAGGACGCTGGGTGGCAAGATGGAGGAGGGGAGTCAGTCCATTTTTGGGGTTCAGTTGGATCCGTCATCGGACATGTTACGAACCAGGTGAGGGACTTCTGGATATCTGTTGACTGTTGGTACCCAGACACCTATGTAACTAACTATAGTAGGATCTGACAAATGCAAGGACTCTAATTCAGTGGTCGACAGGGAAGCAAAAGTACTTCTGAGTAGGCTGCAGGACAGTAAGAGTGTATGTACTCCGTACTGCCCTCGTATTGCGGGTTGCGAGTGACTGCGGGAGTGGTGGTTGACGCCCGCCCCACGGCGCGCGAGGCCAACTCCGCAGGCGAAGAATCGCCAGACTCGAGTATGTAATCCACCCGTGACCCAAGCAAGCGCTTCCCCACTGGCGGGAATCATGCTACGCTGCGGCTAGTCCCAGTTAAGCACCTCCCTCCTCGATGCTGCATCCACCCCGATTGCCTCGCACCTCGCAGTTCGCCCGCACCCTTTTTTCCCTCACTCCCCTTCCTAGACCCTTTTTAGACGGCGAATCCCTTCCGCTCCCCTGCGTTCCATTGCCCTCCCTCTCCGGCTCCCCTCTCCCCATCAGCTAGCCTACCTGACGCCTCATTCCCCATCCACCCGCCGTGTCACCATGTCCGCAGTGCTTCGCCGCCATGCCATGATGGAATGTTCCCACTGCCACTGCTCCTAATCACTCGCCGGTCCAAACTGCGATTTTCCCGTCATTTGGCTTAATCTATCAATCCATCCGCTATATTATTTCACTCTCGACGACTTGTGCAGGAAGACAGTTCCCGCTACGATCCGTCTCGACCGTTCTTCCACCGGTGCTTGTTTCCGCGGAGAGTCGCCGCATTACGCATCACCCATACATACACCCTACCTCCCCTTCCCACCCCCGCCCCTCTCCTCCCTACGACCATCACCTTAGCATACCGCGATCGGAAGCCCTCAGAGAATCAAAATGGAGGGAGTTGAGACCGTGGATGTCAGCTGGCTGCTTCATTCGCAGAGAGGTGAGTTGGGCGCTGCCCAATTGCGATCTGCCCGCTGTGGGGGTCTTTCTCTAACGCGACTGCAAGACCACCTGTCCCGCTGCAAGTCCGCATCCTCCGTGGTTTGCGACAAGACAATTGCCGAAACTGAAGTCCCAACTACTCAAAGACCTATCGAAACCACGGCCTCCCCCGATCGAAACCCTTCAGCATCCCCCGCTCCTTCTAAAGCGACGCCGCAACGAGATGGCTCGAAGCCTGACAAGGAAGTGAAACAAGATGATAAGGCCGTGGAGGAAAAGCCTACCGGCTCGTCACCAGCGTCCCAGAAGAGTGCGCCGAGACCGGTAGGCGCGAGAAGGAACTCATGGATTTCAAGTCTCAGCTCCAAGTTTTCCTCCGGCTCTACACCTCCGTCACAGTCAAACATGAAAGCCCCGCCAACTACAAAGGCCACCCCTCCTGCTTCGAAGATGGATATGCATAATCCTTTTGGTGCGGCCTACTCCCCGAAAGACAAGGAGGAGGAAAAGAAGGATGAAAACAGTCCTTTCGGTTCCGCATCCCCCAAGGGCCCTTCGTTCCTGCAAAGCGCTTTTCGGAAACTTTCGTCATCTGCGTCCGGTGGTGCAGGCAAGATGGCACCCAATGGGACCATCTGCCAGCGTCGCGTCATGAACATTGACCAAGATCGGGATAGATGCAAGATTCCGGATCTGAATGCCGCGAACTTGCGCCGCGTTGCTTTCTGCGTGGATGTGGAGATTGCAGGTATATCCTATCGGGAGTCCGATGAAGATAGTCCTCCGGCAAGCACTAAGCGACGTGTCATTCCGGAAGCGATTGGCCAGAAGCATAAACGCTCCAATTCCAAATCAAAAGAGAAGGACGAAGCTGTCGCCTTGAAAAATCCCCAGGCTGCGGTTTGTGACAAGGAGAAGAGTGCCCAGAAGAATGGCGCCGATGAAAAGGGCTCTGGCACCCCCGAAGCAGTTTCAAATGAAGTGAATGTCAACGGCGAAAGCAAGGAGCCCACTCGAAAGCAAGAAAAGAAGAAGAGATCAGAAGAGGAACGGAGGGAGCGAAGGGAAAAGAAACGAAGACAGGCGGAAGCGAATGGCACCATACCGATGCAATTGACGGCGGACGGCCAAGAGTATGGTTTGCGGACACCCGCCTCTACCAGTACACGTTCCAAAACAACAAGCCATCCCACAACAGATCCAGTGCGAATCTATCGGCGCTGTTGCCAGCTACGTGAAACGCCAGTGCTCAAGCGTATTGTGGACGAAATATCTTCGCCTTCTTCCACCCTCGCAGAATCCCCGGGAACCGTTGCCGTACTTGATCTCAGCGACTTTCCCATGACCTCCGAGGACATTGCCACCTTCTGCGACTGGCTAGCAGTTGTACCCGTTCGGAAGCTCATTCTCGAGAAATGTGCTCTGACCGATTCTTCGGTGCGATCCATTCTTGCCGGACTACTTTCCACCAGAACAGTGGAACACATGACGAACAGACGCAAAAGGGGCAAGAACCTTGAGAATACGTGCCCGGAAAAAGAAGAGAGGTTCAGTGTTGTCGAAAAGCTGTCCCTCAAGGACAACCCAAAGATCGGGTCGGAAGGATGGAGCCACATTTGCCTTTTTATCCATCTTTCACAGTCCTTAAAGGCCATTGACCTGTCGGGCCTTCCACTTCCTAAGGCACTGGTTGCTGCCAATGGTTTCAACAAAGTTGCACCTCGACCCCCGAATGCCTCGAATTGTACCGACGCCACGACCCTCTTCGCAAACTCTCTCTCGCAGCGCTTGGGCGGTGACCATCTCGAGGAATTGTTACTCAGCGAATGTAAACCCACGACAGAGGATGTGAAGAAGATCTGCGATGCAGCTGCGGCGGTGGGACTGAGGAGACTCGGCTTCGCTAATAACGAGCTGGGCAGGGAAGGTCTGGAGCACATTGCCAGCTATCTAAAGGCAGGAAAATGTGAAGGACTCGATCTGGGTGGAAACCCCATCCAGGACCACTTGGATTTGATCACTTCTGCTCTGTCAGATGATCACCCGCTATATGCGCTGAGCTTGGCCGATTGCTCCCTTACGCCGTCCGTCGTATATCCATTGTTCCAAGGGCTAACGCGCCTTCCCGATCTTCGCTTCATCGACTTCTCCCACAATCCAGACTTGTTTACAATGCAGCCCGACGCGCTGGCCACTTTCCGTCGGTGCCTTCCCAACATGCCCGCTCTGAAACGCATTCACCTGGCTGATGTCAATTTATCCCCCGATCAAATCATCGCCCTTGCCGAGGTTCTTCCGGAGAGCCCAAGTCTATGTCATCTAAACATCCTTGAAAACCCATTAATCACGACACTGGCATCGGCAACAGACCCTGCCAGCCAAGAAGAAGCCTGCGCTGTATATGCGTCCTTGATGGCCGCGGTACGCGTATCCAGGACAATCATTGCCGTGGACATTGAGGTTCCAACTGCTGAAAGCAATGAGGTCGTGAAGGCTTTGGCCTCCCAGATAGTCGCTTACTCCCTTCATAATCTTGAACAGGGTGCTATTGCGGTGGAATTCACGGACCCGACGGACACAACAACCCGACCAGTCCACGTTCCCGAAATTCTGCAGCACATCGTCGGCCACTCTGCTGGGGACGAACCAGAAGACGATGACGAGCCCGCGGCTGATGAGGACTATGTCATCGGAGGCACAGGTGTTGTCAAAGCTCTCGGTGTCTGCCTCGGTAATGTGGATTGCCTTCTGCCAGGAGAGCAGTCTGGGCCTCCAAGTGGAACAACCACACCGCGACACCGGAAGTCCAGGTCTTTGGTCGCTAAGCGGCCCCGCGATATGTCCATTAACTTACTGTCATCGGCACGCAACATTCGGACCCGGATCCAGTCGGCTCTCGTGCGCGAAGACAGGGCTGGCAATGACACCAACTACAGTATGTCCCTTACGATTGTCGATATTTTCTTGGAATGAAACTAACCACGCGTTTTACTGCAGGACGTCTCCAATTCCTTGACTTCACTTTGCAGAGAATGATCCAGCGATTCGAAGACGAGTACCCTGAAACGCGCATTATACCCCAGACCATGCCATCGTATACTATGCAAGACACCAGCTCGCAGAATTCTGGCGATGACGGTCCCGGGTTCGACAGCATCCAGCAGACTGCGACCAACGGTGATGCCGAGGTTGCTGGGGACGATGAAGAAGACAATTATGGTGCCCGACTATCGCGTGCCAGCTCCGTCACTTCCCTCCATTCCCGTGCCATGACCTCCGAAGAAGGACATATCCATCGACTCGGACAAGGCATTCGGCGGGACTTCCTCAGCCCCTCTTTCGATCAGACCGACGATGACTTTGCATCGTACTCCTTTGATGAGTCCCACATGGCCGCCTTGCGCGACAAGCTCGACCGTTTGCAAGAGGACCAGACACGGCCGCCCTTTGAGAGTGTGGGTTCGGACAAAGCCTTCGAGGATCTGGGCACGACTGTGGAGGAATTATTTGCCACACGAAAGCATGATACGGAGACCTTTGAGAGATTCCGGCAAAGCCAGATCGCCGCGCAAATTAATAGCGGCAAACGATCGTCGTCCACGATGCCCGACCGGAGCAAAGAGATCAACCCGGCCAAGCCAGATCAGGAGCCTTCTTCATAAAGTCGGAAGCTAGCCACAGCGCTTCTGCCCTGCTAGCTGGATTGTCATGGTTCTCGAGCCATGCCTTATATATTTCCGGGATGGGGATCGATTTCGAGTTCCCTTGCCCATCATCCAACTCCGTTGGTATCTCTGTACTGAGCAGGCACTCTGCAGGCAGAGAATGGCCCTGTATATATCGCCCATCGAGCCTGACATTATATGTATTGTAATCTATTTAGCACGGCCTGTTTTGAGGTTATCTTTGATATTTTCCCTTTTTTTTTTTTGTTTGTTTCTTTCCACTGCAATAAGGGGAGGATGTTTATGGGGGAAACAGGCGTTGGCTCCTCGGAGATCTGGACTCTGGAGCCAGGAGGCAGGTTGAATTGGACTTTTTACTAGCGATGATGCGATAAATGAACTTGTGGATTGCGGAGAGTTGTGTGTCCGCGTTATATGGATGACATATTCTGTTCTCCTCAAGCAACTACTGCTGTGCTACCGAGTACTTGTAGTTATTCATGTGGTCACAGCGTACTAGTTAACTAGTTAGTTAGTAGGAACCCCGCTTAGGTAAGGCATCCTCGGCAGCCCCAGGAATCCGGGGAGAGAGAAGGCCTTCTTCACATGCCATCCATTCCCCGGCGTCATCCTCTCTCCTCTCCTCTCCTCTCCTTGATAATCAATCTCCCCCCTCCCCCATCATCCATCACCTTCATCCCTGTCCCCGCCCGGTCATGTTAGCCTTCGTCGACTCTGGCTAAATCCCCCGGGTTCTCGTTCCCTGAATGTACGCCCCGCTTTCCGCCTTCTACTAGACCACCACTAGTATGGCTGCTCAGTCGAAGCTCCTCCCGCCCGAGCGGTCTATACGGCACCTCTTCTCCCGCCTAGCCAGCACCTACCTCCGTCACCGCAAGCAGATCTCCCGCACCGTCTACCTGGCTCTCTTCGCGGCCTTGGCCAAACGCATACATAATGCCATCTCCGAGCAAAAGGCCGCCTCCCATCACCAGGAGCAACTGCGGAGGCGCCCCGGCACCAGCAGCATCGGAGAAGGAGGCGACCGACCGCGCAAGAAGGTCGAGGTCAACCGGGAATTCTTCCGGAACTTGCTTCGTCTGCTGCGGATCGTGATCCCTGGTTGGCGGAGCAAGGAGCTACGGCTGCTCTTCGGGCACAGCGTCTTCCTGGTGCTGCGCACGCTGCTGAGTCTGTATGTGGCTGAACTGGATGGACGACTGGTCAGTAATCTGGTTAGGGGGAAAGGGAAGGATTTCTTATTGGGGCTGGTGTGGTGGATGATTGTCGCGGTTCCTGCGACGTTTACAAACTCTATGGTAAGTGGAGGAAGGGTTGCGCTATCCAGAGTAACCACAGGAGCTGATCTACTTGGGCTGCGCTGTAGCTTTCCTATCACCAGTGCAAACTTGCTCTCAGTTACCGCAAGCGTCTCACGGACTATATTCATGACAAGTACCTTTCGAACATGACGTTCTATGCCATCTCGGCTCTGGACGACCGGGTCAAGAACCCCGACCAGCTCATCACGGTCGATGTCTCTCGGTTCTCTGACAGCTTGGCTGAGCTATACTCGAACCTGGCTAAGCCGATCCTGGATATGGCCATCTATAACTACTCTCTTTCGAAGAGCGTAGGTGGTGAAGGACTGTTCATCATGAGTCTCCTAGTGCAGCTGTCTGCGAATGTCATGCGGGCATTGACACCCCCGTTCGGCAAATACGTTGCGGACGAAGCCCGTCTGGAAGGAGAGTTCCGGTTCCTTCACTCGCGGCTACTCGATTACAGCGAGGAGGTAGCTCTGTATCACGGCCACGAGGCAGAGAAAGATACCCTGGACAAGGGCTACTTCACCCTCATCAAGCATGTGAATCGCATCCTCCGGAGACGTCTGTATCATGGGTTCATGGAGGACTTCGTGATCAAGTACTTCTGGGGTGCCTTGGGCTTGATCCTGTGCAGCATTCCTGTCTTCTTCAAGATCCCCGGTCAAGTCACTCAAACGATGGGCGACCGTACCGAAAGTAAAGACCCTTTACCCCCACCAGGTAGACTCGTTACAATAGCTAACAAGCACCCAACAGGCTTCGTCACTAACCGCAGAATGCTACTCTCCTCATCTGACGCGTTCGGTCGCTTGATGTTCTCCTACAAGGAAATCTCCGAACTCGCCGGCCACACAGCCCGTGTCTCCTCACTCCTAGAAGTCATGGACGACCTTCTGGCCGGCCGCTTCGAGAAGAAACTGGTATCCTCCGCGTCCACCGACGAAAATGCCGCCATTCTATCCGGCCGCGGAGCCGTCGAGGAAAGCGACTCCATCGAATTTACCGACGTACCCATCGTCTCACCCAACGGCGACGTCCTCGTCCGCAAACTCTCCTTCACCGTCCACCCCGGCGACCACCTCCTGATCGTCGGACCCAACGGCTGCGGTAAATCCTCCCTCTTCCGCATCCTCGGCGGCCTGTGGCCCGTCTACGGTGGTCGCGTCAAGAAACCCCGCTTCGATGACATCTTCTACATCCCCCAGCGCCCGTATCTCTCCCGGGGCACCCTCCGCCAGCAGGTCATCTACCCAGACGGCGTCCGCGAAATGCGCGCCAAGGGCATCACCGACGACGATCTCTACGAGATCCTCTCCGTGGTCGAGATCGCCTCCGTCGTCGACCGTCCGGGAGGCTGGGACGCCGAGGAAGAATGGCGCGATGTACTCTCCGGCGGCCTGCAGCAGCGGATCGCCATGGCGAGGCTATTTTACCACCGACCCAAATTTGCCATTCTGGACGAATGCACCTCCTCCGTCACCCTGGAAATCGAACGCGTCATGTACGAGACCGCTAAAGAACTGGGCACCACGCTGATGACCGTGTCTCATCGACGGAGTCTCTGGAAATACCATAAGAAGATCCTCCAGTTCGACGGACAAGGAAGTTATGTCTTCACGGGGTTGGATTGGGAAAGGAGACTCAAGCTGGAAGAGTAAGTTGATTTGAATCAACCCTTCACTTCATTATTATCCTTTTCCTTTTTGTTTCTTCTTGGAAAGCTACAAGCAAACAAACAACCAAAAACTAACAATACTCTCTCTCACATAGTGAAAAAGAAGAGCTGGACCTCCATCTCCGAACTGTCCCGGAACTGCAGAAGCGCATGGCCGAATTGAGCGCTTAGTACCTACGGAGCAGGCATGGATACTTACTCACATACACACATACATATACATACATACATCCTACTATGATGGTATATCTACTTATCCGAGCTGTTGTGCTATCGGATATAAAGCGTAGTATTTACGATTGTGTTCTTGCGTCTTGAGTTGGATTTGGCAGTCAGTTGCCAGGCTGTTTGTTGTTCGCTGTTCTTGATTGTTGATTGTTACTTGTATAGGGAGGGGAGGGATAGGGCAGGCTTGGTCCCGTACGATATGATATGACATGGTCAGAATCAATTGTTGCGTTGTATAGCTGTGGATACTACTAGTACTTGGAATCACTTCAGTCAAGGCATGATGGGTAGTAAGTAATATAGATAGTATTACCTGTTTCATATCGTATCATTGTTTCTGATGCGAATACGAATAGTGTGTCATTGCAAATGCATGAATGAATGAATGAATATGTCAATGAATGACTGGTATTATATAGCACTGCTCTTCAAAACATCATGCTCCTATAGCAAGGCTATTGCTATTGCTATTGCCATTGCTGTTGGTGTTTCTGTAGCTGATTCTGTCATTGGTTGATCTGCCAATCCAACCTCTTTCTTATGCAAAACAGTCTGACTCAAACTTAATCTTAATGGACAATAAACGCAATAATAAGAGACTCAAGGAGAGCTAGCCAATAGAGAGAAAGCAAGCAAGCATGGAATACAAAAAGCCAAAGACATAAGGGCGCTCATCGCTCAGCTCCAACGGGGAAGGAACGCTTTCTAATCCTTCACCTCCAGAGGCTCTACATTCCAAATGCTCTCGGCGTACTCGTTGATGACACGGTCGGTGGAGAAGAAGCCCATGCGTGCAACGCAAGTGATGGACTTGGTGAGCCACTCCTCGCGGTTCTTGAACGACTCGTCGACCAGATCCTGAGTCGTGATGTAGGAGTTGAAGTCATCGGACACGAGGTAGTAGTCTCCGTGCTCTACGATCGAGGCAAGAAGGGCGGAGAAACTGTTGGTGTCGCCGAACATGCCGCCTCGGATTGCCTCGAAGACCTTAGCCAGGTGGGGATCAAGTTGGAAGTCGCCGTAGAGATGTCTGTGACGCAGTTCTTCGACATCTTCGGCTAGATTGCCAAAGAGGAAGATGTTCTGCTCGCCGACTTCACGGGTGATTTCGATCTATAAATGGTAGTGGTTAGCATCACAGGCCAAGCAGACCAGAGGGCCAGGGACAACGTACATTAGCACCGTCACAGGTTCCAATGATCAATCCACCGTTCATAACGAATTTCATGTTACTGGTTCCACTTCCCTCGGTACCAGCCGTGGAAATATGCTCGCTGATATCTGATGCAGGGCAGATAATTTCAGCCTTGCTGACATTGTAGTCTTCAACGAAGATCACCTTCAAGAGGTCCCCAACATCCGGGTCCTTGTTCACCACAGATGCAACCTTGTTAATCAAATGGATCACAGTCTTTGCCATCCAGTAGCCTGGTGCTGCCTTGCCTCCGAAGATGGAGACGCGCGGCAGAACCTTCTTCTTCTCCTCCGCAGACATGGACTTGATCTTCAGGTACCGATGAATGACGCCAAAAATGTTGAGTTGCTGTCGCTTGTACTCATGAATTCGCTTCACCTGAATGTCGAACAATGCAGTTGGGTTCACACTGTATCCCGTGGTTTCCTTGATATGCTTAGCAAGACGAAGTTTGTTGGCAACTTTGATCTCAGCCCATTCTTGTTGGAATGCCTTGTCGTCGACAAAAGCCTCTAGCTTATCTAGAAGCGTCAGGTCGGTCAAAAACTCGTATCCCCCGAGTCTGGAGGCAATCAAGTCAGACAGTCGAGGGTTTGCTTGGTGCAGCCAACGGCGCGGAGTAACTCCGTTGGTGACATTGGTGAACTTGTCGGGGCCATAGATCGTGACAAAATCCCTGAATAGGGTGGTTCTCAGCAGGTCGGAATGCAGTTCAGCGACACCATTGACCTTGTGGGACCCAATAATCGCGATGTAAGCCATCCGGACCATCTTGGGGTGAGACTCTTCGATGATTGATACTCTGGAGAGCAGCTCTCTATCCTTGGGGAAAGTCTTTTCCACGTGCTGCAAGAAGTATAGGTTGATGTCGAAGATGATCTGCATGTGACGCGGCAGCAAGTTCTGCATCAGAGGAACGGACCATTTCTCCAACGCCTCTGGCAAGACTGTGTGGTTGGTATATCCGAAAGTTTTTGTCACAATGTTCCACGCCTCATCCCATTCGAAGCCTTCATTGTCGATCAGGATGCGTTGCAGCTCGACAATAGCGAGTGTTGGGTGGGTGTCATTCAATTGGATCGCGACTTGATCGGGGAACTCGCTCCAGGCTCTCTTCGTCTTCTTGAACCTTCGAACAATATCGTACAGAGAGGCAGCACACCAGAAGTACTGCTGCTTCAGTCTGAGTTCCTTACCCCGGTCGAGGTTGTCATTTGGGTAGAGCACCGCAGAAATGGTCTCTGCGCGTTGTTGCTCTGCGACAGCACTCTCGTAATCGCCCGCGTTGAATTTCTGGAAGTTAAATTCTCCGCTGGATGCTTTGCAGGACCACAGGCGAAGGTTGTTGGTGGTGCGGGTGCCATATCCAGGGATGGGGACATCATATGCCACCGCTTGAACGGTTTCACCGTCCTGCCATGAGCTGACAGTCTTGCCATTCTCATTCTGGTATTTTCTCACCCAGCCATAGAACTGGATGTTGACGCTTATTTCGTGGCGGGGAAATTCCCAGGGGTTGAAATCAAGCCAGTAGTCAGGAACTTCCATCTGATAGCCGTCCACAATCTCCTGCTTGAAGATTCCATATCTATACCGCAGCCCATACCCCCAAGCTGGGTAGTTCAATGTCGCCAGGCTATCGAGGAAACATGCAGCCAGACGTCCAAGGCCTCCGTTTCCCAGAGCAGCATCGTGCTCCTGGCTGATGACATCTTCAACCCGGAAGCCGAGATCCTTGAGACCATCTGGTTCCATGATCGATCAGTCTTATGCTGCATGATATAGGAGTCACTGTTGGGATTACCTACCTCTCGCAATATCCTTCAACCCAACATTGAGCATAGCATTGTCCAATGCTCTACCCATAAGGAACTCGAGGGAGAGATCTATCATGAACGGTTAATGACCATGACTTATGACTTGTTGGCCCAGGATAATCCCAAGGATCCACATACAGTACACTCTCTTCTGATCTGCGGTAGCCTGTCGCTGTTGAGTCTTATTCCACTCAATGATCAGACGATCCCGAAAGGCGAGGGCGGTTCCATGGTACGCAGCCCTGATACGTTAGCAAGACGCTTTACCGAGCTATCACAGGGGAGGAAGCTGTACAATTCATCGCAGTTATACAGCGAGCGAGCCAAGGTAGTCTCGATGTGGTGAACCAGCTCATGCTAATGAACAATTGAGTAAGTGAGATGCTCAATATCCCGGAAATATAGTCTCACGTACTTCAAATTCCTCTTTGTTGGTGAACCCATCTGCGGACTGTGGAGAGCAAGGACTTAGCAAAGACAGCTTGTAATACGGCTCTTGTCATGGTCTTACATGTTTTTTCCACCTAGACAACAATGTAAATTAGCAATGGTCCTCCAATGGCTGGGCATATGCAAGCCTGTAGCTCTTTACGAGCCAGGGTCCCACGAGGGATGGAGAGAGGTGGATATACGCACGCCTCCCGGAGATGTTCAGGAATGCTTGCTTCGACGCTTTTGATCTCTGCGGGACCGAAGCCAGTGAAGGTACGTCTATGCTTGGGACGGCTGAAGCCGGGACCAACAGGGCCCTGAAGCTCGGAGACGGGAGCCCCCACAGAGGGCCTTCTTTCACGGCGGGTTTCAGTTTCAGACATGATGCCAATGCGAGGGGACCGTGCCCGGAATTCAGCTCAAATTGGCTAGAGAGAAGAGCAGATAGGCTAGGAGCTGGAGGGGAATGGGTTGAACAGGGGATGATAAATCCGCGCCCAGGGGAGAGGGAGGGGGGGGGGGAGGCTCGAATGCAGTGAGGAGGTAAGGAGGAAGTCAAGATGTGGGAGGGGAGAGAGAGGAGGACAAAGAAGAGGAAGGAAGCGGGAGGGGAGGGGAGGCTGGAAGAAGTAGTCAAAAGTAGTAAGAAGTGGTCTGTCGTATACGACACACGGCGATACCGGCTGGCCGTCACTCCCTCACTCCCTCACTCCCTCAACTCCCTGCCTGGTACTCACGTTCACTTGCATTCACAGCGAAACGTTGAACCGCGTGACAAGGATCAAAGCAGGGCATGCGCAACGACCAAGAGGGGTAGAACCCGAAGCCTGGGATGGCAAACTGCTGTATCCTGGGGCACAAGCAGGAAAGCCGGATGGATCATACGTTGATGGGCCCTTGTCCATGCATGTCGTGCGAGTGTCTAGGCCCCCGATGGAACGGCTGTCACAGCAATCGCGAATCAGGGCGCGGATCAGGCGGGTTTCCATTGCAGCTTGTCGTGAACGGCGATGCTTACTAGCTGCTGGGCCTGGCATGATTGATTGACAGCGGAGTTGCCCGGAACTGGACATCATCATCATCAAAGAAGGTAGTGCTTACGCCGTCCCGGTCAAGGTTCTGATAGTCCAACTGCCGCTATGACGCATGACAGCGGCCGAGTGGGGGGAAACCGACATGATCGCGGGAGAGTACATCTCTGGTGCTACCGGATATTGTTCTACAACTGATTTTGCTTATGTTGCCTGAGTTGCCTGAGTTGCCTATATTATCTATATTTCAATCCAAACACAAAGATGAGATAGGTATGCTGGCTAGAATCCCAATTCGGGTATATTTATAGATTCGTTGATCAGCTCAAGCTCGTACAGCACAGGTCGGTCTGACCCCGTCTCTCTCCTCTCTCCTTCCTCTCTCCCTCCTCCCCCCCTCTTCTCTCACCACCACCACCACCACCGCAGCTCGGTCCTCCGCCCCTCCCCCAACCCCGATCTCCGGCCTCATCCATCTCCCCCCCCCCCGCGCCCCGCACTGCAACCCTGGATCGGATCGGCGGTCATCATCCTCTTCTTCCACCCCTCATCTTGACACGTTCAGAGTTTCAGACTCTCAACGCATCAGGGGGGTCTGATCCTCAGCCTTTCCGAAGAACATATGCACGATGCAAAGTCCTCTGCATCTCGAATCGCCTGATGACCTGATGATGAACTACTATTACTACGACATGAAACAGCACTCGCAACCCCCCTGCAAACCCTCAAACCCCTCATACATATCCCCACCCCGCCAGTGGATGATCTCGTGGTACGGTGGGCATCCAAATCAGCACCCTCGGCCATAAACAGTCTTGTAGGCATGTGTGCCTGAGAGAGAACAGTGCCATGTATAAGTGGGGTCAACGGCGGTGGTGGTGGTGGCTGAGGGATCAGCTCTGGCCATTAAAAAACAACCACCTCTCCGGAGCTCATGTGATTGAACCGCCCAGAGACAACTGGCACAGACGGCGGAGGGAAACGGATATCGGGGAGACCCACAAATAAAAAGATCAATTGCATGCATAGGAGCGCTACAACAAGCTGCTTGGTATAGATATGGGCTGACAGCACGTGAACTGCATCAAGGGAAACAAACAGGATAGCTGGGAGACAGCAGGGGAAGGGGGGGGGGGAGATTAGAGTAGTAAAAAGAGTAATGAGAGAGAGGTCGCCATCAGATGCATGGGGTCAACATGAGAGGAGGGCAGAAAGGAAGAACGAATCTCGAGGCGCACGAGACAGGATATCAGAAGCCCTCGCATGTTTTATATGCAAAGTAGTGCTGGGGGCCAGGGAACTTTTTTAGCTCGAGATGCTATATGCTCATCAAATCCCAAGCCAAAGAAGAAGCGGAACGTGGCCAACCATAGCCAATGCAGACACAAGAACCCCCCAGGAAACAGATCGTCCGGAAATCACGACAAAGGAAAGAAAGAAAAACCAAAAGGCAGAAACACCATGCCACGGATTCCAATGACCCTAACCCAACCCAGCGCCAGGCACATCGAACCGTGAGGTTAAATTAAGCACCGTAACGCCGATGCCTTCCGACTGAACACACACATGTTGGGGTGGAATGAAAAGGAAAAGGATAAGAAACGAACGCCAAAGCTGGTAACAAGAGGAAAATCGTAGTGTCAAACTCGACGGGTGTGAATGGGGTTCATCAGAACGATTAGAGCATGACGATGGACTGATGAAGAGGAAATTGGAAGGGCCTACTCCATAACGCAGGTGACCGCCGCAGGAGGTCTTCGGGGTCCGTAATGGGCAGACATCCTCCTTCGGGGTGTTTGGGTCGATCGGGTTGTAGACAGCTTTATAGGATACCCGAATCCTTCAAAGCGTTCTGCAGAATAGTTTCCTTCACAGCAGCGAAGACTAAACGGATATTGGTGGTATCGGTGGCCTGAGTGAGACTGTGGGTGGGGTTAGAAGCCAGACCTCGTCAAGTGAGATTGATCAATCAACGTACTGAGGGTAGAGGTTCAAATGCGCTCTGTTAACCTGGTTGAACCTCCAGAGGAGATACTTGGCCGCACGATTCACGTCATTCCCACCGGAGTAATCTGGGAAATAACGGTTCAATGGCGATCGAGGGAGCTTTTGCCGGAAGAGATCGACTTTATTCAGGAAAAGGATAATGCTCGTTCGCATAAACCACCGGGAGTTCACCACGGAATCAAACAGTACCAAACTTTCCATCATTCGGTTCTTGCAGTCACAGGGCAGATTAGCTTACGAACGGGTGGGGGCATCAGTGGAGTGAGTGCACTGGAACTTACCTGGTTGCTCTCTTCTAGCAGTACTTGGTCATACTCGCTCAGTGCAACACAGAAAATAATTGATGTCACATTTTCGAAACAGTGGATCCACTTCTTGCGCTCGCTGCGCTGGCCACCAACATCGAACATGCTGCGTAACAGGTGAGAAACGTGCCAAGACGGAAAGGGGGTGAGGAGGGTCCATACTGTATGCTGAGCTGGCCCATGGAGAATCGTGTTTCATAGATACCTGTTGTTTTCGTCCGCGCACGAAGCACATCGTTCACGATTGGTATGTAGTCGGGGGCCGTTATTCGTTTGGCTTCTTCGAAGAAACTAGATCCACTCGTTCAGCTTGCATGTCCCAATGCCTGCGGGTAACCTCGGTTCTTACTATGGCGCCGAATCCATCAAGTAGAATTCGTGTTGATGCTCCAACACAGTGGAAGTACACGGGTCATTCCAGAGATATGTTAACGCATCGCCGACCTTGGTATCTATCGGTGTGTTGGGGTCGGGGTCAATGTTATAGTCGAGGAGGTACTGGATGTAATCGCGGACTTTTTGGCTTGTAGGCTCGAGCTGGAACTGATTGTAGCCCAATATGAGGGCCCTGGCGCAATCGAGAACGTTCTTGTAGACCGTTAAACGATATAGGGCGAGTTCTTCGACGGTGTAGCCATTCTGGTGGATGATTTTCATTTGCTTGACAATGGTGGATTTTCCGCTTTCCCCCGAACCTAGATGAAGATCGAATTACCGTTAGCCAAACTTGACACCTATTTGCTCAAACGTATGATTGACTGAAAAGAAAAGTGCGACGAACCAAGCAGTAGGATCTTGCATTCTCGCCGTAGCTTCCTAGAGTCCTCGTCTATCCTGCGGTCGATTGCATTGCTCTTCCGCTTCGATTCCGCATCCTCCGACTTATCTGTGCTCATACACGAACCCATTTTCTCTGCACGGCTCCCAGACAGCGAAAAGCTAACCCATTAGCTGCCTGCGGACGGGCACGGCATCAACCTATCGGGACGCTAGGACCCGAGACCGTCGGGGAAGGGCTCCCAGACAAGCGGCACCTCTGAGACCCAAGCAGAGGTAATCGCAAAGGACAGGTGAAACCGGCGCAATGGAAGGGGGATGCTGAGGTCGAAACACAAAGGCGAGAGAGGAGCGATAGGTATGCGATCGACGACGGAGCTCGATCAGGGATCGAGGCTTGCGCGCGTAATGGCCAGCAGCAAAGCCACAACGAACAGGTCAGGTCTGGGACGGAGATGGCGTGGGCGACAGTTGCAAGGTGTCGGAGCAGAGATGATGGCTCGTGACGCAGGAGATGGAAAGCAGGGAGATGACGGAGGACACTAGGTGGAGAGGTGGAGAGGTGGAGAGGTGGACAGATGAATACCGAAAGCCCCGGCGCAGGGTGGTATGGTATGGATGGCTCTGCTGGAGGCGTGATCGGGGGTGAGGGGTGTCAGGATCCAACTGCGGAGCCGAAGAGCGAGCGAGAGTGATGACCTGACGCTAAAAAAGGGTAGTCGATCGGGGGGGAGGGGATGATGTGGAAGAGTGGATGGATGGGAACGCGGATCTCGAGTGAGATAATGTAAGCGACGAGGATCGGTCGGTCGGTCGGGTCGATCAGGCGGAAAGGGAGAGAGGGAAAGAGATGCGAGATGACAAAGAGGGAAGGGGATTAGTGGTTCGATGTCATTATTGTTGGGGTCATTCGAGGGCGTTCACTTTTTTGGGGGGGGGGGAGGGGGGAAGGAGAAGAGGAGAGAGGAGGTTGGTAAGTACAGGCAGTGGTGGTAGGAATACAGTGTAATTTAGATGGTGGTGGTCGATGGGCCAGTTGTGGATGTTCCCAATCGTCATATAGACGGGTGAAAGTGGAGATGGCAGAAATAATGGAGAGGATTGGATTACATACTCGCTCGCGCTCGATCGTACGGAGCACTGGGGAGTTAGACTCAGTTAGTCGGGGCGGCGGGTGGGTAATAAATGCTGGTGGTACTGGCGAAAAACGTGGACCGGCGACCCAAGCTTACCGCGATGCTACATACTAAGTATCTCTAGTCAGTCCATAGACACATCTAACAGGCTACCCTCTCTATCGTCGACTAGTCACGGTCGTAAGGCTCAAAGAGGAGACGCTGGCGCTAAAAAAGAGGTCGGCGTCTGGACGGCCTCTACGGAATGGATACTCCCCGATAGATCTACGGAGGCAAGTGGACAAAGGTGAGTTCTTGGACTCCTTGGACCGGACCCTCCTACATCTTGTATCCCCTGGGAAAAAAAAGTACCTCCTCCTCCCGACTAGCTCCGCTGCCAGTGACAGCGGCACCACGAGTCAGGCCGCCATCCCAGCTACCACTCACGATGCCCGCCAGGTACCTGGGATGTCAATCTCAAATCCTATTGACCTATCGTGCGAGGTATGTGGCCGGGAGTATCCAGAGTTCCCAATTGTGTCACATCCATCTGGTGTCGAAAACGAACTGGTTCTATCACTTGTATCCGCCCTTTCCCGCCTCTTCCGCCTCGCACAGGGCGCATACAGGCCGACACGTTGTTGGTGTGTCTCTCCTGCTTTTCCTCTTGGAGACGTCAGCTTTACCTTGGGGCACCTCAGGAAGGCTGAGGCTATCTCACAACCCCGTTTGATTGAAACAGTGTATCTCCAAGCACCTTCAACTGATGGGGTACGGCAATGCATAGGGAGCACTGAGTACTGTCTACTGCCCACGGTGTCTTACCTTCCCTATCTGGTGTCCAAGTGCGTTTGGTAGCGTACTAGATATTTATATTCATTCCAAATACTACCTAGTCACGGGCGAGCGACTTGGTCTAGACAACTGAATCACAAAGAAACATGGTTTCATACTTTGTACTCCGTACTTTTGCGGTCCTAGAACTGTTTAGGAGCACTTAGCTTGGGAACTATAGCCGCTCACCAAAACATTGGAGTCGGACTCCTGGGAAAGAGAGAACATCTAAGTACTTACTCCGTACAATTTGTTGATTAGATCTTTTCCCATGGACCTCAATCAAGAATACCAGACAAGGCTGTCTTACTTTGTGCTATGTGGCATTGATGTTGGTGATCGTCATCCAGAGCCTCATGGCTTACCATACCCCGTATCCAGTGCTTAAATGAGACATTTCGGCGAAAAGCCACGCTGACGGACCGACCGTCCACATCCGGACTATCTACTAAAGGCGACCAGGCTTGAAGCTAGCTCATGAGATAAAAGCTCCCTGACCCATCCTTTTTCTGTAGTGATAGTATTGAGGCATAAATTTGACTCCAAACATGTCTATTTATGACGGTATCTGATCTAGGAGCTCCGCAGCCTTTGAATCCGCAATGAGGATGGGGTCAGAAGTGAGACCCAACTTGGTTTACAGTAGGTGGGGATAATGACCTGCAGCAGGCACAGACATCCACTTTGAAAAAAGGTTAAACTATTCTTAGCTTTTGAGTGAAACTGAGAGGTTTCGACCCATGCTACAATTTTTCCCCTTTGGTTTGAGCTTTGTTTTAAAAAGCAAGCGGTAAATGTAAAACAGGACACAACCCGAAAATAAGACGAAAATTGTTGCACTTGACTAGGTAGAAAAGTCAATGATCACAATGATCACATGCCTAAACTAAATACAAGTCACTTGCACTCCATAACTTACCTCTCTTCTATACTACATATTTTTTCAACATAATGACAAACCTATCAACACCACTAATTTATCTGCTCAATGAGTGCAGGTACGACTGTAATTTGACTACATTGGGACTTTGAATGGAAAGTTACGGAGTGCCACCCGATAAAATATGACTCGGCGCAAATAATTTCCAGCTAACTAGATATATATACTGGGATTGATGTCTATAGAGTATAGTACTACTAGTACTAAGCACAGCACTGGACATATCAATACCCCAATAGGCAATACTATATATAGCGTTTGGAAGCAAGGATACTCCGTAGCGGAATACACTTTCTTCATCGCCCCTAGGCATCGTTTATGATGAACAAACACAACTTTAAGACATGGACAGGATATTGATTCGGATTTCTTCCAAGTCTTCAATTTTTAAAGCGCCGTGGATGGGGTCAACCCTCCGCTCGGGTAACTTAGGATGCCGGCCGGATCTGAGCTATACCTACATTGGTTGTGGTACAGATCACTTACCCAGAGGAAGCTCTTTGTCACCAGAGTCGAACAGCCTTATCCCAACACGGAGGACACTTCCATACAGAGCACGGACTACTTGTCCACTCCCGGATAGTCACTAGTAGATAAATGCTTCCTCCGTATGGCGACGATGGCTCGTACTGCGTACAGGCTAGGTACGGCTTTCTTTTTTTCTGTCCATACTTCTACATAGTGTAGTTCTCCGATCTGCAAGGCTTGAGGATATGCCTACTATAATCCTTCTCGGGCGAGTGTACGCAGATACGTACGGACAGGGCGTCTGGAGCTCTCGGTGGTCACGAAATCGATGGAACTGATTGGAACCGGGTGGGCCCCACCGGGGAGGTATGATGACATTGAGGAGCACCGCCGGCTGCTAGCATGGTTCGCTCCAATGGAAATTACGTAGTAGACGCCGCGCCGTTGGCTGGCATGTTGTATTCGGATCGATCGCGATGATAACCACCGCGCCTGGGGAGTTGGGGCACGGCTCGCCCAGCAAATGGGCTGATATTTTCGGGTTAGGCTGCCCTGGGGCACTGACGAGAGGAAGTCCGTGTAACGGTAAGCTGGGCAGTCCTCAGAAGAAAGAGAGGCGGATATACATATAGTACTGTAAACGGGGTGGGGTCCATAGAGGGGGTGCTGGCAGGATGAATGATCATAGCGGGGGGAGAGAAGCAGCTTTCCAGTTGGTTGTATGTATCTAGTTGTATCTATCCTTGACGAAGTAGTTCTAGTTAGACGGGGTACTTATAGATACTAAGTACCCGATCGATCGGGGAGGAGGGGAAGCAGCGATGGAGGGGACGTCAGAGCGAGTTACATCAACGATGTACTCTGTCTGGAGAAATAATCCTCCCATAAGGGAGGGTTAGGTAAGCCCGGCGGGCTTCCCTGAATTGGAAGACTGTTCCGGCCAATGGCGGTGATGGGAGAAGTCTAGACAGGACCGCGTGGGCGAAAGAATCGTAGCGCCAGCTTCTGCTCGGCCCAGCAGTGTCCACTACTAACTAACTGCTGCCCGCTGCCCGCTGCCCACACCGTCACCAGCCCTTTTGCGATACCCTGCTTCTGTCGCGGACGTCATCGTTCTTGTTTTGGCTGTTCCGGAGAATCAGAACTCAACCGACCACCGTGGGAGAGAGTCGCTTCCCCACACACCCTACTGGGCGCCACCTACGGCTTTTGCTGCCTCTCTCTCCAACAACAGTTGTTACTCTTCCCTACATCTCGCTTTTTTTCCATTATCACTGTCACTGTTCACTCAGCCTTGCCTCATTTCTCTGCCTTCGCTTCTGCTTTCGCTTCTGCTTCCGCTTCTGCTTCCGCTTCTGCTCCCCCTCACACCACCACTCCCCTCTTCCCCTCCCCCTGACCCCATCGCCATCCTTTCCACGAGAACTCAACCCCTCCTCCCACTTCACTGAGCGCGGTAAACCGTTCACCCTTACTCCAAAATGGCGGAATTCGTGCGTGCCCAGATCTTCGGCACAACTTTCGAGATCACAAGCAGGTACGGCCCTTTCGATGCTTTCTGGTCATTTCAAAGAAAAGAGAAAAAAAAATATCCTCGACGGTCGATGCGACCTCTCAATCAGTAACTGATATTTTCGCAGGTACACAGACCTTCAGCCCGTCGGAATGGGTGCCTTCGGTCTCGTCTGGTATGGTCGCCAACCCCTCTTCTGGATTTCGCCGCAACGCCGATGGTTTCTGCCGGCGTCGTACATCGCATGGGCTGACACAGTTTCCGGGGGGATTTAGTTCTGCGAGGGATCAATTGACAGCACAACCGGTCGCCGTCAAGAAGATTATGAAGCCATTTAGCACACCAGTTTTGTCCAAGAGAACGTACCGCGAGTTGAAGCTGTTGAAGCATCTGCGACACGAAAATGTTCGTCCTTACCGCCGAACGGCGCTCCGCCATCCCGCCATATCGCAATGCTGACTACGTGCAGATTATCAGCCTGAGCGATATCTTCATCTCTCCGCTCGAGGACATGTAAGCAAAACTGCCTGGTTAAAGTCGCCATTACGTCGCTTTGTTTTCTAACATGACCGCTGCAGCTATTTCGTCACAGAACTCCTAGGAACCGACCTGCACAGACTTCTCACCTCGCGACCATTGGAGAAACAATTTATCCAGTATTTCCTGTACCAAATTTTGGTATGTGATCAAGGGTGTCGCGTCTCCGCGCCTTCGCTTTCGTTGGATTTGTTCACCGACGGACACTGACCATCTACAGCGAGGACTGAAGTATGTCCACTCGGCCGGTGTCGTCCACCGTGACCTCAAACCCAGCAACATCCTTATCAACGAAAATTGCGATCTGAAAATCTGCGACTTCGGCCTTGCCCGTATCCAAGACCCTCAGATGACTGGCTATGTCTCGACTCGGTATTATCGCGCTCCTGAGATCATGCTCACATGGCAGAAATACGACGTGGAGGTGGATATCTGGAGTGCGGCATGTATCTTTGCCGAGATGCTGGAGGGAAAGCCCCTGTTCCCAGGGAAGGACCACGTCAACCAGTTCTCGATCATCACAGAGCTTCTTGGAACCCCGCCGGACGATGTTATCCAGTCCATCTGCAGTGAAAACGTGAGAAACTGCCTGTGTCAACGTCCAGACCCATTGGAACGCGCCACTAATGCCGCTTGAATTAGACCTTGCGATTCGTCAAGTCGCTACCCAAGCGCGAACGGCAGCCTTTGGCCAATAAGTTCAAGAACGCCGACCCAGATGGTACGTGTGAATGCGATCCATCGGCAATAGCCCCCAAAACACTGACACTTTGCAGCTGTCGATCTTCTCGAGCGCATGCTCGTCTTCGACCCGAAGAAGCGCATCCGTGCAGGCGAAGCGCTTGCGCATGAATACCTGGGCCCCTACCACGACCCGACCGATGAGCCCGAGGCGGAGGAGAAGTTCGATTGGTCTTTCAACGACGCGGATTTGCCCGTCGATACCTGGAAGATCATGATGTGAGTTATATTATTAACCTTCCGATCTGGCGGGACGTGGGATGCTAATTGGGATTAGGTACTCGGAGATTCTCGAATTCCACAACATCGACCAAGCCAACGATGCTGGCCAAGTGCTCGTCGAGGGGGCAGGGGATGGGCACCAGGCCTTTGCATAGAGGATAGTCGAACATATAATGTCATGGACGAGGCGCAGGCAGCGATGCGACATGAGTATGATGTCATTTCCTTCGATTTCTCTTGGTATGGTATGTAGACTGGAAGCGGGACTGTGCTATGCTATTGCCACGGATTGTTTACTCGTGTTCTCTCCACACGTTTTTTTTTTTTTTTTTTTTCTTTTGTTTCCCCCCTCTCCAGTCTGCTTCCGGGCGTCTATACACGACTCTGGCTTGGATCTTTCAATTGTGATTAGAGTCCGACGATTTGGAGATTGTAACACGACTAAATTCTGTCTCCCATTTTTGCTATATATACACTTCATGCGGTTCACGATTGATGAACTTGGTTGTCTTAAACCCCTCCGATTGACCGATTGACCTGTGGGAGGAATCATTTTTGTTTCCCCCGTATGTGCGCGATAGATTTTGATTTTTGATATGAAAGCAAGTTTAATGATAGAGAACCCTGAGAAGATGCCGTGTGTACTGTGTAGAAAGGAGGAAAGGAGGAAAGGAGGGGGAAAGAGGGGATTTACATCCCCGCGGACGTTGCCCGTTTCGAAGGAGCATTACGCTGTCCGTACCGACCGTATGGAGTCTGGCCGTGGAGACCTGTCCTCGGAGCAGTCACACCGCCCACCAGGAGGACCAATCGGCGGGCCAGGACACCCGCCGACCTGCCGGAGTCAATCTGATTATTACGTGCCTTACCTTAACAGCTTAACTTAGTGACCCCTGGTCGTGTCTCCAGTCTGATCCAGGACTAACTCACTAACTACTCCGTACTGCTCCTCTACGAATTATTATTATTCTTCTCTGGCCAATTTATTTGCCCACTCTCCCGCCGTTATCACCAGTGGCCACGTGAGGCGACGTCTACTTCATTGGGTTTTCTCTTTTCGGAGGGGCCTCCTCCTTTTCCAAGGTGGAAATTGGCTTGGAACGTGTCACTTCCCAGTCCCCGTTTTCTATGCCAGTCCCCACGCCATGTCTTGCCTCCGCAGTGGCCAGGAGCCCATTGTCATGGTCATAGATTTTCACCATGCAAGGTGAGGAGCCATTGCCCCTCCCCCCATTGTCGTCCGTCGGAGCAAGCGACGAGCTGCAGAGCTTGGGTCTAGAAGCAAACAACCGTGTTCGAGGCCCTGGGTGAACATTCCTCGAATGCACGACGCCCTTCTCCCGGTGGTTGTTGACGCCAGCCGCCTTCAAGCTCTTGTAACTCCTCTCTGCTTAGTCCCCTTGGCCCCCCCTCCCCCTCCCCCTCCCCTCGGTGTACGGAGTCTTCAACCGGCTAACCACTGTATTCTATTACGATAGGGGCCCCGAAATAGAACTATGTTTTGGAGACGACGGAGGAGACCCCGCAGCGGAGAATGATTGGTCTCTGCTGCCATTCATGGCCCTTTCCGATGGGGCGCATATGTACGACTGAGCCATGTTGCCCCTCATGCTTTATACCACTGTTAGCGAAGATGTTCGGCTGTGTTGACACATATCGGGTCTCTCAGGTCTACCGAGGAGTTCTCTTACTTTACCGTACGGCGAAGGGAGACCGCAACCGAACCCGCAACGTCACTTTTCGGCATCTCTTGCTCCAGACAGATTGACTCGAACCTCCTCATATACCGGCCTCCAGATGTCACGAGATCGACGGTACAAAAGGCGGTGGTCGTGGTGACGGATAGCCCTCGAAGTCTAGGGCAGCTGAGAGAAAAACTGTCTGTCGTGACATCGGCTTGGTTTGCGCAGCGGTACGTCTGTCCTTGAAGGCCTCGGTGTTTAGGCCGTCAACACGTTGCCTGCTGCATCATGATGCGGTGGATTGCTGGATACACCTGGGGAGTAGCTTGGCTGATTTGGCAACAAATAGGGACTTCTCCGACTCCGACATCCTCAAGGTATATCTCTACTTGAATGCTAGCCATTGCATATACTTACAGCGCATAGAAATTCCGCGAAGGTTTGATAATTAGTCGGCAGAAAAATGAGGAATCCAAAGACCAGAACCTAGGTGGGAATGCTTGGTGTCATATTTCGCTTATATGTCGCTGACCTGTCCAGGACTTTCTCTGCGGGAGATGATTCACGAGTTCAAACATCAGACCCTGGTCCTGTTCAAAGCTTTACTCTTGCAACCCAAGGTAAGGATAGCTTTCCGCAGTCGGTTATGTGTTACACTAAAACGATGCAGATGCTTTTCTTCGGCTCCAGATGCGAACGTCTTTGCATGATTCAATTCTCTCTTGTTTCACTAATACCGGGTCTCATGAACGAACTTCAGGACTCTGCCGACCCAGCATTTGATACCTATGCACAGACGGTGGAAAAGCCAACTTCTCTGAAAACGAGTGATAGAAATTCCTGTGAGTTACCAGACGTTCTCGCTGTGTTAGCCACGATATATGCTAATTATTGTAGTGTTGGCTTATATGGGGTTGCCGCTGCAAATTTTTGGCAAGGTATGTTTCATGCTATCGCGTGTGCCAGAGACTCCTAACTCCGTATAGGGCAGTATGTTTGGGCCTTATACGCCCCTGCAGCAGCTGGATCTGCTGGCAGATGACGGAACCAAATCGTATGTTGTTGGTTCGACGAATTCTCTTCTTTTACAACAAAAAGATCGCTATAGCGATATCTTAGTTAATGTGAGGAAGTTTCGGAGTCTGATGTCAGACAATCACTGACATATTGTCGTCTAGCTTGATGAAGACACTATTAATATTTCATCTCCAACCCTACGAAATGCCCTGACACTTTCCGTCGCGGATAGACGGTGGATCGACCTTTTGACCCAAATCATTAATGATACTTGGGACGAAGCGCATCCGCAGCAGCCCAAGACCCACGGATACATGGGATCGGAGGAGTTTATACGACTCCAATTCGAAGAATACTTGTTGGCCTTGCTCGCCTGCATGCAATATCATGAAGAGCTCAACTCATTCAACGCTGGCGAACCGGGTCGGAGAAGCCGGGCGCATTTGGATGCATTCAACATTGAGGGGGATCCTGCATTGGAGTTCAACCCAGAATTCTTGGCACAGTGGAGAAATACCCCCAATTACTCCCTGTTCAAGCGGTTGACCTCCGATGCGCTTCTCTTCTCCATCGCCGAACCACGGCATCCTTGTGCCGGAGGGCTCACCATCGATGATGTCCAACGACGTCTGACTCAACAGGTCGCGGAGCTTCACTTGGACGAGAGAGTCCGTGAAGGCCGCGAGGCGCTGAACAGACACCTTTCGACCGGCCAGAAGAAAGTGAGCGCCGCATTCACCAATTTCTGGTCGGATATCGAGTCCATGCGGGAGGCCCAGCGTAAAAAGAACGAAGAAAAAGCCACACAGTCGCAGCGATCATCGTTAGACAGGGGGTCCCGAAACTCGCCACCATTCTCACCTTCCGATACGGCATCCGTACACTCAACGGGAGGTTCATCTTGGTTCTCAGGACGCAAAGCTCCCGCGGTGGACATTACCCAAGCACAGGCATCCGTGAACACGGCGGGCCAGAAAGCCGGCGCCTACCTCAGCTCCTGGGGCTCCTGGGCAAGTGAAAAGCGAAAGGAATGGCAAGAAAAGAGAAACACACCATCCTCCCCAACCTCCGTCGTGTCTCCATCGGCCCCGACATTGAGTGGCCTAACAGAGACCACAGATACGGACAGGGGAAGGCGACTCTCCATGCAGTCGCGCCGTAGTGAAGACTCCATCGCCCTCTCTCGCAGTGGAAGCCGGAGAAAGCGGTGGAGCAACATCCTCCTACGGCGTGAAAGCGGCGAATTCAGCTCTGCCTATCGCAAAGACGACGATAACGGCAACAGTAGCGGTACCGCCGAGCAGGACAACAACACTTACTCGAAGTCTCCTCTTTCGCGAGCAGCTTCTGTAGCTGATGACGATGTCTCTCCAATAGCTGCTGCTCAGACCGACGAACCCACGACTTATTTCGATGCCGAAAACACCGTGCCAGCACCCGTTCCTGCCGAGGATACCAAGTCGTCATCGTCATCATCATCACCCATCGAACGATTCCACTCCCCGGAGCCAAACCCATGGGAAGACGAGGCAGGAGACGAGGCAAAGGAATCCCCCTCACGACCATCCACCGACAGCAAGAAAGTACCGCCCCAGCTGGTCCAATCTCATGCAGAGAAATAAAAAACAAATCAACCGTTTTCGCCTAACTTCAACATCTCAACCGGCTATCCAGGCGAGTTTTCTCGATCTCTCTGTGATCACTATATATAGGAACCCAGCCCAGTCCCTTTTTTTTTTCTAGGTACTTTGCATGTATGCCCACTCGTTATGTCAATGGCAACCAACCTTCTTTCCTTCTTCTTTCCGCCTCCTGTCGAGAGAGTCTTAATACGATACCCGAAGATACTAACAAATAAACAAACACACAAACAAACAACGCACGCACGCATGTATGATGTCTTCTCCTTCCTAGCAGCTACCTTACCTTACCTTACCTTACCACAGACCAACCATCATGTATATGTTCTGGATGTCTATCTGTCTGCAAGCATATTGTCTGTCTGTCTGTCTACTTAATTTCTTTGATACCATCTACGCATACGAAATAGAGTCGAACAATAATGCATTATTAACCTACTCTCGCCACCGACCGGTCGACTTATTTATCTTATCAGTGAGTCTCATCTCACTACTTAAGTCTGCCTTAAGTCTGCGGAATGCGGAATCCTTAGGTAGTACGGTCCTGGGGTTGGTAACCATACCATACCGTACCATATCCTACAGCAAGATGAAAAAAGAGACAAGAGAGACAGGCCAGGCAGGAGGAAGGGGGGGGGATGGCGGGAAAGGGAGAGAGAGAGAAAGAGTCCAATCTAATTGTGTATCCGTGTTATCATTTGTCATGGGATCGCTGGGAATTGAAAGAAATACAAGAAAGACGATCGATCGAAGCATCCTCCGTTTCCTCGATGAAACCAGGCAGCCGTACGGGGAGAGTAGATCAAGATGAAGAAGAGTAAGAGGAAGAAGAAGAAGAAGAAGAAGAAGAAGAAGAAGAAGAAGAAGAAGAAGAAGAAGAAGAAGAAGAAGAAGAAGAAGACTAAGTAGTAAGGTAAGGGTAGCTAGAGGAGAACGCGCTAACATGACATTTAGGTAGGTAGGAAATGGGGGGAGGAAACCAGAGCGAGGAGAGCAAAGAAGACTGTTGCTGTGTAGAGTTCAAGCAATGTAGGCGATTTCGTCTCCATCCAGGCGCTCTATGTAATCCTTCTCCATCAGAGCTTCGATGTTCTTCTTGATGTCGGGCACCTTGGGAGGAAACCGGGACTTGACCTGTTGGATCACCTCCTGGACGAGCTGCACATGCTTCATCTTCTTCCGGGACTTCATGATGCGCACGATGGCGGACTGTGAGACATGTTATGTTAGCTATGATGTATCATCGGCACGGATGGGGAAGAGGAAACTAACCTGGAGCAGCAGCTTGCGGTCCTCCTCGATTGTCTTATGCGTATCATCCGACTCCACCTTCTGCTCGGACTTGATCTGGATGTTGAGGTTGACCTTGATCTTCTTGTTCTTGAAGTTGTAGTTCAACGAGAAGGAGGTGCCTGGCTCTGGCTTGGACCCATCGGGGTTGATGAGGAGAACCTTCGCCTTCAAGAAGATGCTGAGATTTGGGTCAAGGATTTCGGGGGCGAGAGAAGTGGCCTTCTGGATGTCTTCATACGACAGGGAGTCGTGTTCATTGAAAAGCAGGAGAATCCCCATCTGGAATGTCGACACTTGGAAAGTGTACGGGACCTTTGTGTTCTTGATATAGTTGGCCTTGATTTCACCCTTGCATAGCTGCCAGAGCCATGTCAACTTCCGACCGTTGTGCTTGTCAAAGTAGAAACTCTGGAACCGCTCCGAGGTTTTGACGATCTCGGGTGGCGCAAGGAAATCGGTCGAGGGGGCACTCAGAGGCCAGAACCCAGTACCCAGGATCTGGAAATGCGAATCCACCAGCTTCTTCCGGTCGTCATCATCAAGGACCTTCTCCTGCCAATCGCGGTAGCTGCCGTTAAGGTCCTTCGAAATCTGGATATCCTGGAACATGCGCTGCAGTTTGTTGGTGTACTCGAATCCACAGGCCTCCTTGAGCTTGCTAATCATACTGGTCTCCGCATCGTCAGACACCGAGCTGACATGGACCAATCGCTTAGCAAGCATCTTGGAGTAGAATTTCTGGAACACATCCTTGTCTTCAATGTACTTAAAAACGGTCATGATCTGCACCAACATCTCTTCCAGTTCCGACTCCTCCGCAGCCTTAGATCCCTTCTTCAGTAGAGAATCGGTGTATCGGGCCAGCAGTTCCGGCGTTTTCGTTGAGCCGGACTTGCAAATCCTGTTACGGTTGACGAACTCGCGGCACGCATTATCCAGGGATCGAACGAATTCCGATTCGCCATTGAACGCCTCACTCACCAAGCTCTGGTATCTGGTGTGCACTTGCAACAGAGCATCCACGTACAGCTTGGGCTCAAAAGAGTCGCCGTCCGCAGCAACCTTCTCCACGGCAGCCAGGCCTGCCTTCCTGACGTGGGCCTCGAACTTCGTACGCAGGGGGTCAAGACCTTCTTTGATGCGGGACAAGAGGCTGTACATGCGAGCCAGGTCTTCTTGACGTTCATTGTCCAGCAAGACCTGGAACTCGTCCCGCAGTAGTTCTGAGTGGGCCGTCACAAGAACATCCAAGCATGTTTCGGTCAGGTGCTTTGAGATATCAGGATGCAGATACAAACCCACGCGGGCCTTTTCTTCATCGAGGCGGGCCTCTGCCTTCTTCATATACTCAACCACACTGTTTTCGGCGACAAATTGACGCGACTCGGTTTCGTAGTAGACTCTGGTGGCAGCGATAAAGGGCTTCTCGAAGTAGAACCGGTAAACCTCGAGTGTTGACTTGGTGCTGTCGCTCTCGTCCAGGCCGAGGGAGACGAAGGAATCGACAATGCTCTTGATCTGGGATTGTTCGATGGTCTCACCGTTCCGCTGTTTCTCCACCAAGTTCAGCACTGCATCCATGACCTTCTTGTGAACCTTCAGGAAGAAGTCATCCTTCCACTTGACCAGGTGCAAAGTGTACACGTCGTACACATGCTTCTTGCCTTCGTCGATCTCCCGCTTGACCCAGTGGCGGTTCAGGTACCGGAAGAGGTGGTTGACGTACTTGGCAGCGGTGGTGTAGCGCTGCCATTCACGGATGTAGAACGCAAGCAGAGCCTCTTCGGCATGGCCCTCCGATTCACAGTACACAGACTCGAGGTGACGAGAGAGATACTCCCCAAGTAGCTTGTACAGTTCCTCACCTAGCAGGTGGGCTAGATTTGTTGTCAGAGATGACCTTTGGCCGGGAGAAGAGTTATGTAGCGACGTGAGGGTAGGCAACTGACCGCCATGGTGCGTTTTTGTGGGTTGACTGGTACCGATGGCTTTTTGCGACGTGCAGAAGTTGTGGACCGCCCTGAATCATTAAGTTAGTGAATGGACCGGGAGGCCGCAAGGCACTTTCAAAGTGTATACATACGTGTAGAGGGCCATGTACTAGAGCAGCGAAGGTGAAACAGGTCAGCAAGTCATAAACAACCGTGAAGGATTTGGACGTCATACAGTTTGCATATCCACCCCATCCTCCAGCTTCAGCATCACACTGTCGATCCCCTTCTCGAGGAACGTCCATCTGGCCAAGTTAGTCCGGGGGTGTTTCAAAATCGCACCGGGCACGCGCCCCGAGGACCTCCGCCCAGCTGGGGAACTCACGTTTCATCCAAGTCGTCCTTGTGAGGGGTCTGGGGCATAAGGACAGGCATTATGTGTTGTAGGAACCGGGTTCGAGTCTTAGTCGCAGATCTGTGGAGTAGGCGAGAGATATCGTAAGCACGAGAAACCAAAACACACTTCATGGGGGGACGATGGGGGGGGGGTGGTTCAGAGCAGGGCTCTTATATGACACTTGCTGAGACAGAGTACAAAGGAGGGAGGGAAAAGAAAGGACCGGACCGGACAGGACAGAACCGGACTTGATAACACAAAGCTTACCTTAATAACCCACGGGGAGGGACAGTGAAGAGAAGGGAATGACCTCACTTTGAGCAGTGGGCGGTTAGGTTAAGGCAGCGGAGGTGATGAGTCTAATAGCTAATAGCCTTGGGCTTAGCGTCGAGGGAAAAGACCAGCCGCGGCGCTCGTTGGAGGATCCTAGCAGCAGCAACAACAAAGAGAAAGGGGGGAGGGGGGAGGTGCAAGATGCAAATGCCCGAGGCCGAAAAGGATGCAACGCGCCTGGGGGATGAAGGGGAAAGCAGCAGCAGCAGGCAGGAGAAGGCAAAGAAAGGCAAAGGCGTTGTCAGTGTTCAGGACGAGTTGGTTGGTAACGGTCGGTCGGCGGTCGGTAAGGTCAGCCACCGCCGCCGGTGGGGAGGGGGGGGAGAGGCACGATTGCGGCAGGCGGTCAGCCCACCGCCGCCTGCCGATCTAGATCGATCCTACAGACTATCTAGTAGTTATAAGATGTCGATTGCCTATCGTTTCCTAGGATTTCCTCTTTCCTGATGGTCTGCGCAGCTGCTGGTCATCTCTGTCTATCTACCCATCCATCCATCTATCTAACCCCCCCCCGTGTCAGTTTGTTGTCCGATGCCCCTCCTCCTCCCAGCACCCATTGGGTAGGCCAGCACGGGACCCGATCCTTGGAACGCTGCGTGATGACCCAACTTCCCCCATACTTTACTGCAACAACTAAGCACTGCCGCTGTCGATCCTGCTGGCATGTCTCAGCCATTATGTATCTACTATTTTCTCCTGACAGCGTGACAGGTCTGGTCTTCTCCGGCAAGAATTATGGCATCAGGATCAAACAATCACAATGGACTGGATCGTCCCATCCACCGGCCGCAATCCTCCAGACGAAAACGAAAAGAGCCCCCGGAACCCACGGGCCTGGATGACGTCATGTGTCTGGCCATTTAAAATCCACGCGGACGGACGAACCCTGAGGACGGCGCCTTTCACTTCCGGTGCTTTTAACACACACAAAGACAGGCTCCGTTCGGAGTAGTAACCCCCCCCCCCGTACAGTATCAGGACTCGGACCGAAACCGACCAGACATGTCGTTCTACCCTCCGTCCGAGATCACCGTCACTTCTCGCCAGATCCCCAAATGGAGTGGTATTCCGAACACCTCCATTCAGTCCAAGCCCCTCATGATTTACCACAAAGCCTTTGACGCGTCTGCCAGCGAGCTTTCGTCTCATTTCAAGGAGGTTGACGAGGTCGTGCCGCAGTGGGTATATTCCATGTACAGTGAAACGCACTTCCATAGCACCACCCATGAGGTTCTGGGGGTTGTTTCCGGCCGTGCGCGCCTCTGCTTCGGCGGGGAAGGGAATCCCGAACGCTTTGAGCCGACCGTCGAAAAAGGCGATCTCATCATCGTGCCCGCCGGCGTGGGCCACCGGCTGCTGGACGAGCTTGACACGGACAAAGAGCGGTTTACGATGGTCGGCGCCTACCCACACCGGAAACAATGGGACATGTGCTACGGAGAATCGACGGAAGAAGACAAGGTTTCCAGGAACATCGGCGGGTTGGACTGGTTCCACAGCGATCCCTTGTACGGGAAGGATGGCCCGGCGATGCACGTTTAAACTACGTTGGGATGCGAGCAACATCGGCCGTATATCTTCTGCCATTGTCCCATTTGTACATGATTAATCGTATATGCAGAGTGACAGTGTAGCCAAAAATCCAGATTCTCCGTTTCCAATCCGCAAACACCAGACTACCGGGACAACAGGTATAAATCCGCAACTGACCAAAGGAAGCAAAGGCATGAAATGATGATGATAAGAGTGGGCGATGAAAGAAGAATAAAGAACCAAGAGTTGAAAGCCAAGACGTGAGAAGAAGAAAGCTCGGAAAGCAAAAAAAGACCGAGTAGAAACCAGGGTCTTGAGATAGTGAGAAGGAAGACAAGGAAAACACATGAGAGTAAAAAGGGGTATGAGAAGGAAAACAATTGATAGAATGGGAAGGCGTAAATATCGCAGTTCATGAAGCAACTCTTTCAACAAGTCTGTTCAGGTCACAGCAGTCAGCACAGTGCTTTGTAGCACAGTGACTAAAGGTACAAAGGAAGGGAAAAAACCGTACCTGAGGACACTGATGGAAAAGGTGGTGAGCCAAGCTAGCAGGGCAATCAGAAGCACAGAAGCTAGGGCTATTTGCCGGTCGCATATTGCGTCGTTCTTCGGTGTGATTTCCTGATTGACTTCGGCCATTGTGCAGGCTCCTCTGACAGTAGATAGAGATTCAAAGGCCAGACTCAGATTAGCCGAGTCAAAGACAATGAAAAATATATCCAAGAGAATAAGCCGGGCTTTGGCGGAGGGAGAGCGAAGACCCAGTGGCTTAGATGTGTACTCGTCGAACGTGATGTAAATTAGATAGACCAGGGCGACGGCGTCGACAATGATCGCCATCAGGGCAGAAGGGCCCTGGGGATGTTTATACTTCCCCGAGAGATGCTGTATCGAGCTCCCGAGAGCTAGGGCCGTGAGGGAAAAACACCAGACCGTAAGTCGAAAGATGAGGGGAACAATGGGGCTCTTCAGAAGAGTGTTATGCAGACGCTTGAACCAGATCTTCCGGCGCCGTTTCATCCTCAAGGGGTCTTCAGTATCATCGTCTGGTGCCAGCTGACCTCGCCATGGCTGAGAGTAGTCACCGAGGTTTTCGTTCAGCCAGTCTGGGGTGACCGATTTCTCCTCTAACCCTTGCTCGTGGGGGTATGCAATGAGACTGGAAAAATTCTTCCATCGCGACTCACGTTGTCGACCGATCCCGTGCACGGAACCCTCGTTCTCTTGACTCGAGGTAGCAGGGCCCGATGTCGCATAGGGCGAGTGGTTGTGCTGGGCGACGACAACATCTTCGGGCTGGGAAGGGAGAAGCCTGTCCGTAGCGGCAGCTTCTGCACCGTCGTCCGTGTAGTCGACGGAGCGAACCCAAGCTATACGTAGGACCACAGGTCAGTTACCCTCCCTAGACTCAATCTCAATCTCACTCAACAACAACAGCAACAACGTAAGCAGGGATAATAATCACCCGGTACAGTTCGCGGTTTCCTCGACATGGCGGGGGTGTTCTCACTGTCGCCGAAGACTGTGCTGTCTGGCGAACGTGAGGCTCCAGCTGAGAGATCTACTGCGTCATGGTGACTGAGATCGTTGTCACCGTGTAGAGGTAGAGGATGGTTGGATTGCGCCGACATCCACTCTGGAGCGGAAGGGTGCCCCGACAGTTGGTCACCCGAGACAGGGCCGGAGCCAGGAGGCTGCAGTGGTGTGTCGCGTACATCTTGTGCCATGGCCTTACAGTTCAGCGGCTGTTTTCCAGGCAAAGGTGCGTCGGAGGGTGAACAGTTGGTACCGCGGATCTACCTAGGCTGCATCGCCTCAGTCGAACCTCGGGAAGCTTGGCGGGCAGCAGCAGAAAGGCTGACTGAATTATGGGAAGCCCTGGCCCTTCGGAAGAAGGGACGACAGGATCATCGAGGGGAGGGGAGGGCAGGGCCGGGATTCGAGTCAGAGGAGCAAAAAGAAGGGCAGATGGTAGGAGGCTGGTGGACCAGTTCGAGTGGGAAGTGGGAAGCCGACGAACTCCGCCCACCTGGAGGCATCCGGTACCTTGGTTCGTATTATTATCGTACCGGCATTCTTACCGCTAACCCAATGACAAATGACGTCTGCGATGCACCGCGACTGCAGCTGAGCAGCGCGGCGCAGCAACATACTTACATCGGCTTCATCATCCCCAAGTGTCCCTTGGATCCGGAGGGGAAAAACCCAGTCTACTCACCGAACCAGAAAGGCATGCCACTTTTACGAACGACGCCCTTGATTCGGTTGTTTTCTCTAGCCGATCGATAGTCACGCTCTCCCTGGCCGCCACCCATCAAACTCCCCTACTTGACGATTGTCCGTGAGCCTCGAAGATTGCCAACGCGGACCAAAGCCCCCCTCCGTCGCGATGCGACTCTTCATCATTCCCATCTCGACCCGACAAGCCCTGATCTATGCTCGGCCCCTGGGCAAGAATCTTTCGCAAGAGCGTTCGCTAGTCGACAAGGTCACGCAAAAGGCCGCTGAAACCTGGGCCAAATGGGAGGAGGCCGACAAAGGATGGAAGAAACATCTAGTCTCTTGGGGCAATCGCGTTCAACAGCGCATCCCGTATCAGGAATGGGGTCTCAAAAGCATCCCGTCTCTCAGTTCCCAACGGCGACTTGATCCGTCCCACGGAACGACAAAGGTGGACGTGCTATTCCCGGGGAATGCGATCCGATCAGAAAGGCTTCAGACGATGCTGCGCGCGATCGCGACCGACCGGCAGGACCTGCACCGCCAGAGGATGTGGTGGAGCTTCCTTGCGGCTCCCCTGACTGCGCCAATTGGGCTGATTCCTCTGTACGATGCCCTTGGTAGAACAGCTTTCCTGCACGCGGCTAACCTCATGATTTTTTCTATCAATCTAGTATACCTAACATCCCTTTCTTTTATCTTGCTTACCGGGGCTGGTCCCATTGGCGAGGTAGGCCCATCCTTCCCAAAACCCCCCTCCTGACGGCTGACCTGCTGACCGATCCAAGCGTTGAATGGCTCAAAGCACCTAGAGTTTCTACTGGAAAAGAATCTACTCAATCCGATATCACACCCGGGGCTCGAGAACCTGTATGCAAAGCGGGTATCCTACGCACTGGCGAACACGAAGAGGGACATGCCCTTTTCAGAGATGGTGGAGGATGTGGAGAAGAGTGATGACAGGTTACTCCTCCGCATGAAGGATGCGAAGAAGTTGGCCTCGATCCTGGAGGCGCCGGATCTAGCGTTGGAAGCGGAGCGGGCCATCGTGCAAGTGGAAGAGAAGCTGAAGACGGAAGACCAGAAGGATGGCAGTGAGGGGCCTTCCGACAAGAAGGATGTATGAGCTGGGTTTTCGGACCAGGATAGGGGACGCCCCGAGGGCCCGAAAGTGAGCCCAGCGCCTCCGATGTATAACCGTTTGCGCCGGGTTGCGGTACAAGGCGTTGTAAATGGTGGGTGGCGGGAAAAGGCTTGGATGGTGTCCGGTTAGACTTGAGAGCAAAATTTAGACATCTTGCAGATAAGAATGAAGCCCCTGGGATTCTAGACAGTAATATCTATCTAGTAATAATGCAAAGGGTGTGCCTGAAGCACGGAACTAACTTGTTCCGGCAGCCCCATCTGGGAGCCACTGCGGGACGCCCGAAACGGATGACGGACAACCAAACCAGCAACAACCCGTGCAAGTCGCTCCATTACATTGCTCGGTGGCTACTCCTCATCTATAACACCTGACAACCTGATACCCCCCTCCCCCTCCAACCATGTCCACAAAGAAGATCGAGCAGTGGGAAATCGAGCGGTACTGGGAGATCTTCGCATCGCTAGCGGGCGGCCAGTCGCGTCTGAACAACTCCCAAGCGGCCTCGGTGCTGAGGAACAGTCGGCTCCGTGATGACCAGCTCGAGAAGGTCTGGGATCTGGCAGACGTCGACGGAGATGGCGAGCTAGACTTCGAGGAGTTCTGCGTGGCTATGCGATTGGTGTTCGATCTCGTGAATGGGGTATGTGAGCTTTCCCCTGTTGCTGCTGCTGCTGCTGCGGCCGCGGCGGCGACGGCCGCGGCGGGCGCCCCCGTCTGTCCGCATGCCTCCTTTCCCGCCCCCCTCCCCCCCCTTCTCTCCATCTTCCTGCGTCTGTCTTCTCGGAACTTTTATACTGACGTATGCACTCCGCTTCTGAAGGAACTACAAAGCGTGCCCAATGTTCTCCCCGAATGGCTCGTGCCCGAATCCAAATCCCATCTAGTCCACGCTACCCGTGCGCTGAGCGACCGTCCGGAACAATTCGAGCGGATAGAGGATGAGGATGATACTCCTGGTCTGAAGGATGGGTTTGAATGGTACATGAACCCCTCTGACAAGTCTAAATACGAAGAGATCTATTCCGCCAACAAAAACCACCGCGGGGATATCACCTGTAAGTCCGGACCTGACCCCCCCCCCCCCCTCCCCCCTCGCCATGTGCTGTCTGTCAGGTCTAACACGCTGCGCTCACTATACAGTCGAATCGCTACACCCCCTCTACGAATCCCTCGACGTCCCAGACACCGACATCCGCTCCGCCTGGAACCTGGTAAACCCGTCCGCCTCGCCCGCGATCAACAAAGATGCCGCGCTTGCATTCCTGCATATTCTCAACTACCGACACGAGGGGTTCCGGATCCCGCGCACCATCCCGGCGTCTCTCCGCGCCTCGTTCGAAAGCAACAAGATCGACTACCAACTCGACAATGCCCGTCCCGCTCAGAAATGGGGCGCAAATGGCGACGCGGAGACCTCGACGGGCCGGAAGGCCAAGTTCGGAGATACGTATCTGAGCCGACTGGGCGCCGGCGGGAAGACCTCCTACACGCCCAAGGGCACGGATTTCAGCGATACCATCCAGGATGAGGAGTGGGAGAAGGTGCGGCTGAGGCGCGAGCTGGTGGAGCTGGACGAGAAGCTGGAGAATGCCAGGAAGGCCTCGGAGGGGCGACGGGATCGGCCCCGGAACGATGGCGGGCCCAACTGGGTTCTCATTAAGAAGGAGTCGCTGCAGCTGCTGGAGTACAAGGAGCGGGAGCTGCGGGAGCTACAGGAGGGCGTAGGGAGGTCCCAAGATGGTCAGAACGTCGAACGTCTCCGGGACGATGTCAAGACGGTGGGCGAGCAAGTCGAGGGATTGAAGACCCATCTGGCGCAACGCAAGGAGGTCCTCGCCGATCTGCGGAACCAGGTCGAGGAGCAAAAGTTGTCCCGATAGTTCTGTTCTTCGTTTTTCTCCCACCTTTTGTCTCGTCTTCTTTGAATATACTTCCACTGGTTTTTCTTCCCTGTTCATTTTTTTCCCCTTCTGGTTGTTCGCTCATGAGCCTTGCTACTTACTCTGTTGTCGTTGTCGTTGTCGTTGTCGTTGTTGAATAGCCATTTCTTGGCGAGGAGCATCAGGCGCTAGATGGATGTTTCGTGTCGCGTGCGTGTTTTGAATGCTTCGTTTCCATTCCATTCCACTATCTACTAGATAGAGGTGTGATTGATTCCGATTTCGGGAACCTTCATTCGGACTCCCTGTCCCATTACCACCAGCATCCCTCCCTCCTTCCCTCCTTCCCTCCCGTCCTTCTCTCCAGGACACCCCCCATCTATTTAATGTACAGTAAATATAATCAGAACTCCTCATAAGCTAAACCTTAGATACCGCTTCTCTGGCGCCCCCCACCCCCATATCCGCACGGTAGTGGGATGGGGTGGGATGAAATCGCCAGAACGCTATTGACAACCAACCAACCATGCCAGGGAAAAAAAAAAGAAAGGAAGAATGAGAACCAGAATCAGAAATCACTTCCCCGTAATCTGCGCCATCAGGCCATCCCCATTTCTCTTCGTCTCGACGGCCATGAAAGCCCGACCGTTCGTATCCAGACCCTTTTCGGCGCGAGCGTACGCCTCCTCACTCCGATCAGTCAAGATATCGAGATCCTTCTTTGACAGAAGTGCGGAGGGATCCGCGCCGGTCTCGAAGCTCTCATATTCGTCCTGCCCGAGGGCTTTCTTCAGATCGTCGACATCGCTCAGACTGAGGTCCGAGTGCAGGAGACTCCGGAACTTGCCCTTCTGGATGACGAGTCTCTCGAGACGACGCTTGGAGTCGGCTTTCTCGAGGAGGGTCTGTTCGACGGTACCCTTTGTTGCGAGGCGGTAGACGATGACGGGCTTGGTCTGGCCGATGCGGTGGGCGCGGTCCTGGGCCTGGAGATCCTGCTGCGGGTTCCAGTCGGAGTCGAAGAGGATGACGGTGTCGGCGGCCGTGAGGTTAATTCCCTGGCCGCCCGCACGGGTGCTCAGGAGGAACAGCTTGTAGTTGGGGTCGGTGTTGAAGGATTTGATCTGCGCGCGGCGGTCGTCTTGGCTGACGGCGCCGTCGATCCGGCAGCAGTTCCAGGAGCGGAGGAGCGTGGCCCAGTCTTGGAGGATGTCGAGCTGGGTTTTGAACTGCGAGAAGATGAGGATCTTGTGGCCTTTGGAGAGAAGGCAGGAGACCAGGCGGTCGAGGAGGAGCATCTTCCCGGACGCGGTGACGAGGGATTCGTCGATGGCGGTCGGGTCCTCCATCCAGGGCCAGTAGAAGTTGTGGGGCGAGTTGCAGGCTAGTCGGGCTTGCATGATGGGGTTTTGCATTTTCTTTTGGGCGATTTCTCTCTCTGCAGGCGCGAGTGGGTGGGTGTTAGTCTGAGTGGCAGGATCCGGGAAGATGATAGGATGGTGATACGTACTCGCAAGTTTGATGGTCTGGGCTCTTTCCTGCTCCTCCTGTTCCGTCTCGCTGGGCTCGGCAATGTCCAGGTCATCCTCCATGCCTTGTTCAAGTTTGCGCAGTTTCGTGTTGAACTCGCGATCGCTCAGTTCCTTGTAGGTGGCGGGCGCCTTGCCGCGTCTGCGAGTCGTAGGCAATGTTGCGCTGGCCGGGGTGGAAGAGCGACTGGACTTGAGACTCTTGTTCGGAGACGAAGCTTCGCTGGTTTCCGCACTGCGTTTCAGGCTCTGGGATCGCGAGAGTCTTCCACTCTTAGCCAACAGTCGTTCCGTGGCCTTTTCCTCGAGATACCGACGACCCGTGCCGTTGAGGATCTCGCGGTAGAGGTCCTTCTGCTCTGCCGCCAAAGGTGCATACAGAATGTATTCCCGTTTCTGAGGGAGTGATGTTTCGACGTCCGTCTTGACACGTCTGAGGAGGAAAGGCTTCAGGATTGAGTGCATCGTGGACACGAGAGACCGCTTTCGACGCTCCATGACATCCGCCTTGCTATTATTGTCCAGCATCGAGGAAAAGTCGAACCAGCCTTGGAAGCTGTTGAGGTCATTGAAGATCTCAGGCAGCAAAAAGTGTAGCAGCGACCAGAGTTCGGTTATGTTGTTCTGCAACGGGGTGCCGGTGATGAGGAGTCTGTTGGCCGAGTTGTAGCTCAGAAGCTCTTTGATCAGCTTGCAGTTCATGTTCTTCAAGCGATGTCCTTCATCCTGTGTACTGGTTTAGCGACCCTGTGCATATGCTCCAAATGCGAAATGAGACATACCACAATGATATACCGCCACTGGTACTGGGCAAGGAACTTGCGGTCATTCATGCAAATCTCATACGAGGTGCAAACGATAGGGAAGTCGTTGCTCTTCTGGTCCTTGATATTCATAAACTCCCCCCTGATCGCTGCACGCTCATCCTTCGATCCATGGTACAAGACCGTCTTGATCTCGGGGGTCCATTTTGCGAACTCATCTACCCAGTTGCTCACGGTGCTCAACGGGGCGGCGATCAAAAACGGACCGGAGACATTCTTCTCCTTGAAGAAGGCAATCAGGGATATAGCCTGAATAGTTTTCCCAAGACCCATCTCGTCCGCCAAAATGCCGCACAGTCCGTTCATCCAAAGCGACTTGAGCCACTCCAATCCCTCCAGCTGGTACTCCTTCATCTTCCCCCCAGTCACCAGTGCAGGTTGCTGCGTAGCCACCAGCTCCTGCCCTCCCAGCGCAGTCGGGTTCGCCTCGTACTCATCCGCCGCATGCTCCAACGCTTCCTGAACCGTGGGTTTGTCTTCGTCCGCACTCACATCCGCCTTTTTGAAATAGCTCGAGATGGTATTCGGCTTCAGAGCAGCTGCAGGCTTCCTCCCCCGGCCCCTCTTGGGCTTTGCATCCTCACTCTTTGAATGCTCCGGAGGCTCCTCCGCGGGTTTACCCATCGATTGCCTTGCACTCGTGCGCGTCTGCCGCCTCCCGGGCTCGCTAGCAGTCCTCGGCTTGGGTACCGGCGGTGTCTCTTTCTTCAGCTGTTGCTGTTTCGCCGCCTCAAGCCTCGCCTCCTCCTGCTGTTTCTTCATCTTGTCCGCCATGATGGCCACGAAAACCTGTCCATGCGAACCCCATCGTCAGCGACTGCTCTTCGCCACCCGGACTCGGGACCGGACCGACCCACCTCACTGGTATTCAGCAGATGCATAAGCGCCTTCGCCTTCCCATCCATGCCCTCAATATCCTCCACGGTATCCATCTTGTTCTGGTCTGCGTCCGTCATCGGCGTCGACGGCTGCGAGGATCCTTGTCCGGGGTCCGGGGAATCGGTGCCGGACATGGGCGTATCGGGGTTCGACATGGTGTGAGGATGAATAAACGGCGCAGCGACACTGTGGGATTGTGTGTGTGTGTGTTTTTTTTTCGACTAGATTGATCCGTTGCTGTCCGATAGATGAGGCTACGGCAACGTAGGAGGCGGAGGCCCTTCCGGGGCGAGTTTGTCCAACTTGCGCGCCACCCAAGAGAGAAACACCAAAAAAAAGGGTCTGTCGTATAGATCTCCTGCTGCGCAGGGGTAAATAAAGAATTCCAAGTGAATGGGTCCAAAATGATACAGGGCAAGTCGAGTGGGAGAGGGAGGGAGTGAATGGCGATGGGAGGCGCGCCGCTGTTTCCCACGCGAAATTTCGCGTCGGCGCACGGACCATCTTTAGAGTGCTTTCCGGCGGCTTCCTGATCTGGACGTTCCGTCAGACTACCATTAGGGATCGATCAATGTACATTCTCAGGTATCCAACCACACCATCAACAATCAAAAATCAAAACATCTCGCAACCACGACATATCATATTCCGCCCGCGCGCCCCTGCGCCTCCATCTCCAAATACCCAGGAGCATACAGCTCGATATCCTCCGCAAACTGCTCCCGATCACCATCCATCTGATGCATCTCACATAGGTCGAGGGCCGTCTCAAGAATATCAAGGATGGGGGCATCCATGTCCATTCTTCCGGGGTCACCGCAGGTGCCGTCGAGGCGGTAGAGCATGATTTGGAACTTGAGCCCGCGGGTGTAGTTGATGGGATTGGTGAGGCGGTCGACGGGGGCGAGGCAGAGGATCCTGCCTCCGTTGGGTTGGCTTGTCTCTATAATGCGATGGAGGGCGGCGGGGAGGTATTCTGTCGGGGAGTCTGGGGTTGGGGCTCGGGCGTGATAGGCCTTGTTGTCGGTCGGTCAGCATTCAGGTCCAGATTCGAAGGCTTTTGACAGTACAACTCACGTCCCGGAAACTCTGCTCGGCAGACGCCCATCGCTCGACCAACGACCGTCGCTGTTGCAGTTCGTACTCTCCGTCATCGCCATCGGGAGACATCCCTGCCTCTCCGCGCGATCTCCATTCCTCCTCAAATGAGTTGATTTTGACCGTTTAACCCGCCTAGAGCGACGATTGAGGGCTCGTACGGCCAATAAAGTAAGAATCACACCTGCTCCAGCCAACGCAATGACTCTCCGCCGCTTCTGGGCCCTGGTCAATGCCATTATATGACTTGAAATGGCTTCAAATATGACTATCTAGGTAATAGGGGAGAGGTGGCAAGGTTTTCATCTTATTAAGTTAAGCAGATGTGTCAGTTGGAACTAATTGTTTTTTAAACGACTCCATAGTTGATTACTAGGGGCAGTAGAGACCTTCTGCAACGATCATTTACCATTAACATTTCAATTCAAAATCGGGTATAGCGGCCCGCCCCTAGTAATTAGCTATGGAATCGTTTGAAAAATATTCACAACTGACTAATCTGCTTAATAAGATAAAAATCTTGCTATTTGATAAGATATGTAATTTCTAAAGGGCCCTCTAAAACAGCCTGTTTTAATCACTTTACTACTCTATAGTATTACTTTATCAAGGCCCCTGCCTGATCTCTATATACTTACTAACTATGCTTGCCTACCACGCTTGTTTAGACTGTTGAGCGTGTACAGATAGTCTGAATAGCTTCAGTTCTTCTTAAAACAGTAATCCTCGATGACTGCTGATAGTAATCATCACGCCAGGTCTAATCCTTTGAATAGTAAATGCTAGCCTTTGTACTTCGTTCATGCACCTTACAAGTAATTAACCACGGATGTTCATCCTGATTAGGCCTTAGCGGGCCACTAAGAAATGGACGCTAACCTAATATGTTAATTGTAAATGTAAATGACCGTTGCAGAAGGTCTCTACTAGTGTCTATCTACCAGTAGTCAGTCCCTTAGCTAGTGCCGATGGGCCGATGGGCTAGTGATTCACTCTAATACGGCCCAAGAGGAGGGAGGAGGGATGGGTAACTATCTAGGCTAGGCGCGGAGTAGTTCGGGGGCTAATGATATTGGAGTTAACTAGTGTTGGAGGCATGACTGACCCATTGTTGGATTTATGGGTTACTCCAATTAAAGAAGGAAAGCAAGAAACAAAGAAAGGAAAAAATCACTGAAATGATGTACTTCTTCAGGCCATCTGATTGGGTAGGCTCTTAACTATCCCTTGTGGTGGTGCGCTAATCCCCATATGGCCGATCTAATCTTATCTCTTGAACTGGTGGATAGATAGTCTTGGGTTGAGTGTCAGAATGAAGAAGAATGTAAATATCCTTGATTCTATCTAATGCTGACATCGACAGTACCATCTAGCTATATACCGAGTCTAGATCTCTTCAAACACCAGACATCTCTTACTTAGAGCAAGCTCATCAATACAGACAGCCTTTCCGAGCTAGGAAACAATCCAGCCAACTTCCTCGCCGCAAACGCCGCGCTGTCCTAAAACTAGAACTTCTCAACATCCCACGGCGGCTGCTCACTGCAAAACTCACTGCGCCCTCTCTCCACAAACTGCCCGTATCCCTCCTTACCCACCACGCCCCCATTATCCCGATCCCAGACGACCTCCCCGCGCAACAGGGTGTATCGCGGCCACTGAGTGATCATCTGGCCCTCAAACGGGGTATTATCCACATTATGATGCAGGGCGGAATTCGTAATCGGGAACGGCTCCAGCGCACTCGACTCCGGATACCAGATGGTGAGATCGGCGTCAGAGACGCCCGGGATGAGGGCTCCTTTTTGCGGGTACAGCCCGTACAGCTTGGCCGGGTTGGTGCTCGTGACTTCGACGAACTTCTGCGGCGATAGACGGTTGGCGCTCCAGACCAGGGGCAGACGGGTCTCGACGCCCGGACAGCCGTTGGGGATGTATTTGAAGCGGCCCAGGGGGGCGTCTTCGCTGATGGCGGATTTCTTTCCGTTCACGCTATCCTCGTAGACGAAGGGGCAGTGGTCGGAGGAGAGGATGGTGAACGTTCCGTTCTGCAGGCCCTTCCAGATGCTTTCGAGATCGGCCTCGCCGTCGCGTGGCGGGGGTGAGCAGACGCATTTGGCGCCCTCGAATCCGGGGGCCTCGAGGGCTTTCCGTGTCAGGAAGAGGTACTGGGGACAGGTCTCTGCGTAGATGGGATGACCGTGCGTTTGTGCGGTGCGGATGATGTTGGCTGCCAGGGGCGATGAGACGTGGACGATCAAGATCGGTGTTTCGATCAATTGGCTCAGTGCTATGGCTCGGTTTGTAGCTTCGCTCTCGAGAATCTGAGGCCGCGAGGTGGCGTGGTATTTTGGCGCCAGTAGGTTGCGGCTCTCCAGTTGTTCGGTCATCCAGTTCAGCATATCGCCGTTCTCGGCGTGAATCATCGTGGTGATCCCATCTACACGCGATTGCAGCAAGACGTCCAGAATCTGATTGTCCTGTATCCGTAGGTCCTCGTATGTCATGTAGATCTTCACGGAAGAAACTCCGCGCTCACGAAGCACCTTGAATTCATCCAGAGCCTGTCGGGTTGGGTTTGAAATTATAAGATGGAGGGAGTAGTCGCAGTATGTGACATTCGAAGCCTTCTGTTGCATTGCATCCAGGATGTTGAGCAGGGATGGATCGGACCGCCCCTGAGGCGCAAATGCGATGATGGTCGTCGTGCCACCAGCAATAGCAGAGCGAGATCCTGCACGGTGTCAATCCTTGTTCGATACTATCGACAGTCACGGGCCATACCTGTGGTGAAATCATCCGCAGACTTGCCTTTGCCGAAGAGCTCCGGTTCAGACAAGTGGACGTGCGCGTCGATGCCGCCAGGCTAGTGGTCATGTCAGTGAGATGGCTCGTGGCAAAAGCAAAAGCAAACCCTCAGTAATCAAAAATCATAATCATACCATGACATATGCGCCTTCGGCATTAATGACCCGAGACGCGCGTGCTGTTGCCAGAGATCGAGCAGGAGCCAGCAGCGCAATCTTGCCACCCCTGATGCCAATATCATACCGCCCAACATCGGCGGCCGTCACGACGGTGCCGTCTAAGATCACGCAGTCAAAGGGACTGTATAACATCTTGAGCGCATATAAATCTCATTGACCTTCTAATCTATCGTAGAGTGTATGATCTAGAGTATCAGAACCGTGGGGAGCGGGGTGGGGATGGCGAGTGCTCTTGTATGTCCATGCCACCATCCATCGCGAAGTGGCGGACCGGACAGACCGGGCAGTGACCACTCGACTGATAAGCCATGGAGATACATGACATAGATAGGCTGATCTGGAGGGGTTTCCTATCTTTCAGTTAGTCAGTCGCTTGGAGTGGATCGATTGTCGGCCTAAATCGGCCGATGGGCGATAAGCAGCGGGCGCCCCACCTTCCCATCTGCTAGACTGCGAAGACAAGTCTATAAAGCCAAAACTCCGGGGATGCCCTGAGAATTGCGATGGAACTGAACCCTGAACCTTGTAACGATGCAAGGCAGAAGGCACTGGCTTGTCATTGGACTCCAGAGCAGGAGAAACAGGGTTCCTGGTAAAAAGAAAACAGGATGTCCCTGGTCGACGTTACGGGATATAAGCTTAATCATGGAAACAATCAAGGCTATGCCTCACTGCACAGATGTGGCAGGAGAGGGACTTGGAAGTACTGTAGGCAGTGGAGGGCCGCATTCCATTGCATGGCCCGACCAAAGCCAAAAGCATGCACTGTTCCTCTCGGCAGTCAAGGGAAAGCAATAACATGGTCGGTCTTGTTTCCAAACCAGTTACTTGAAAGAACCTTGGTAAGCAGTTGTTCTCACCACTGCATTATACATCTTGTTTCATGAGACCGCGGGGTGAGTCACGCGAGATCTGCTGCATGTCTATGTGGAGGTTAGCAAAGCCCACTACTCTAAATGGAGAAGGGGGTTTGAAAGAGCTTGATCATCATTGAGCAGTAACAATACTATGGTAATTGCAGAGACTGTATAAACCCTTGAACATGACTTTTGCCGCTTCAAACAATGACATCAATACAAAGAGTGACAAACCCTTCAGTCGGGCTACAACAACAATAATCATTTACAAAGAAAGTTCCACAAATCCAGGTCATAGATCGCCCCCTTACTGCCACGGCATCATAGATTAGACTTTAATGTGCATGAAGATCACCAGGGTAGTTGATGCAGACGCATAGGGAGTCAAAGGGAAAGGAACGGGGGGAGAGTAAAAGGAGCGGAGCATGCAGTGCTGTCCTGAAGGAGGCAAGTGCTTCAAAGGATGTTGCTTCATGCCACACCCAGGCTTTCACATTGGATTCTCGTGATATCAGAGGGCGGAAAAGGTCGTACCTCGAGGTCGCTTTTTGTATTCATCCTCGCAATTCCTGCAACAGGCAAAAGTACCACTTCATCCTCTTCGCATTGATCCACATCCTCTTCACTTTCGCTCGGTAGTTTCTCCTCCGACACGTGTACGGTATCTTCCGCAGTGGCTACTGTTTGATGCGTGTCATCTGGTTCTGCGTGGCTGACTGCGGGTTGCTCTACCTCAAGGTCAGAAACCGTTTCCGAATCATCAGTGGGGGTTCCCTTTTCTTCCAGTGCTGAAAGTGATTCTGCCTTAGCAGAGGGAGCGACATTATTCTCTTCTGCAGAGAGATAGTCTGGGCTTGTCCGCGACAATGCTTTTTCCGGGGCTGGCGAGGACCAGACTGTCGAACTCGAGGTTGACCTTGGCTCCGGAAAGGGGACATTTGCGGCGCCTCTGCTTGACATTATTGGAGCTCTTGTTTGCGCCTCTAGCGACAAATCTTCGAGTTTCTGTCTGAGCTTCGTGGATATGCTTATTTGTGGTAGGTTCAGACGCCCATCGAAAATCCGTGGTCTGTTTACAAACACCGTCCTTCTTACGGGAGGATTAAAATATCCTTGTCGAGGCTTATGCGTTTTGCGTTTGCGTATAGAAGGCCCATGGGTCTGCTCACGTCTTGACGGAGGCTTTTCAGAGCACAGCCGATCCGACGGCAATTGGTTGAATGTCCATTCCGGCTTGATATATTCCAATCCATGGTCGCTAATCTGAGCGGCTTTCTCTTGACCCACTCTCAGGCGGACCATTCCATCTTCTCGAGGGCTGTGGCATACGTTGTCCTGCTCATTCTGACGGCCGTGAGTAGGGTCACCTTTATATCCTATACTTGTCGAATACGGGCCGCCAACTGTGTCGGCTATGGATGATCTGCACGAAGTGGTCAACTCAGGTACATCGACGTTTATGTCCCCAAAAAGCATGTCATCCTCTGAGAATGTCGCAGCAATACGGGCATCAGCATTGAAAGCAGCTTCCAAGCTCTCTGCTATGTCGTAGCTTGCTGGATCCTGTAAAGATGATACACCGTTACTCCATTCTCCAGCAAACCTACTGTCAAGTCCACGGCTATGCAGAAACTTTCTGGCTTCCAAGACTTCACTGGCATCGGACAGCAGTAATCGCGGCTCACACATATCCTGCAACTTGCCCGAGTGCTGTCGGGAAATCCTGCTGAACACACCCTGATGTGGAACTCGATTGTGTCCCCGAGCCGTGTTGTCTATTCTGAGAAGAGCTCTCAGCTGCTTTGCTCTCATGGCTTCCAGCTGTGCATCTTCCTGTTCCACCTGTATGTCCCTTTGGAGTATATCCTGCTGGATCTGGTCCCCTTCTTCTGTCGTTAGTTCAAGTAGATGGCATACGGTAGACGAATTGTAATTTTGAAGCATATTATCGAATATCTCAACCTTCATCTGTGTAGAGAAATCATGCCATTTGAGAGTCCGAGTCACAGACGCCGAGGAGGGTTCCTACAAAAACTACTGTCAGCTTCTAGCAAAAATGGATTGATTGATTGGTAGGAGACACAGTCAACGGACCTCTTCCCCCTCTGCATTAGATACATCGACCATATCCTCGTCAATATCGCTATCTTCCATGTCTCTGTATATGGATGGCTCCTCATCTGCCGCGGCCATGATGGCCATGTTTCTCATGAAGATGGGATTCAGTTCGCCATTGCTTGCAACCATGCATTCAATGTGCTCGCTTGAGAGCTCCGTCTTCCCATCTTCGCCTCTTCTTCTTTGGACCTTGCTGTTATCATATGTCCGCTCGCAGGGACGCTTGTAGCCACTGACGCGTGAGTGATTGTCTCCGTCATGGTCTTGTGCGTCGCTTGCCTGTCGCGCCGGACACGCTTTGTCCAAGGTTGGAAACGTCGCGGGGGGTAGATTGGGGTTGAAATCGACATAACCGACAGTCCTTGGGGTCCTGGGCTCGCGAAGGGGCTTCTGAGGGTAGGGACTCAGGAACTGATCCTGGTTAAACCGCTCGGGTAATCGAATGCTGTCACGTAGCCTCATGATGTTCTTTGGTAAGGGTGAGGAGTGAGCATTGGTAGAGACGCATACAGATGGGCTAACGATGGAGAAGTAAAATGAGGATAAACAGAGGACGCGTATGGGTAGAGAGAAGGTCCGCGTAAGTAGAAGTGATGGAAGAGGGGAGATCCTTTCGTCATGGGGGAGTTGGGAGGTGAATGCCAGCTTCCTGTTTGGGAAAGACGTAACAACGAGACAAAGCCTTCGCTTGAGTCACTCCACGCCAGAAAAATATCGAGGGAATTACGCGGATTCTACGGGGAAACAGAAGCAGGCATATAAGAGTCAGGCAAAAGAAACAGTTCGATCCAGTAATAGTCGACAAACATGATTCTAATTCTGGGGTATAAAATAATGGAAGTGGGTAATCCTTAGCGGTCCTTGAAAGGCGCAAAAGCTCTTCGCTGGGCCACGTCCATGTCGTCCATATCCATATCTCCAGCGCCATCAGTGTCGGACATCTCTCGTTTTCTGGAGGGGGTTGTTGATGACGATGAAGGGAGGCCATTGGCGACCGATTGGTTCGCTTTCTCGACATCGCGTTTGGCGTTGAGAATAGCCTCAAAGGACGTCAACAGCTGCGTGGCCGCGTCATCCAAGTCCAGGCAGAATCGCTGGGACTGGACAATCTGCAGAGCTTGTGGGATATTGATGTCGAACATCACCATCAAGTAGGCCACGACCAACAAAGCCGACGGGCCATTGCCTGTCTCACAAAACACGACGACTTTCTTGTTCGTTGCGTTTGCCAGGCCGAGAGGAGCGGAGGAGAAGAGATGGTCATTGATACGGCGGATCGCACGAGGCAGCACGGTGATGAGCTCTTGGTTGTCCGCGGTGTCAAAGGAATCGGCCTCGATATGCAGATCGGCGGCTGCTTTCTGGCCGGACATGAGACTTGCCATCGCGAGCCGTCTATCCCGGACACATAGGAGCAGCGTGATTCCCTCGCGGTTGAGCCAGCCTCTGTCTGAGAGACAGCCCCAAGGTCCCAGATAGAGGCACGGGAGGATCTGTTGGGCCATTCGGCGCTTCTCGTATGACCATTGGAGATTCTGGGTGGGCAGTTGGAACATAGCCGGGTCGACCTTGTCAAAGAAGCCAGGCGGGGCGAATTCGCCCTCCTGGAATTGGTGTCGATTGGGTGTGAGCCCCTCGGTCTGACCGAATTGCAACCCTTCGAAAGGCATGCTACCATATGTTGATAGTTGAGACTGGCGGAGCCCCAAGTCGTATCGAAAGGTTGGGGTGTGCGGGGCATTGTCCTGTTGGGACATGGCGACCTCTGGGGAAACCATCTGAGCGGCCGCCTTCTACCTGAAGGGTACTCTTTGGCGAGGAATCAGTGTCGAGGAGATAGTGGGAGGTGAAATGAGTGTTCAGTCTCTAGTGTAAACAGAGAGTACACCAGAGAGGAGTGAGTTCAGTGAAATGATGCTCTTCCGTCTTCACGGAGATGAGGGGAAACAGTGACGGATATAAGACTGCAGGCAGACAAAGAGTGTGGGATACTGAAGAGGGGATAAAGCAGCGCGTCAATGGGAAGGGGCGGAGGAGGAAGAATCCCTATTCACTGCAACATGTCATTGTGATGGCGGCTTTGATGGCTGTGTGGTGTATCCCGTATTGGCGGCGGTATTCTATGCGTATTCTATTTCTCGGGTAACAGCCACCCACCCACTTTCCCGGATCGGGCATAGCGGGCTGTCTCTTTGGTCCGTACGGGTATTTGAATTATCTGAGTACATAGTGGTACCTCGCATACATCATGCGGAAACAAATGCCGAGTCGGAGTGTATAGATGCTGTGGAACACAACAATAATATGCCTCCTGCAGAACATCATTCCATCACCCTCGACCCATCATCCCGTTTCAACATCCATAATTCCATATTCAAGCGCCAAAATGAGTATCCAACGCCCAAGAAACCGGATCATGGGCGTGCAGCTTTCTGATCCGCAGCGTCGCATCCCGGACAGCCTCCGCCACCGCGCGATTAGGGACCATACTAGGAGTGGAGGTTGCACGCCTCGCAATCAACGCTTCATAGAAATAGGTGGTCATATGAACACAAACATCCTCATCAATCAGCAGGCCACAAGGAGCCGATGACGTGGGAGAAATCGGCAAGCAGAAAGCCACTGGTAATGTGGAGGCCCTCGTCTCGTAGATCCTTGTCAGTACCCGTGGCAGGCGAAGTGCACCATCCAAGCACGACCCAAACCAGCAAGATATTCACATCCCCCGCCACGCGGAAGACACTCCGCGCCACCAGCTCACCAGGCCGGGAGCCCTCAACGGTGTGGTGTGCCCGCTTTGGACCCGTCACGACGGGTTCGGGGTGATCACCATGTTTGTGGGTTCGGGGTTGACGCTGTACGCCGAGAATGATCGGGTCAAGAGGGCTGCGACGGCGTATTTTCGGAATGAGCCGGGTTTGTATATTGTGGAGTATGGGGCGCGAGGGTGAGTATAACTAGCTGTACTATAACTATAAGGTGGGGATCCCCGGTGGGTGGTGAGGAACTAGGGGGATGGGGATGGGTTCACGTCATTCGATCAATTCATATTCTGCATTCATTAACAATATGTGGGGTTCTATGTACTGGAGGGTTCTTGAGTATAGCGCATAGGGGTAGGAGTAGAAACAGAGGCCCCAGGTCGCATGCATAGCATACTCTATATACAACAGACGTGTCTGCAGCGGGCAAGTGGATAAGTATTAGATTGCCAGCTGTGGGAGTCAAACCCAGGCATGATGAGTTGCCAACTCGCCATTCCAAGGTAATGATCCCACCAGACTATCCGGTCGGCGACTAATCCATGTCAGGATGCTGCTCGCTCCACTCCGCATAGTTGAGGGTAGGGGCCAGCGCCAACGACGGGTCCAGCACAAAGTCGTCCGGCACGCCAGTGGTCAGAGTGCCGTCCCAGCAGTGCTCCTGGAAGCACTGGTCGCAGGCCTCGGAGCGCTGCATGCCCACGCGCGCCAGACTGCGTTCAATGGCCGCACAGCCGAGACAGTCGACCCAGGTGCTGTCGAGGGTGCTGTTCCCCTGGGTCACCAGGTTGAAGCTGTTCTGCGTGACGCCGTAGACCTCGTCGCCCGACATGGAGGTCGTCGCCCAGCTGAAGTTGGTGTACCAGCTGTACGGCGAGTTGGCAAAGTACGCGACGATGGGGGAGGTGGCGTCGCGCGTTGTGGTGAGGTTCGTGTCGCAGCCGAACAGGACCGGCTTGAGCGTGTAGTTGCGCGCCAGCAGCTCGCGGACGGGCGGCACCTCGGGGAAGGGCAGCCCGTGGGATCTGGCGTGCACATAAGCGTCATAGATGTTGGTGCCGTTGTTCCACGAGTAGGGCGCGTCGTCGGCGTCGTCCTCCCAGGCCATACTAGAGAATCGAACATTAGAACTGACCGGATAGCCCGAAATCATAAGGGGCTGACTTACATAAAGTCGAGCTTTCGCTCTGGCTGGATCAGCGGCAAGAAGGCGATCGACTGCCCGGCCTCGGAGCCGTCGGCGAAAGTGATGTTCTCGGCCGGGTTGAAGGCGTTGGGGATGGAGGGATTGGCGATCTGGGAGACTGTGTAGTTGAAGTACTCGCTGAAAACCCCGTCAACAAGCTCCACCAGCTCGTCAATGAGAGCGTCCCGCTTCTCAACGCGACCGTCGCGCTTGGAGAACATGCCCAGCGTGTCGTTGGACACGGCTTCCAGATACCAGTAGTTCCACGCGCTCGCGACGGTGCCCAGGACAAAACTGGTCTGGTCGAGATTCTCGACGCACTGCTCGGCCGTGTTGTTCTCGTTGGGAATCGTGCCGACGTACTTGGTAGGCACAAACCCAGCCGCCCACGACCCGAACTCGAAGGGGTTCCATTCGTACTTTTCCGTCGTCAGTCAGCATAGGCATATATATGGAACAAGGGGGGGGGGGGGAGTTACCCATGGAGCATCCCACGAGGGAACATAGAGGCCGTCCTCGACGGGCGAGCTGCTGTTGATGCTGCTGGCGCTAAGGATGGGGAAGGGCCCGTCGAAGTTCTTGAAGCCCGGCTGGTCAGGGATCGAAGACCAGGTGCGGTTCACGCCGGGGACGGTCATGCCTGCAAAGGCGCGGCCCAGGAAGTCGGACACGGAAATATTGAAGCCGGCCTCGTACTTTTCGACCATGACCTCGAAGTAGTCTTCCACGTCCGCCTCGGTGAACCGGTTGAGGTCCAGCTGCCAGTCTGCGATCATCTGGGTGATGGGCTCATAGTTGTGGAAGGTCGGCGACGTGACAGGCCAGGCGCCGCCGGAGAGGCCGGCGATATACGTCAGGATCTGGAAGAGACCGCCCACCTTGGCCTCTTTGGCGCCTTCCGTGCGCTCGTCAATGGCCTGCAGCCCGCCGACGCCCGTGATGGCCGCCCGCCAGCCGCCGCCGCTGTTGGCCCAGCCGACTACCGGGACGTTGTAGTCGATGCTGGCCCGCACACGGCTCATGTACTCGGTGGTGTCGAAGTCTCCCAGGTCCAGGTTCGAGAGATACCTGCCTAGGGCGTCGACGACCTGTCCCTTGCGGCCGTGGACCCATTCCGACTCGGCCAGGGAGGTCGATCGGGGCTGGCGCACGAGCTGGATGTCTTCGGGACAATCGACGTAGTACGGCGCGTAGCTGTCTGCTGAACTGCTGTTGGTGCTGGCGAGTGCCGTGGCAGCCGCCAGGAACACTGCATGATTGGCATGGTTAGTACTAGTTGACAGCTGCAGCCGGCCCTTTTGTCTTTGCAGGTCTCCTTACCTGGAAGGGCGATGCGAGAAACCATGGTAGCCGAGTCGTCTTGTCTTTGCTGCTGAAGAAAACAATCAACGTGGGATTCAACAAGGACTTTTATACACGGACAACTACAACTGGGCACAGCTCAGCTTACCAAGGGCAGACATCGTCATCAAGTCGTTAGCTCCCCTCGGCTACACTTTCACCGACATTGGAGCCTTCGTGTGTATCTTTTGCGGAGGAGACCAGCGGGGGATCCAATCATGGCGTGACTGCGCCGCCGCGGATCGCTCCACTTTGGCAAGGCTGGCGGCCAGATGGATCAATATATCGATCTAGCATCGTTCGCGGTATCCTTTGCGAGTCGCAATGGTCGCCGAATTCGGATAGAAACCTCGCCGATCAGAAGAAAGCTTTTGTCGCCCCACTTTTGCGGGAGCGCTATGATGTCAACTTCAGTCCTCTCGCCTACATCTCCGGCGGAAGTAAACAGTGAACCAGTAACCTATGCGAGAGGCGCAGCCGAAGAAGCTCGGAACTGTCACTGTTTTGGGTAAGAGTCTTCTGTGCGCTACCAATGAAGTGCTGCGTCTTCTGTTGGCACAAGGCACCAGGCACAAGGCACAGCCTTGCTGCAATGCTAACAGCCCAACACCACTGCCTTTGTTTCCGGAGTACTTGCTGCTATGGAGGAGACGGTGCCACGTCGTGCACCTTTCTTATGATACCTACCTACATTACGGGGGGTTCGAGCCCATGATGCATCATTTATTTGCATATGGCGAATTTCCGCACCTCCGGACCAGGACTGCGTGTGCCTGGGGGGTGAGGACAGCGGGCCTTGGGACCCTCGGTGCCTGTTTCTAAGACTAGAAGTGCGTGTATCTTATCTATCATATCTGACATGTTAGTCTCCATGCCTCTCACAGTAGGGAGCTGAGGCTGGGGGGGTTTGTGTTAGAAGCCTTCACAGTAGGCCTCGCCCTCGGGCCTCCTAGGATGATCAGGGCGGGGATCTCCTGCTATTTGTTACTGTACAATATTTTTTGTCCTTGCCAGTGTATTTATTTTCATGCTGCTTCTACCTGTGTAGAACAAAAACACCTGTGACTGTCTGCTTGTGTGGGAGAAATCTGTTATATGTATATATATCATATATATATACATATATCATGATATATATCTACATAGTGTGTTGCGGAGTTTGTCTGCCGCTGGTTACCACTGATTGTCGAATGTTGTGCATGATTGTGCATGATTATATATAGTTATAGAAAAATATTACTTATTAACCACATGTATAAACACCCACTATGTGATATACAATGATATATAACCATCCACAACTATTCTACAACCAGCACCAACCAGCGCCAGAGTAGAGCAACCAAAACCCCTCGGCCCACTATATAAGGTCATGCTCGACTCACACCCCCCTCGCTTGACGCCTCCTGTGATTCTATTGACACCCCTTAACCCAAGGTAGCCTAGCCCGCACTGAAGCTAGCTGCACTAAGTATAGTGTATATTAATCTATGCCTGATATGTATTAGTAATATAGTTCCTCAATGCATAATTAATTATGCTGTTACAGCCAGGCTAGCCAGATTGAGCGGAAGTACTTTTCCACTATCACGTGGATATACTAATCTCTTTTCAGCAAAGGGGTGTCAATCGAGCAAGGGATGTCTCTCAATCGCGACCCTTTTATGAGTGTGAGCTATTCCTAATTAGGAAGGCCGAGAGTGTGGCTGTAACGGCTCTTTACACCATATGATCGGTCGTATGTACTTAGTTGAGGCTATTCCCAACTCTTTCACAGCACTGGCTTTTCTGGTCAGATGGGCCTGTCATGGTGTAGTGACCTCATCATTGGCACATGTCATGTACAAAAGCCCGCCTTGCTCGTGAATTGCAAGACGCGTAAGTCAAGCTCGGAGCTCGTCATCTGGAATGTGCATGTTCCCCGGGGGCCGGAGTGAGTTCCGCGAACATACCATGCTAAAATGACGCATCATCGGGTGGGGACTGGGTGGACGTGGATATTTTGTGTTGTGTTGCAGTGATGATCTCCAGGATTGGAACTGTGGAGGTTCATGGATTAAGGGTGTGGAAAAGATACTATGTAGGAGTGGTGGAATGGCAGAGGTTATGTGTGATGAATATCGTAGTCATGTCTTGGCGTGCTATGGCTATGTTCCCTGCCAAGAGCTAGGGGTTCATTTCATGGTAGATCCTATTTGTTTCTATTCTTGTTGCATCTGCGGCGAAACTATGATTCTTGCTAGTCTGGAGATTGTAAATCATTTCCTATGTCTACTTTTATACTGATCAGACCCCAAATTTGAGCTTGTACTTGGTAGAGCATCGGCATGATTTAACCAGCATAATGCTATGATCCATCTTCCCTTATATACTATTGACTCGGTAGTATAACAATGACTTGTTCTCTTGCCAGAAAAAGGCATTGGTACACCACTCTTAAGATACCGCTATAGTAACAATAGACCAACCACACCCATAGGTAGCTAAAGGTAATTACCCATTCTATACTCCGTAGTAGCACCCAACTCGACATACTTACGTCAGATCATGTCCGCGCAACAACTCAGACAACTGCAACAGCACTATAAAAGAATGCATACACCTAGAAACAAGTAAAAAAGAGCATTACGTGTACTCCAAATTCTTCATAACACAAGACCGCAACCAAACCCCCCCCCCCTGCCAAAGATTCTAAACCAACACATTGTGGTTCAGGGTACGTACGTCTGAGAAAGTATGATGCTACCCAAATGCCGGAATAGGAAGCGGGGACGCGCATGACAGAAGTCAAAAAAAAGGCTGACGTACTCTTCACCCCTTATAGTTCGTGAATGACTGCCTCGATCTTCATTCCCGGGCCCCCCCTGATCCCATCATCCCCGGGAAGTCTAAAGGATCGGCACGCGGCATTGCGGAATGAATGGGATTGAGACACCCGGTGCCGATATACCTTACTTACTCCGTAGTCTGCCTGCCAAGGCGGGGTTCATTTTCTGAACTGGGTATACAGCTACACTATCATCTGTCTCGTCAGATTCGGTCAATATTAGTCGATCAAGGGAAAAAGGGATGGATGATGATGCGTCTTTTGAAATTATTTCCTACGCATTCGGGCAGAAAGAATTATGTAAAAGAGAGTAAAGTAAGAGAAAGCAGTCAATGATTGAAAAGTCAAATGTATTTCGAATACTTTTGGTTCATTATTAAATGCAATTATCATAAGCGTCCGTAGCACCGTTTAGGCACTATCCCGCGAGTTATTAATTAGGTATTAGGATCATTATAAGACGTGGTCATGACGAAACAAGAGAAGACTCCAACCAATCCCCCAAGCAAAACACCGTATATCCGCCCGCTCGCTTCCCCGCTTCTATCGCGCAAAATTCTAGGGTCGCGCAAAATTCTATTGCAGTCTGGTCGATGATGATGATGATGATGATGATATATTAATTTCGACGACTTGCATCATTCATTGTTGTTGTTGTGTGTGTGTGTGAAAAGTGTGTTGTTGGTTCAAGGGAAGTGGAACCTATTGTTTCTTGGTTAGCCATGATGAGTCGCGAACCAGGTTCGGGAATGGTTCGGGAGGGAGGGAGCGCATACTTTCGCGAGAGCTTGGCTTTCCATCCACGGCTCGACTTGCTGCATGCATCGACGTTTGACATGGACTCCTTGAGGGTGGGCTCGATGTGATTGGGCCCGGGGGTGCTGGGAGTGCGCCGTGCCGATCGACGTCCCAGGCCGTAGGACTCGGGGCCGATCAAGGGGTAGGGAATGGTCATTGTGGAATGTGGGTTGTTGGTTTTGTTTGGTGGTGGTGGTGGTGGTGGTGTGTCCCGAGACTTTCGTGGGATGGAGACCGGAGAGAGGATGTGATTGACTTGAGATGACTTGAGCGAGAATGCTTGCTGATGCTGAATGGAAAAGTTCAATCGACGGGGTGGTGTCCAGGGGGTTTATATAAATTTTTGGAGGCCATAGCTCCCACCAGCAGCGACTGGATCATGAGAGCAGCATTTGTTAATCGGCCATTCCAAAAATACTCTGGGTGACTCCATCGCATCCCATGGCGATGGACGGACTAGAACGTGGTATGATGAAAGCTATCCTGCATCGAGCGTAGCGGCGGCGGCAACGCCACCCGACCCTTATCAAATCACGCATACAAACTGTCTGCCCCATCCGCCGTCTTAACCGATTGTTGTACGTACAAGATATCCAACCTCCCTGTTTCTGATCTTTTTTTGATATTTTTTTGATACTCCCAACTCCCCCCCTTGTCCCGCTGGTAATCCCCTCGCGCTAATGCGGAATCGTGCAGTGCAGACTCTGCAGCACGGCACCTTCCTCCCGACTGCAGTGTGCTGCTGCCGCTGCTGCTACTACTGCAGATAACAGCTGGCAGGGCTTGAACCAAATTATTACCCGATATCTTTACTCCAACTTCATACTCCAACTCTATACGGAGTACCTACTTCCAACATTCACAGACACATTGTTATTACCTTTGCTCCCTCTTCTTATCTTAGTCATTCACGGTATACTTTCCCTAGCAAAACCTAGCAGAGTCAGGGCCCTTTCGACAAAAATCGAACTATCAGTTTTCTAGTTTCTACTATTGTGAATTGAAAAAAAAAATAAATAATATCATGCAAAACCATCACACATCACCCTCAGACATCAGATGTCCATGTAGGTACCTACTATCCAGACGTCTAGACCAAACCGACATGCAGCACTAAAAAAAAGAAAAATCAAAGTGTCACACGCCCTTAATCAAGAAACCAGGTTTCCAGAACAGAGCGGATCCCACATCCTCGAACCCCCCCGGTTGGAAAATTTTCATCCAATGCTTCGCACGCTAAAACAATAGGCTACTCGGATAGAACGGCGATCACCCACCCACCGGTAATGGCGGCATCGACAGCGGCGCGCTGCCCAACACCGCCCGCCCGAATTTTCTCTTCTACCCCTGGACCTCAGCGCCTTATCGACCAATAGACAGCCCGGGTTTGTTCTCTACTGCTGCTGCTGCTGCTGCCAGCCTGCCGCACGGAGATTCGCCAGGGGATCATCAGAGCAAACTCCTGCGTTGTATATTGAGAAAAAGTGGGGACCGCTGCCCCATTGTCGCGCCACGTCAAGGATGGGATGGATTATCAATTATTGGGATCAGGTGCGCGTGAAAATTAGTTGCAGACAATCCAATCTATTTGCTGTTCCCGCTCTCTCGGAATTTCCGCCCAGGTAGACAGGGACATGTTGCAGTCACCTCCGAGTCCGATGTATGGACTAGTCGGTAGTAGATGCCCTTGACTCATCCACACTGAGGTCCCGGTGAAACCACGGCGACAATGGTCCTCCGTTCACGGCTAATCTTAATGTCAAACTCCGTATCACAATGCCTCCAGGGAAGCAAAACCCCTCTGGCTGGCTATCTATCTATCATGTATGCGAAAGACTCGGTCCCGGAATGGCATTAGAATATTATATTCCTAAATCCTGAAATTCCCGGGACTATCACGCTACTACCTAACTATACGCATACTTTTAGTCATGCGGGAATAGCACCTGTTGAAGGAGTGCTCATTGGACTGCCTCGCGATCGATAATAATATCAAGATTAAGATTAATATTATTTCTTGTCTGTGAAGGACCCCGTGCTTCAACTCAGCTGTCGACAATTGACAAACTCACCCGTGATTGTGAATCGACCCGACCGATTGATGAATATTGTGGGGCCTTTCTCAAGGTCGGTCGGTTGGAAGTGAAGAGTCGACAAGTACTAGTTAGATAGTCTAGTCTAGTGTCAGGGCCAGACCGTTGGGATCAAGGGGTCTGACCGTCTGAGAGGCTGGCCTGCGGTTAAATAAATAAAACAATGAGCAGTAAACCGGTTTACGGTGTCTTATCTCGCTCCTCTCTAGAATCTAGACAGCTATCTAGCAGTTACGGAGTACTGTAATGCCCTGACGGTAGATAGTAGTTAATCGCCTGCCGCCTGCCTCTATCGTGCGCCAGTGCCGTACGACTCGTCGGGAAAGGAAGTACAAAGTAGGTAACTATGAACAGTTAGTTGAGGTTGGGGTGGACAGTATGGCATAGAGCATAGATATGTCAGTGTCCACATGTTCATTATATTTGGAACTCCATGGGTTTTATTCATATCACTAGATATCTACCTGCCCTATGCCACTCTCGGTTTCCACACCCACCCCACTTCGGAAGTGGAGCCGTCAGTGCATATCGTGCCGATATGCGTTGGAGTTTGGAGTAATTACTGACTAGGTACCAGACTCTTGGTATTGATAGGGGACTAACCTGTAAGAATGGGTGAAGATGCTATACTGCAGGTAGGCAGCTCTTGTCTTAAAGTATTAATATCTGATGAAGCTATTCACAAATAGCTAGAATATAGGGGATTGCTTGTATGAGATAGTGTGAAGAAGATATATCTATCGCGAAGTCAAGATAGGTATGATATTGCTTAAAGTGTTGTCGCTGGTTTGCTAGCTAGACCCACCTTCGCGAAGGGGTATATCCGCGAGGGCTTGTGTGGATCACATGTTTGCTATCAGCGGTTGAATAATTAAGAAATAAATAAATATATCTCTCGCGAGTATTTACAGTAAGTAATAATAGCAATCTCTAAAAGAATCTGCTAGATGGTAACTAGCTAGAAGCACCCAAGTACTCTACTATTAATATAACAACTCTAAGAAGTATTGTACCTATTGTTTACTAGCATCCTAAGGAGCTCCTGCGTCTTAGGCCGTGTACAGGTGAAGCGTTCGGAAGCCCCTACACCCCTGAGAATCCACTTCAATATGGATGTGAGATGAACGACAATTGTTACCTACCTACCATCACAGAAAAGGATTCTTCTCGTCCTCCCCCCAAGGCCCAATCCCCGGTCCCTTGAAGAGTTTACCCCCCTTCCACACATGGGTGATGACCTTCCGGTCCTGGAAGATCTTGATATCGTTCAAGGGGTTCTCCTCCAGCGCGATCACATCGGCCTCATACCCCTCCTTGAGCTGACCGGTCAAGGGGGCCTGCAGACCGACGGCGAGGGGGGCATTGGCGGTGGCGGCCTGGATGGCCTGGAGGGGGGTCATGCCGCCCTTCTCGACGGCGTACTGCAGCTCCAGGGCCGTCGGACCTCCCGGGGCGGTATCGGTACCCAAAGCCATGGTGACGCCCGCCTTGACGGCGCCCTGATACGCCCTCAGACTGGCGCCGGCCAGAGCCTGCAGCTTTTCCCAGGACTCCTTCACCAGCCCCTCGCCGTTCGTGTCCAATGAAACCTCAACGACCGTGCGCGTGGCCACGTACACGATCCCTTTCGCCTTCATCAGCTCAAAGACCTCCTCGTCCGCATACGACACATGTTCCAGACTCTTGCACCCGGCGTGAATCGCCGCCATGATCCCCGCCTTGCCGTGCACATGCGCGGCCACGATGCGGTTCTGCCTCGCCGCCTCCTCCACGGCCGCCCGCAGCTCCTCCGGCGAAAACTGCGCGCAGTTGGGGTCGTCGTCGCGCGACATGACCCCGCCCGTCCCGAATACTTTGATCACCTTCGCCCCGCGGCGGATCTGCAGACGCACCGCCCGACGCACCTCGTCCACCCCGTCGACGATACACAGTTGCCCTGTGCCCCAGTATCCCGGGCGTGGATTCTGCACTCCGTAGTTGCCCAGGACATCACCCGCGGGGAGCCCGAAGATGTCGCCATGCCCCGCCGTTTGGCTGAGGGCCGCCCCGGACGAGTACACATTGGGACCTACGATGGTCCCGTCGTTGATGGCTTTGGACACCTCACACCCCCAGCCCGCTAGGTCGCGGTACGAGGTATACCCGCTCTGCAGCGCCTCCCAGCATCCCCTGGCGAGTCGAGCCCCGGCTGAGGCGGGGTGGGTGGACAGGCCGGAGGTATAGTCAAGGTAGTAGTCGTCATCTCCGGCGAAATGGATGTGGACATCCCACAGGCCGGGCATGAGCACGGGGACGTGGTGGCTGGAGTGGTTGGACCGGAGATATTTCTTGGGGACTTCGGTCTGGGGGCCAACGAAGGCAATGATCTTGCCACTGATCACGATGGCGGCATCTTTCAGGGGCTCGCCGTCTCCTGGGATCAAGAGATCCGCCTTGACGATGGTGATCTTGGGTTCGTTGGCGGATGACGCGACCACGAGAGGTCGCTGGTGGACGTTCATAGACACGGGGCTGGGGCGGACTCCATACGTCGCGGCGAGCGATGGGGGGGAAGTCGCGGGGGTGAATCTTCGGACCATGATGGATGATTGATTGGTTTCTGCTTCTGAGGTAGATGGACGGTCTGAATAGGGGGGCTAAGATGTAGACAAAGACACAACACAACGGCCGATGTTGTCACAGACGCGGGAGGGTCGGCCTGCCCACGGAGTCCGTCGGGGGTACACTATACAAGGGTCATCTTATCTGCGTCAGCGGATTGGATACGACGGTGTCTAGTCTAGTCTAGCCTAATCGGCTGAATAGGCTGCCGTCAGCAAGATTGGCCTTTTCCATATCAGAGTCCGATGGCTTTTTATCACAGGCTGTATACTGGACTGTATGCGCTCTGTGGAGTGGATATATGCGGTGCGGATCATACTAATTTCGTTAGCTCTTGTAGGGGTTCATACGCAGAAATAGGAATGGAAGCTGTACCTACCTCAATGCGAGCAAGGATCCTGAGCGTCACTGTTCCCTGCAAGCCGCTGGATACATCACTTCAAAAAGCAGTGAAACTTCTGCAACAGACAATCAACATCAGACAGGAATCCAAGACAATGCAGAGAGCTAGAGCTAGTGTATGTAAACGATCAGCGGAAAGAGCGATAAGGGAAGGAAGCAAGTGAGTGAGCAGCCGAGGATCCCTCCACTACCACTACTTTAGAGATCAATCTGATATGATCTCCTAAAACCAACCAATGAGAGGCCCCGGCTGGACGAGAGGTCAAACGAATCGCGAAAATCCACTTTCGAGGGCTGTCCAATGGCGACGTGTCGAGGGGACGCGTTGGACAGAGTTTGGGAAGGAGCCACCGGGGCTGGCATTCACTGCGTGGGCTGGGGAAGGGCCGTGGTGTGTGTTACCGTCAGCGGTGTGCTACATTTACTACCTAGGTAGGTACTGTACTTACTGGGATGCTACCTACACTACACCACACTACTGAGGTCTCCCACCTCTTGAGAGTCGTCTTTCTAGAATCATGGCTGGAAAGCGATGGTTCCTTCTCAAGACAAACAGATTCTATATCATCGATTTATATACAGTTGTTCGAAAGCTAAAAGCTCGGTCTGTAAGAGTCTCTCTTTCTGGGGTTTGGTGCTATCTTTGTTCTGTTTTAGGTATGAGGCTAATTCTAGTAGAATGCCATATCTTTTTCGTGCGTGTCTGTGTTTGGTTTATACATACTACACCTGTTGGACAGCACACATCAGAATAAGATATTTAGGATTATTATCGATCAACGCCTGTGTGTGGTTTTGAATATCTACCTACACACGAATGTTTCACCGGTACGGTACACTGAGATCTCCTAAGCAACAAGACTACTCTGATTGGGCATGCTCTTAAGGTGTTCGGTAAAATGCCAGCTTAGTGGAACGATTAGCTGTCGGTTTCAGATGAAGAGACTGATATGTAGGATATGTATGCTTGGAATTCTGCCCTGTAGCGCCGTAAACCTAGCAGTATATGGAGGGAGCCTTGACTGCGAAGTGTAAGGTGATAGAGCATAGGAGATATTGCCAGGCAACAGTCCTTCAATACTACCCAGCCACAAGGACTGATGGTTGCAATTAGAATTAGGTCGTTGATTAGACAAGACTTGAAGATTGCCATACCTCCTGTATTCTGACAGATCAAGCTGGATACCAGATCCATACACAATTATTTCACTCTCATCTCTCATCCACAAGACCAAAATACGCCACACCCAAACCACAGCGCCAGCCTGATCCCCGGCCTAAACCCAGCCAGCACCAGACAAACAAACTAATCTATGACCCAGATCACATCAAATTTCACATGCCAACATCACCACCAGACACATGATTCCAGGCCATCCCCGGGAAGCCTACCGTTACCGTCGTTATCCCGGTCCTTGCTGCGCCGCAGCTTAGTTCGCCACCTGACCTGACCTGACCTGACCACCATCTCATCTCCAGGGGACGGAGGCCATCCCATCCAACCGCTATCGGATGTAGACACTAGCTCAGAATACAGAGGGCAGGATAGGGCAGTGCATGTTAGCACCAGTGCTGTGAGTGGATGGCCGAACAGGCAGGCAGGCAGGCAGACACACACAAGGCAACAACGTCCTTCGACTACTGACCCCGGACTCCCGAGGCATCCAGGCATCCCGGACATCCACATCCACATCCACATCCACATCCACATCCACCCACATCTCACCTCATCTGTCCGACAACAATAAGATAACTAGCTCTCTTTGTTTCCAAGCTAACCCAGCGGCTAGTTAACAAGCTTGAGTCATCCCAGCCGGACCTAGTGAATCCCTAGCCCAAAACAAGATAAAGGCGATAAGCCGATGGGGTCATCCCCAAAGAAAAGAGGGGTGAGTGAGTGAGTGAGTCACAGTTCTCATCCGTGCCCATATAAGTGTCATCTGTTGGGTGGGCTAGACCGCTGTCCTACATGGGTGTACTCCGTATCTATCCAGTGGGCGTGAGTCTGGTCTGTGAGGGAGGTAAGGGGGTTGGTTGGGGTGGATGATGGATGACAACGACAACGATAACCAATCGAGTCATCGACAGCCGGATGGAAGGGAAGGGAAGGGAAGGGGTGTCATTCCACGTCAAGGGCGAGTGACAGCTGTCGAGTGGGGTAGATATCTAACTTGACTACTTTAGGTAGTTAAGGTGGGAAGGTGGTTGAGAGGGGGTGGAGCGTGTGCTGTCCGAGCCTTGTCGGGGAGGATGTACAGCAAGTAAGGAAGGCAGGAAGGCAGGAAGGCAGGAAGGCAGGAAGGCAGCAGGGTTGGAGCCTGGGGAATGAGTGGATTTCATCCTGGTCATGGTAGCGGACTCCGTACGGACGGACTGACTGGTAATGCTGATACAGAGAGGGAGGAGGAAAGGAGGGAGCGTTGGGTCTTGGCGACTGTGATCGGTAAGCATGCAGTGTTTGCCATGAGGGATATGTAGGTAGATCGGGTAGGTATGAGATACGTCTTCTCTCTCTCTCTCTCTCTCTCTCTCTCTCTCTCTCTTTAAATCATAATATTCACCGCCCGACGTGGTGGAACCATGGAAAGGTGACTGGACTGGGCTATAATCGACAAGACAAGCTACGTGGACATCGCATCGGAGAAAAAGATAGAAGTATAAGTTGAGTTTTGACAGGAGAACAACAAATGAAACAGGGTGGAACGCCTGGGTATATTTCAGGAAGTAGAGAGAAAGAAAATAAAGAAAGAAGAGTAAGAACATAACAGAACCATGATGAAGACGGATGAAAAGAAAAGAAATAAGAAGGGGGAAAAACACCACCGGGTCTGTATCAACGACCTCGAGCAAACGCCATAATCTTCAGAGCTGACTGATCTTCTCCATGCGTTCCGAGACGTAGACCGACCCATATGAACCTCCTGTGGATGTTGTAGACAGAATCGCAAGAACCCCCAAGCCAAAGGCCCCATAATTTGCATCTTTAAAACGCCCAGAGAATGCAAATTTCATACAACAAACAGGAAAGGAAGAGATTCTGAGCCACAGAGGTGGGGGGAGGGGGGGAGGAAGGGTGACGACGGGGAGGGTGAGGGAGAAAGAGAAAGAAAGAAACACAGATGGGGAGGGAAGGAAGAAGGCAAAGCCACAACAGTATAGCTGATACCACTGGAGAAACAATCAATCCAGCGCATGCATCTAGCCCTGGGGCGCTGCGGGCTGGGGGATGGCTTGCTGCAACCCAGCCACGATGCGTTCCAACTCCTCCAGCCGGCGGTCCTTCTCTTGAACCTCGCGGCGCAGCCTCTTCAGCTCGTTGCGAAGATCCACGCCGTTCTCTTCCTCTTCAGGAAGCTCCAGGGTGGGGTCCTCGCCAATGGAGTCGCGCTTGCGTTTGATGGCGGCCGAGGCAGTCGCCAGAGTCGTGGTGCCATCTAGCTCAGGTGACGGGGCTATGGGCAGGTCTGACGCATGCCCGTTCTCAGTATGCATGTGGCGGCGGCGGAGGTGCTCCTTCAGGTTTTCCTGACGCGTGAACCCATTGCCGGTGCTGCGGTTGCAGTCGGTATAGGGACACATCAACGGTTTCTTGGCGTTGATGTTCTTCTTATGCACCTCGCGCTGGTGCCTCAGCAGACCGCCAGAGTAGGTGAAGCCTTGGATCTTGTCGCATCCGGGTTCCAGGCACTTGTAAGGGCGGTCGTGCTTGTCCATGTGTTTGCTATGGGTGGCGATCCAGGTTAGCCGCCCGCAATTTTTCTCTCTCTTTGTCTCCATATTGTTTCTCTTCTTTTCTGCCACATCAGGTGTCCGGGTAGGGGAAATACTTACTTCCATTCACATGGACGACGGAAGGTGGGAGGAGCGTGCTGGCACTCGGGGTGGTCGCAGTAGATCTGCCCGGCGGTGTTCTTGGGCGGATCGCGCGCTCGTCTCACCGACAGTCGCGGGCGCGTGCCTTCCATGAAGGTAGGAGACAGTTGGTCGTTCATCTTGGGAGCTGGAGCTGGAGCTGGAGAGAGCGATTCTTGAGCAGGGACTAGAACAGAGGTAGGTCCGCCGGGACCTTCGCTTCGTGGACTAGGATAATCAGAGCCGTCACCCATAGCGCAGCTAGAGCTACAACCCCGCCGTCAATTGAGAAGCCTGGGGGGGTCGAAAAGCGCGGAGGGAGGGAGTCGAGGAGAGGCGGGTGGCGTACAAGGTCAGTGAAGAGGGTGACACCTCGAAAAACGCGGGACTGGGGTGGTATAAAACGGCCGGCGATGTCGCTTGGTGTGTTCGGGGGGTCGGTGGCTCTGGGGGAGGATGGATGTTGGTTCCTTAACGCGGAAGGACTGACTGCCAAATTTTTCAGGTCTGAAAACAAGGCATCTAGTGACTAAGCAGCTGGCTGGGGGGGGAGGAGAAAGTCTTGGCGGATCCGCCACTCGAAGGCGAAAACAAGTCCGGTGGGTAAGGCGAGTCCGGCGAGGTGAAGTCACCTGGTATTAGTACTCATTAATCAGCCCGGCTCAGCTTTGATGGGTTTCAGGACCTTGAAGTCAAGCCTGCACACGTGGTGTGATCGGAGACGCGTCGTATTTGGATCTACCCTCATTATGTAGTACCTATCAGTCGGTAGCCCACGACCGATCGGATGGCCAAACTTAGACACACACAGACAGACAGACAGACAGATCTTGTTTACTGTTGTTACTGTTAGGCTGCGACTAGTGAGTCATGCTAAGCTTGTCATCAGGCAACCAGATAGATACTCTAAGTTCTAAGATAGGAAATGGATGCGCCGCAGACGAGTATACTACGCCGTTGGGCCATCGCATCCGCCACAGTCAGTCAGTGTCAGTGACCGGTCTGACTGTTACTTACTCGCTAGGCAACTTTCGGGGGATTGTATGCCTCATTGCTGCCTGCCAATCAGGGCCTCTGGCACGTGGTGTCCCACAGCCACACAAACATACAACAACACATAGATACTCCGTACAGTGCAGTGGTTTCCGGATTCGGAAGGCGTCTTTTTTGTGGCGGCGGCGTCATGCGGTCATCATGGGATTCCGTCTACGCAGAAAGAAAGATATCTATTTTGATGATTTGTATAATTATCTGCAATTCCCAGATCAAATTCAGAGCAAACTGCCTCGTCATCACCTCCTCCAGGGTCATTCCTTGGATTCCCTCTCGCCTGCGCGTTGTTGGAGAGGGATTTTCTGTAGCCACATGTATACCTTAGGTACCCAAACCTCCGCCATCGGGACACGCGGGCGATGCTGCGGTTCTTGCCCAATCCCGTGCCCGTCATCGTCAGGCAAAGATGCTAACTAGACGCTTTGCGATCCAGGCTAAACATAATCTATCTATCTGCTACTTTACTTACTGTACAGTGCACTGCAGGGTACACGTCTGACAGACAAGCAAGATATAGTTAGTATGCTACATACATACATACATACATAGATCGGAGTACGATGGACTCGTTGCTTTACCATCGCGGTGGCTTGCAGCAAGCGATTTCCTCGGCGCCAATCCCTCGACGGGGCGAAGTTTGCGCTTTCACTCACTGACTGACTGCACTGGCAGGTGAGGCCCCCGACTGCTGCCTGGGAAGCATGGCCACCCATCCCATCCCATTCGGTGCTTGCGTCAACATTCCTAAGCCTACTACTTATTTACCCTACTTACCCTACTTATCTAGGCATCTCCATTCCTCAACTCAAAAATAGCATCTGCATGTATATTGGGGCCCTGTTAAGGGTCTGATCTTCCCCGGTGGCGCAGCGTCGCCATGACATGTATCTCCGAGGATCTGCATGGACCGGTAGTTAAACTGTCCTTCGATCGCTGAGGAAGTACTATCTAGACTGGATAGCTGATAGGCTGGATATTATAGTCCTCCTATCGCACGGTCGCTTGGGGTACTATCCACTATCTTGTTTGCGCGTAGCTGTGTATACTGGGGACTGATTGATCAGGTTGCCACCCACCTTGACTTGGGCTTAAGATCAAATCCTTCGGTGGATGGCTGTGTACTACTTACTACCTACATAATACGTCGAAGGTGCCGCGATGGGGATCGTCGGCCAGATCCGCCGTCAGTCTATTAATATGAAATGTCCCCCAGCCGCCAAGGACGCCAGATTCGTGGGTGCCTATTCATCCTGCAGCCGATCTCCAACGCTGCTTGGATCTCGAACCAAGCATTCTTGGGGTGGAGCTACGAGGCGGAGTGATAACGAATGACAATAGTTGGATTGGACGTGCGGAAACTAAGCAGTCCATTCTATCGAGTACTTGACAGTCGGCATGGCCGGGCGCTCCCGGGGACAACGCAAGTGCCCACGAGAACGGTTGTCAGGTCTCCAGTGGCGGGGATCCGAAGAGCCACTGCATCGCCATAGCAATGCCACCGCAAGCGCAAGAAGAATGGGGAACGGACAAAAGCAGACAGTCATATGGGTTTAGGATATTGGGGGAAGACAGGATTGGCAAAAGAATTAGAAATGCGGAGCATCATTGGTGATGAGCCCACCCTCATCCAGCGGTCCGCGGAAATGTCGGGACTGCCAGCTGCCTTGAAAGAAGCCGAGCGCGAAGGCAGCTGCAGGCCCGAAAGATTGCGTAGACATACCACTGACCCTTTCCGATGGTGTTCGTCGATGACGGTTAACCATACTGTAATGGGGCTGAGCCACTGGGTAGTCGCCGCCATTCGCATGCCATTCCGCAGAACGCACCATCTTGCCGATGCGACTGGAAATGATCACTTGTCCGAGCGGAGGCCCTGCAGACCGGCGTCTTTTCTTATCGATAAAAGCAATGCGAAAGAATCTGAGGAATGCCTCATTTCCCACCAGATGGCTGAGGGCTGGCTCTCGCCGATGCTTCCCGGAATCTTACAGATGTCTCACGCCGACGAGTGACATGGATGGCGTGTCAAGCAGAAGCCCAGGAATCGGGTCATGTTGGGGCGTGGCCTGATGATTCGGTGGACAGTTGTCCCCCAAGCCTCGGGAAGGCTGCATGCTAATGGGCCCGCTCTGAACCGTGAAGGGCACGCGTCTCCCCCAATCAGTCGTAGTTGCCCCCGATCTGGCTGGCGAAAGCAGTCGAAACACTGCGAGCATCGTCATCGTCGGGGATATTGCCTGGGACACCACGAGTGACACGGATGCTGGCAGAGCTTCCTCCAAAAATGCTGCCGTTATCAGGGACACCGGGCTTGTAAGGCTCCCGCCCACCAGATTCCACGTAACGCTTCAACCGATCCGACTGACTGAGACTGGGTTGCTTGCTCATCTCGTTGATGCTCAGGCCAGCGAGGGAAACACCGCCCTGGTCGACGCTCTTTCCATCGATGATGCTTCCAGTAACATCGGACTCCGTGGCCGCCACTGATTCTCCAGCAACGCTAGGCGCTCCCTTCATCCGGCCGCCATTAGCACGGCGACCACCTGGAAGAGCAGGCCACGAGTCGGCGAAGTTCTGAAACATGGGTGGGTATCCAGAGGGGATACCAACACCACCAAGCGCAGACGAATGCACAGAAGAGACGTCGTCGGGAATATAGCCAACCACGGATCCGGTCTCGTGGAACTCATTCCGGTGGCCGTTCCTTCCATTCATCAACCCACTGGTAACATTAGAAGCATGGTTGTACGCCATCTGGAACCGCTGAGGTCCTCTGTAGGCCTGCTTGGGACGGCTGAACTGGATGAGAGACTCCTGAAGGTTGGACAGAGGCCCCTCAACCAAGCAATGCCGTTCCTTGAAGTGCTGTAGAAGGCAGTTCCAGAGGGGATGCTTCGACAAAACCTTGGGGTTTCCAAGAATTGCCAGACCGTATTTGGCTCGAGTGAGCGCGACGTTGAGACGGCGAGGATCACTCAAGAAACCAATACCCTGGTGATCGTTGGAACGCACACAGGAAAGGATGATGAAGTCTTTCTCACGACCCTGGAAAGCGTCGACCGAAGCAACCTCGATTTCTTTGTAGTGCTCCTTCTTGAACGTGCCGTTGGCTTGCATAGAACTGACGATATAGCTACGCTGACCTTCATAAGGAGTGATGATGCCAATGTCCGAGGGCTGCACTCCAGCCTTGAAGAAACGAGTGACGATCTTCTCCACGTTTGTCGCTTCGGTACGATTGAGATAGGAAGTTCCGGATGCCGAAATCTCCTCGTTACCCAGGTTCGACCAGAACATCATTGGGTTATCGGCAATGGGCCAAGGGAAGTCCACATCACGGCGAAGGCGCTCAAACGAAGAGATACCGTTCTGCAAAGATCCCTCGTAGAACATGTTCGAGGGGAACTCAGAAAGACACGGGTGCATGCGGTACTGAACATTCAGGCGGATAGGGGAGCATCCCAAGATGACAAGACGCTCGAAGAGCGACTGGTTGAGACCAGCCTTGGCTGCCTTCTTGTTCATGATGACGGGCCCCAGCTGTTGGTGATCACCGACGAGGACAACCTGTTTGCAGCCAAGAACCAAAGGAATCATACATTCAGGCTCAGCAGACTGTGTCGATTCGTCAATCAGGACGGTGCGGAACTTGAGTTTAGCGAGACGAGGGTCACCAGCACCGACACAAGTGCAACAGATGACATCGGCATTGTTCAAGATCTCGCGCTCCGCCGAACGAGTAAGCTGCTTCAACCGCTTTTCATCTTGGCTGGACAGTTCCCCGAGCTCAGCCTTGAGCTGATTGAGCTTGATGAGTTCGATGTTGGTATCGTTGATGCGGACTTGATCGTGCAAAGATAGGAAGCTAACCGGCGACTCAACATCCTCTCGCGATTTGGCCGTCACACGCACTGTTTTAAGGCCAGTCCGGTGAATCCGTTCGCAGAGCTGATCGACGGCGACGTTAGAAGGGGCGCAAACCAAGACCTGGCCTCCATTAAGCTTGGCGAGGTGGTAGATAATCGTAGCAGAGGTGACTGTCTTTCCGGTACCGGGAGGACCCTGGATCAGACTCATGGGTCTCTGCAGCACACTCTTGACCGCGTTGATCTGACTGCCGTTCAGCTCAGGAAGTCCGGGGACGCTGAACTTCTTCGGCATCTGGGTCTTCATGGGGGCGGCTGCGACTTCGTGTCCAAGAAGGCGGTGGAAGATATATCCGGAGACGCTCATTTCATCCACGGCGAATGTCTTCATCGCAAGCTGCATGCGATCGAAGGAAGTGGATTTCCAGACATAGTCGGCGGTGAAATTGTGCGTACACTCCGTGGGCACGGATTTGTGATCACCCTTCGCCCGCAACTCGATGGTCACCTCATCAGACTGGTTGTTCGGGATCTTGATGACATATCCAACTCCCTCCCATTTCGGGCGCAATTCACCGGTGTACTTGAGGCGCATTTCATCTCCGACTGCCAACTTCACATCACCGAGTTCAAGCTTAGGCAGGATGAAGCTAGCCAGGTGTTTGTTGTTGAGACCAAGATCCCAGCGAACAATCAACCCATCCTGTGACTGGGACTCCTTCAATTTGCGGTCGTAGTCGGCTTCGATCTTAACCAGCGGCCCAAAGATGTTCTGATATTGGAAAGCGTCATCGTAGCGAAGAAGAACGGGGGCCGGCTCATCATCGACAGCGGTAGCCTTCTCCAGATCCGAGAAGGTCGCCTGAGAGTTCTCTTTCCACATTTCTTCCAGCTTGGCAATCAATTGCGGGCTGAGATGGCGAGCTCTGAGCTGTTCCTGGTCGGTCGGAGCAGCAACAAGCCACGGCAGGAACGAACGGTCTTCAATCAACGGTTGCCAGCGCGAGGTGTCCCAGTTCATATCCTTGGAAGACGGCATAGCGGCACAGGGTTGACGACATAGCAGGACGACAACGGTATCGGATTTGGCCGGAATGAATCCCAGGAGGAAGACATTCTTAGTTCCGCAATTGTAACATTCCAAGATCGTATCGCCCAACGACGAACCGGGGTGCAATTGGACTTCCTTGTGGCGAGCCCGAACGAGATGGTTGACGATGTGGGAGGAGGATGTGTTGCCACGAGCGCTGCAAAACCATTTGCTGCATGCCAGACACTTGACAACACTGCTCGCGTTATGGATGCCGCAATACCTATGGGGAAACCGTGTCAGCAGGGAGATAGAACAAGTAACCCGACGAGGAACTCACGCGCAAGCATGGGCCGGAAGTTCCTTTTCCTCTTCCAGATGCCCCTGGTGATTCTTGCTCTCGGCGATTTGGTTGCTGGTGGTGCTCTCTACATCGTCATTGTCGGAAGCTTCATCGTCATCATCATGTCTCCGCGGACGGAAGTGGATAGACTCGTCCATCTCCACCGCAACCCTATCATCACCTGGTGCTGCCATAGTGCTCTAGAGTCCGAAGCCGAATGTCGAGTCCCGAAAGAGTGCTTTGTCAACGGTAAAACCGGAGGAGCGAAAGTAGTGGAAGCGAAAGACGCTCAGTTCAGTGAAGATAAAGCGGTCATACACGATTCCGATGTGTCACGCGAGATATTGCTGCGGAAGAATAAAAAGAGCGTGGCGGACAGATCGATCGTCCCTGTCCGATTCGAAAACGCAGGAGACGTTGTGTCCTTGCCTGGGAGGGGGGGCGAGCAATCAGTGTGCCACAGCAGAGGGGCAAAGTGTATGTGAAATGAGCCTAAGGTCCAGTGTGAGCAGGAGCAGGGTGGGATGCAGGTGGTTGGGCTTCCCAACAAACAGAGAATAGGGAATCTCTCGCGTACCTTCGCGACCACTGAAACCTGCCGCCAGGACTGGAAAGCTGGAGGCAAGTTTGTCGGAGAGGTGGAAGAGGATCGGATTTGCGATCGGCTCAGGCAAGGAAGGCATCGGCGTCGTTGCCGCCAAATCCCACACACTCCGGTCGCCAGGGCGGACCACGCCGGCAGTTCGCCGGGAAAAAAAAAGTTGCCCGCCTTTTGCGTTCCAGACCTCCAGTTCCTCCCCTCTCCGTCACAATCTATACAACAATGCTGGTACGTTTGCGCTCCTTTTATCGCCGGGTTTCCCTCGTAAGGATGAGGAGAACCGCCTTACTGACTGCTCCTCCCAGCGCCGTCAAGCCCGTGAGCGTCGAGACTATCTCTACCGGAGAGCTCTGACTCTCCGCGATGCCTCCATCGCCGAAAAGAGAGCCCAGCTAAAGGCATCGCTGGCCTCCGGAAAACCCCTCGACTCCTCCGTTGCGGACGATAAAGGACTCCGCGAGGACTTCAAATACGACGAATCTCTCCCTGCAGCCGATAAGAAAGACGGCGACGCCGTCGACCTCGACGACGAATATGCCCTCACGTCCGGCATTGCCGATCCTCGTCCCATCGTCACAACATCGCGCTCCCCTTCGGTCCGCCTGGGCACCTTCGCGAAAGAAGTCCGGCTCCTTTTCCCTACGTCGATACGCTTGAACCGTGGTAATCTGGTTATCCCGGATCTGGTTGCAAGCGCAAACGCCGCGGCACTGTCCGACATGATTGTCCTGCACGAACACCGTGGCACACCTACTGCCATGACGATCTCCCATCTTCCTCACGGCCCGACCGTCAGCTTCTCCCTGCACAACGTTGTTCTCCGCGCCGATATCCCCGATGCTGCCCGCGGAACCGTCTCCGAGAGCTACCCCCACCTCATCTTCGAGGGATTCAAGTCCAAGTTGGGTCTTCGTGTGGTTCAGATCTTGAAGCATCTGTTCCCCCCGCGCGAGGAAGGCAAGCTTGGCAACCGTGTCGTCAGCTTCGTCAACAAGGAGGACAGCATCGAGGTGCGCCACCACGTGTTCGTCAAGACCGGCTACCGGGACGTGGAGCTGGCAGAAGTTGGTCCTCGCATGTCGATGAGGCCATTCGAGATTCGCGGAGGTACTTTGGAGAAGGGCTCGAGCGGTGATGTTGAATGGGCTCTTACCCAATACACGAGGACCAGCAAGAAGAAGGATTACCTGTAAGCGCGTGTTTGTCTCGAGGACATACATGGCTTTCGGGAGGTAGTAGTGTACAATTTCTTACGAGGGCAAAAGAAAAGTCTGATTTGGCGCATGAGGTGTTAAGGAAGGAGCTCGCAGGGCGGCATTTCGCATTTGGCATATTTGATCGCTTTTGTATACCCATCTGAAAGAAAATCTTATATCCAATTTCTGCTACTGCTGTACCTGTATTGTATGGGAAATCGGTTTTCCCGATAACAAGAACCCAAGGTAACAAAAGGTCCAAGTCCTGCACAAGTCTGGCCGTATAACTATCAGGTTGTCAAATCACAATCCTCCCCCTGCAACCCGCCGTGTTCAACCGATCCCTCGGCCTCGTCCTCGTCCTTCTCGTCTTGCTCCTGCTCAACCTTCACGTCCTGCAAATCCGGAGGCTGATCAGACGTACGTGTCTCGTTCGCCACGGTATTATTTTCATCGTGCTCCTTCTTGGCCTCCGCCTCCTGTAAATCCAGAGGCAGGTCAGCCGTAGGCCGATCCAGTGTCTCAGCCACCACAGTATTGTCATGTTCTCCAGAAGGACCATCATCAACCTCCACAGTCATCTCAACCACCTCCGCACGAAGGAAACTCGATATCGACCCTTCTCGGTTTTCGTAATAAAACCAACCCTCATGAGGAGGCAACATGTTCCCCTGCGCATCTCTTTTACAGGGGGGTAAGATCCCGTCCAGTCTATTTTCCCACTCCATGCCCGTCTTGTCGTGGAACAACGTCTTGAATGCTTTCACGGCGGTATCCCGGTCTGCCCTCATTGGAGTCAGGAGCTCGCTCTGTTGTTTGCCGATGCGGCTGTACTCGATATGTGTGGCGTAGACGAGCGGTTCTTTGTTTGATTCGTAGATCTGGGTGTATCGATTTCTTCTTAGTATCTTTAATGGACAGTGATGCAACTGGCTGGGGGACCAGGAAGATGGACGGACGGCTTCGGTTATCTCCAGATGGAGGATGGGTGGTACACCAAGTCTATAGATATCAAAAGGGAACAATCAACAAAACTCACCCTAATAACATATTTCTCTCTTGCACTCCTCGAGACCGTCAACCGCACAAGCGTCGCATCGTACGTCACCCTGGCTTCCCGGTCCACGTAGAGATGGTACCTTGCTACTATATGTATAGTTCACGGACCGTATCAGCACTGCAAATAAACACTCCTGAAACCCATGCAAGAACTGGACATACAAGCAGCACTCCCCGCCTTCACTCCCTTCTTTTTCTTACGGAACGGGTCCTCGGGCTTCGGATTTACTGAAACATCATCATCAGCCATGAGCCCAATGGCAAGTGTATAACGGAGACCGGGAAAAGAAAGAAAGCTCCCCCTCACCTGCGCGTTTCTTCTGAGACCGTGCATCTTCCGACCTGTGATCCTCCTTCTTGCCACTTCTTTCTCTCTTCCCCTTCTTCTTCTCGTTAGCTTTCTTCTCAGCCATGAGGATATTTTCAAGAAGATACTCCGTCTCCCGCTTGGGTCTTCGATTCTTAGACTGGAGGGAGTCCTCCAGCCAATCGAAGGAGACGATCTTGATGGACTTCACACGCTTGGCCTTGCGCACTATTGTAAACTATCAGACAGACGCCATTCTCAAGCGAACCATGTAAGATGCAGATGCGGGCGGGGTATGCGTACCTATCTCAATGTCATTCTTATAGGCCTCTTTACTCACGATCAGGTGCGTGATTTCGTCGCCGATATCCTTCGAGTAGTGTCCTCCATTGGCCCGGATCCATTGGGGGATCTTGTCGGCGTTCACGTCAAACTTCCCCGCCGAGCAGGCGTGGATGTTCTTGAATGTTTTGCCCATTGTTTGTGTGAGGGGGACGTCGGATCTGAGCCTGGGGTCGGATTCTGTGATAGATTGGCTGTGTGCCAACGGGGCAAAGGTCTTGAGATACAGGATATAGTCGAGTAAGAGGGGGCAGGGGAGGCGTGATTATATAAAGAGGTAAATGATAAAAATATTCCGGGGAGTTGGGAAGGTTCTACAAATAAAGGACCAACCAATTAGCCAGTGAAAGGCAGTTAAGCGGTAGTGAAGCAAGCGTGAACCCGGAGGCAGAGATATCTGAATTATCTTCAAGTAAGAGCTGCACCGGCCCTAACAGGTATGGATAGTAGGTAAATCAATCCCAGAGTGGGAGATCACAAGAAAGCTTACAAAAAATCGACCAACTAATTTGTCCGAAAGCATTTCGTGTCCGAAAAGAAAGAAAAATTAGATGACTTAGAGCTACAGACCCCTCACAGCCCGTACAAAGGCAGCGATCTTGGAGAGGTCCTGAGAGCCATCTGACTCTACACCAGAACTGACATCCACACCGACCACCTTGCGGCCAGACTCGCCTAGTTGTTGGATGATTTTGACGACATTGGTAGGGTCTAATCCACCAGCCAGAATGACTCGTAGACCACTGTCCTTATCAAGGACCTTTTGGACGCGCGATTGATCCAGCAACTCGCCAGTTCCCCCCACTCCAGAATCCAACAATGGCAAAGTGTGATAAGCTCTGCGAGCGATCGCGGGCTCATCGAGCGAGAATTTGCGAATGACAGGGACTGGGATCAACTTGGCCCACTCTAGCGGCTCAGACCCGTGCAATTGCACAACGTCAAGCCCCAACTTCTGTTGTTGAGTCAGGACGTACTCTAGAGGCTGGTTCTGGAAAACGCCAACGAGCAGCGCCCGGGTGGGGTGGCGTAGGACCTGGGCTGAGTGATCGAAGTACTCAAGAGATGCGGCACTCGGTGTCGCTTGAGACGTGGCAGGAGCCTGGCTAGCAGGCTTCGGCGTAGATTTGACTACTTCAGAAATCTGTAGTGCAACGTCATCGGGGACGCATCGCGTCCGTCCCTGAACTAGGATGATGCCAATCAAGTCTGCGCCAGAATCGATTGCGACTCGAGCTGCTTCCTTAGACCGGGTACCGCAGATCTTAACCAACGGCGAGCTTGGCAAGCTTTTGGGAGTGTTCTGTTTGGAACCCCCGAGGAGTTCTGCAACAAACGCCGAGGTGTCTGCTGCCCTCATAAGGGCCTCGCCAACGAGAATAGCCTTGACGCCCTCGCTCTTATAGGCCTCCACATCCTTGGGCCCAGAAATTCCACTGAGGGCGCACACAATGGTGCTCTCGGGGACTTGATCCATGAGCCGGCTCGTGGTACCGAGATCAACCTCGAAACTGGTCAAGTCTCTATTATTGACACCAATCACTTCGGCCCCAAGGTCCACCGCAATCTTCATTTCTTCAGGAGTGTTGACCTCGACCAGCGGCTCCATACCGAGGGTGCGAGAGTAGTGGTATAGCCGAGTGAGAAGCTCAATGCTAAGCATCTTCACAATGAGCAATACCGTATCAGCGCCAGCCAAGCGAGCTTCCAGGATCTGGTATTCGTCGAAGACGAACTCCTTTCGCAGAAGGGCAGGTCTGTTCGTCATTCCCTCTAGGCTTTGGCGAACGGCACGCAAGTCGTCGATGCTACCTTTGAACCATTCGGGCTCCGTGAGAACGGAGATGACACTGGCTCCAGCCTTTGCATACTGCCTAGCCTGCGCGGGAGCACATGCGTTCTCGGCAATCATACCCTTGGAGGGGGAAGCCCGCTTGATTTCTGCCATGAGGGACAATGGATAAGGTGATTGCCTCAGACGAGCGGGGAATGAAACCTGGGGAGGTGCCAGGTTCAGGTCGTAAGCAGCCTGGAGGTCAGCCGGTCGCTGCGAGGGAATGGTCTTCTGTATGGCAACAGCAGCTCTCCGATGATCGTAGATCTTGTCCAGGATGGACTGCTTTTTGTCCTTCTTCGGCGCATTGGTCGAGGGGGCTGCGTCGTCCGCGCTAGTCTGCCGGTCGAAATGCTTCCCATTTCCTTCCCAGGTGCCCGCCGTAAGCTTGAGGAAGTTCCTGAACATCATCCGTCCGTGTTCAGTAAGGATACTCTCCGGGTGGAACTGAACTCCCTCCACAGCCAACGTCTTGTGCCTCACGCCCATGATGACACTCTTGGTAGGGTCGTCTGCCAATTGCGCAGAAGACGACACTTCCAGGCAGTGCGGAATGGTCGAATGGGTACCAGCGAGGGAATGGTAGCGAGTGACGGCGAGCGCCCGAGGCAGTCCTTCGTAAGCTCCCTTGCCATCATGTGTCAACGCGGATGTCTTGCCGTGCAGGATTTCGCCCGTGACATCCACCTTTCCTCCGAAACTAGTAATGATACATTGCTGACCCATGCACACTCCGAAGACCGGGATCTTGCCGCTGAAATGTTGGATTGCCGCAGTGCTGATGCCAGCGTCGGTTTCGGGGTGGCCAGGGCCGGGACTGATGACCAGTTGAGTCGGGTTTTTGGCGATCAGTTCCTCCAGCGAGACCTGGTCATTGCGGATGACATTGACGGTGGCACCCTCGAGAACCAGATACTGATAGACGTTCCAGGTGAAGGAGTCGTAGTTATCGATCAGGATGACATTGGATGCGCTGCTGAGCTTCTCGGCGGTGGCGGGATGGTGGGGGGAGTGGTCGACAAGATCGGAGCCCGCCATGACTAGAGACTGCGTAGGACTGAGGATGGGAAGACGAAGGGTTAGTTAGATTCGAGATGGAGAGGGGAGGTTGGGGAAGGGAAGGGAAGGGGTAAAAGGCCAGGGCACTTCACTCACCTCCGGAGCAAAGAATCCAGTGTAACGGTTGAACTGACAGACAACGTGCCGGCGGAGGAAGACTGAGTCAAGCAGGGTATCAACCGTCCAGGCAAGAGCGATCCGCGCGGTGGATCGGGCACCTTCCCGATCGGGCTTGCCAGACAAACCGTGCAAAGTTTCGTTCACCGCCCGGGGCTAAACCCAGATAGGCAGTCATTGTTGACCTTCCGCCAAACCAGACAAACCGCTCCTTGAATAATATTCTTGGAGCTCTCACTCTCATTCTACCTTCACTCCTCGGTGCTACTCCTCACTTGGTCCTTCTCGGACAACACACAACAACCCCCTATCTACCGGTTCATCTAGAATGATATAGCTGTTCCGCCAATGGCTCCCGTCCCGGAAGCCTATTTCCCGTCCCTGGACAAGTGCTTCTCCGGGGACGTTCAGCTTCTGTATGCGCAGTCGATCCTGCAATTGGGGAACCCCCGCTAATCATCCATCCACGTCCAGGTCCTGGAGGAGAGCCTTCCTTCACACATGCAATTTCGATAGCGGTGTCGACGATGCCGAAACCCTCCTTGCCTTCCTCTCCCACTCCGACAGCGCCCATGTCCTTTCGAATGCCCTAACCACTTTCACTTTCCCTTCCGCCTCGGCGAAATCGAAATCGGACCTGGAATCGAAGACGGCCGCAATCCACGTGGAGACAACTGCCCAGGCATCGTACGACCTGAAGGAAATCAAAGCGGATGCTCTCTGGCTGAGCGATAAAGCGGGCATCGATGAAATAAGCGCACTGAGATTGACGGTTTTGGAATGGCAGAACCGACCCGCCACGCGCCTTCTGACTCGATTCGCCGACGAGGAGACGACTAGCCTGCAGAATGCGGCTGGAGGGGACAACCTCCGCGTATCCCTCGCTGGGTCTAGCTTCGCCGAAATCTTCAACCAGAAAGCTGCCCGTGGGGACAATGCCTCAGACTTTGTTTCCGAGAAAAATCGGCGCCTGCGCCTGCGCAGCTTGTACTTGTCAGAGCGAAGCCACATAGTCAAGCTAGCGCGCAAGCTACTAGGGATATATCTCAGCCACACTCACGATTCCGTTGCTCCCCAGCAGCCTTCTGAACGCCATATTCAATTGTTGAAATTGGGTGCCTCGATATTTGAAGGAAAGTCAAAGGGTGAGGCTTGGGCCAAGTTCAACCAAGGCTGCATAGAAGCCATACGGAGTCGACTGTCTTCACTGGAGGGTGACGGCGGCTGGCTAGGCGTGGCTGAGAGTACCCAGGAAGTGGAAGACCTACGAGCGACAACTGCCGTCGAGGAGATAGTGCACATATTACAAATATTGTTCCTACAGCTGCAAGCATCTCCAGAGGTCCCCTCTGCGGACCTACTGCTTTCTTGGCTCCGTCTGATGGTGGACTACAGCTTTCTGGAGCCGCTCCGAGTTGTGAGTAGTGCCTTGCCTGCCTGTCGCGTGAGAATTTCACTAACTTTGAGAAGCCTTGTCAGGATCCCATGGAGCTATTGCTGTCTTTGCAGGGCTTCGTATCTCTAACTACTCTTTCGTTCATGAAGCTACCGCTGTCAGTTCCCTCTATAATTAAAAACACTTCGAGGACCAGCCCGGCATCCAAGACACCCTACTTTCTTAGCAGAGAGGAGATAGGACAAATAAACGAGATCTTCATGACAGCCGGCGTAGAAGCCAAAACCGCAAACCCGGCTGCGTTTTGTTGGGGCATGATCTTGCATACTATGAGGGAACTTGCGCTCAACGACAAGGAAACCCGCGAGCTAGAGCAGTTTCACAGTGCAGTCGACTCTTTCCAGTCCAACACGCCCACCAATACCTCGCGAGCTTCGGAACTCTCCCTTTACGAGGAGTTGCTTGAAAGCGCACGCACTCCATTTGGAACGGCAGATGAGGCCATTACCTTCCTGACTTCGGACGGAATGAGGGATGTCGTTTTTGACACCATCCTTGCTCTGGCTACAAAGATTGGGGCTACTTCCGCGGTTGATGACCTCTTGACAAGCCGTTGGGTCCGAGTGGTATTACTTGATTTTATTAGAATCGCTTTGGTGTACTTGGACTACTCCCCGGAGATCGTCGAGTCTGTCTTAGCAATCCTCCATGGACCACCAGCGGAGTCTCAATGGGTTGCTGGGGGTTTACCAACCTCTTCTGGTGACCCGCGGTCAACTTTTGTGAAGGAGGATGCCCTGATGGACAATATCTTCCGGATAGCGCGATCTCGGTTTCCCTACGAGACCGTGCCCTTCTTGAAGCTGTGCCGCGCCTTGGTTAGCAAAGATCTTGTCAACGAGGAAGGCCTCCCGGACGTACTCGCCGAGTTAGAGAACATGGAATCGTTTACGCAGGTCGTACCGTCCGGGTTCCAAGGCTACGAGACAGTTCGAGAAGACGAGAATGCGAACTTTGTCACACTTGTTCAGTCACTGCCTATGGTGGGTGCATCTCCTCGAAGACAGATTACCGATCGGGAGATCAGCAATGCTCTGGTCGTGACTGGCTCGTCACAGATACCGTCCTCAGCGGTCGGCCAAATCGTATCCGAGTCAAGGCCTGCAGTGATCATGTGGCATCATCGGTATTCGTGTTTGAGCTACCTCGGAAGTTGGCTGGAGGAATGGAATGAGAACGGAGGTTACTCGGCAGGCTATGGAGAAGACTCTGTTGCGGATTCCATCGGGCTACTGGCGGACCTTCTCGTCGCGGCCAAAGAATCATCACAATCGCAAGATGGCGACGGCTCCAACGCCAAGAGAATTCTCGAGCTCGCAAGCGACGGGCTGTCCCGGCAAGGAGACATTATCTCGTTGGTGTTCGAGATCTTTGAACGCAATCTCCCCAATGTTGGGCCCAGAGCCGGTTCCGAAACAGTCCTGGAGACTACAGTTGCCTGTCTGCGCTTTATCTGCGTTCTCCTCGATGTTCTCCCTGGCAGAGTGTGGCCGTTGCTTTCCCGCAGTGCCTTGTTGGGATCCGATGGCAAGGGCGGCATCATGACGGCCATTGTCTCTGCTGCGGAAGTGACCTCGGGAGACTATCCATTCCTGCTGGGCTGTGTCCGCTTGTTCAAGGCGGTTGTTGATGATGTCGCTTCCCGCGCGGTGTTGAGACGGAGCCCCAACGGCTTGAATGGAAAGATGACCCTCGCCTCCGACTGGACCGCTGGTCTTCCCTCGCACATGATGCGAGGAACTGTGCTCAACTTCGTCCGCATCATGGTCGAGGTGTACAACAGCAATGGCAATTGGCGATTCAATGCACCGGAACAGAGGTTCGAGATCAATACCACACTTGCAACCGCGTTCGAGAGAATCCTTTACTACACTTACGGCACGAATGAAATCGCCAAGCTTGATACAAAAGTCACTGGGGTCTTCTCTACGTCGGCAACCTATCTGCTAGACGTCTTGCGGCCTCATTCAGCAGCCGATTTGCCTTTCAACTCCATCCTTCGCCATATCGTTGAAGGCCTCCAAACCCCCTCGACTCTCTTCCTCCGCCACCTGCTCCTGGTGCAAAAGCAGGTGCTCGCAACATTAGAGCTCTCGATTCGGCTGCTGCAGTCGGCACAGCTCTTAGAGCAGCCGTTCTCGCTACTAGAAGATCAACTTTTCAAGGCCGCCCCCGCTCTCGTCAAGTTGTATGCACTGGATGATGCCTATCGACTTCCTGTCGTTACGATGCTCAACGTCCTGATTTCAGGCGCGGCCCTGGACCCGACCAATGAGCCGCCATCCTTGGTCGGTCATCTGGGCGCGGAATCGGCTTGTCTCTTCCTCGATGTTCTGTCGCAATTTGACAAACCGCTCAACAATCCCAGTCTACGCTTGGCAGTCTGGAGCCTGCTGTCGACCTTTGTTAGCAAGCGCCAGCAGTGGCTGGCGGTCTACATCCTCACAGGCACATCGCCTCGCAACTCGTTGAAGAAAACCAGCAAGGAGAAGGACATCGCGATGAGGGGTACCCCCTTCTTGAAGATCGCCCTCGATATGCTTTCACATATCGAGCAGCTCGACCTTCGAGTGGCAGTGTCGTTGCTAGAATTCGTTTCCCATGCACAGGAGAACTGGCCCTGGGCAACCCCCGAATTGAAGAAGCATCCGCATTTCTTCACCAGCATCGTGAACTACGTCTCCAAGCTAAAGATATCGTCTCTGTCCGTGGCCGACCAGATCTTTGCTACCCGAGTTGCGGCGGTTGTGGCGGACCTTTGCGCCGTCTATCTACACTCGGCAAAGGAAATGCAGGACAAGGGATTCTACAAAACGCTGATTCCCCTGGTGTCTTGGTTTGCCAAAGACGCTGTAGAAGTGTCGGGATACAATGCCTCCCTCCATGCTAACCTCAAGAAGAACTTCGAGATGAGGTACCCTGGGTGCAAGCTCGTCGACTTCAAACGAACCTCTTTGCAGCCCCGTGATCTAGGCAGTGAATATTACTATGATATTCATCTAGGCAAGCAGCTCCTGTCCTACGACTTTGCCTGGATCGGAAGCCGGAAACAAGGGTTTTCCGAAGAATTCCAACGGGCCAACCTCAATTTGTCCCTGGTCGAGGCACAAGTGGTATGTAACACATGAACCCCAAATGCCGAAGGTGTCTAATCTTGGTTCCTTTCTACAGAGTCTTCTTCATAGTTGGAAGTTTTTCGCCATCGAGCATTGCGCGGACTTCATGACGGACCGCGAGGTTCAAAAGTCGATGGCCATGGTCGTGCAGAGCTGCTTAGAATCCAACACCAGGGGTGTGCCGCAGGAAGCCATCTTTGAGAGAATACAGCAAACCCGGGTGGAGTTTGCCCAAGCTCTGCTCCAACGACTTGTCGGGGTGGGAGCAAGGGGTGCCGAATTCTTTGGCCTTCTCAACGTCGTATGGGATTCCATACGCAGCCGGCGGGCCACGTACGAAGAAGCCTTGATCAATGACGACACAGAGTACTACCGATCTCTGCTGAACGTGCTCTTCCTCGCTCTTCAATTCCACCTTGATTCGCCTTCTCGCGCTGCGCCTGAGACTCTCAGTAAGAAAGCTGAGGTGTCATCCGACCTGGGGATCGTCGTGGAGATTGTGAAGGTCGTCGTGGCACAGGGGTTCAAATCTTTGACCACGTACCTCCACGATCAACCCGACATGTGCACCCCGAAGGACTTCGCTATCCTCACAGCCATTCTGCAGAGCTCGTTACAAGTGAAGAACATCGACCGCTTGTTTGAGCACATCGTCTACCACATTGCCGACAACGACACCGCAAGACTGGCGACCTCGCTATTCTCATGGGCCGACCAGCTCGCTGTGGGAGGTGACCCCGTATACGGCGATCTTAGCATGTCTCTTCTGGTCAAGATGTCCACCATCCCTATGCTTGCGGAACACCTTGCCGTGGAGGTGGTTCTGGTCCGGCTCTCCACCTGCCGCCTGACGAACATCCTGCGTGACCCCAAGGGATTCGGTCCATTTGACCCTGTGCCGCGGCTGTATTCCATCTGGACTGTGGGCATCCTGCCTCTGTGCCTCAACCTCCTCTACCACGTCGTGCGCACTGCACCAGAGGTGGCCGCCTTCCTGAACCAATTTGAGGGCCAGCTCCAACGGTCAGTCGGCTCCTTCGCTGCGGGCCGCACGGCCACCGCGACCCGCCGGATTAGTCTCAGCATGGCTTCCGAGGCCTACTCGCTCTCGCTGATTTCCTACATCCTGGCTCGGTTCCGCGAAGCTGGCCCCAGTATTGGGGTCGATGTGCAGTCAATCCAGGAGCTCAAGTGGGACAAGGCCCAGGTCAAGGAAGACATCGAAGAACTCCTGGAACGGAAGCAGAACCTGCGGGCGCGGATTGTTGCCACGAGCGAAAAGGAGCTGGAGATGGCGCGACAGAAGCCGACGAATCCGGCGTCAGGGGCCCAGAGCCGACTGGAGGAGAAGATTGTGAGTGAGCTGAAGGCCACACTGGTGTGCATTGGGGGCGACGAGGCATAATGATGATGAAGGTGGTGTTTTTGTCTATAGCTTGTTTGTTTCAGGGATCTTGCTCATTTCATTTCCCACGATTTACTTGGTCAATGACTTAGGGGCACTTTTTTTTTTTTTTTTTTGCATTTCTCTCATCTGTCTATTCCACCCAGCAGAATAGATATAGCATGCAGGTTTGAGGGGTGTAGATTCGGTACGGAGCAGTGACTTAGAATCGCTCAGATCATATCGCGTCGTCCTACCTGGGTACATAGTACTATGCAAGTGATTACCTCCGCATCTATCCAAAAGTAGACTCACTACGGTAGGGAAATGCACAGCATTGTGCATACAGATACTCCGTATCCGTGAACACAATACATATCTCCCTGACATGACATGTCTCCCTGCATAAGCCCGTTTACATCATCACTCATTAAATATCCGATCCATCCGATTCACTCACAGCCCCCGACCCAATGCCCCAAACCAACCAACCATCCTTCCTTCCTTCCATCTTCCACATCGTACATACCTAGTAGATAGGGCATGACCCAGACCCAGAACCAGTAACACCTCGGGCCGATCCCCCAGCCAAACTAAGGATAGCCGAATAACCGATCGCCATCGCTTCCAAATGCGGGGAGAGCTATCCGAGCTATCCAATCCTTTCTTTCTTTCTTCACCTTTGTTGCTAGTCGCGTGTAACGTACAGGACATGGTGATAGGACTCAGCTACCCAACAAATAACAATTAATACTTACCTTACCGTAAGTAGGTAGAATAATGCGATCCCGTTCTCTCAAACCCCCTCCTCCCTTTTTTTGGGGCCATATTCTCTCTCCTACCGAGTGGGGAGTGGGGGGATGGACAGATACCTGCCTAAAGAGGTAATAATGCATCCTGTGGATTGTGAGGTCATTTTTCTGCACGCGTTTCGGTCCTTGCGTTGTTTAACTCAATAACAATCTTCCTGCTTTTTTTTTTTTTGTCCTCCTTCTTTACTGCACTTTTTCTGTTTCTTGTCTTGTTTCCTGCTCGCTTGATTCGCTGCCTGTAAGTGAACACCACAAGTAACGTGTCTTTTTTTCTTCGCAATCCTACGGGCTGGCTGCTACAGCGGGGTTACCTGAGTAGAGAAATAAGGTTGCTGTTTGCTGTTGCTGTTATATAAGCCTGCCTCAGGCTTTCTTCTCTCTTTGTTTCTTCCCACCTTGTGTTACCTGCCTGACTTGGCTTTCCGTTGACCGACTACCTACATTTACTACTTACTACCGTTGTTCACCTATCCGCTTACACTCCCAGTAGTACTAGGTACCTTAGTTCAAGTCCAGTACGACCACAACGACGTCAGCAACATGCCGTTCAAGTCACGCTGGCAGATCGATATCCCCAATGCGCATCTCGCGTCCGTCCTGCTCACCTCGCCGACGCATCCTCTCTCCAAGACACATCGGTGTTTCTCAGACGCAGACCGTCCGGATACGCATTACTTCACCCCGCATGACTTCCGCCTCTGGAGTCAACGATTCGCGGCCGGACTGCGCAGGAGTGGACTGCAGCCCGGGGATCGCGTGCTGCTGTTCTCGGGGAACGACCTGTTTTTCCCGGTTGTGTTTCTCGGGGTCGTGATGGCGGGGGGTATCTTCTCTGGGGCAAATCCTACCTACGTCGCCCGGGAACTGGCGTTTCAGTTGCAGGATTCCGGGGCCAAGTATCTGATCTGCGCGGAGGGGAGTCTGGAAACGGGGATTAAGGCCGCCCGGCTGGCGGGGGTGAATCGGGACCGGGTGTTTGCCTTCAGCAATGCCGTTTTTGAGGGCCGGGGGCGAGGCGTGAAGGGCTGTCGCTACTGGGGGGAGCTGATCGCGTCTGTCGATGAGGGCAGTCGGTTTGTGTGGGATGAGTTGTCGACTCCCGACCTGGCCGATCAGACGCTCGCCTTGAACTATTCCAGTGGCACGACCGGGAAGCCCAAGGGGGTGGAGATCACGCACAAGAACTATGTGGCCAACATGCTGCAGTTCAACGCGCTCTTTTATTTGAACCCCGACTGGAAGGAAAAGCAGGCGCGCGCACGCTGGCTCTGCTTCCTTCCAATGTACCATGCCATGGCCCAGAACATCTTCATCGCGGCGGCGCTAAGTCGCGGAGTGCCCGTATACATCATGCCCAAGTTCGACTTCTTGAAAGTGCTCGAATACACGGGGAAGTTCCGCATTACTGATCTCATCGTGGTCCCGCCCGTCGTGGTGGCATTGGCCAAGCACCCTGCGGTCAGGAGCGGCAAGTATGACCTGAGTAGCGTGGAGACCGTGTCCAGCGGTGCGGCACCTCTGGGGAGAGAGGTCTGCGAGGAAGTCGAGGCGCTGTGGGAACCAGGACGTATCAATATCAAGCAAGGATGGGGCATGACTGAGTACGTAATACTCTTTTCGCTGGCTAGACGATTGATCTGGGTGGTGGCAAAGAGCCATTGCTAACAGTCCTTTTTTGTCTCCGCAGGACTACGTGCTCCATTCTGGGCTGGAGTCCCATTGAGAACTCTTACTCGGCATCGGTTGGAGAGCTAAATCCCAACTGTGAGGCGAAAATCATGGCCGACGATGGCGTGGCGGAATTGGGACGCAACCAGCGCGGCGAACTTTGGGTTCGCAGCCAGAACATCATGAAGGGCTACTGGAAGAACCCACGAGCAACGAAAGAGACGAAGACCGAGGATGGATGGCTTAAATCGGGGGACATCGCCTATGTCGACAACGACGGCAAATTCCACGTAGTTGACCGAAAGAAGGTACGTTAGGAGGCGAAGAACCTTTCTCGCCACCAGATATGAGCGCCGACGTTGCCTCTGTACTGCAGAATGCTGACTGGACTCTTTGCGCTAGGAGTTAATCAAAGTGAAAGGCAACCAGGTTGCGCCAGCCGAGCTAGAAGCTCTTCTGCTGGAGCATCCCGCCGTGGCCGATGTTGCAGTAATTGGCGTTCCAAAGTGAGTTATTGGTGGCGGCCCAGAGACTATAAAGGCACAAGAAAGGGCTAATGCGACTGCTGGCGAATAGGAATAACGATGAGTGCCCTCGGGCATACGTCGTACTAAAGTCGGGGCAAAACGCCACTGAGCAGGACATTATGGCATTCATGAATGGGAAGGTCTCCGCGATCAAAAGGATTACCGGAGGGGTAATCTTTATCGACGCGGTTCCCAAGAACCCCTCGGGAAAGATCTTGCGAAAGACACTGCGCGAACAGGCCAAGGAAGAGATGCGGAAGGATACCATCACCGCTAGACTGTAGACAGCTCTCAGCCATTCATTCTCATTGTATGATCATTATCTTCCGCCTTTTGGGTTTCCGCAACCCCGTGCGTCCGTAGATTCCCCATAGATGGGTGCCAAGTAGGTTTTCCCAGTCCGGATATTGCTAGCGGTGGGGTGCAGTACGGAGTATTATTTGAAATTGATCTGGAGATTTGATAGATCGACGGCATGCGTTGGGGATGACCCGGTAGCTGGGTCGTATCGAGAGTGTTTGGGGGTGATGAATCGCGATCCTGTACCGTACGTACCCTGGTAGATCCTTCAGGACAATGCAGATGGTGATGGTTAGATATCACTGGATATAGCTTCCGGGCCAAAAACGCCGCCCTAGCATCAAGACAGCAAGCAGCCCGACCGACCGACAGCAGGGCCCCAGGGCGAATCGGCGCCACATTGATCGCCGAGACACCGCCACAATGGGGCACCGCCGCCAGATCTCGTCCCTCAGTCCGCCGTCGCTGCTGTGCTGTGCCGCATCAACAGCTGGGGCCCAAAGTGGCCGCCTGCCTGTGCGTGTCAGATCATGAGATGTCGATTAAGTAGTATAGTATGGCTGGGGCAGGGGCAAAGGTGTCCACTCGTGCCTGCAATGGCGAGCTGATGGTGAGGTTCTCGATTCCTCCCCTCCCCCCACCCCACCGGGTCGGGGATGGGTGACTGACCCGATGAGATGAGATGACAGGATCTGCGGCAACAAGTCGATCAATCTGACGGCGCAGCTGAGGGTAGAAGATCGTGTGATAGGCGAATCATGGAAGGCAATGGAGAGCGAGGGAGGAGAGAACGAGAAGGGAGAAAGAAGATGTGAAGCAACTCCTACTGGAGTTGGAGAGAAGCAACGACAAGATCACGAGGCCGGTAACTTACGGGGGACCCGTACAATACGAGACACCTGACAGGGGGTGTCCCTAAGCCTACTACCACCTAAAGGTACCTTAAGGGCCTCTAAGTCCTGAGCACTAAAGCCCGTCCACAATCCATCATTCTCAGCTTTACTGTGCGATGCCTCCAAGACTAGATATCTACTAGGTATGGAGTGCGAGACTACTCACTACAGTACCTGGATAGATGTTCGAGCCGCATCCGGCCCAGCTAGTCTTATACTGGATATAGTGATGCTCACGCCTAATGGGTCGCTCTCGCTAACCCTCCCTAAAGCGACTAGCGGGCCCATTTGCCCTCGTCCTCCAGGTGGTCTAGCCGATGGCACTGGATGGTGGCGCTCCCTCTGGCCAGCTGAACCTGCCTTGCATCAAGACGTTCTATCCCGGAATCTGTAACCCCCCCCCGTCCTATGATGGGGATGCATTTGCGGTTGGAGGGCTATTCCCGTGGGTTCTACTCATTGCATAAGCTCTCGTGGCTGATCATGGCAGAGCTGGACCTGGAGGGGCGCCCCCCCCCCTCTTCCTCTACTATAGACTAGATCGATCCAACAAGTGAGCTTCAAAACATGCTTCGATCCCGTTGTACAGGCGTAGATGTCCCTGCATTGTGGAGTCTCTTCATTTCCTCCCCCTTGGTATCTTATTATTATTATTCTCAGGCTATGGGATTTCCCTCACCGGGTCGCTCTGAGACCGCCGCCTTTTTTTTTTTTTTTCTTCTTTTGATTGATTGCTGGATGCGTGTTGGTTGCGCCATGGTCTGGTCGAAGTTATAAGTATCAGCAGACATCATCTACTCAGCGTTGATCGTGTTCGTAACCAGTTCGCGCTCTCTTTGCGATTGTACTTCGGTTGTCCAGACGTTCTGTTGTCTATCTTCTTCCTCTCTGCCTCAATCATATCTTCTATATAGATCCCAAGTCAGAGATCTAATCCATTGGTACTATTCTTCCCGACCTCAAATGTTACACAGCTCTCCCAACTAGGTGGTCCAAATACTTACTGAGGCCCCAGAGAACCAGCCCGTGCACCAAGATCGCGCGTACGGACAAAATCCTCCTTCGCTTGGTGGGCAACACCATAGAGAACTGCAATGCGCTGCGCGGATCATGAATCGGCAATTCCAAAAGACATCCAGAACCTCTCCCTCGGAATCCTATACGTGGTTGCCTGCGTACTCTGCCTTCTGGCGCTGGTCCAGCGCATCCGACGTCGGCCATACAGGCACTTCTCCTACGCACCGCTAGAGAGGCAAATGATGGATCCGCCATCATCTCCGTCCGAGAAGCGTCCTGTTGGTGGTATTGGTGGTGGTGGTGGTGGTAGTGGTGGCGAAGAGCCCGCGGACGCAGCAGTGGGCCAAGGCTACGGTTACGGCTACGGCGTAGCCTCCCACGGCGTTGGCCCATTCCCGTCAGCCTGTGATATTTTGCAGCCCCTGTCTCATTTGTCTCCCTTGCCTTCTAGTGGTTATCTGGCGGCGGTCCTAGCCCGGGAGCGGAGCAGCTGGGCAAAGCAATCATACCCGCGGGAGGATCACTTCGCCCCGTCGTGGCTCGGGGAAGCCGACTCTGCGGCCAGCCCTGGCCAGGACCGTCGACCAGCACCCACTTCCGTGACAGACAATAATAGCGTGGGTGACTCGTCACCCGGAGGGCGAAACCGCAGCGACAATCATGGGGGAAATGCGCCGCCGCAGACAGGACGTACTTCACCGGCTGGATGGCGTCCAGAGTGCCCCGGACAGGGGGTTCCCAGCATCGCAAACCTTATCGGGGCCCAGCCGTCCCAAAAATGCGGTTATGCAGTTCAATCCTTGCACGACGTGGACGAGGAGGGGGTGCGGACATGGCGGCGGTTGATGATCGAGTACAACTGACGTGTGGTGTCTTCCTGTTTTCCCTCTGGGTGGGCTTGGTTCTTTGCGTTACTCGTTCTTGTGCATTTTCTGTTGGATGCGTTGGTTGTTTATTTTCGGGCTAGTAGTATGAGGCGCCTGTCAGAAAAGACGGGGTCCCAAATGGGCGGCCACCTGCTGTTGTTGTTGTTGTTGTTGTTGTTGATATTGATGTCGTTGTTGTTTGTGTTGTAGCATTTCAAATGATGATTGATGACCTCGATGACAACAGTGCCCTGCCTGCGCTCTCAGGCACGCAGGCAAGGCGCACCTTCCTCCTCAGACTTGTTCTACTTAGTCCTCGTTCGAGCCTTCTCTATCAGGCCCATACATGTTGCCGGCCCGATTGGGACTAGCGGGGCAGCTCTATCGTGCTGAGTCATCCGATCTACAGGAACCGCCAGCCGATAACCACCAAACCGTCTCCAGATGCCAGATGCCAGGTGCCAGGTGCCCAACCTCTCCTCCCCCTCCTTCCCCTCCTCATCTTCCTCCTCCATCGCCAGAGCAGACAACCAACAGGTTCTGCCAAAATGACGCTCACCACCTACGCCTCCCCCCCGGACCCCTCCGACATTGCCACACTCAACCTCTCTCGCCTGTTCGCCCGTCTAGAGCATAACCTCCTCTCCTCGGCGGCGGACCTCAAACCACTACGACACTCGGAACACCAGCGCATGAGAGTGGGAGCGGTACGTCCAAATTCCTCTTTATCCCACGCAAGGAGCTCTCTAGAACTGCCTGTGCATCTGTATAGATCTGCAAACGGGACTAAACCCCGCCACCTGCTCACGCCTCAGCTAACCACTGCCCCCCTCAAAAGAACATAGAATACGCCCGCACCAACCTCCAAATCCTCGAACGCTCCCTCCCTCAAATCAAACCCCTCGATCGTCGCAACGACCTCCAGACCGACCTCGCACAGAAACGTCAGATCCTGAAACGTCTCCAGACTGTCCTCGACGAACTCGCCGCCGAGGCAGCAGCAAGGCCCACCCGACGGGCAGATGGCATCGACAATGACGACGATACGGAGGAAGAAGGAGATTCGCTGATTGATGAAGACCTCCTCGGAACACCCGAGGAAGGCAGCACGACTGATGGACTAGAGGAGACGGAAGAGACCGAGGACCAGGGCCTTAACCCGGAGGACGAGGAAGAAAGAGCCATATCCGCAACGGCCACATTACCCTCACTTGCGTCACCAACAATCACAACCACAACCACAGAAGTACCGCCATCACCTCCGGTAGCAACTGCCACCCCTACACCGCCACCGCCATCCTCCACACTCCGAAACAGATCCAATGTTCCCACCACCTCGCCCTTAGCAACAGCCACCGCCACCGGCGCTTCCGTGCACGACGCCCCCTCCTCCCCACAACATCCATCATCGCCCTCCCCGACGACTGAAGACGCGCTCTCTTCGGACCGTGCCGAACAGGAAGACCTCACGTCATCTCTGCTTGCGCTGGCGACGCAGCTGAAGTCGTCCTCGCAGGCGTTCCACTCCTCCCTGGAATCGGAGAAGTCGATTCTATCCCGTGCGGCTGATGGGCTGGACCGAACAACGGGCAATATGCAGGCTGCGGAGCGGCGCATGGGGATGCTGCGGCGCATGACGGAGGGGAAGGGCTGGTGGGGCCGGATGATGTTGTACGCCTGGATCTTCGGACTGTGGATCGTGGCGATCCTCATCGTCTTCCTCGGGCCAAAATTGAGGTTCTGAATCAATCACTAGTCGGTGGGTGGCCACATGCACTGAGAGGTCTCTATGGGTTACCGGCCTCTGGCATTCAAAATGTATATACATTGGCAATAGCAGAACTTCTATCACGAGACAATATAATTCACTTATACCCCTTCTCTCGACATGCAGGCGCCAATGATTGGTCTCCTACTTACGCTACAGCACAATTCCACACGAAAGATATATTTTCACAACCCTTAAACTGTGACTATAACCCGATGACCGACCCAGCATGACACATGAGAAATGAAGACATGAGATCTGGCGTGCCCTGCCATCCCCCGTGCCCATGACCCCCCTGCATCGTCCGCTTGCTCCCAGTGCACGTGAGACCAACATGAGAATGAGTAATATGGTTACACAGAATTGCCAACGAGAGCACTAAGAGATGATGATGATGGGATATCCAGCTTTCAAAATCAGACACATAGAAAGGAAAACGGAATGAGGGGTCAGGGGTGACGAAACATCGAGGATGGACCAGAAAATCAAACGACGCGGGGGGGGGGGATCCCATGGATCAAAGAGGAAGAAGGAGCAAAAGACACAGGCTGTGACGACCCGCAGACTGGGTGAAGAGTGCACGGGTGGCCCGTTGTTCAGAGAAGAGAAAAGAGAAGGAAATGGGAAAATAGAACAACTCCTGCTCTGTGTCATGGGATGGATATCGGTAATGCTGATAACAAAGAGCCGGCTAGATATCATTTCAGGACAAAGGAAAATGGGAATTAAGTAGAAAATGGACAAGTGAATGTCTCAACGCCAGGGTCTCTCAAGAAAAAAAAAAACAAATTGCGACATGGTATGACAAAGAGCAAACAGACAAGATTACAAGTCACATAGCATACGGTCTAAATGTCGAGATATTCTCACTCGATCGAGATATACCGGTCATTAGATCAGACCACACAGTCTCAGGTTCTCTTGGATGATAATATCTGGAAGTAGTCAGCAACCGTTCATGCATGGGTCGAGCCCGGAAGGGGCCGACAACTTACCGTTAACTGCGGCCATGACGAAACGAATTTGTGTGGTATCAGTAGCACATGTGAAGTGGGTGTAGATCTGCTTCTGCTCGGCCTGGTTGAGGGACACGAAGCGGTTGAGGATATAGTCGCACGCGGCGGCATAGTCTGCGCCACCTTCGTAGTCGGGGAAGTAGTTCTTCATCGGGCTGACGGGCAGCTTCTCCTTGAAGCGGTCGATCTTGTTGAGGAAGAGAATGATCGAAGTCTTGACGAACCACCGGGAGTTGCAAATCGAGTCGAACAGGGTGAGCGCCTCCTGCATACGGTTGACAGTCTCGTCCTCGAATAACAGCTGGTCGTACTCGGAGATGGCGACCAGGAAAAGAATCGTTGTCACGTTCTCGAAGCAGTGGATCCACTTCTTACGTTCCGAACGCTGGCCACCGACGTCGAACATGCGGTACGTCAGATCGCCGATGATGAAAGTGGTCTCGGTGATACCGGTGGTCTTGACACGCGAGCGGAGGACGTCCTGGTCTGTGGGGAGATAATCGGGCTGCGCAATACGGTCGATGGCATCGAAGTAGCTAAGAAACCGGTCAACAAAGGCCACGCTGAGATAGGAAAGATGCGCGCCACTTACTACTTGGCGGAGTCGTTCAACTGGTATTCGCGCGACCTCTTGAAGCACTCCTGCACACCGCTGTCGCGCCACAGGGCGCCAATCGCACCACCGACATCCGGGGGCAGGTTGTCGCCTTCGATCTGAGCGGGCTGCATGAAAACGGTCTGGACGTGGTACTCGTGGCGGGCGTCTTCCAGGGGCAGCTCAAGCGACTCCATGGCTTCCAAGATGACACGCATAGACTGGACGGTGTTGCTGTAGATGATTTCCTTGAACGATTCGCGCTCGTCTCGGGAGTAGCTGCCCTCGTGGATAAGCTTCATCTGCTTCAGGATGGTCGATTTTCCAGACTCTCCAGCACCTGTCAAGACACCATTAACCGCATATTCCAACGATAAAAACCCGGGGCGTGCAACGGGGTGGTGAGGCGCATACCCAGCAACAACATCTTGATCTCGTTTCTCTGCATCATCTTGTCCCGCTTCAGCTGGTTCTCGATCTCCTCGTTGCGAGCCTTGCCCTCCTTATCCTCAGTGCTCATTCCACAACCCATTTTGGCGGTAGTTTAAAGGAACGTGGGAGTAGTTGATGAAAAGTCTATCGCGCGTCGGGATGGAAGTAAGCGTCCGAGGAACGAGCCTGTCAAGGAGAAGGATTGTCAGCCATCAACCAAATGAATTCTCCGCGAACTGTAATGTCGGACAGCCCCTGCCCACGCCGAAGGTATTTTGACGGGGACAGAGCCACAATCAAGCAGAAGGAACCCCAAAGGGGAAAGACGAAGGCTTCCTAAAGTACCGCGACCCCCGAATCAGGGAACCGGGCAGCCGCCTCCCAGCACCAGAGAGCGCGCGGACGCAAGGAGGTGCAGCTGATGCATCAACCAGAAGGCTTGGGAGGACCGACCATGGGAGGCGAGGGATTCCGGGGGTAGATCGTGGGAAGACAGCAAGTAACGTGAAAGGGCGACTCACCTTGCTCGAGAAATTGATATATCACAGACCCAGACGGGGGGGGGGGAGGGGGGGGAGGAAGTGAAGAATGGATTAAACCGGGGATGGTATTATTACTAAAGGCCAAGCGGACGCAAAGGAACGGGCGGCAGGGGAAAAATCAAATATAAGCGCGGAGCCTTGGGAACTAGGCGGAAAGGAGGCGAAAAGGAAGGTGGAACAGTAATACACCAATGGCGGTGATTTCGAGTAACAAGGTTAATCCAGAGAAGCTAAGCTGGACAGTTAGGAAAGGGAATGGCAGGGGGGGTGTTGTGGTGGTGGTAGGGGTAGGAGGAGGGAGAGAAAGAAAGAAGAGGGAAGAGAAGTAAAGGGCAGGGATTGCGAGGAAGACAGAGAAGCTTGCTTGTCTATCCCAATCCGTGCAAGTTGGGGTGGGATGGGATGGGATGGAGACAAGGATCAAACGGAAAAAGAGAAGAGAGAGAGAAGGGAATGGGAGTGGAAGTGGAAGTGGACGGAGGAAAGCGAGCGAGGCTGAAGGACGGAGCGAGAGGATTAAGCTCAACACAGGTGTAAGGGGGGGATTCGGGCAAAGGAAAAAGAGGGCCAAACGATTGGAGCGAGCGATTGGAAGGATTGGAAGGGAAGGAAAAGGCAGGCAGAGAGAGAGAGAGCGAACGAAAGAACAAGACAGGCAAGACAGATACTAGGCAGGAAAAGGAGGGGACGGCCTTTAATTACACCTCATTACATCTTTACAATACACCCCCGGGCACGCAGGTGTCCTAGTACTATTATGGGTACAGGTGCTGGGATGGTACTCTGTATTATTTACCCAGGTGAGTTTCTGTCTTTCCGTCTTTTCTGTCTTTCTTGCTTGCTTGCTTTTTTTTTTTTTTTTTTTGTCTCTTGGCCTTGCCCGCCCTTCTTCCTCTTTTTTTCTGGAACGATAAAGTCTCCAGTCCTGCAGGCGACGATGACTGGGTCACTGGAGAACACACTCAGCAATAGGGGCAGTGTGGGTGGATCCCCTTGAGTGGAGGGCCGGTCATGGCCCCCGATTGGCAAGCCGGGTAAGGGGTGGCAGTGGAGGCCTCTCCGGCCGGGCCCAATGGCATTGCGCAGATAGCCCTCCCCTTTTCCATCCTAGTCAGGTATCGAGTCGGTACCGTCGGCTTGAACTCCCAGACGCACTTACTTACGCGCTGGTGGTATCTATCGAATTATCAATCATTCATTTAATTCCATCATGCTGATGGTGAGATCATGCATCCCGGGATGGCATGCAGGCGGACTTTAACAGTCTGTCGAATATTGTATACTCCGGGGGGGTTATAACAGCCATACCCTGCAGGGGCATGATGAGCCCATGGCGTGTCTGTCCAGCCAAGGCAGGTAGGTGCATGAGTCGGAGTCCGGACTGCGCTGAAGAAAGCACCGGCAGGGCATGAATCAATCACCGTGATCCTTCGCGGCTAACCCCAGGAATCAGGAGAACGAGGAAGTAAATACTATTCATCTAGCAATCAATGGCACCTGGTGAGGTTAAATCCAAAGTGGTCAGCTTCGCTTTTGGTGTCTATCCATCCATCTATTGCATGGATTAATTTCCGGTCGACGCAGATCTACAGGATGCGACGGTATGAGAGGGTCAACCTTTCATCCTGGACGGAGTACGGAGTACATAAGCGCTTACTACTACTACCTACATGACCCGGGCCGATGGCGCGACGGTTAGGCTAGTACTTCGGCGTACTGCCAAAGTCAGATCTTGTCGGTATCCTCTACAGTCATGCTGCTGCAAAGCTGCCAGCTCCATCAACAACTCCGACCGCAGACGTTGCCTACCTCTCTATCGATAACAGTACGGAGTACTCCGTACAGACTAGATACTCAGGTCCGTATCTGGGATGTACCTGGGTAGATAGGTGCCTGGTAAGAATGGAGACAGGAGACTGGGGAGGAGGAGTGGTGCCTTGGATGGCTACAGTTTCAAGTGCCCGCCACGCGGTGGAGGTTCGGCACCGATCGCCAGGTACACTGGCTGGTGGTACGTACGGCACGATTGCGTGCCGGCAGGCCACCTGTTGCTGGTTCCAGAATGTCTCGGGATGCGCGTCCTTGGAACTGACTCTTTCTCACCTGTTAGATCCAGCCCAGAGTTCCTGTGAGGATTGTTCAGTGATATCTCGATACGTCAAGTAGATGGCTAGGGCTAGAGAGCTACTACTGTGGTGAGTCTGTGTGCTGCATGATCACCATGTGGAGTGGTCCCTATTACTCCGTACTGTGGACTACCTACCTGCTCCAGTACCGACGAGTCGACGATGCTGACCTCAAGATTGGGATGGGCATTAGTGTCACAGTCCTGGCCTCACAGTCAGTCAGGTATCGTACGGTAAACTCCACCCCAACTGCCCGTCGATCGCTTCTCCGCACCCAGACATTTGTAGTACTTGTTGTTGTACTCCGTATCAGACGGTAGATAGACCAGACCAGACCAGACCAGATCAGACCAAAATAGGCGGGTCGGAGACTGGAACTTCCATCAGCTGCACTTCATCTGATACACGTCTGAAGTTGGAACTCTACACTTTGCGACTTGCCACCTGAGGTTTGAGATTTGAGGTTTGAGGTTCAAAAGTTGCAGTTTTGTTCCAGTGTGGCAATCACTGATACATGTTCCATCTCTCTTGATCAGAAACAGCACCAGCACCGTCTTCCGTGGATAAGAAACGATCCTGCGACGGGCATCCCAGTGGAAGACGAGAGGCGGAACGACCCGATTCAAGATGAATCTTCCACCGAACCCTACGGAGTACCTGTGGCCATTATCCGTGGTTCTACCGCTGGCTAGAGACTCCCCCCACCGTCTAGTACTACTACTAGTCGCGTTCTTTCCCGCACGCGTTCTACCGGCATGGTTGTCGTCCCCTTTCCGTGGTGGTGTGCTACCGCTGCTTACCGTCGGTGGTGCTTTCTATCTACCACTGGCCAAGTGCCTCGTGGCGAGCAACCTGACAGGGCTCTCGAGATCTTCATCATCACCAGAGGGACGGTGGACAGTAGATGGTATATATCACAAAAAGTTCACCGCAGGAATGCATGTGTCGATTGAGCACCCAAGTCCCAACCGGGCAGCTCGGGGTTCTACTCATCTCCTCTTTGCCCGGAACGAGGCCAGACTATTGACCTGGTTTCCACTCTCACGGGCTTGGTGACCTTAGCGCGGGCACCTTATTGTTAGGCACTTGGCCGATTGCGCTGAGTAGCCCGGCTTGAGGTACGGAGTGCTGACTTGCTGAGTGACTGCTGAGGGCTATCCAGGATCTGAAGATTACTGCAGACACCTGCTTCGTAGTAGTAGGACTGCTTCCGGGCAAAGGTGCATCCGTGATGAAAGAGTGGCAGGGGAGTGATTGGCGGACTAGATGCATGCAGGGGGATTCAACACGAGGCACCGGGCTTACCAGCACAACTAATCTACGGGGTCCCTCCCAAAAAAAAGATTGCCGACGGAGTACCAAAGGATATATCCAGCCGGGCGCATTCGCGATCGGTGGCTGACGGACGCATACCGTCAACGCGAAGGAAGGGCCGTAGAAGACAGCTGCAGATTCGATCATTCGACAGCCTCGAGTGGCCATACTACCAGTACCATGATGCCATACCTAGTAGGTAGTACTGACTGCTTTTCCAGTTCCTGCACGCCTGGATGCTGGCCGGCCAATAATCCGATCGCCGCTCCACTCCGATCCCGATCCGGCCAGAATCCAACCCTCATTCCACCTTCTCATCCACTCGCTCCATTTTCAGCCTCTTCAGTCCCGACGGCCATAGCCCCAAGTTTCTCCTGGTCCTATCCTTATCTGTCTATCTATCTATCTCTCGATCTACCTACCTACCTATATACCGATTTCCTCGATTGATACTCCGTACCCACCACACCTTCACACCTTCACAACATGCACGAACATGAAATGTCCCACATGGGCCCTCGGGGTATGACACCCTAGATAGCATCCTCAACACCAACAATCAACTCCCCCAATTGAACTAACACCACCTCCGCCAACTTCCAGCCTTCAATCACGAACAGAGTCAAGATGCCGAAGCCGAGTACGAACGTCTCCGGAACCTCGCCCACCAGGAGGCTTCGAAGCGCAACTCCTGTTTCCAACGGGTACTTCCCTGCCCAACCACCGTCTGCGCGACGAAACCAACTCCCTCTCGAGACTAACAGCAATGGTCGCAACCCCATCTAGTCCCAGGAAGCCTACTCCAGCGGCGATGGCGCAAAGGCCAAAGAGCTCTCCGAGCAGGGCAAGTCCCACGGGCGCAAGATGGAGGAGTACAACAAGCAGGCGTCCGAGTACATCTTCCGCGAGAACAACGCCAGCGGGCGCGTCGCGGCCGACACCATCGACCTTCACGGCCAGTATGTCGAGGAGGCGGAGGAGATCCTCGAGGAGAGGATCAAGTATGCGAAGTCGCATGGACAGAATCATCTTCACGTGTACGCTTACCTCCTTCCTTTCTCGTTGTGCCGTCATGATCCTCATCATTTCGTCTACCCTACCCACCTCCTACCTATAACCCCACCCCTCCATATTCAGAACAACCCACTAACCACCCACCCCCCCCTCCAACCCAGAATCGTCGGCAAGGGCAACCACTCCGCCAACCACATCCAGAAGATCAAGCCGCGCGTCGAACAAGTCTGTCAAGAACTCGGCCTGCAATACGCGACGGAGGAAAACGCCGGCCGCATCTACGTCAACCTCACCGGCGGCCCTGCTGATTCTGTGCCGCCTGCGCCTGCGCCCCCGTCCGAGGGCTACGCCCAGCCTGCTCCTCCTCCTTCCCACCAGCAATATCCCGGTCAGCAGTACCAGCAACAACCCCAGCACGCCCAATATGCCCAGCCGGCGCCGCAGCAACAACCATACCAGCAGCCCCAGCAGCAGCAGCAGCAGCAATATCAACAACCTCAGCAGCAACAGCAGCAGGATGAGATGGAACAGTTGGTTACGAAGGTGCTGCGGAAACTGGAGAAGGCTTGCTGTGTGGTGATGTGAGGGGTATATACAACATATATTATCATGTCATGTCTTGCATTTAGAGTATTTGGGGCAGTGGGATCTATTACGAGTGAGTGGCAGATAGAGAGACATAGAGAGACAGACAGACAGAAAGAGAGAGGGGGGGGGAGACTCTAGGGTGGTTCTTGGCGTGATGACTGGGATTCCATTTTATTTCGTGCGTTGGAGGAAGGATTACTTATACCCAGGGTGTTGGATTCAGTTCCGGATGATGATTGGATTGGAATATTCCGGTAGGTACCTACTATACTTGGTTTTATTTTTTTTGTGGTCGGAGGTTTTGTCTTACTGCAGCGGGTATCTAGAAGAAGGAAAGAAGGAAAGAAGGAAAAGGAAGGAGAAGGGTCGTATTGAAATTACCACAGGTGCGCTGTGTTTCAGATTCAGTCCAAGGCAAGACAAGGCATCCAATAGACTAATTAAGTACTAGAAGTAGTAGGTAGTAGTATCATGTTCGACGTTCCTCATGAAGAATACGAGACTTGTCCATCCAATCAGCCGACCAACCAGGGAAGGCTGGGAGGAGCACGCCCCGATAAACACCGACGGTGGTATGATGGTGGAGCTGGTGGCTCATGTCATCTTTTAGAACTATCGCTCTCCCAGAGTCGATTCGGTGATCTTGTTAAGGATGGCCCGGACCATAGCGCCCTCGTCGCGGCCATCGGGCTGCTCGCCGTCAATTTCGTCGATCAGCGCCAGCGCCTTCTCTCGCAGTTCGCGGACGACGCCCTGCGTGTGCGCAAAGCTGCCGGTGCTTTCCATGTGACTGACGGCGTACAGCTTGACCTCCTCGTCCTTGGTCTTCTGCTTGAGGATGCTGATGAGCTGGTGATTGCCGGGGTTGGAGCGGATGCTGTGGATGATGGGGAACGAGAACTTGCCCTCCGTGAGGTCTTCGCAGAGGCCCTTGTTCTTCGTGTAGGTGGTGCTGGACAGGTTCAGGTAATCGTCGCAGATCTGGAAGATCAACCCCATCACGTTGACCAGGCTCACGCAGTCCTTGTCCGTGCCGCTTTCGGCCTGCATCAGCTTGACGGCGAGCCGGAACAGTCCTCCGGTTTTGTTCCCCACCATCTCCAGGTACTCCTCCTCGCTGGGGCAGGTGAGCGTATCCCGCCAGAAAAGGTCCATGCCTTGACCGCGGTGCAGGTTCAGTAACTCCTGCACATAGATGTCGATCGCCGTCGGGTTATTTAGCTTTTGGACTTCCTGGAGGGCGAGGAAGTACACATAGTTGGCTGAGTTGATGGTCTGCGCTGTGCCGTAGATGTTATGGGCGACTGGGATTCCGCGCCGAAGAACCGAGTTATCCTCGACATCGTCGATCCTGATTGACGCACCAGACGTTAGCTGTGTCCGACTCCGTTTGGAGGACGGAGGAGGAACGCGGGGGCGGAATTTACAGCAGTGAAGCCGTGTGAAGCATGGCCACCACCTTGGTGATGATGGTCAGGCTCTCCGGAGGGACCTTCAACCAGACATTGAAGGCATTGATGAACTGGCGCCGAATATCCTTGCCGGGGTGCTGGAGCATATAGTCGTATGGTCCGAGGAGGATCTGGTTGTTTTCCGACGACCACTGGCCATCTCGATATTTGGTTCCATCCACGCTGGAGCGATTGCGATTGTGTGCGCGGGACCGGTGGGCGCTGGTCTGGAGCTCGTCCTCGTTCGGGTCCGGGAACGCCATGGGGTCTGGCTTCACGGGGGGGGCTGCGCCCATCCCTGCCATTGGGGTGTCCATGACGGCGGTATATGTCGGGTGAGGGGAGAGGAGAGCGGGGGGGTCAAAGTATGGGCCTGGAGACATGGCGTGAAGTGTTAATCAATGGCGTCCGTGTCCGGTATGGGAGGGTGTATTAGCCAGGGGGGAGGGGGGGTTCCTGCTCTGTTCCTCGGAGTGAAGGCGGCGGATGCTCAGTGGCAAGAGAGGGGGAGGAGAGGGGGAGGAGGGGGGCAGTGAAAGTAAAGTAAGCTAGCCCATCTTACAGGTGTGATGAAGGTGCAGACCAAAGCGTCCAGCACGGGCTAATTAGAAGCAGGCCCCATGGGGCGAAGAATGCAAACAGCAGCAGCAGTCAGTCAGTCAGTCAGAGCATCGAAGTATGGCTGGAGAGGAGCAGCAAATCGCAGCAAGTATAGGCCGCAAGTAGTAGCAAATAGCAGCAGTGTGACGCGAATCACATGCCCGGCCAGTGTGCGCGCCTGTGAGGGGGTCACACCGCGGGTCACCTGACCGGGAAAAGGTTCCCCCCAGCGGCTCCAATCATGGGGAATCGCTCTGGAAAAATCGTCCGAATCGCCCGAATCGCCCGAAATCCCCGCACAAACTCCGGCCGGTCCTCCCTTCTAGATCAATATTCATCAAACATCCGGCCCCAACAGTCTCACCACCACCACGGCAACCATGCAATGTGACCTGTCACCTGTTATCTCTGTCGTCTCTGTCGTCACTCTCAGTCAATCACAGCCAACCAAAGGGGCGGTCTGAGTCGTTGCACCAATTCCCAGATATGCCTCCGGGAGGCGGGCCAGGCTGGACTCCGAGAGGAGGTTGGTTGTACTGACTACTGACAGTGGGATGGGGAAGATGGAGTAGTAGGCGCCCCGTTGACGTCGAGTCTCGAAAAGTGACAGCCTGCCCGTTCCCAAGTCCAAGGCATTTATGGCCCCGAACGACAGCAATGGCGTAGCTGAACCACACTACCAGCCACCTCTTTAACTGGGTTGACATCATTAGCAAGGCGCTATCCAGGAGATCCGGTTCTTCATGGAGCCCATGCCGGCCGCTTATTGGAACACGATCGCGGGTCGCCGGGGCAACCATCGGGTTGTTGTGGTCGGATGTGGGGGAACAACCCAGGCCAGGGCCAGGACAGGTCAGAACGGACCCAGGACAGACCCAGGACAGCCCAGTCGCCAAGGCTCGCCGCAACCGAGTCTAATCGGCGCGATCAGCTTCAGATGATGCCAACAACCATCTGTTCGCTAGCTGATCGTGTCCACCCACTATCGCGCACCAATCGTGGCCGCCTTTAATATACACGTCCCCATTTTCCAAGCGCCTGGGCTCAGCCGTGTTCTATTTTTCTGCCCCCCCCCTCACACGTTCCCGGAGTAAGGTACATATAGATAGTGCCTGACTTCTTGGCCCAGGGTCTTCGAGACGGATCAGTTTCTTTTTCACTCATCGACCTCCCCCACCCACACACTCAACTTTTTTTCTCCCATTGTGCCACGAACTTTAACCTGCGCCGTCATACTCATGGAGACGCTGCTGGCCCATTCGTTCGACTACCTTTCCTCTTACGAGCCTAGCAAGGTCCGCAAAGGGCTGCGGCAGGTCGAAGGGCTCCTCGCACAGATCTGCTTATCCAAGTCGAAACGCTCGGCGTCGGACAAACGGCGGTCCCTTCTATCCTTTGGGGCTCCGCAACCAGTGCCCAAAACATTGTCCGAGCTCAGAGATGATCCGGCCTTTCGCGAATTTTTCAAGCTGCAGGAGGGGTTTCAATGGAATGGTATGTGTCGCCGTCGCGTCTCGAAATGTCGCGCAATTCCACTTCGCTAACGCATCACAGTCGCAATGCGCCTGGTGACATGTCTCGAGCACCTGCTCGGCCGGGGAAGCAACGGCACCAATGACTTGCTCATCGTCTCCACCCTGGACCTGATACAAGGCGTGCTTCTCCTCCACCCCCCGTCGCGCACCCTGTTTGCGCGCGAGATCTACATGAACCTACTACTCGATCTCCTCGACCCAATCAACTGCCCGGCGATCCAATCCGCGACCCTCCTCACCCTGGTCACGGCGTTACTGGACCACCCTGCCAACACGCGCACTTTTGAGGAACTCGATGGACTTCTGACCGTGACCTCCCTCTTCAAACAGCGCGCCACATCGCGCGAAGTCAAGCTTAAACTCGTCGAGTTTCTGTACTTCTACCTGATGCCGGAGACGCCAATGGTTGCATCAAGCGCTCCCAATACGGCGGTTGGCCACCAGCGCAGTCCAAGCAAATTGGGCCTGGCACAGGTGTCTCGGAGTGTCAATGTCCCGGGAGTTCACGGCGGCGGAAAGGCGCACCGCGACACTCGCACGACAGACGAGAAGCAGTCCTTGCTGGGGCGGTATCTGAACAACGTGGAGGATCTAGTCGAAGATTTGAAAGAAACGGCGCCCTTCGGTGCGACGGTTTATTAGCGGTGCGGGTGTTACGAGCGTCAATAATGGGTTCGGTTCTCTTGAGTCTTCTGTGTTTATGTTGAGCGATGGAGCGTGCATGGATTACGGTATCATGGCTGGGTTTCTTATGGCTTTTCCTTTCCTTTTATTTTTCTCCCCCTCTTCCTTTCCCTTCCCTTTCTTTCCCTTCACTTTTTTCCTTATCTCTTTTATTTCCTTTTCTATCCTTTTTTTTCCCGTCTGGTTGTCTTTGATATCCTCGGTTTTCTTTCCTTTCTCCTCTATTCTTCTCTTTCTGCCACGAACTCTTCCCGTCTGGTACGGTCTATGCATTGGATTCCCCGTCTCTCCTGCTGTTGTGATTGTTTCTGTTTCTCGTTGTCTCTCTCATGCTTCCATGCTCGATGTTTTCTTTCTCCATGTCGCCGTTCTTTACTTTACATGTGGCTCATGGATCATGGATTATCTCTCAATGTCTTATGTGTCATGTTACGCTACGCTACGCATGTCCTGTTTTCATGCTACTGTTTTCCCTCTTCCTCGAATGAAGTGATATGATTGATTCCCCCACCCCACCATCACAGTGCTTTAATGAATGAACTACAAGATTGAGATTTACCTATACTATACTATACTATATCTGTAATCACTAAAATCTTACACGTAATAATTCAATAGGGAAATTCTCAAATCATACTACATACATACACCCTCCAAGCGTACCTCATAGATCTAGATATTGTATATATTTACATCACCCCCGTCCACCTCCCCCTCCACCTCCCCCTCCACCTCCAACCTAAGACTTCGACAACAACCACCCCCCATTCTGCAACGACCGAAACACCCCCTCGAGATCATATTCAGCGCAACCTCCTTCAACCGCCGCACATTCTCCGCCCCGTAACGCGCCAAGGGATCCTGATCCCGCGCCGCATAGTTCGAATACTTGTAGGGCAGATACACCCCCATAAAGAGACGTACATTGCTGTCCAACGGGCTCTAAGCCTAGCGTACTACCACCGTGTTTCAGCGTCTGATTCATGGCGAGAGAGAGCCTGGACTGGATGACGCTCGTCAGGGCAAGACCTTCCACGACCTTGAGGAGTTCGGCTTGCTCGGCGTGGGCTTTCTCGATGGCCTCGTATACCGCTACGCTGTGACGGCTGGACATGGTGCGGAATTCGTGACTGAGTGGGGGGGTTAGGTTAGGTACGTACATCGAGTTATGAGGGAGGTAAAGGGGATAAGCGTACACGGTAGGCTCGGCCTCGTTCATGGACGCGATGATCTGGACTAGATCGTAGATTGTTCGGACACCCGGGGGCACGAAGTTGGTAAGGTGGGGGATGCTGTAGAAGGGCTGAAATACTGAGGGGTTTTCGACGGGGGCGCAGTAACAGTTGATGATGAGGATTATGTCGTCGGTTGGGTTCCAAATCAGAGTGGCTTTGTTGTCGGTTTTGATGGCGTCGTGGTATTGCATTAGAGCCTCGCGGAGCTGCTTGGCTGCTGTGAGAGGGTAGACTCGAACTTCGGTCCAGATCTGGTTGGGAACGGTTGCCATTTCGATCTTCGTGACGATGCCTGGTTCACGGTTGGGCAATTGGTTGAGGATTGGCGAAGGGGAGGAAGTATACCGAAGTTGGAACCGCCGCCCTTCAGGGCCCAGAATAGATCGGTGTTTTCATTCGGGGCAGCATAGTACATATCCCAATACCTTACCTGTCAATGCATAACTGTATCGAGCCGCTAGCCACGATTCTCTCGCGCGCGTCGCTACCTGATCCACTGCTCAGACGGCAGACAAGAAGACACCCTGGGGGGGCTCTTTCTCCATGTACTACGCAGCAGAACCCTTCGCGGATGGACCGTGAGAGATGGCCACAATGGGAGAGTCACTTGAGCGACGGGATGATGGAGGTACATCGCACATGACAATTTATTGTACGGATCATTGTGCTAGCCCTGGCGATACCGACGACACGACCACCACGAACGCGTATGTGACGGGGGATAGGGGGTCAGTGAATACAGCTTGAGATATCGCGTGGGGTTCATCCACAGGAGTCTGGCAATTTGAAATTAGTTGAAATATGGGACTTTTAAGAACAGGCTCTCATGATCTTTCTTGGCCGTTGATGTAGGTAGGAAGGAAGGAAGGAAGGAAGGTCTGTCGTTGGTATAAAGAAGGTGTGGACCATAACTCGTAAGCCATTGGAGGCGATGGATCGATCAAAGGGTAGATGGTAGTAGTGGGTACAAATGCAAATCGAAGAAACATTTTCTCGCCCTGCTGAATGATGGAGAAGATTAACCTTTGCCCGTCCATGGAACAGCTCCACAGCTAATCTAAAGTAGTACTACTATCCCTCAGACGAGGGTACGCGACACACTAGAGATGCTAGTCGCAGGACACCTATGCAAGTCTATTTTGACTCCTTCCCGTTATCTATCTACCATTTGACGAAAAGGTAGCGATTTTGCTTCCCGGACCTATCTAGCCAGTCGATCTATTCTTTTGATAGTATTACTACTCACTGCCTAGTAATGCTGTGAGGTGAGCCGTGTGATAACTTACGGTTGTCTAGTACTACGTTGAAGTAGTACTATATATATCCATTCCATCCCTCCCGCAATGCGAGCCTGATTCTTCGCATAGTACTTCCAATTTGCGGAGTTAACCACACCTTCTGTGCACTCGGTTTAGCTAGCTGGAGCGAAAATCTGAAAATTCATCAAGATCATATCATCGTTCACCTACACCATACCTCATTCGATCTCAGGAGCGTTGGCAGACAGCGCTATGGCCAGCAGAGTGCACAGTCCCATCTAATCAACACAAACTGGTCTACAACACAAATGGCAGCTTCCTCCGTTTACTACCCCACTGGCTACAGCTACTGTATGAACCGGGCCCAAAGGTCCGATCCTGAGACTAGTTGACCTAGGCTATGACGCGGGAGACACATCCGCCGGGCAGCGTTGGACTCCAAAGAATCACTCGGGATAGGATCTTATTGGGTATATTCGACCCGATGACAGTACCGGGAGACAGTATTGGGACGACAGGGGCGATTTGTCTTGGAGCGCATACCCCTACAGAGCTCTGCTCTTTGAATGTGTGACCACGCTATTGAGGCACGGTGGGTGTCTGTTTGTCACGGATATGCACCCCGATATGGGGACGATTAGCCAGACAGGCCTTGTGGATACTGCAACTGGGACGAAATTCCGATCGAGGAGTTTCTCGCATTCCGTCAAGGATGTATTGGCGGTGGCAGACCGGACTGGGTTAGCTGACTGGAGAAGGTGCTTGAGAGAGAACCGTCATGGGAGACTGGCGGGTTCGTTAGGGCGAAGAAATGGATTTGGCACCACGGTATAGGTCGGAATATGTTTCAAAAGCGATCTCAATGACCGTGCAAACCTAATCTAGAAGCTGGATGCCTGTTCCGATTCTAGGTGGATAGGGTAGGGATTGACAAAGTAGGTTGTTATTGTACAGAAATTAAAGATATCTTTTGGATCCGCCCCCAGGGTCTAGAAGAACTTTAGTAGCCTCTCACGGTGTTGTACAAGGTTTTCATGTCGTCGCAGCAATTGTCCCAGCCGGTTTCGCTTCCATCCCAGACCCTCGTCCAAGATGAGGTGCGTGTATGCGAAGACGCTGGCATCGAATAGGCCGGGATTGGGTCGGTCGAAGAAGTGTGTGTTGTCCCCGAGCAGTGTGGATAGCGCCTCGAATGCGTCGCTCGCCTCCGCCTCCAAAGCGCCGACATCGACGTATGATGCTGTTTTCAGGATCTCTGTCCGGGCGGCCTGCTGGAGTTGCACCGAAAGGGTGGTCCGTACGGCGAAATTTGTGCTCGAAGGGTGCACATACAGTGGTTGAGCAACCGCATCGAAGTTCTCGGGGTCCAGATATAGGGCATAAAGCTACAAGCCTGTCAGCATGGAATGATTCCTCTGGAAGTCCACTGTTCCACCACGTACCCAAGCATTTCGTATCCGGTGATCCAGCAACGACGCATACACATCAAAGCGCACGTCCAGCTGCTGCTCCTCTTCACAGTGCACTTGCTCAATCGCCCATTTCTGCAGCCTGCCAGAAGGGATCGGGGCGTTATTGTCGACTGGGTGAGCGGGGAGAAGGAAGGGAAGGGCACCGGAGGGTGACGCATGGTTGTTCGAAGGAATAATGTCGAAGTCGATCCCAACAAACCTCAGGTATGCCTAAAAGCCGCAAGAAGTCCCCAGTGAGCGATGACCGATCACACGGCGCGCCGCACCAGCACCTAGGTGATTTCACGTACCTGCCATTTGAGACACTGCGGGTTGAAGGAGGGTCTCCCACGCCTGGCACCGGCGGCATCTGTAAAGACAAACAAGCGATTGCCTCGTTTGTCCGACCACGGGATGTGCGGGAGATCATTAGGCGGGTAGGTGACGAGAGGGAAGCGGTCGAAGATGCGCTTCACCGGCGCAGGGACGGAGAAGAAGTCTCGAGCGCGCGACGCCGCAGTCCCATTGTCCGGCGCCTGGCCGGGAGCATCACGACGTTCGGGGGTCATTGGAACAGACAAGGAAAAGGTAGACTGGCGGACGGGAGAAAAAGAGCGGCCGGGCTGGACGACGTCAGCTCCAGGGATAAGAGAACTTGGCGGCAGGGCTAGTTGAAGTGCCGACTTTGTAGTACGTACGGAGTAGCAGCAGGAAAGAGGCTCGCATACTTTGTCTGCCCGCGCAGCTTGTTATTCGCTGGCCGATCCAGGCGTCGTGGATGCCTGACGGCCTCAGGCAGTGAGAAAAAGGCCAGGCACAGACACGTGCCTGAGGTCGCCTGAGGTCGCCTGAGGTTGCTGGTTGCCCTAGGCCTCCTGCCTCCCGCCCGCTCTTCTTATCGGCCCTCGTCTTTATTCTGCCGTCCGGACTTCCGCTCATCTCCCCCGATTGCCAAATCCTCTCCACCTCCACCTTCCCCTTCACCAGTACCTCCTGTCGATAGCTCGCGCGGGGCTATGGCTTGATTTCCGGAGCATCGCAGACCGCAAACCCTCCTTTGTCTGCTTTGTCTTTCTTGTCCTACTTGTGTGGGTTAGACTAGACTGCGTCACCCGGTCCGCATCTAATCTTTATCGGGCGCCCGGCCTTGCGCACTAATCACCGTTCCGAATCCTGTCGATTGGCCCCTCTGTCAGTCTCTCAGCGACTCTCCGTCCCGACATCGCTGGCCTCGCTCAGAGACTAGAGACACTGTCTCAGTGGGCCTGACGCTTGACTATCCCTTCCGGCTTTCAGAATCCTAGCGATCACCCGAGGTCCTAACAAAACCTGTATCTACGGCCGTGGTACGATCAGACCCCTCTGGGTGGGGTAAGGCTATTTATCTACCGCCTACTTATTCGACGTGGGAGCCCAGGTCTACCTCTGAATAGGAGTTTCAAGACGAAATCGGCAGCTGATGCTACTGCTGCTTTGATCTCGCCACTATGCCTCTCGACGAAGAAGGGGCCAAATGGTCATGGTATGAATCTCCCTGCGGAGTGCCGATGGAGAGGGCCTTGCTGCTAACCGAGGACTGCAACTATCAGTGAACCATGCATCCGTGGCCATCGGTCCTCAAAATGCCAGCACTTCGACAGGATGATGATGAAGGTTCCCAAAGCCGGACGACCGCTGGCCAGATGCCCTCACCCAAAAGGCACATGTAGCTGCCAGAAACTCTATGCGTTTATGGTTCGCATCCCAAAAGGTCGGTCCTTGCGACGCTTGTTCTGGAACCCCCCCCATCGAGTGCGAAATGGATGACACTGACCGTTTCTGTTAGGTTCTACCTGTCTATGTAGACCAGTGTACCAAGTGCCTGCCGAAGCGGCCGAATCCATCTCAACCACACCAGCTCCCCCAACCCCGACTCCGTCTTCTGCTCCGAATAAAATCCAGAAATCCGTCAAGCGACAAATAAAGACGGCGCCGGAGAATCTTACCAAAGCTTTGAGCTCTATACCGGAATTTAGGAAACAGCATGCTGAGGGTGGAATGTCGAACCGTCCGTATCCGTACGCATATTCCGCTCAGGAGCAACGTCCAAACAACTCGTACGATGCCGTCAATGAAGACCCGAATGAATCTGTCGCTACCTCGCGTCAAGCATCCAATCAAATCGGCGAGAGTAAAGCTTCACAGGGTAGTAGCTGTTGTTCTCGCAAGCCCCAGCCGCCAGTGCAGACTCCAGCCCCCGTCCAGCGATCTTGTTGTGAGAAACCAAAGTCGTCACCGGAAAGTGTTGATAATAGAGGCCCAATCCTCGACAGTCCCAATTATCTTCCGCCGCACATATTTAACGGCAATGGCACAAGTCACACACCAAATCCTACTCCTCAAGTGTCAACATGGCAGGATTTTCAGGTAGCCAAGCAAGAACACTACATGCAGCCATTTTCGTTACCCTTATCTCAGTCTGGACTTCTGTCTATGCCGGGAGGCATGGCACACATGGCACCACATCCTGTGGAGTTTTCACATCAACCTCTAAATGGCCACGGAATCTTCCAAACATCGACATCGAACCCACCCTCGGAAAGCACGCGGAACGTTCCGAACCCAGAAGATACCGAATGCGATGCCACCCATAACTGCACTTGTGGCGATAAATGTCAATGTTTGGGCTGTGTTTCACACCCGTTCAATAATACCACTAGGCAGCACGTTCAAGAGATGGGTCTCCTGGTGGCTTTGACCGATGACGAGCAGAAACAGAGAGGGTTAAATAGCCATAGGAGTTCCCCTCTACAGGGTCAGCAGGGCCAGCAAGGCCAGCAGAGTCAACAGGGTCAACAGGATCACCTCACCTCGCTGCCATATCAATACTCAAACTTTGCGCACCCAACGGACCATGGCGCGCGGCCTATTGGCATGCACTCATATGCCAATCATAGCCCAACCCTCGGCAACGTGAACAACGGCTATGCATCCCCGCCTGCAGACTATCTTTCGGGACAACAACTGATGGTACCCTCTGAATACTATACACTCGAATATCCCGTGGGCCTGCCAAGTGCTTGCGCCGACACTACTGGAAGTTGCCAGTGTGGGAACGACTGTACCTGCGTTGGTTGTCTTACTCACAGCGGGCACAACGGCATTGGCCTTGAACCCACCATGGAGAACAATTGGGGCCACATGGATTTCTCAACTTTCTCTACGGATACAATAGGCGTGAGCACGTCTCAAATGCCCGCTTTCGAGGATTTTATTTTCCATCCGACAAACTCTATGCTGTAAAGCTTTATCGCTTTGCGGAAGACACTTTGCTTCATGTGGACTGTCCTGGCTACCCTTGCTAGCATGGAGCTCTCTGCTCAGATGACTGATGATTGTTCACGATACCCCCCTGCATAGATTCTGGATGATAGACTACATCGGATCTTTCCTTTCTGTGTGTGCATGTACATATTCCCCAATTACTCCACACCTATAACTAGAAGTCGGCACCCTCGTGCTTGCTAGGATGCTTCCTAATAATGTAGCTTCAAAAGTCTCTTAGCCTGGGTTTACTGATTCTACTTCCAACCAACCGCGAGGTTTCTATAGCCACTACCACAAGAGGGGATTGCATGGGAACACGCCATCTCTGCAACCTGGAAACAGCAGCGAGTAGGACACGGTCGCGTGACCATCCAGGCCGCGCTGGCTTCCGCCGGATGGCTACTGTCAACAACAACGCTATATATTCCCAACCAACTAGAACAGGTACCAGACGATGGATTGGATGCTAAATTAGGAACGTCTAGAAGGTCCTTCTAAACCGCAACGGATGACGGATGTCTCGATGCAACTCGTTTCCTTCCCAGCTATACAGGTATCATACAGAAAAGAATCGGACATCGAGCCACTCTACCGGCGTAGGGCATCTCTGACGGGGGAGTCGCCCCGACGGAAGGAAGCTGTAACCACGTTAGCCACCAGTGACCTCTTGACGAGAGTTCAAGACATTGAATGTCTCATCCACATACAGTCAGCCTCTTCCCAAGCGCGACCGGCACCGAAACCGAGACCAACCCACGCGGGCCAGGCCCTCCGCTTGAAGAGGAGCACGGAGAAAACGACACCGAAGGACAGACCGAGGGAGGAGCGGATGATCAGGGAGGAGATGGCGCGGTCCCACTGTGATAAGAGGACGGTTCCGAGTTAGCCCGAATGCACACTTTCAGTGCCCGATGACATGACATATGTAGATCCCGCATTTGCAACAACCAGTAGATGGCAGGAATAGGTGGAAGACCCAGGGCGCGCGGGGAGTGTTCATGGTCCCCCCCTTGTTGCAAACCACATGGAGTATGCATTGTCCAATGTCCAGGACGGACCGGCGACCGGTAGGATGTGTAGAGGAGGAGAGGGTACCTTTTCGTTCAGCAGGGCCTCGCTGACGGGCTTGGTGGAGCGAGGGACCGGCTGGGATTCGTTGGAGTCGGCCATTGCGATTAAAGCTGGAAGATCGGGGTTAGTTGTGGGACAGTGGAGGAGGAGGGGGCAATTGAGCCTTTTTGATTCCACTGACAGGAGGGGGAGAGGGGGAAGTGGCAAGTGCGAGTGCGTTGAGGAAGGTCAAGTGAGGAGGAGGACGGGTGCGAGCGAGCGAGCCTGCGAGGTCGAGCTCTGCCGGGCTAAAAGGCGGTCGGAAAAACTGGGTTGGGCTCTCCGCTTTCTGGCGTCAGTCTCAACTTTTTCTCGATCCTCCTTGGTTCCTCCCCCTCCCCGCAAACGACCAGCATAACGGCTCCCGGATTATGTACGATTCGTGTTGACGAGGTGGACCTGAGGAACCTAGAGGGAACCAGTATCACCATCTGATCTGATCCGACTCGTCTCATCCGAGATGCCTTCGGTTGCGGAGGTGTGTTTTCACTCTCCGTGGTTCTTCTGTTCTTCTCTACCACATCCCAGTCCTCGCGCGTGCGGCTAACACTATGCGATTTCTGTCACAGCGCCCGCGCTCTTCGCAAGAGGCCTTGCTCCGCCTCGAGAAGGGCACCGCCTCGCCCACTACGCAGCTGAATGAAGCCGCCCAGATTATCGGACTGGATCTGGCCCTGTGTGCAAGCCATCCGGAGATCAACCGCACCCCTCATGTTCAGAACAACGCCGCGCCCAAGGAGGAATGGGTCCTCCGATGGCTCCTGAAGAAACTGCGCGCGGGCAAGAACTACCGCGTCGACTCCGGCTCTTTCCTCTTGCTGCGACAGCTGATCGACCTGATTCCGCCCAAGACGTTGGCCACGACCTTGAAGGATCAGAAGTTTCTCGGGATTCTCAACGAGGCGATCGCCGACTTGGAGGAGGACATATTCGCTGGACTGAAGACCGGGACGACCGAACTGCTTCATTCGGATTCGGAATCGAGCCATACGTTGAGCGACTCGCCGCATCGCAATGGCGATTACGATCGGAAGGGAACAAAGAGAAAGAGGGCCGGTGATGGCGCGACGGATGCGATGGATATTGACGAGCAGCCACGGACGCCGATCTCGTGTTTTCTCGCGTTCATTCGCGCGCTGGACTGTTTGTACAGTCTGGTCATGCTGGCGACTCGGACACCGGAGGTGGATGAGGTCGCGAGCTCACATCTGAAGCATGCGCTCAAGGGTGAGCCAGAATCGGTTGCTATGACGTTGCAGAAGTCGTTCCGACTAGCTGCTGTTGTTACAACACAGTTCTCCCATGCGCGGAAGACTACAGATCTACAGCATCTGTTGTATGTGTTCCCAGCGGTCTTGGAACTATGGGAGTTGAGATCCTCTCGTCGTGACGACTCCGATAAGGGATTGAGTAATGTAGGTCTGGTAAGATCGGGGCTTCATGTAATTGGAACTAACAGCTGAACAGGAGTGTTTCGCGAAACACTGCTTCCAGAGTGCGCTAAGACTTCAAGTCTGTGTGCGATCTATTCGACTTGACACAGACGAAAGAGCCCAAGTGCTGCATGGGATGGAGCGCTTGATCGCCCTTCATGTGGTACTCCCTGCGCGTGGTGGCTTCTTTGATCGAGGAGGCGCCGGTATCGACTATTCCGCCAGTGAACCAGACTGGAGCTGCGTTAAGCCTATTTCCGATGCCCTGAGGCCTAATCTTTGCGGGCCTGAGTGTCCGTCAGAGACTAGCGAGGATTCCATTGTCCAGAAGAAAATCTTGTGGAAGACCGCAGAGCTGCTGCCTGAATTCTTCGACATAGCTGTTCGCTCAGTACCTCGTGACACTTTCCGGCGACAGACCCACGAGGCTCCGTGGCTAGAGACCTTGTTCGTCGCTATTGCTGAGCTGGCATTCTCGATTGTGAAGTCGGAAAGCACACCCACGTACCTCTCTGAATTTGTTGGCATCTTGGAGCACCTTTTCCGTGTGGTTCTTGTCCGCAACGTGCAGTTGTCACTCCATACATTGCTCACTCATGCATCATACACTGGACTCCTGAAGGAGGGATTGTCGCAGGTTGAATGGAGTCTTACATCGTTGCTTGTTGAACTCGGCGTTGACATCTTTTTGCCCAACTCAGGTCTCAGCGACTCGACAAAGTTGCTGAAGGCTTTGTTGGAAAAGATCTTTGCGCATTGGCGCGGCGGCCTGTCCCATAGTGACGGCAGTTATGCGATCATCAAGAACGGCATCGTGATTCCTCTGCTGCGCGGGTTCGTGGCTGCCAGAGATCTACCGACATTTATGCAGCATTGGTACGAACAGCTGATGGATGTGGAAGAGGCGCGATCAGCAGACAAGAACCTGAGCTCATTCATTGTATGGGAAGACGACGATGTGTGTAATGCTTATGGTGAAATAACTCGAAACCCCCTTACCCACACCCATGTCGCTGCACAGCTGCATGCTGCTGCGGCGGAGATTAAGTCTGAGGGTAGCAAGATTTCCGACACCCCCGGTGCCTATGCGCAGTTTGTGATATTGGAGTCTGGTTTCAGAAAGCGCGACCTGAGCCTCGAGGATAAGAATGAAGATTTGAGCTCTGTAATTCAGACCGCAGCATCCACGCTGTCTTCGAAAAAGACACTGCACTGGCGATGGCGGTTGTGGCGGCTGGCTCGTAACCTCCTCGAAAACAATGTTCAGTCCACTGACAATGATCTGGGCACTACGATTCTGAACCTGGTGGACACCGCTGCCTCAACCATTAAGCGTCACCACAAGGACCGACTGCAAAAGCCTTGGGCTCCTCTGGAGTGCTTCGAGGCTTATCAGTTCACTCTTGCTGCTATCAAGGGGTCACAAAATAGCGAGAAATTCAGCTCTCTTACGAGCGAAATCACAGAGCTGATTAAGTCAATCTCGGGCAAGGATGCTCTCAAGTCGATTACGTCTCCCTGGAATGGGCGTATAGAGACCTTGAAAGCGCCGGAGACACTCGCCTTGGCTTATTTCCTAACCCTCGTCAGAAGTCCTGATACCTGGACCCGGGTTGAATCCGAGACCAGACGCTCTTTGTTCGGTCATATTCTGTCTTTGGCAACGTCCCAGTACAAGTCAGCACCATCGGCTTTGGAGACCGTTAGCCCCGACCTTAGATTCCTTCAAGCTTGGGCTAGTGTTGTTTGCCACGAGTATCTACTCAACGCACCGGCCCTCGCCGCCGATTTGATCGCTGTGCTTTCCGGACGAGCCAAGGAAGACACTGAAAGCCGGAAGCTCTATGTTGAGAGTCTGCAGAGGATCCCTGCGCCGCTTGTCACGCGCCGCCAGAGAGGGCTTCTGCTGGATCTGCTACAGGAGGTTATCGTACAGGAAGACAGCACGCCCGAGGTTATTATGGGGATGCTATCATTGATGGCCAGGTTAGCCGATATGCCTAAGTCTCCAGCGGCCATCACCAGCAATTGGGAGCCAATCTGGACGGTTGCCAAAGCAGTCACTCTCCAAGGGAGTGAAGTTGATCTTCAGATTATGAAAGCTTTCAGAAATTTACATCGCTCGGTCATAGCCAAGCTGCTCGTTCTGTCAGAGGAAGATCGCCAGAAGGCGTTTAAGAAGATGTATCGGAAGGTCACCGCGAAGGCGTCCAAATTGCAATCTCTCGATCGTGATTCCATGGACTGTTTCTATCTGAGGATCTCCCTGTCTCAACTCTGGCACCAGCGTAAGCAGCTTGCCGGTGTCTTTGACGAGGCAGAGCTTGCTACTTGCCGACAGAAGATGTTCGAGCTCGTGGTTGCGGAGGTCAAATCGGTCAAAGACCAGTACAAGAAGCAGCAATTGGAGGAGACGATTGCTCTGATTAAGATTCTGGATGCGCTGGAGGACTTCGAGGATCTTGCCACCGATCATAGCGAGGTTGAGAAGTTCTTGTCGAAGATTGAAAGCTATGTGGAAAAGTCGGTCGATTCAGGACCCTCGCTGAGAAGACTCATCCGACGCCGTGTCTTGGCCGGACGGAGCTCTGAGAAGAGTATCACACAGCCCGTGATACAGTGTGCAGAGGCCCTTCCGGTGCAAAACATGTATAGCGAAGAACAGCGACTATTTATTCGATCTACCAGTGCAAGGTTCCAGTCCATGTCGGTGGACGAGTTGACTCGGGTTATCCAAGATGTGCGGGAGTTAGGATTTGTCGGAGAGAATGCGGAATATCATCTACTCATTGCTGGTCTGGCCATCGCCGCGGTGCCTGCTATTGAGGACAAGGAAAGCGATGTTGCCAAAGAGCTGTCGTTGATCTGCACCGCCGTGACTGAATCGCTTCCCCGCAACAAATCGATCGAGCAGTTCACTCTTGCAACCGAGTGTCTGGACATCCTTCTCCGCAGCCACACCCGCTGCATCACGCAGTGGAATGTCGACAACCTGCTGGGATGCATTGCAGTCAGCACTTCCAAGTCCGGGCCCAGCATCGATCCCGAATTCTCCGGAACGGTCTATATCCGTCTCTGTCGGTTGATGGGCACCCTGCTGGGTCTTCACCGTCGGAAGATCGGAGGACGCTTCCACCTCATCCTGCCTGCCATCCAACGACTACTGGACTGCTTGTTTGCTCGCTCCAAGAAGCGCAGTCGATCCATGATCTACGAGAAGAAGACCGGACAGCAACCCTACTGGCTAGCCCCACTGCAGGCCTCGCACGCGGTCCACTTCACCCGCCTCCTCACCTCTCTCTGCGACCCGACCGTGTCTGCCGTTTCGCGACCGACCCAGTCGGCAGGTGGTCACGAGGGTCTGACGGACCAGACGAAGAAAGCCAAGCGTATTGCGGGACAGTACCTCCAGTACCTCATCATGGAGTACACGCAGAGCTCCCTGCGCGGAACTCTGGCGCCCGAGGTCAAGGCGGCGGTCCTCCCTGGTCTGTACGCGGTCTTGGACGTGATGTCCCGCGACACGATGCGCGCCATGAATGCGGGGCTGGACGTGTCCGGACGGGCGGTGTTCAAGGCGTTGTACGATGATTATGTGAAGTTTGGCAAGTGGAATAAGGGTTAGGTGGTGGTCATACCTGTAGACTTGTTTTTTTTTTTTTGTAGTTAGTTTCGTTTGCATTGGCCTGTGGGTTACTTGAGCTGGTTGATCCTGAATCGAGGACTTGTATAATACATATGTTGCATGTGGTGGATGTCTACGGAGTATAGAGTATAGAGTAAAAGAGTACGGAGTAGATCAGCGCATCACCTGACTTTGAACACGTGCCACGGCCCCTTGACGATATCGGCGAGCGAAAAGCGACGTTCCTTCTTCCCCTTACTTCGGTGACAGGTCCATGTGGAGAGGACCATCCGGTTCCCTGGTCCGCGGCGACGGTGAAAGGATCAGCCCCGAAGTTGGCTATCTATCATCTGCCGAACCCCCAAGAATTTCTTTACTCGATCTCATCGAGTCAGCGGGCCTGTGATTAGATAGGCCCCGCCGCCAGGGTCTCTGTGACTCGCTGGGCAGGCCGGGGATTCCCCCCCACCCCGGCTGGGAGCGCCGTTGTGGAGGGCCAGTGGAGTCGCAGCAAGTCGCGGTGCACTGATAACGCCATGCTTACTCGAGCGAATCGAGCAATGGAAACAATCCCCCACCCCCATTATCGCTGCCTGGTTCTCCCGATCGACGGCCCAGACAGCAGCCTGCGAGTGCGAGCTTGATAACACCCATGGGATCACCACATGGACCTGCCCAGGTCGAATTCTTATCTCCATCTTGCGTAAGGGGCATGGCAGTGGCTGTTCGGGTGTCATCCTGGCCCAGCATATCAGCCAGCTTCACAATGGAACCGTTCCATATCTGTCCCTCAGCCCGCCCTGATTGGCCCATCCGCCGGCGATGACGCTGATAGTGCCTTCCGCTGCTCTCGTCGGGGGCCACATCGAAAACCGAGTGCTGATAGTGCCATTGCCATCGATCTCTTTTATATATATCCTTCTCTCGTCCGGTCGCCGGAAACAGAAGGAACTGTCTTGTTTGTGTCTGCATCGTGCAGTACTTCTCTCACGTGTCAGCTGGCCTGGAGAATCATACATACTACCTACCCACCCCGTCCTATCCATACATCATACGCTACACACACTATATTTCGTCGAAACCATCGCCGGTGCCCCGTCCCAGCTCGGCTGTCGTCGACAACACAGGCGGAAAATGCCTCGGATCAAGGAATGGATCGAGAAGCTCGAGGTGCCAGCGGAGCCTGGGTTGACCAACACCCAGTTGATGTTGACAAACCGTGACTTGCGGCCAGGTGAGATCATTATGCTGGCCGGCGGATCACCTTGAGACGTCCCGTGCTTGTCCATCTCGATTCCTTGAGATCAGTGTAGGCTGACCGTGTGCAAATGCTTGGCTTTTGCGGCTTGCAGTCGAACACGAGCGTCGACAGTGGAGATGGTTCAACTTTGTGGCTTTCTGGATAGCAGACTCCTTGAATATCGTAAGTGCCCTCGAATCAAGTCTCTTCTGGTGTGGTCAGGATCCCTTGGCTAACGGATGTGGGTGGTAAAGAACACATGGATGATCTCATCCTCGATGATCGTTGATGGCCTGTCCTGGTGGCAGGCATGGATATGCGTCTGGGTCGGATACTTCATCGCCGCTTGCTTTGTGTGCTTGACCGGTCGCATCGGTGCTGTCTATCACGTATCGTTCCCGGTCGCATGCAGAGCAAGCTTCGGGATCTGGGGTTCTTTCTGGCCCGTCTTCAACCGGGCGGCGATGGCTGTTGTTTGGTATGGTGTCCAGGGCTATATCGGAGGTGAGTCTTTCTGCAATCAATCAATCCTCTTTCAGCCAAGTCTCTCCTCTAACATCCGCCGGCATTAGGCGAGTGTGTCACCTTGATGATCGAATCCATCTGGCCCAGTTATAAGAATATCCCTAATGGGATTCCTGCGAGCTCTGGTGTGACCACTAAGAACTTTGTCAGCTTCTTCCTGTTTTGGCTCATCTCTCTGCCTGCTCTTTGGTTCCCGGTCCATAAGATTCGGCACCTCTTTACCGTGAAAGCGATATATTCCCCCATCGCAGCCATTGCTTTCTTCGCCTGGGCTATCTCCCGTGCCAACGGAATCGGTCCGATCGTCCACCAACCTGCCACAGTACATGGAAGCGCCCTGGCTTGGGCCGTCATCAAGTCCATTATGAGTTGCCTGGGCAACTTTGCAACTTTGATCGTGAACGACCCGGACTTTTCGAGATTCTCCCGGACACCCAAGGACGCGTTGTGGTCGCAACTGCTCACCATCCCGATCGGCTTCGGCATCACTTCCTTTATCGGCATCATTGTGTCGTCCTCTTCGGCGGTCATCTTCGGCGGTGATTTTGTGTGGAACCCCCTGACCCTTCTCGGTCAATTTCTGGACGGAGCCAGCTCGGCTGAGCGCTTCGGAATATTTATCATCTCGACTGGCTTTACTCTCGCTCAGCTGGGCACGAATATTTCCGCGAACTCGGTCTCCGCTGGTACGGATATGACGGCATTAATGCCTCGCTACCTCAACATCCGACGGGGTAGTTACATCTGTGCCGCCGTTGGCCTGTGCATGTGTCCGGTACGACCACTTTTTCAAAACCTCTGTGAGTAAAAAGTACTAACAGTTCATAGTGGAGACTTTCATCGTCATCCAACGCGTTCACCACCTACCTCTCGGCCTACTCGATCTTCCTCTCCTCCATCGCCGGTGTCATGATCTGCGACTACTATGTCGTCCGGAAAGGATACCTGCGGGTAAAGGAACTCTACAGCGCACGGAAGACCTCACCGTACCACTACGTCTGCGGATTCTCCTGGCACGCATATGCTGCGTACCTGTCAGGTATTATCATCAACATTGTCGGCTTTGCAGGGGCCGTGGGACGCAGCGTGCCCGTGGGCGCGCAGTACATTTACAACGTCAATTACTTCTCCGGGGTGGTTGTCTCGAGCGTGATGTATTACGCGCTGACGCGGCTGTTCCCCATCCCCGCTACCAGCGACAAATGGCAGGAGGTTGGCGTGGACGTGGACGATCTGTCCGTCGCGGACGGACAGGAGGTGTTTGTGGAGGACGAACATCCGACGGGGAAGCCGCTGGACCTGGAAGCTCCTGTTGACCAGAAGCGACCAAAGTCCTCGGCCTCGTCTGTGAACTAAAATGAGATATGACTGTGATTGTTGATTTTTGTACTCTAATGACTGAACGTTTACCTACCTGCTTGAGGGCACATGTTAATACAAGGTACCGTGAAAGAGGTGCCAGGTTGTTGTTGTCCCGTGTCAACCTTACTGAGATGCCTGATTTCTGAATTTCCCATTGCATATACCTGACAACTCGTAGTGCGATGCCTATAGATTGACTTTTGTCCATTATATCCAAGCATATATAAGATTCTGCGTTATCAACCCGAGAAGAGAGATCACCGCGTAGTCTAGCCCCCATTAGCAAAGATAGTCTGGCCGGTTATCCAGCCACCCTCCGTGCACAAGAACCGGATGATGGGCGCGATATCCTGCACCATCGTCAACCGGCCTCCCATTCCATTGGACTTGTGGAACTCCACTGCTTGACCCTGGAATTGGGATGGCTGCTGCACAAGGTGTAGGAGCCTGAGGCCGGGCAAGAGACAAGGCCGAGATGTCCGAATGTGGAAGGAGCAGTCGCGGCCGAACTGTCTGACAGCCTCAGGCACTCAGGCATAGATGGGGGGATATACTCCGTAGATACTCCGTATCCTCGTCTCATTCAATAACAATCATTGGCCTGTCCCACTTCGCACTGCTCCAGCGGGCGAATCAATAGTCCAGCTCCCTTTCGTCAACATCTCTCAAGCTCCGTCTCCAGCAATAGCAAATCGCTGCCTGAGTCGCCTGACGTGGTCTCGCCATTTCTTCACCGTCATCTCGCGTCTTGTATCTTGCCCTTTTATCAATTCTTTTATCACTCCTATTTCCAGATCATCTACTATAGCACGATGATCCGGCCGCACTGCGCAGAGAACTCCGAATCATGACTACTCTCATCCCCATCTTGACCCAGCTGGCACTGCTCAGCCTCCTCGCCCGCGTGGTATACCTCTGTTACTTCCATCCTCTGGCACGCTATCCGGGTCCCTTCTGGGCCCGGTTCACCAATCTATGGTTCGTCATGACCCACCGGGAACTAGATAGAGGACTTAGACCGTCGTGGTTGTACTGACCTGTCTCTCCTCTAAAAGGAGATTCATCACCTTCCTTGGCGGCCAGCATCATCTCACGGAACAGCGCCTGCACGACAAGTATGGCCGTGTAGTCCGTGTCGCCCCGAACTGGCTCTCTTTTTCGAGCCTGGAGGACTATGATGCCGTCTACGGGTTTAACAAGTCGGTCGAGAAAGACGACTTCTATACCTTTGGGCGGGGTTCGAGCCAACGCGAAGCGAGTATCTTCGCTACCAGATCGAGCGCCCTCCACCGCCAGAAGAAAAAAAAGGTCTTGGGACCGGCCTTGTCAAGCTCGAAGGTGAGGAGATACGAATCGATTATCACAAGCCATGTAGAAGTGTTTCTTGCCCGAGTGGAGTCATTGCGACGCCCCGCAGGTGATCAGGGAATCTCTGCTGTAAATATGGCGCCGTCGATATACCAGTTCACTCTGGACACCATGCTAGAAGTCCTCTTCGGACCAGCTGTGACAGCACATCCCTATACGGATAGTGCCATTGCCGGAGATATCTGCGCGCAACTTCGCATGCTGACCAAGACAGCATGGAGTTTCTCGCTTTGGCCGACATACGGGTGGCTTATGAACACTCGACCCATCGGTGCTCTGTTTCGCAAGCCCCGTTACAATAAAGATGGCGCACCAACCGGAATGGCTGGCCTGATGGCCGCGGGTCATTCCGCAATCATGCGAGATCCAGAACGGATAGCGAATGCTGAGCAACCTGGTATAGTGAAAAGCTGGTTGGAAGTCCCGGTCGATGATATGGATCGGATGACACAGGGAGAAGTCTTTTCAGAGGCTTCTAATTAGTCTTCGCAGGCCCGGGGAGTATGGCAGCTGCTCTTACCGCGATAGTATATCAACTGGGGTTGCAGGAAGGGCAGCTTTGGCAGGAAACCCTTCGACAGGGGACGCATATCTCCAAAGGAAGCACAATAGCTACTTCGGTGTCCCCGAGGCTACAAGCCGTGATAAAGGAAACGATACGGTTGCGAGCAGTATTCCCAACTGCATTTCCCCGAGTGATCATGCCAGGTGCCGAAACAGTCATTCCCAGCTTGTCGGCTCCGCTGCCGGTCGGAACCACCGTGTCTGCGAATTCGCATGTCTTGGGCCGGTCGCGCGAGATCTGGGGGGACAATGCAGACCAATGGATCCCGCAGCGATGGCTTGGAGATGAAGAACATTGCCGTAAAATGGAAAATCAGTTTGTTGCCTTTGGCAAAGGGGCGCGAGGATGCATCGGAAGGGACTTGGCGGTGCTTGTCCTCGCCAAAGCGGCGATGGCGCTCGTCCAGCAGTGGAAAATCAAAAGCGTGGGACAATTGCGCGGCAGAAGCCACCTGGAGATGCAATATGACCAATGCTGGGTGGAACTCGAGCGCCTGAAAGACTACAGCTGAGCTGAGGTCGGAGTCCTCTTTGGGAACATCGGGCACCCGATGCGGACCCCGCCGTCCCGCAATCGCCACGGCAATCAGATCCTCGATATTGCCAGCCAATCGCTGATGAAAGTCGGGGTACAGAGATCGCTAAAAAGCTCTAGGAATCATTGGCTATTACTACTACTACGAGGTTCTTTCACGGTCTTCAAAAGCCTCGTGTCCCCACCACCGGTGACTATTAATATGGAGCCCCTCGTTCTTGCTCTGTGCCGATCATCAGTCGCTTGTTATTTCCTCAAACCTTCTCCTATTTCTTCCTTCCCGACTGAGCAACTACAAAACAACCTTGCTCCCAACTACTGATTCTCTACCAACTCATCTACGCATCGACTGCTTTCCTACATCCCCTCATCGATAGGGTCAACACAATTGAACCATTTCCCTCCTTTGTTGTCCCCCCCCCCCCCCAAAAAAAAAACAAAACAGCGACATGTTGTCTAGCGGGGCTCTTCCTCAAACCTTGGGATCGATCACTACTACCAAAATCAACGAGCTCTCCAAACAACGAGCTCTGTTTGAGAAGCGGAGAGCCGAGATTGTTGAGGCTGCTGAAAATGCTTCCAGTCTTCGCTCCAAGGCTCAGATCCTCTTGGAAGGTGTGACCAAACTCAAGGGCTTCCCCAATGATGCACTTGATCAGGAGGACCTGGACGAGGACAAGAATTCAGACATAGAATCCGCGGTGGAGGATCGAACCGAGCGTGCGCTCCATGTCAATATCCGTCGCTTCCTTCTGCAGAGCCAGTATGATCCATCGGTATCAGATCGCAGCTTGAAGAGCTGGATTTCCCACCTGGAGGAAGAGCTACAATATCTGCAGCTTAGGCATAAGCATGCCAAATTCTATAGCTCCCTAGTCACCGAATGGCTGGGCGATCTGGAAACTCCCTCCGCCACAACAGACGATGAAGAGCAGCAGGGCGCCGGCTTCGAAAATGTGAGACGTACAGAGATGCAGCAACAGCGAGAAACATGGGAGTCGCTGGTCTTCACAGAGGCAGACGTGGATGCAAGTGCTGTCCGAGCATACCTCGAGGGTCTCTTTGAAGCGACGACGCCCTCGAAGCAGGCCTTGACGGAACTGCGTGACACTATTAGGAGCATTGGTATCGATTTTACGTCAAAAAGTATTTCGCTCGACGTCGACGATCTCAAGTGGGTTTCCGAGTCATTGCTGCGGTCGGACCTACTCACGAAGGAGAAGACCGCCATTTTGAAGGAGTTCATGCGCAACCCCGCAGTATCCCAGGAGGTGGTCGACGTTCTCAATATGCGTCTGGCTTCCCTGGATAACTGGGGCTGGCCTGCGGGATGTATCCCGGTGGAGATGCGTCGTCAGCTGAATGGGAAGTACCGTGTGTTCATGGACGAGGACCTGTTGGATGGCCTCATGTTCCAGTACCTAGGAACCAAGTGGTCTGTTACCTTTCGATCTGCGTTCAACGCCTTTCTGGACACGCCGGCATGGAAATTTCTGCGTGAGCACATCCCTCGGCCCGAAATTTCTCGTCGCTCCAATTTCACGGCCAGTGAAGCTTCACAACGCGGAACAAGTTGCGTCAACAATGCCCGGAAGAAAATGTACAAGGACGACTACTTTATGACTCTTCTACCCTCATCTGTGGAGCAGGGCAATGTAGCATACGACGGCGATGGTGGAGACGCCCGGGATAGCAGCCTGAAGAAGGATAAGAAGAACGCGCTGGAAACGAAGCACTCCCTTCTCCATCTCCTTATCACTGAGTCTCTTGTCTACACTTCGCTGCATGGAGAATTCACCGCCATCAGATCGGACGTCAAGTGGTTTGGTCCCTCTCTCGCCCATTCTACGATTCTTACCGTCTTGGAGTATTTCGGAGTCCCGCAATACTGGCTCAACTTTTTCCGCACTTTTCTGGAAACTCCAATCAAGTTCGTCCAGGACGGACCGGACGGCTCGAGACAAATCCGGAAGCGAGGCGTTCCCATGAGCCATGCTCTTTCCGACTGTTTCGGGGAGACCGTGCTGTTCTGCATGGATTTTGCTGTCAACCAGAGCACAGATGGTGCGTATCTGTATCGACTGCACGACGACTTCTGGTTCTGGGGTGAGGAGGAGACCTGTGTCAAAGCCTGGGCTACGATGACGGAGTTTACGAAGGTCATGGGCCTGGCTTTCAACGAGGAAAAGACAGGAACGGTGCGACTGGTGGGAAAAGATGCGAAGGACCGTCAGAGTCAACAGTCGACGGATACAGTCTCGCCCGACCCCCTGCCCAAAGGCGAAATTCGCTGGGGCTTCCTCAGGTTGGATCCTCTGGAAGGCCACTTCGTCATCGATCAAGAACAGGTCGATAACCACATCTCCGAATTGAAGCGCCAACTCTCATCCTGCAAGAGCGTCTTCTCGTGGGTGCAGGCCTGGAACAGCTACTTCGGGCGGTTCTTTGCCAACAACTTCGCCAAACCAGCCATGTGCTTTGGACGTAGCCACATTGACATGGCTATTTCGACGCTCAGCCGCATTGAGCGCACCTTGTTCGCCGACAGCAACAGCGGAGTGACGGATCACCTGCGTCAGGTTTTAGCCGATCGGTTCGGTGTTGAAGACCTCCCCGAAGGCTTTTTCTACTTCCCCGTTGAGTTCGGCGGCCTGGAGCTTCTGAACCCATATATCTCTTTCCTCGCCATGCGCGAAGGTATCAAAATGACACCTCACGGCCGACTCCAGAAGGCCTTTTTGCAGTACGAGGTGGAGTATCATACTGTCAAGGAGCGATTCGAGAAAGAAGCTACGGCAAGTTTCGGGCCCCACAGCGACATGGATGGGCTGTCGCTGGAGGAGTACACCCGTTACCCTGAGACTTATAGTCGTCCGCTCCTGAACGCGTACAATGATCTGATCCGTGTGCCTGAGGAAGTCAGTGTCAACCAGACGCCGGCACTGCACAGAAACCAGATGGCACTGGACAGGACGGTCATCACTCACACGAAAAATCGCAATATCATCTCCAACCAATGGTTCCGCATGTCGCCGTACTGGCAATGGACCGCGGAGTTGTACCAGGACGAGATGGTGAAAACATACGGGTGTCTGGCGGCAGTGAACCGGGAGTTCATGCCGCTGGGAGTGATCAAGACGCTGAAGGAAGGCAAGTTCAGATGGCAGAGCTGATAAGCAGGAGGTAGAAAAGGGTGTGTATCGATAGCTTCATGGCAGATCTTTGACCTCCCCTAATAGGTGGTGCTCTTAAATAATGAAAAGTTCTATAATCTTAAACGATCATTGACTGTAGCTCATCTCAAAGTCGTTTAGAAGCCGTTTAAGGCGCTCTTTTTCGGACTCTCCCCCGAATATCACATCGTAGGACTTCCTGCAGATGCTCAGCAGATCGGCTCGGTTGAGCTGGAAATGCTCCGCGACTAGCAGGTACTCGTTCGACACGGGGCTGCAGAAGAAACCCACGTCATCGGTCTGTGCTTGCATATCAGTATAACTCTCATCATCGCATAGGGTAAAATAGGGAAACCCAGCAAGTAAACCAAAAGAAGCACTCACACAAAGAACAACCGGACAGTCCTCGAACCTCCAGAACCCAAAATGATGATCCAAGAACCCGCCATCAAACATCTTCGCATGGACATTACACGAAATACACAGCTCCAGCCCGAGACGTCTCCGGGCGATTTCCTTCTTGACCTCCTCCGGTACATGAATAACATGACCCAACCGATCAGGCTGGAACTCCAGGAGAGTATTCAACTCCTCCAACGACCCCGACGACGTCGTCTCAGCAAAGTGCACGGTAACACCCAGCCCATGCGCCTTGGCTTTTGCAAAAGCGTCCCGAAAAACAGAAACATCGCCTTTGGTCGGGTTTCCGCAGACATCGATGCCAACGACACCTCGGGCGCGGTTCGCCAAAGCCAGGTCTACGATCTCTAGCGCCTCCGAGGCGGTGCTGTGACCTCTGTCTATGGCTAGGATGAGATACACAGACATTTTTTCCGCGGAGACGGAGGACTGGAAGTGCTGGATTGTGTCTAGGACAGTGGTAAGGTATTCTTCTCTGGTGAATGCTGCGGAGGGAGATGCGCGGGGAATGGTGCGTAGTTCGAGGTAGGTGACTCCGTCATTGAGGAAGTCTGTTAGGACGGAGGTGGTTGCGTAGGTCAGGCTGGGGAGGTCATTGACCAGGTGGTAGATAGATTTGTTGAAGGTTTGGAAGAATCTTTTGAGGATTTGGTTGGTTCGTTGGTTGGGGGCTTCGAGGCTTGGTAGGTAGGGTAGGTAATGGCACCTACGTCTGCAGGGAGTAGTCCACTTTGCCGGGAGGCATGGATACCCAGGGGTCTTCGATGCTGAAGCTCGGGTCTTGCGCTTTCTTCGTCGCCCAGAGTTCGTGAAGACATTGGCGGCTGATGCTGCCGCTGAGGTGGGCGTGGAGCTGGGATGGATGTTAGCGGTCGATTGTGTTTTCTTGCTCTTTCTTTTCATCTTTCTCCTCTTTCGTTTTCTTGTTTTGGTGGTTTTCTGGCCTGTGGCCTTCTTGAGGGGGAAGGCGCACTCACCTCGACTTTGGGAAGGGACTGGGTGAAGACTGGATCGACGGGTTTGGTGAGATCCATGGTGAATCTTGATGGTTTAGAGATATAGGTCTAGTGGTCTATGGGACTGTCTGTATCGATTGTTGATGTAGATCGTGGATGAATGGATGGATGAGGATGAGGAGGTGAGGTGAGGTGAAGAGGGGAAGAGGAAGTTGTCGTGGGGAGAGCAGGTGACTTGCTACGTTTGTCCCTTCCTTTTCCATCTCTTCCTCTCGCCCTTTCCCTTTCTCCATCTCTCTCTCTCTCTCTCTCTCTCTCTCTCTCTCTCTCTCTTTCTCTCTCTCTCTACTATCGCAGCATCGCCCGACCCGAGACTACTACCTATGGAATTGTGTGAATAAACCCAAAAATATTGTGTGATTACCAGATTTATTAGAATATTCTGGTAAATCAACCCTACTCTTTCCAGTGGCTCACCAACGGCGGCCGATGTCATGGTGAGTGAAACCGTGATGAACCATGGTTTGGAAATGTTTATACCAGACGTCAGGTAATCCCACATCCGTACTATCCACGGGTTTTTGAAGTAACCCTCGACTCTCCTAGGTATATTCCGAGGATCGCTGGTCCCTCGTTACTTTGATGAGAAGAAACAGGACTACAATATCAGGATTTTCAGGACGACCAGGATTCTGGTAATCCAATCGTGGTATCTAGATATCACCACGAGCTCAACCTTGGGGTTCTATCGCAGTCTATCGACATGCATAGATCGCATCGCCAGATCTGACAGACTACTGGGCTGCTCCCCCACCCCATGACTCGGTTAGCTCGTCGACCTATATTTCGGACATGGACACGGGGGTAGACGACACACAGGATGAAACTGCGCCCGGCAGGTCGCAAGGCTACAAAGTATATCAAGCCGGGTTACTCCGTACAGACAACAGACACACTCGATGTATACGAGCTCCACATGGTCGTGCTAGAGCCGCAGACTAGCATACGGCATATGGATGAGATCCAAGATCCTACGCATGTGCCGTTCTCCCGAGGCCGAGGGCTCCCGGCACGGATCTCTGACGTGTCGAAACACCTTTAATTCATTCGCCGCATGACACTGCCCCGACACGACGGGACGGGAAATATCAAGGCAACAGGCATACGGTGCCCGCTTGACACTGCCCAGCATAGATACTGTGTAGAATAATGGAGATAGGCTGTGCGTACTGGTCACGGGTGGGGGTCTGGGGGTGAGCCGTGTGGTTCCGGCAGCTACAAAGACGTCTCGTATCCATCGTGATCGACCCATTGCAAGCCCCATCGTAGACATGCGGCGAGAAGTGTGCGATCATACGTCCCATTGGTGCAGAAGGAACTACTACCAAAAATGGTCCTTCGTTTCTCGTCCGAGTTTCTGCCTCGGGCCTCATCTCATCTCAACGTATCAACGGGGTGTCTCTAAGCACATCATCAGGTTGTGTTCCCATTAGCCTGTAATGGGTCGCTCGAACACCGCCAGTGGTAGTTGCCCAACGAATTTGCGCTAATGTCGTTATCAATGTTCGTAGCAATCGGGTCTACTGATCCAAAAAGCCGAGCTAGAAAAGCGATAGCTGCGGACTGGCTGTCTATGGTGCCGACGCGTTGCCTGCATACTTACTTACGCCTCTGCGGCCGTAACATACAGGAACCCTGGCATCGTCTTGGTTTATATGGCTGCGTAAGCCCGGTCGTACCTGTTTTTGTCGTAAGATGCGGCATAACGATGGCACGTACATATTTTTTGCAGTACGATTCGCCTCCGCTGCCCAGTTTCGCATAAATTGAAGCCCTGCACTCTGGGACCGAAAGGCTCTAGGTTCATGTGGAGATGCACGCAGTAAAAGAGGGGTCTAAGAAATAAATGTCCGAACCCAAGGAAGGAGATTTTCTGATAGGCGGCGGAGTCCGAAGGAATCAATCATCGCTGATTTATTAGGTAAAGAGATGGCCAAACATCTCAAGCCAGAAGTGGAAGAAACAAGGACCATAAAGCAGCCAATAGAGAGAAAAAAGTCCAAGAGCAAGACGTTACCCATGGTCATACTGCTTGGAGAACCTCCGTAACAAGGCTAGGCCTCTCCTGCCAGACTGAGAGTTCGGCTTACTGTCTGTTCTCCCCGTTGTCACTCCAGCACTAGACGGTTGTGCTCAAAGAGATAATCAAAAATTGCCTAGTGGCCTGGTATAGACTAGATGAGGGTGGTGACACGTGTCGAGAAGCGGTTTCTTACGCCCAAGGGATTCTTGTTGAAGGCTGTGCTTTCACCGGTGCAAGAAGGCCAGGCTACCTGCAGGTGCAACGTCCAGTGGGAATTGCGACAGGCCTCTGGCGTGCAAATGTAGTGGCACAAGGCAAACAAAAATCCAATCTGATAAAAGGCAAGAAATAATAATGTCCTTGCTGGGGGCCGCAGCATATGCTGCATTGGGTATCGTCCCACATAGGGCCTTCATGGGGGTTGCTCGCTTGACTGGACTGGATTGGCAGATAGACCACGGTAAGCTGAAACGGAATCTGCGCAACGGAATTGACCGGCGTCGCGAGTACCGCAGACCCGCAACTGAAATTCCACCATGTCACAGTCCTTGTATCGTCTGGCCCGGTTCTCGAAGGATTCGAGAAACCAGGTACCTGAGAGCCCCAGCCCAATAACAACGGTTGATCGTGGGAATGGGTATCCCAAGTTATTTTTAGCCAGTGATCCAGCTTTGAGCGTTTAAGTCGCCAGGAAACGATTGTTGCAGTGGAAACCCGGTGGAATCCAGCCACCAGGAAATGCCCGATTTGGCGATTCTGATTGGCAAGGAGACAATTCAACCCTTAGGCAACCCCTAGCGTACTGTTATCCGAGAGAACGGATGCGAGGGCGATAACGTCATTTGTTGTCATATCTGCTTGCTGCGATGCAGAACCGATCTACTCCGTAGAATCACTATGATTCTCAAATGTGTCACCAAATATGAAACACCGCAATAGAAGGGAAATCAAAATGCATGCTCGGGGCTAGAAAACCAACTTACTAGGAAGGCTACTGGCAGCACCGCAATTCGTGGAATGCCAGATTGCAGCCAAGAGTGCTCCGTAGCGGCCTTACCTTTTGCCTGGGCCCTTCATTGGCCGATTGTGGGGTGTCAATCAAAGGAAGGGCCAGGGTTTAATGTAGAGGTGATTTTGCCTTATGCTCAGATCAAAGAGGGTTGGTGCCGGAGTGCAAGTTACTGTGATGTACGTACTGTACGGGTGTAAACTCCGCAACGCTGTCCGTCTGTTGTTGCCACTGCAGTGGGCCGATGTCATACTTTGTAGTAGCCTCATTCTAGAGCCAGGGACCCGGACGGGCCAGGGTCTGATTAGCACCATGCAAGAGCAATTCGCGCCCTGTCCCCCGCTTGGCCTGGAGGGTTCAAAGGATTATTGGGTAGATACTGTTGGTTCGTTTAAGCCGGATGCGCCAAGTCGACACTGTCTCAGAATTCGGAAAGGAATCCCACCTGAGCACCTCGGCGACTGTGGCACTATTCCTGAACGGTGGCACAGGTCCCTATTTTCTCGGCTACTACTATGATAGTCGCAGTAGTACTCGTGATAGTGTACCCCACTGACGCCTACCCAATACCCAGGCTGACTGGTAGCGAACGACCAACGACGACGGCGGGGGAGAGATCATCGAAAGGGTCCTAGCCCATCGGGACGGCCATGTCTATCTCACTGCGATGCCGATATGGATGACAGGAGACAGAAGCAGGGGGCTGAGGGGGGCGGCCCGGAGAGAGGAGGAAGAGGGAAAGCAACCATACTATTGGCGATCACGAGGCTTGATAATCAATAATGAATGGAAATGACAACAGTAGAAGGGCGTTTGCCCGTGCGTGCCGCATTTTCAACAGGAAGAGATCATTCGACTATCAGCAAGCCACGACACGTTGCATGCCTGGCCGGCCGATAGGCGACTGTCAAGAACAAAAACCGGATCGCGGCATTGTTGGGATCAAGACCAGAAGGGCGCTGGTCGAATGACACCCTGCAGCATGCGCCGTGCGACCGTGGATTGGGAGGTCAAAGAAGGTTGAAGCATCGAAGACGCATCGAAGGAACTGGCTTGACGAGGCTCAGCTGAGGCCGGCGCTACGCTTACTTGACTTACTTATTTACGCTTTGCCTCAGGCATGGCATGTGCTGTCAAAGGAGCGGTGCATGCACCCCTATCCTCAACCAACAGTGAATGGCCTACGGAGTACCTTGCTCCAACAACCCCTCCAGGAAAGGACGAGGGGGGAGTGGGTATCGTATCACTAGGATATGCAGCTCCAGTTCTACAAAAGTACGGGGTGCACGGAAGTAGGCAGACAGACAGACAGACAGGCGCAGCAGATCCAACAGATTTAGAGTTTCAGAGAAGAAAAAGAAACGACGAGGATTAAGGATTAAGGTACGGGGTACGGCAACACTATCGACTTGACTATCTAGATAGATATCTACTATCTACCAGTCCAGTCTCAGTCTGCCCAGAAGCCAAAAAAAAAAAAAAAACTTTAAGGGCGTTGCGGGTGGGTTAGCTAATAATGATGGCAGCCGTACCAGGATGTATGGTAATCCCCAGGGTAAATTGCATCGGCGATTTGTAATACCCAGTACGAACCAGAAGGCGACGGTTGGTTTAATTACTTCCGTACCGGAGTATTGTAAACCTGACAGGTCATTCATTACCTGCCACCACGATCAGACCCCGGTCCAGGAGGCGCAACGTTCCATCCAGTTGGTAAGGGCTTCTCTGCCTTCCAATTGGAAGAACCGTCATGGTTGCCCATATTGCACCGGCCACGGCAACCGAAAATCTTCCCAAATCTTGATGGGACGGGGCAGATTTCTGCACCTGCTTACTAAACCTATTATTCAACAAGGAGTACTCCGTACCAGGCGGTGTTTCGACATACCACAATAGGTACTGACATTTAATGCGTTTGAAGTTTCTCCTCCCTATGACTCATTTCATCCTCGACGGCTCCGTACGTCGGACAGAACGGCGATCCGG